CCATGCTCGAGCACGCGCAGGGCGTGGCCGTTGAGCTCGGCGCGGACGGCCGAGCGGGCCGCGGGGGTCAGCGGGGCGTCGGCGTCGGCGTCGGCGTCGGCGGGGGGCAGCAGGCGCAGGACGGCGGCGGTGATGGGGTAGTCTTCGTCGGGTGAGGCGGCGGCGGGAGAAGAAGAGCCGGGGGGGAGGGTGCCGGCGGCGGTGGACGGGGTTTGGGCTTGGGCGCTCGTGTCTGGGGTGAGTGTGTGGGAGGAAGGGGTGGTGGGCTTGGTGGGTGTTGTTGTTGTTATTGTTGCTGCTTCTGGCTTCGTCTTCGCCGTCGAGGGCGTGGGCAGGCCGGTCTGTGGCGCCGGGCGCACGGGCGTGAGGCCGAGCATGTCGTTGCTGAGCGACTTGGGCTCCGTCGTGAGCTGCCGCGCGGCGCGCTCGGCCGTCTCGTCGGCCATGGCCGCCATCTCGCGCTCCATGTCCGAGTCCAGGCCGTCCGAGAAGTCCTCGCCGCCGCCGACGTCGTCCGCCTCGCGCTTGCGCTTGGCGGTTGGATCTTGCCGCGCCCGCCGCTCCGGCGCCGCCCACAAGAAGTCGCTAGACGACGACGACGGTGCCGCTTCGGCCTTGATGGGCATTGTTCTGCTCATAGTGCTGCTGCTGCCGCTGTCGACAAACATCTCCCCGTCGCTGTCGTCGCTCAGCAGCTCCCCCTCCCCGCCGGGAACCCCCCGGAACGTCCTCTGCCTGGGCTGCGCAGCCCTCGAGGACATAGTAGCTATGCCATCACTACCAATAGCGGTGGGGATCACACGCTGCTGCCGCGGCGCGGGCGTCGGCGTCGGCGGCGCGCCGGGCCCGATGCTCGTGGCGATGCCGTCGCGGCCGGCGCCCCGGGGCTCGGAGCGGGCGGCGGCCCCGCCGAGCAGCAGGGCGGCCTCCTCGCGGGCCCTGGCGGCGTCCTCCCACAGGAAGAAGCCGCACTGGTCCCTGCGCTCGCGCTGGCAGGTGTAGAACCAGCGGCCCTTGTTGGCGCCCTGCTTCTTGACCTGGAGGCGCAGGGCCGGCAGGCGCGGGGTGCAGTCGCCTTTTTCCGTTTTCCAACGGAGGTCAGTCGACTGAAGTGAGGGATGGAGGGTTCGTACACGTACAGAGCCATTGGCCGTTCTCAAAGAGGCCCGGCTGGCGGGAGGGCGTGCCTCTGCCGTGGCCTCCGCTGCGGAAGCTGTTGTAGCTGGTCTTGCGCTGCTTGCGCGGGGTCGAGTACATGGCTATGGATACATGCGGGAGGCGCCGCCAGTGGGCGCAAACCTGTCCTAGTAAATATCTGGTGTTGCGATAATGGGTATGAATCGAGGTTGGTTCTAATGCACTTGTAGATTGGATGAGAGGTGGACTGAGGTCATTGATAGAGCGAGTTGAGGATCGGGCTGAGATGGGGTTGATGTAGTTACAGGGTCCACTGTCCACCTCTGGCGCGGGAGCTAAAAGAGGTTGCTGAAATCTAAGGGGGCTGGGGTCCATTCACAGCCTTCATTGTCCCCCCTCCTGAGCCTCCTGACACAGCCTTGAAGCCACATCAATTGCCTGTTGAACTTCGATGACCGGTTCATCAAAACGCACCAACGAGCCTGCAAAAGAGTCAAAGATTCCATTATTGTTCTAATCTTTGCGCTAAGCACCATATACACAACAGAAGGTTTTAAGAACCCGCATCTATGGACATACATCGCTTCCCACCAGACGACCACCACATCGGTAGCTCCTAAAGCCACCAAACAAACGACCACTCAAAGCAAAAGGGGGTATACGAAAGGGGGAAGAGAAGAAAGAACATCGCTGTCTAGTCGTACACATATACGGTAGAAGCTTCCGTAGAACGCGAAGAGAAGAAAAGCAAACACCTCTCAAGTCATGTTTCGTTTCAGACCTCGTAGTAGTAATCCTCGTCCAGCCCCTCCCTGTCCGGGACGGCGCCGGCCCCCGGCGGCGGGCCGTGGTAGACGCTCTCGAGGCGCACGTTGAGCAGGCGGATCTTGAGCCCGTACTCGCTGACCAGCGTCACGAGCTTGTTCGTCTCGGCCGTGATGGGCGCCTGGCTCAGCAGCATGAGCAGGCCGTCGAGCCACTCGGACGCCAGCGAGTGGTTGAGCGGGTGCAGCGTCAGGATGGCCTGCTCCGACGCCTCGCCGCCTCCGCCTGCGCCTCCGCCGGTGCCGGTGCCGCGGGCCGCCCCCGCCGCCGCCTCGTCCGGGTTGGTGTAGCTGAAGATGGTGATCTTGGTCGTCGACCTGGACGGCGGCGGCGGGGCAGCGAGGTCCCTGCTGTTGTTGTTGTTGCGCATCGTCGAGGCCGTCGACTCGCTGCGCGCCTCCTCGTCGCTGGGTGCCGACACGTTGGACACGACGGAGCTGATGGTCGCCAGGTCGACCTTCTCGGTCAGGGCGTCGAGCCCCGGGTCCGGCTGCGCCCTGTCGGCGAAGTCGGCGTAGTGCAGGAAGCGCCGGTTGTGCGAGAGCCTGGCGAAGCGCCAGCCCTTGGGCTCGTAGAGCCGGCGCTTCTGCGGCAGGCTCTCCTGCCGCTGGTGCTGCTGGTGCTGGTCCCGGCGGGGCAGGGGCTTGGAGAACCAGGAGCCGTCCAGGAGGCAGCGGATGCGCTGCTCCTTGACGAACTGCAGGGCCTCGTGCTTGAGCTCCTCGCGCACCTGCTTCAGGTGCGCGCCCCACTGGTCCTCGAAGCTGAGGTCGAGGAGCTCCATCTGCAGCTCCCGCAGCCGCGCGCAGTCGTACTCTTGCAGGTCGTCCTCCACCTCGAGGACGTCCTTGGTCCTGCCGGCCTGGCCGACGACCTCGCCGATGAGAATCCGCACCAGCTCTCCGACCTTGTCAAAGTCGTCCCTCCCCGCGCCGGTGGCCTTCCACAGCCGGAAGAAGGCGTGCAGGCCGGCCGTGTGCAGCCGCGACCACTGCAGGAGCAGCGGGCGGAAGAGCCTGTCGAGATTCTTGGTCCCGTCCAGCCCTTGGTACCCCTTGACGTCCTCGAGCTCCGTCCTGTCGACTTCAAAGTGGTCGTGCAGGATCAGCGTCACGGCGAGACTGGCTCGCGCTATAGGGCAGCGCTCGTTCAGCGGGCTGGCAGACTGCTCGAGCAGGAGCTTCTGGAACCCGTCCTCGTTCTTGCGGACGTAGTCGGTCAGGTCCATCATGCCCAGGAACCCGGCGACCTCAAACTCGTTGGCCGGGCTCTCCGTCTCGAACCCCAGCCGGCGCCACTTCTCCGGGTTGTGCCGCCTGCTGCCCTTCTTGGCCCCCTCGAGCTCGTCTCGCAGCGGGACGGCGTTGGCGTGGTGCCGGTCCGGGGCGCTCGCCAGGTGCAGGCCCTTGAGCGCCCTCCGGTGCTCGGGCCGCTCCAGGTCCACGCGCACGTCCTTCCACCTCCTAAGCAGGATCTTGGTCAGGGACTGGAACTCGAGCAGCGGCTGCGCCATGTCCTGCAGGACGGAGCTCTGCATGAGGTTGTAGACGGCCTTGATCAGGCCCAGGTCCTGCAGGCGCTTGATGAACTTGGACCAGTCCTCGCCGGCGCTCTTGGCCCCCGCCCCATTGGCGGCGCCCGTGTTCTCCTGGGAGACGGCGTCGCGGATGAGGGCGTTGATCAGCATGAGGGCGTTGGCGCAGAGGGCGTGGTCGGCCGACTGCAGCTGCTGGATGACGAACTCGAAGAACTGCGGGTAGACGGCGACGGCGGGCTTGAGGGCGCGGAAGCCAAAGGTGCCGGGGCTCCGCGGGGCGGTCCCTGCGCCGGCGCCGGCGCCGGTCCGCGGCGTGGACTGGCTGTGGCTGACGAGGGCGACGAGGATGCTCATGGCGCCGCGCAGGATGTTGACGAGCGGGTTGGTGACGATGAGCTCGACGATGCGCTCGACCAGGTCGCCGGCGGTCGGGCCCTCGAAGATGTCCCAGCCCATGTCGACCTCGAGCAGGCGGCTGAGGCTCTGCAGGGAGTAGGCGACGGTGTTGCCGCCGGTGGTCATGATGAGGCGGCGCAGGATGACGAGGCCGCCCGAGGAGATGAAGACGTCGGCAAAGGCAGGGTCGTTGATGGAGGACTGCAGCTTGAAGACGGCCATCTTGCGCGCGGCGTCCTCGTCGCTAGCGAGGCGCGACAGCAGCGCGGGGATGTCGGCCTGGTCCATGGCGAGGAGGCCACGGACGGGGGGTAGGAGGGAACGAGCTTCGGACTCGGCAGGGAGGGCGGGATCGGGGAAGCAGTCTAGTTGATTCGTTCAGAGAGCAGTCCCGTGTCAGGCTATAGGTTCAGTCTCTCAAGACTAGACGAGCTCATGAGTAAAAGTGAGAGTCGGTGAGCGGGCGCATTGGGGGGAGTTTGCCTGGGAGAGGGCAAGATAAATTCTGGTACTTAGGTGACTATTGTAGGGCCCTTTTCAGGGGATGGCGGGGGCTTGACCGCTTTGGGACGTGACAGCGCGAAGGTAGATTGAGATTGAGTGAGTGCATTGGCGCGTGGTCAGATGCGATCCGTGCCGGCGCCGCCCCCCGCAGGTGGGGACCCCGGCCGGGTTTCACTCTTCTGCGCTGGCTGGCAGCCATTGCACACATACTCCGTCCAGGTCGACTGGAAACAGTTTGAGGGATGGGGGTGATAGTAGTTGTAGAAAGGTTGGCGATGGCTGGCAGTCTTTCCAACCTGACACTCCTGTCACTCCGGACCCTTGGTAACTCAATGTCTGACCAATGCAGGCAGCAGACTGCAGGTGATCGACTACTGCAAGTCGAGCGAATGAGGAAGCTTCAAGCTAGATCGCCAGCTCTTCCAGTGAATCGACTGGCCCGGCTCGCCCATGTGGTTGGTAAAGTGGTCGCATTGGATCTCTAACACGCGAAATGGTACTCCTAGGTAAGTCTCGCACAGCCATTGTTCATCCGCGGTGGTTGTTGATACCAACCAAGTATGGTTTGGCATAGGTATCCATATATCTGCCCGTAAGCAATGCGATCATTGCATGTCAAATCGGCGTTGGAATGCCAGGTCTGTTGCTCCGTACGCCGAGTGACTCGATGTCTCACAGCGGCTGCGGGGTATTTGCGGTTCCCTCAATTAAGGTTGGAGACAGACGCACTTATCAAAGCTACTCCGTATTATCTCTGTGCTGGCCGAGGCTCCTAGTCTGTGACATGACGCCTCTTTCTCGTTCCAAAGGACACGCTACTCCTTGACACTACTTTCCACTCCGAGTACCTATCAGAAACAAAAGTAAAAGAAGAGAAGGGCTTTTGCATTTTTCTGCGTCAGTGTTTGGTCTGCTCTGTGTTCGAGGCCCGGGCGGATTGTCTGAGCGACAGCCTTGTATGGACCAAGCGAGCTGACATCACCGTCCGAAAAGAAGGATTATCCAGCTTGTCTAAGCCAAACCGCAAACCAGCATCCTCGACCGCAAGGGAGGAAGATCCAACGGCTATGGAATCCAGCGCTGTCCAGACGTACTCGAGCACCAACGCGGCCCAGGTCGAGGCGGCCTGCGCCCTGCACGGCCTGACCCAGGACGAGTTCCGCGTGCTGCACCGCGAGAGCGTCGCCGCCAAGGAGCTGGCCTACTGCCCCTACAGCAAGTTCCAGGTCGGCGCCGCCCTGCTCACCAGGCTCGGCAAGTACATCGCCGGCGCCAACATGGAGAACGCCTCGTACCCGGTCGGCACCTGCGCCGAGCGCGTGGCGTTGGCCCGGGCGCACATGGACGGCCACCGGGACTTCAAGGCCATCGCCGTCGTCACCAACAGCACGCTGCCGGCGAGCCCGTGCGGCATGTGCAGGCAGTTGTCAGTCTCTGTTGCCCTTGCTGTGTCTCCGTGGTGCTCTCACCGTTGTTGTGGTTGCTGATTCTAACGTACCTACCTTTGATTTGACAGCATGCGCGAGTTCTGCGACTTGTCGTTCCCCGTCCTCATGTTCGACGCCAACGGCGACTTTGCCGTCATGAAACTCGGAGAGGTGGGTGCCTGAACTCTATCTAGTAATGTATATCCGGTTACGTGACATGCAGCCTCACTGACGCTGTTTAGCTTTTGCCTATGTCGTTTGGACCTGCCTCATTAGACGTGCCTCGCAAGTCACAGCCATGAGTGCTTTAGCTCTCATCCGTCTTCAGAGCCGCATGTTTGTCGTTCCGGGGTTGGGCTGGCCTATTCTTGGAGTACATGGAGATTGAGATAGTTCAGAAATGCAATTCGAACCGGTTCAAACCCTGTTGTTTGAATTGAAATGTATCCCCCAGTGAGCGGCAGAGAGGGCTCATCTCGTATACGGGGCGGTCCCGCTTCCCTCTAAGGTGTTTGGGCCTTCGATCTGGTGTCGTATCTCCCCCTTTCATGCGCATGACCGAATATCCCTCGCTGAGATTCGAAAGATTATGAAGGTTGAGGCGCAAATGACTAGATAGAGTGCAAAGCTCGTGGAATACGATATGGCTTGAAGTTGACCAATCTTGACTGATGTGGACCTCCTGTTTCCTTTTGGATTCGTTGTTCCAGCTTCGGGATCCGGCTCTTGGAGCTGAGACCCTTGGTTGATACAACGTCGGATCTCGGACTGGTTCCGTTGTAACTCTTTCTGCTCCAAGAAGTGCCATTTCAAGACTGGAGCATGAGCAGCTTGGGGAGGTGTAGTATGCCGCAGCAGGCTATCACATGCAGGTCGTTCCACAATGGCTTTCTAAAAGGGTGCCAGCCACACTGCAGGTCAAGCTTCAAGCTGCAGCTAACAAGTCAGTTAGGTACCTAGGTAGTAGTTGAGGATGCAGGATTGGTGCACCCACTATCAGCGGAGCTGCTGGTGCCGAGAAGCATCTAGGAGCGAGCGGCCGGACTCTGTCCCCAGATGGCGCCTCAATGATCCAGATCCTGCGAATACCCTTGGGAGGAACTACAAACTACAAGCACGGGGGAGACCAGCCCATGTGGACAATACTCCGTGCTGGATGAGGGACGGTGCCAAGCCATTGTTTCCAGTTGTGACTGCTATCTCAAGAGGCGAGCGAGTTTCTCATCCGAACCAGAGACTTGGTGTGTCGCAGCGGCCATGTCTAATAATGGGAAGAATGCTTACAGCCTGCTGCTCGTGGGCGGAGGAGTCGGCTGTCACAGAGGGCGTATACAGGGACGCATGAGACAGAATCCAACAGGAATAGCACGAAATGGGCTCAGATGAGGGGTCTGGCCAGCATGGGGGGTCTCTGGTGTGTGTGTGTGTGTGTGTGTGTCTGCCTGTCTTTGCTGGCCAACACACGATGGCCCTGCAGTTGTGACTGTTGTCGATAGGATCTGGACCCTTCTTCTCTACTTGTACCTCTGATCTTTGTGTTGGCCAGGGTGTTTCCACCCTTTTCCCTCACCATGTATCCGCTGAGCTGTCGGTGAGCGATGCTGTTTGCCTTGACCCTTGACTGGCCGTCTCCCCTGCAGTCTCCGATCGAGTCGGTGAATTCTGGAAGCAGCCGTGTCATTGGGCAAAAGGCTGTAACTAACTAACTACTGCTGTGCCCCCAGGCTAGACACTGGCCCGCGTTGGAGCACACCTCGCCCTTCAAGGCGACCAGTCTAGCGAGCGCCACCCCTGCAACACTCCACAAACCCGCTGGACCCTACCTACTTTACCTAGGTAGCTGCAAGCCCGGGACCGCTAAATTGACTGGCTCCTCATGCCGAATGACTGCCCGCTCTGGAGGTGGATTAGTTTATGCGACTAACTGTGGCCTACCCAAGCACACACACACTCTCTCTCTCTCTCCTCCATTCATCTTGCCTCGCCCATCCCATTCCAAGCCCGCAGCATTCCAGCCAGAGACTGGGTGAAGAGAGCCATCACAACCCGTTGGCAACTGTTTACCTCCTCTTTCTTGCACTCCTGGCCGTCGTCTCCCCCGCTGCTGCCAGTCTGCGGCCCCCACCAATACAAAAAGGTGCAGCGACCGGACACCCGCCGGCTGGTTGTGATCAGATCCTCCTGCACGTTCCCCCCTCCTATTCGGCTGGACCGTTGCTGCACACACCTCCCCATGATCGGCGATTTGGATCTCGACCCTCCCCCAACACCTACATAACGCCCTTCTTCTCCTTCCCTACCGTCGCTGCACCCAGATCTCCAGCCAGTAGCGACGTCCACTCGAACCAGCGACTCGACCCTACTTAGGTAGATCCTCGGTCTTCCCAAGAGTCCGCAGACGAGTTGTCGCCAAGAAGCACCCTATCACGCGTACCGCTTGCCGTCCTTGCTCCTGCGGTCGACACGGTCCCAGACGGCGGGTAATTGCCTGGCCTATATGGCAACCGAATCAAGCCGATAAGTGACGGGAAATTGTAGGCTCATTGCACAACAAAACAAAAAAAAGGAGTCAAAACGCCACCCTCTTTGAAGGAAGCGTTGTTGTTTCTAAAGAACCATTCACAATATAAGCAAGGCGCCTCTCCTGCTGCTGCCAGATGCCTCCGACCCGGGCATCATAGTACGAGGGACTTCTCCAGGAAGACCACAACCTACCTACCTCTTCCAGACGTGTCTGGGGCTCTCATCAGACATGGAGCCCGTGCCCGAAACCGAGAGGATGGAGGAGTTCCGGTCCTCGCCACTCCCCTCCCTCCGGCTGCAGAGCGCGTTCCCCTTCAGCTCTCCCGAGATCGACTCCCCAAGGAAGCCACCTACTGTTCGTCGATCCACAGACCCAATACCTTCTTCCCCCTCCTCGCCCTCGTGGATGACTTCGGCCGGAATGTCCTATCGTCCGCGCACCAGGTCGCCCCTATCTGGATCGCATTCGCGATCGCGCTCTGTCACGAGCCTCGCGCCTCCTATGGCTCGAACTCAGTCTATGCCGGGGGTGAATGGAGCTGGCCACATCCTGTACTCTCCCCAAGGCCGCTCACAGAGCCCTTCCCTATCCCCGAGTCGGATCCGCATCCCGCGAAAGCCGGTCGACGAATCATTCCCGACCTCGCCCACCAGAATGTCGGTTCATGACCCCGACAGGAAGCTGGCGGACCGGAACACATCGCCCGGGCCGGGCATCACGAGCGCTCCGCTGGTCAAGGCACGGCGGCCAGCTTCACCGCTCCACCAGCTAGCACACTCCAGCACCTCGTCGCTTCCTGCAGGTATCCCGACGACGCCCTCGTCGATAGCGTCCTCGCCCTCTTACCGTGCCCTTGACCCGGTTCCCTACACCCTCGCCGCCTCCATGCCTTCCTCATCCGTCCCCTCCACGCCAACGTCGACCAGGTCAAGAAGTCCCAGCATCTCCAGCTTGGAGACTATTCCCGACTCTCCAGACGCCGAGGAGGCGGCCCTCGAGGCAGAGCGCATTGCTCAGCTGAAGGCAGCAGCAGACGCTGCGGACGGCGGAGATGCAAAGGGCAAGGGCAACTTGGAGCTGCCCACCCGCGGACGCACCCTCAGCTTTGGATCGAGGGACAAGCGCAAGCGGTGGAGTGTCTGCGGCGCTGAGAGGCGGCAGGACTTGGATCTGGAGACAATCTGGGAGGACTGATCTCGATATCGATCCCACGCTCTTCTGTTTTTTTTTTCTTTCTCTCTCTTATGACGGAAGCACAACCGGACACTCTGTGCACATCCCTGAGTTCCCGTTTGTGGATTTGGGACTAGGGACGCTGGCATTTCAGGCATTCATATCATCTATGCATCAAGGGCGGCGGCGGGCTATTACTGCTTGGTTGTTTCATGGCTTGGCTTTGCTCTATTCTTGTTCTCGCACTCTCTTCGTCTGTCTCTCTCTCTCTCTCTCTCTCTCTCTCTCTCTCTCTCTCTCTGGCGCGAATGTCGGCGTTCAACGAGCCTGCTTTTGTTTTCCTTTCTTAGTACTTACTCAGATACCCTATTCTGCATTTGCATTTGCATGTACCAGGGGGCCACGAGCAGACAGGAGAGGAGGGGCGATTCTGCGCAGTAGATAGTGTCGTGCATGTCAGCAAGGAGGCTCCCATGTGGCTATCGATCTTTAGCGTGGCAAGCGCCAATACAGGAAACAAATTTATTCCACCTGCATTCTTCTTAAGGCCCCTTCACCTTCAACCTTGACTCCTGTGCCCGAAGGGATCGACCCCCTCTCTCCCCCCAGGACTGAGAGTACCTAGTAGACGCGGCCTACCTACCTCGTAAAAAGCGTTTCGCTGTCGAAGTGGGATTGGCTGTGGGGCGGCGCTTGTTTGCCCTCTGCTGCGACCCTCGATCTCGCAGAGTCCGCCCTTGGCTGATGCGGCGACTAGTCCGCCCCTGATCCTCTCGCATCCCTTGCTGTATTGCCAATTGAGATCCCTTCACAATGTTGTCGTCGTCCAAACTGTCGGGCCCCTGTATAGCAGGGGAACTTATTGATTCCTCAACTCATTTACTACTATCCCTTTTGCGCTGAGAACGCGCGCCGGGCACCGCGCAAAGACAATTGATTGACACGGCATCAACCATGTATAAAGGAACACGGCCGACCGCCGGACAGGATGATGATGATGGACGGAACAAACCACACACACACCAGCTCTTCAACTTCTGGGCGGTCACTCTCTACAACTGCATTCTCTAGCATCTTCTTGTCGACTGAGCACTTCTCCCTCGCTCCTTTCGGCCCTCACACACTCCCTTCTCTCCAACTCATCAACACTACCTAGAGCAAGCAAAGATGAAGTACACTCTGGCTCTAGGCGCTGCTGCGCTCCTCGGCTCCGGCGTCGAGGCCATGCCCAAGGTACGCATCTTCCAAAAGAACGTGATCACACGAGCTATCCGCTGACATGTGAGCTGGGAAACAGTCGAACTTCAACAACCTGAGGGCTCATCGTGAGAGGCACTCTGCCCAAGAGCACAAGCAGCCGGCCCGCCGTGGCTTCATGGACGCCATCCACAACGTCCTCAGGGGTGCTCAGCCCGCCGGTGCCCAGGAGGCCCCCGTCGCCCGCGCCTTCTGGCCGGCCGAGAAGGCCCCCCGCGCGTACGTCGCCAGCGGCAACGTCACCGTCACCGCCACGGGCACGGGCACCGGCGGCGTCTCGACGGCCACCACGACCGGCCTCTACCAGAACACGACCCTGACGCAGAGCTCCGGCCCCACGAGCGCCACCACCACCGCCGACGACCAGGACTGCACGTTCCACTACGTCACGCAGACGCAGACGGTCGACGTCACCGTCACCTTCACCGTCACGGACAGGCCCAACTTCACGGCGCCCAACGGCAACGTGCAGAACACGACGACCACGTCGGGCTACTGGAACTCGACGGCGTCGGCGACCATGACCGACTGCGACGACAACAGCACCACCTCGACCGTCTTGGCCAACAACACGTCGATCCGCACCATCGTCGGGCCGGCCACGACGGGCTACAGCAACGGCACCACGATCGTCCAGACCGCCACGACGACCGACTGCCCCGAGGAAGGGCAGTCCACCGCCGCGGCGACCACCTCGTCGGAGCCGCCCTGCCCCGAGGGCGAGGCCGACGTGACCTCGACGCTGACCGACGGCCGGACCACGACCGTGCGCGTGACCCTGTCGTCGGCCGCCACGACGACCGTCACGCCCACGCTCGACCCGAGCACCACCTCGACCGCCACGGCGACGACCTGCGTCATCGACACGGCCATCGCGCCCGTCGTGACGGCGACGACGACGGCCACGGTCCCGCCGCCCAGCGTCTCGCCGACGCGCACCGTCTGCGAGAGCGACGCGCCCTCGGGCACGCCCGTGCCCGGCGACGCGCACTGCGGCGTCCACGGCAAGCCCGTCGGCGACTACTTTATGGCGCAGTACGTCCAGAACAAGAAGGACGTGCCCGTCACGCTCGAGGGCTGCTACCAGTTCTGCGAGGTAAGTCTTTTTTTTTGCCTCTCCTTCCCCCCCCCCCCCCCCCCCCCCCCCCCCCCCCCCCCCTTTCCCTTCGCACAGAAAAAAAGAAAAAAGAACATCTCTTTTTCTTTTGTTTTCTTTGCTTTTTTTTTTTTTGCTAACGCGCGCAAAAAACAGGCGAGCTTCAAGGAGAACGAGGGCTGCCACTCGTACGAGTTCTACCTCGAGCCGGGCCTCGGCGCCCCGCGCTGCAACCTCTACAGCAGCTCCGTCGCCTTCTCGCTGCGGTCCATCGACAACTACCAGCCCAACATCTGGTACGACCTGAGCTGCGGCGACCCGGAGAGCGAGGAGTGGCGCCACCAGAACGGCGGAGGCGGCAACGGCACCTACACCATGCGCCGGTGATCCCCGAAATGTGCGTGATGACAGAGGCAGCACCACCAGCACCAGCAGCAGCGAAAACCAAAATTTGGGATATTTTTTAATCTGATGACATATGAAAGTGGGAAGGGGGGAGAAGTGCGATCCGGAAGAACCCCGCCCGATATCTCCTAATCCCCCTTATGAAAGCGGCTCTGCGGACCACTTCACTAACCCCCCCCCCTCCCCCTGTCTTTGCATAACATATAGATGGCGTTCTTGGGACGGAATTCTTGGGTAGCTTTTTTTCTTGATCTTTTTTCCCCCAGTCGATAGGAGGATGTCATGCTTCTAGTCTGCTTCCTCTTTTTGTTTGATAGTCTCTACCTCACCTCTATGGGTTCCCGTTTTCTCCTTTGTGAGTAATAATAATACAAATAAATCAACTAGTTCACACCAAACACACCAAACTCCTTGGTCATAACATCGTGACTTTTTTCTTTCCTTTTTCTGGCTTCTCCCGCCGACCTAATCAAAGGGTATCCTCCTCAGCTCTCCCGCCCCGCCCTTCTTCCTCATCTCGGCCGCGGCGGCGATGCTGCTCGGCACCTTGATCCCGCAGCAGTCTCCCCAGCCGACGGCCTGGTGCCGGTGGTTCGTCCCGTGCTCCTCGCACACGACCTCGCCGCCGCCGCCCTCGGCCTCCTCGTCGTCGTCATCGCCCGCCTCCCCTCGGCCCTGGTCCGTCATGCCCTCGGCGGCGGGGACGAGCGAGCCGAACAAAAAGTGCTGCATGACGGGCAGCTTGCGCAGGACCTCGGCGACAAACATGCGGCGCATGCCGCCCTCGATCTTGGCCCACGACCTGGCCGACGAGATGTCGTCGAGCATGGGGCTGTGCCAGCGCAGGCCCTTGACCGTCTTGGTGCGGTTGACAAAGTCGACCTGGCCCAGGTACATGTACTCGCCGCCGTACTGCTCGATGGTGAGCTCCTGGTGGATGGCGAGCGGGGTGATGAAGGCGTGGTGCAGCAGCTGCGAGGCGCCGAAGAGGAAGGGCAGGAACTGGTAGTCGTCGAGGCCCCAGACGCCGTGGGAGCCGGCCGGCTCGAGGTAGTAGGTCGACTGGACGAGGCGCATGACCTCGAGGTAGCGGGTGAAGACGCGCAGGACGAGCGGCGCGAAGTCGGGCCGCGACAGCGCGCGCAGCTGGTACAGGCACAGCAGCCAGACCATAAAGTTGAGCTCGTGGCCCGAGCCGTAGTCGATGCGCAGGCGGTTGCCGAACGAGTGGGCGAGGTAGGTCGCCGCCTCGGCGGCCGCGGCCCCGTCCCCGACCCCGGCGACGCCCAGCCGCGCGTGCCACTCGGGCGCGTGCTCCTTGACCTTGTCGACAAAGTCGCGGAAGCGCTTGTTGCCGAACCGCGAGCCGCCCTGGTCGTCGGGCGGGGACTGCCGGACGAGCTCCTCGGCCTCGTCGAGGACCGACAGGATCGTGCGCACGGGCGCGGACAGGTCGGCCTCGCCGACGGACGAGACGGGCCGGTCGGCGACGGCGTCCGAGAGGCCGAACACCCAGGCCTGCACGAGGCGGAAGGCGGGCGAGGCGAGGAAGAGGTCGTGGTCGCGCGTCGAGAGGATGCGGCGCCGGGGCGTCGTGAAGGTCAGCGTCGAGGCCTCGGGCGGCGGCGGCAGGGCGGGCGTCTCGGGCACGGGCAGCTGGTCGGCCGGGGGGTCGCGGCGGCGGCGGCCAGCACCGCCGCTGCCGCCTCGGGCTTCGAGCTTGGGGAGCAGCCGGTCCTTGAGGTTCGGGATGCCCACGCCCGCAGCGACGGCCGCTGAGGCGGGGCCTGGGGCAGGAGCAGCAGCGCCGCCGTTGGCGATCTGCGATGCCATGAGTTTTGCAAAGGGTCCGGCTTCAGTCGTATCTACTAGAGGGGGGGTGTTGTGAATATAGTTGTGGCTACGTCGAGCATGCGGCAGGTCGTGTATGTTTTGGAGTGTTTGAGGGAGAGTCGGAGGATCAGCTTGGTCAGCTTGGACGCAGTAGGGTCAATGGTCCTTGCATGTGTCAAATGTGGCGGGGAATATTGGAGTGCCTGGCCCAAATATTGGGGTCAAGTACCTACCTAGGTACATACCTTAGTTACCTGTATTAGTGCAGTCAGTGACTATTAATTAGCACTTCCGCCTTGGGCCAGCCACTATCAAATGTTTGATGCTCTGAGCTCACCCATAGAATGATATAATGAGCGATGACAAGCCGAGCAACCCTTCTTCAAGATACCAAATAGTAGCCTGTGTCTTTGCTTCTCCTAAAAGTGAAAGGACCAGTGATTAAGCAGTCCGTAGAAGGCAGCGGGTGAGGAAAGGCAGAAATCTCATGCAAGCCCAGAGAACGAGATCATTCCAGCGGTCACAAGACTTGAGAGATACCTAGAATGAACGAGTGTCTTCCACTTCCAGGGTCTGCGCCCGTATCTACATGCACATGCATGCACAAATGCATCTATCTAGAGTCATTCACGACTCCCAAACCCCTCATGATCTGAATACAGAAGACTTGAAGTTCATACAAAGTCGAGCCAATGACAGATGAGAAGCCCGGGGGTCTTTGCTAGGCAATGTGCACCGTTGAGCGACTCGAAGAAGCTGCGCACATGTTTGAACCAAGGACGTTTCTGGTTCGAGCGCATGTAAGAGCAACTTTTATTTCATGGTGGTGCTCTATGTAAGATCAAGGAGTTAAAGACATAAGGGAAAAAAATTCTGATATTGATACAATCATTTTGCCACTGTTTGAGATTGGATAAAATCGGCAAAAAAATAGTTGCCCATCTGAGATGGGCGAGAGTAGAGGATCTCCCGAGCCGGAATCGAGCCAGCGACCTTTCGGTATGAAATGTAACAATTACAGCCGAACGTGATATCCAACTACACCATCGGGAGTTGTTGTTGAAGAGCACTGACTAATTTAATCCTATGACACTAAACTTGGCGCTAAGGGCGATTAGAACAATTAGTGATTCTGGTGTGCAACCGATAAAAAGCCCCTTTGCTTGTCCTTCAGAGAGCAAACATACAAACGAGGTATCAGCAAAGCGTGGTGCAGAAGCGTAGATAAAGCATTCTTATTGTATGTACTCTATGATAATCAACCTGGACACCATAGGGATCGCTCAAATCCGTCGTCTACAATCGAGTTGCACGAGGATTTTACTCCGTAGGCATCGCAGATCAATAAATGGCCTCATTCTTTGCTGCCCTACAGCAGGAAATCGGAAATTATACTCCACAAGTCACTGGCTTTTGGCTTGTATCTGGCTTTAGGCATGTACGCTCATCCCTTGATTGAAGTGGTCGTATACTGTAGAGAGCTCATTGAGAGACTGGTCCCTCTATCATATCCGTGGTGGGTCGGCGCCTCTGGGCGTTTTCGGTTTTTGGTGTGGTGTCTTGCACCCGACTTTTCATCTTTTTAGCGTCGAATTCTACTCGCCCATCAACTCGTCCATACCCACCTAAATTTCGGGCAGCCTTGTCGACCAAACTTCGAATTCTCGACTGCTCTGCAAACAACACCACGATGACAGTGTCAGCTGCGCCAGAAGCTGTGCTCTCTCACCTGCCGCGAGCAGATGGTTCCGCGACCTACTCCTACGCGGGCTACACAATCACGGCGTCCGCCAACGGCCCCATCGAGGCCCAGAGGCGGGATGAGGATCCTTACAGAGCTCTCGTCGATGTCATCGTACGACCAGCGGCAGGGGTTGGAGGTAAGAGGTTTCGAGTGCTGGTGCATCGTACGTTCAACAGCCGACTGACTATTTTCTCTTTTTCTATATATTTAGGCACTAGGGAACGGCACCTGGAATCCATCTTGGAATCTTCACTTCGCCAGCTCATTCTTGTGAATAGCTTCCCTCGTGGTCTCATCCAGGTCGTACTCCAGATCAGGACCACGCCTGAAAATGAATATGTCAACACGAAACTTGTTCAGGCCCACCTGGTAAGCTGATTCGTCGCCCTATCTCTTTACCGCCCGACTTTCGAGACCTACCAGAAAGCTTAAGCGGTTGCTGATGCGCATTCCAGAACCTACCTGTCATCCCGGCACTGCTACAAACCGCCGTCTTGGCTCTCTTATCAGCAGCCGTCCCCTTGAAAGCTACGGCTACATCTGCCATCGTTGCTGTTCTGGCTCGGGACGATGCCAAGGAGATGATTGTTGATCCCACTCCTCGTCAAATCGAGGAAGCCCTGTCTACTCATGTGCTTGCATTCACCTCTCACGATGATTTGTTGTTAGTTGAGAGCGAAGGAGACTTCTCCATGCAGGAATGGGAGAAGGTCCACGCGGCGGCTCAGACTGTCTGCTGCCGACCAACAAAGAAGGCCGGCGTCGACATGGTGTTGGACGACGAGCAGCATGCTACAAACGATATGCGACAGTTTCTCCGGACCACTATGGAAGGCAAGATTGCCGCCGACCTTCATTGGAAGTGATTCCGTCGCGAGGCTGCGCCGATAAGATGGCAAGGTCGACCTTGCGCCGATGCATCAAGGCATGACCTCGTGCGACCTGAGACCGCCGGAGCAGGTGGCCCATGGGGTACGCATGCCAGCACGGAGCGGCGGATCACGATACTTGGACTGAGCAACGGGCGGTTGGAGAGGATATCACAAAGAGGCACAGCAAGGGTATTTTCACGTCTCGCGCGGCCACGGAGATCTTTCAACGGCTAGGACGGCAGTTATGAAGTCTTGGCATGGCGTGATGATTTCTATTGTCTGTGACAAGTCGTTTGTTACGCGTCGCAGTGCCCACGAGAGTCAAGGTCGAGTCCATTCTGCTCAAACAGCATTGGTGGGTCTGCTGGCACGGTTGTGTCTGGAATTTGTCCACGGCCCATGGCAATAGGTACTTTTGAGGCGCTGTTTCATCACCCTTCTGCCAATGTCAAGGGACCCCCCCAGCAGCGGGCCAGGACGGCGTTGCAGTGGCCAACTCAAGGCCACAGCCCAGAACCACGTGGGGTTTTCATGATCTACACAGATGCTCGGAGCTCACGAATTGGGTGAGCACCGAGCTGTTGCTTGCAGCATGAAGCCGCAGGGTCGAGACTTTTGAGCTCGCAGTGATCGACGATCCACGGCAGATCACAGTTCAGCATCTGCTTGATTAGCGCTAGAGACATGCGAGCTGTGTGATCCGCACGGCCTGCAGAGGAGAGAACTCAATCCAACTATTCCATTCGGACTAGCCAACCGGAGAGCGGTTTGAAGCGACTTGCAAAAGGAGCCTCTGTAGCTGCGCAAACCGACCGGACTGCCTACACAAAATGATTATGCGGCGGAACTGTGATCGCCACCCGTTGTGACTGGAGCATGGAACAGGCAATCAATTTGCTTCTGAATCTTTGTCTTTCCCAAGAGCTGTTGACATCCCAGGGGTGCCCCTTGAGGCTCCGTATGGGAATTCTGCGACGTGAGACAGGGTAGCGCCGCACTAATGCCGACCCTGTTCAGGGGAGACGAAGGCGAGAACCAGCACTCGTTTTCTGAACCCCTAGCGAGCGAGAGTGCCAGGGGCCGCCGTGATGGAACAGGCCTGGACGTAAGAGGAAGTTTTGCCCACCAAGCAACGCGAACAATAGGGTCTTGGTCTCCAAGCAGAGCAAGATCTTAGCGAAGTATTCACTGGGGCTGCAGCCCTTGCCCCTGTCCGTGTCCAGCCCGTCTCCGCCGTGGCGCTCCATGAGACAGCATCTCAGCCTCCAGCCTGCGGCTTGGCTTCTCCTTGGAGAAGCATCGCTAACACCTAGCCTCTGGCAAAGGGACGTAGACCCTGTCTGTAAAGCAGCGTCCTCACAGGATCCTTAAGGTTATCACTCCCGTGCTGGGTATCCGCTCCAGCCACTAGGGTGGATCGTGGCAGGGGCCGCACCGCTGCCGCCCGCCAACGCGCCGGGCTCTTTGACACAAGTTGCAACGGGGAGTTACAGCACGGTTGGACAGGCGGGTCCCCAAACAACCCTCTTTGATGCTTCTCGAGGCCGTCTCTCGTTGACTGCCGGGGGGTCGGTACTGAGCATTACCCCAATTCGGCACAGTTGACCCGAGCTGGGCCCCTTCAAGGACTGGAGAGACCGAAGGGACGATACGTACGGGCGTTGCAGGCGGGCGTCCCTTGCTGTGCTGGAACAGATCAACCAAGAGTCGGGCCCATGCTCGATGTTCCCCGGCTTGCCAGGATCGAGGGAAACGAAATGCAATGCAGCAGGCTCAAGAGCTGCCTTTTTTCCCCTCTTACGGAGTACGGTGCGGGCTTGCTCGATAGCATGGGTCCAACCGCCGCCTCAAGTTTGTTGACACATCCCAGGCGGGAGAGCTCCACGATGATCCCGGAGCTGTTTGCCAGAAGCACTGAATATTAAAACCCGAGTGTTTGGTGATGCATCGAGCACCTCTCCCCTTTCCTTCTCTGGTTCTTCAGTCTTCTTCAATGTTGGCCCGATTCGAAAGGTTCTTTTCTTAATCCTCTTTTCCCTCCTTCTCTTCCTCCCACCGCGGCATTCCCAACCAAGCAGAGCTCTGGTAGTTCTCGTCAATTACCGTTGTCCCTCTTCTTGATCTGCCCGGTTCCTTTTTTTCTCCATCACCGCTCTGTGTGCGTGTGTATCTTGTATTTGGTAATATCATTTTTTTGACCGGCCTTTATCACTTCTTCCTCTCGACTTTCGCTTGACCAAGTTTGGTTCCTCTTCGGCACGGCACCTTTTTCTGTCCAATCAGTCTTGACGACGGTGGTCACACATTCACTCTGGCCTGCAGCTCCATCACAACTGGCTTGCAGCATCACACTCGAGCGCGACTCAATAGACACGCAACGGCCTCTTTTAGACACGGCAGATAATACGCAGATACGATATAGACCGGTTCTACTTTTGATCTTTTCTGGGCAAGCGCACGCACATACTACAGAGATACCCTCTTTTGTTTTTTCTCGTCCGTCACACGCATTCAACCAGTAGAACTCGTTGAACCCGTCGCTCCTCCACAAGGCAAGGCATTACCAGAAGACCTGCACGGCCGATCACACCAGGACGCAGCCAATAGCTCGGTGCTGGGTCACAAACACGCTCTCCGGATATCCCACTCTGATCAGTAAGTCACCGTCTATTTCGAGCCCTGCATGCACCCCAAGAGGGGCCTCGCGCATGTCACAGCACAGAGCTAGCCAGTTCTGTGGTGATATTGATTGCTCGGGCGTCTACGCTGGTAGGATGGTCGATGGGTCCTGAGCGCCGGCACACTGTGGCCGGAGTATGAGGGAGCCATTCGTCATCGCCCAGTCAGTTGCGAGTGCTCTGGGGCACACCCGGAACGAGAAGTCGAGCTAAGTCACTAACATGATGGGATGCAGGAGTATATCTGTTCCCGGCAAACCACCAGTGTGCAACGAAAAAAAGGATTGCGATTATCTTTGCATATCCTATCCTCGTTGTCTATTCCTAATACAGAAAAGCCACCAGCGCAGCGACAGGCCCGGTGACGTCGACAGAGACACACAGTTTGTTCGGAAGCCTACTGTGCGAGCCGAACGCATTCTGTCGTCTTCCCGACAACCCCTCACCCGATAATATCTAGAAGCATCTGCGAAGGCAGACCAAGCCCCGGCCGGGTGCATCTGTCGGTACTCCGTCGAGTCCGGTCATTGGATCTTTGGAAAGGGATTCGCAGCTTGTTTCTGCAGGTGCCGCCACACCTTTTGCCTCTCTGCACCTGTGATCCCTGTCTCACGGTCTCGTGCATCAGTCCTGCATTCCTGATCTTGGAGGGTCCCTCGTCGGCAGGTTTATTAGATTGTAATCTGTGAGCAGTCAAGCCGACCCCGGTCTGAAGCCCACAGGTACGGTACTTTGCAATCGCTGCTGGTTGTCGCCAAATTTAGCCGGTTACAGGTACCCCAGGTCGCTAAACCTGTTCGCTTACAGCACCCTCTACAAGCAACAAGGCCAAGAAACCTCCCCCCCACCACAGCGGTCCAGCCAGCCCAATCGGACCCCGCACAGCGAAAGAAGCGGGAAGAACTTTGCACGACGACACACACGCGAGGAAGTACCTCCGGTCTGTATCTCCCCGCCCTCCCCCCGCGGAAAAGGTACCTCAGCCCAGTCTCTCAACCCGCCGGCGACCCAGCATCAACAAAAATGTCGGGCCAACTCCTGTCTCCTACCGCGATCCACCCTGCTCTCGGAAGCAACGCCAACACCAGCGGCGGCGGTGTTAGCACCTCGAGTCTGACACCCAGTCCCACATCATCTGGTGCTCCGCAAGACTGGCCGCCTCTCCAAAGACCTATTTCCGATTCCGATGGAGTTAATAATAAGACCAGCCATGGCCTCAACCCTCGTCCCAAGACATCTTCCACCGCCCTATCCGAGTACCCGTCCCTCGATGGTTCTCTCCAAGACCTCTCCCTAGAGGACGTCAAGTCTACCCTGCGCAATGCCGATGCGCCCAGCCCTGACTCTGCCTCTCCGCGAGCAGTGACCTCCCAGATTTCTTCAACAACTATCGTGGATCAGCAGCGGAGCTCCTCTGCCGCCCTGCCCCTGTGGCCCCCATCCAACAAGCCGTCGCATACCCTGGGCCACCGCAAGAGCACCCTCTCCGTCGAGTCTGTCCCCCGGCAGACTATTATGAAGGCTTTGGCCTCTGTCGCCCGCAACAACAAACCCGAAGCCCTCTCGCTCAACAGCATGCTCTCCGCCCAAGGCGGCGCCGACAAGCGGCCCGGCACCTCGTCGTCGCAGCGGCTCTGCGATGCGCTCAACGACCTGGCCGCCCGCACACACACGCCGACCACGGCTTTCCCCAGTTTGCAGTCGCCCTGCTTCTACCACAACCGCTTCGACGACGCTGTCGACATTGACAAGGTCCTCGAGGAGATCAAGAACGATGAGTGGATGTCGCATTCCCGCCTCGTGCAGACCGCCACCGGCGTCCGCGAGGTCTCCAAGCAGCTGCAGCGCCGGCCCATCAAGCGCGCCGTGCGCAACGTCATGATTGTCACCAAGGCGCGCGACAACGAGCTTGTCCTGCTCACCCGCGAGTTGACGTCGTGGCTGCTGCGGACCCCCCGCTACGGATCCGACCTCGGCGTCAACGTCTACGTCGACGCCAAGCTGCGCAACTCGAAGCGCTTCGGCGCTGCCAGCATACTAGAAGACAACCCGCGCTTTGAGAACATGCTGCGGTACTGGACTCCCGACCTGTGCTGGAGCCACCCCGAAAAGTTCGACCTGGTGCTTACCCTCGGCGGTGATGGCACCGTCCTCTTCACCTCGTGGCTCTTCCAGCGCATCGTGCCTCCTGTCCTGTCATTCAGCCTGGGCAGCCTTGGCTTCCTGACCACCTTCGAGTTTGAGCGCTATAAGGAGCACCTGAACCGCATTCTCGGCAACGAGGGCATGCGCGTTAACCTCCGCATGCGCTTCACCTGCACCGTCTACCGAGACGGCCAGGCCCAACAGGAGATGGAAGAGGCCGAGCAGTTTGAGGTCCTCAACGAGCTCGTCATCGACCGCGGCCCGTCGCCCTACGTCTCCAACCTGGAGCTCTACGGCGACAACGAGCTGCTCACCGTCGTCCAGGCCGACGGCTGCATCTTCTCGACGCCCACGGGCTCCACGGCCTACTCGCTGTCCGCGGGAGGCTCCCTCGTCCACCCGGACATCCCGGCCATCCTCCTGACGCCCATCTGCCCGCACACGCTGTCCTTCCGGCCCATGGTCCTCTCAGACACGATGCTGCTGCGCGTCTCGGTGCCGCGCAACTCGCGCGCCACCGCGTACTGCGCCTTTGACGGCAAGGGCCGCGTCGAGCTGCGGCAGGGCGACCACGTCACCATCACGGCGTCGCAGTACCCCTTCCCCACCGTCGTGCGCACCGACACCGAGTGGTTCGACTCGGTGTCGCGCACGCTGCGGTGGAACACGCGCGCCGCGACGCAGAAGGGCTTCGACGCCAAGGCTGCTTCTGGTGACTGCCTGCAGGACGAGGAGGAGGCGGCGGCCGAGTGGGACATCGATACCGACTCGGCGTACTACGCCAGCGAGGAGGGCAGCAGCATCAGCGCTAGCCCGCTCAAGAGGCAGATGAGCATGCTGGGGATGTGACGAGACGACAAAGAATCGCAACTGTGGTTGCCACACGCCATACATATCATATGAGATCATGACTTGCACTGAAGATTAAAAAGCATGCAAAGCAAACCGCGCTGTTGTCTGTCACTCCTTTGCTGCTTGACTTACCTACTTGGACATTCTCGAGACAGCGAGAGCGCGAGAGAGACATGGCATTCGATGTGTGTCTTGGGGGCGGGCTATCCGTACCGCACATCAACAGGAGTTTCTTGGGCCGGTCATTTTATGGGATTATTCTCCTTTTTTTCTTTTCTTTTCAAAAATCATCACTGAGCACTGTTGGCTGGGGGGGACTCGACCCTAGATGGGGCGGCTCCCACTCTTCTGCGAAGGATGACTTCTTCCTCTTTTTCCTTTTTTTTTCACCCCTTTTTGGCCCGCTACCTAAACCGCCCTTATACACATACATATACATTATACATATACCATCATCATCAGAATACCACGCTCGGCAGCAGGGGCGAAAGACTCCCCCCCCCTGCCGAGGCTAGACTAGATTCCTTTATACCTATTTTGTCATCACTAGGAAGACCCGTGCCCTCGATTGTGACATGATGCCCTCTCTCTCTGTGTAGTGATGCTGCTCTCGGATTTGAACCCAGGATAATAATAGTTCTCCGGCCAGGCTGGTAAACACACATTCAGTACTTTGAAGTCTACGTCGTGGTAATCACAACCCCCCAAGGTTCGTCACTTTATGCAGACATGTATGTAGAGAAGCAGCAACAAAACGCACTTCTTCAGATATCCCAGTTTTTGATTTTTGCCTTCCAATATGCTTGCTACCTTGCCCGCCAGAAAAGAGCCTCCCAGGATACATCACCAACCAATCTTATGCTCCGCCCAGGGCCAGGAGGAGAAAACACATCCCCTTACTGTACAAGCATCTCGAGTAGATGGCCGCCCTTCCAAAAAACAACAAATAAAACAAGAGACATTGCGCAACACCCAGACAAGTGCAACAGGACAATGACCAACCAATGTTGTCGTCAAACAGTAGTAGCCAGCCACCCAGACAAAAAAAAACGTCCAAACCAGACGGCGAAAAAAGCAACACACAAAACACCGCAAAGCCCCCAAAATAAACTCCCCGCCATCCCATACTATTGTTGCCCAGTTCCCCCCCAAGATCAATGTCCCCCCTCCCCTTCCCCTAACAAAAAAAAAACAAACCAGGCCCCAACCTGATTGCCCATGACTTCTTCGAACATTCACCCGGAAGAGCGGAACGAGTCCTCTTTGATGATGATCTGAGAAAGACGGTGCGGGTTGTGCCGTGAAGCTCCGTCAGTCAAGCTCCGCGTTGTAAAGCTGCAGACGAGGTGGATAGTGTGATCCGACAGCCCAAAGAGAACAAAATCTCCACATTCGAGACTCATCAGACAGAACTCAAAACGGCACAAATCCCGACTCCCCTGCGGCACCTCTCAAACTTCGAGCTGAGGCACGATTATGCGTCGCCACTTTGAACCTCTCCCACAAAGGAGGCGATGGTTGTGACACCGAGAAACTGAGCACGAGGTGGCGAAGGGGGGGCTCTGCCGCAGGGACCATTACCCGTTTCAGACCATCATGCGCGGCACGCCAGCCAATTGGACAGCATCTCATCATCGCCAACGTCCCTGGCTAAGGGACAGCAGGCCAGCGATACAGTCAATGTCGGGCTTCTTGCTGGGGCTGACCTCCTCCCCGCGCATGAACCGCTCCACGTCCTGGTCGCGCGTCGTCGCCGTGCTGCCGCGCGACTCGGCCCCGCCGCCACCGCCGCCATCCTCGAAGATCTCCAGCTGGCCGCCGCCAATGGCCCCCTTGGCTTTCCGGCCCGACGGCGCTGTGCTGGCCCGGCCAGAGAGGAAGGCGGGGCCCTTCTTGTCGTCCAGGACACGGCCCATCGTGCGCCTGGGGTTGCGGGGCGCGGCAGAGGGCAGCGGCCGGCGGCCCGCGTGACGGATGGCCGATGCCACGGAAGGATTGCCGTCTTCGTCGGGGCTCCAGTTTTCCTTGTCCGACTCGTTTCCAGAGGCGGCCAGCAGGGTCGATACCTTGATCTTCTTGGGGTCGCCATCTTCCCTTCCCGGCTCCAGCTCCACTGGCTTCAAGGACGGAGAGTCTCGGGTGATGGCGCTCTGCATGCGCGCGACGCTGCTGTTCGCGCGGCTGAACTTGGATTTCTTGACGCCTGATCGCGCAGATGGTTTCGACGTCGGCGTGTTGCGCTTCGAATTGTTCGGCTGCAGGATCGAGCTAGAGTTGCTCGTGGATCGTATCAGGCTGATAGCCGCGACAGCCGAACCTCGAGACTCATGTTTAGCGTGGATGGACAATTCGTCTTCGTGATTCTCCTTGTCACAGGCACGTTCCCACGCGGTGACATCCCGGGAGCGGCCCCGGCTGAGACGGGGAACCGAGGGCGTCATAATTGGGGTATGGTCCGTGAGCGATCGAATTGGCGGTAATTTGACATTCTCATACGCACTCTGAGTGCGTCGAAGGCCTTGTCGCTGGCTGCCGCGCAGAAATGGGTCCGGGCCAGGACCGAAGAGTTGCGCCAAGTCTGAAAGACGGGATGAGGAAGCACGCGGGGGCGAGGGGGAGCCGCCCAGGCGGATCTCTGCCTTGCCGTCGAGTGAAAGGCTGAGCCGACACTGGCTCTGTGACGATGAGGCGTGCTGGATGCCGGGTAGTAGAGGAGTCGCCGTTGTGGACGGACATGAGGATGGGGCGAAGGAGTCCAGTCTGACGGAGTCGTCATTGTCTTCGCGGGTAAAGGAAGAAGGGGTGGAGAAAGAGCTTCTAGCGTTCCAGCGATTTGAGATGAAACCGACAGAGCTTGGAAATGACTGGGTCAGTTGGAGAGCACGGCCTGGTCCCTGGTCGTGGGGTGAAGGAGTTTGGGAGATGGCTGGGTCAGCAGGCTGAGCCGCAGCTGGCCTTGACTCGGCGGGATAACCACAGGACTTGCCGGGAAGCCACGGTCCAAGATCGGGTGAGGACATCGGAGTGGTGGTTCTTTCTTCTGGCGTGGGCTGGGGCAAGGACTGAGACGAGGAGAGGCCCATGTCCTCGGCGGCTCTCGGTGAGCTGTGCGAGGGTGGATCTGACGACACGACCTGCATGATCCCCGACGTGATGGCCATATATTCCTCGCTGGTCAGCGGGCGCTGTTTCCGCCTGTCATTCTGTCTGCGGTTCTGGAACCAGATCTAGAGTGCAATGCTGGTATTAGTCACATCACTACTCCACGCCGGAACGGACGCGTTTGGGGAAGCAGCCGCATGCAGCGACCGAAGTACTGCAAAGAGGGAAGAAGCATACCTGGACCTCTTTCTCGTTAAGAGAGACTTGCTTCACGATCGCTAGACGCTTGGCCTTGTCTGGTTTCATGTCCTGCCGGTACGCCGTCTCAAGAATATGTTTGTCCTGGGCCCTGCAGCACGGTTGCATGATTAGCATTCCTGGCTCTGGCATATGACAGATCGACTCTACACACGTCGTTCGCTTCCTCTTGCCCTTGGGGTGTCGCTCCGTCTCGGCAGCTTGTGCCGGGAGCGAGGGCGTCGTGTGCTCGGCCGCATGGTGGGAGACACCAGAGCTGTCCGACTTGGCACTACTCGGAGGTGTCGAGAAGTCGCCAGGAGTGTGTTCCTGGGTCGTTGCGGGAGGGGAGGGCGGAGAAGGAGGTAGGGAGTTCATGGTGAGGTTTGGATCGTGTTGCCCTAGCTATGCATTGTACGGGAGAGAGATTCGTGTCTGTTACGGGTCGAGTTTCGCGGTCGTGGCGGCGTGTCTGTTTCGGATGGTAAACAGGCACGGGGGTGGTGGGAGTGAGTATATATCGGAAAGACGGAAGAAGACGCGAAGGGATCCCGGGATAACGAGTGTGATGCTCGGACTGGCAAGAGTTGGAGCGGTTCTAGAGTATCGAGGACAAAAGGTGAGGATCGGGGCAGGAGAGGCGTGAAGCTCGAGGGCGTCTGGGAGGCAGCGTGTAATATACAGGCGTGCTGGGTGGTGTCTCGGCCCCGCTTGAGGAGCGTTACTTGTGTCGTGCCTCAGCGTGTGCCCGCGTTCTGGGGAACCAAGGACCATTGACCAATCCCACGACGCGTAGCCCTTCTCCACTCTTCCCGATCGGGAAAGTTGGTCAATAGAGAGCTTGTTTGTCGGCGAGGAAACTACGACGCCCGTGCTTAATTACCACTCTAGACAGCCATTTGGCTACATACATGCTGCAGATACGCGCTTTTTCCACGAGTACCACTGGAAAAAAAAGAACCCACTGCTAGCCACCGCCTACACCCGAACTCCAGTCTCCCAAAGCGCGTCGCTCGCTCAAGCCCAGCATTTGGATCCTTGTCAACACTCCTCATCCTTCGTCAAGCAATTGATCAATTTAGATCCTGGCTCCTATGTACATTATGTATTTTCAGCACTGCTCAATGCATGGCTCGTGGCACTCTTGCACTCTTGGTTCCGCTCTGGTTCGCGAGAACTTGAATTTCATTATCAGAGCATCCTAGAGCTTGCATGCATGCATGCACAACCACGGTTCAAGGTTGTGTCCACCTGTACTAATTTTATGTATGCACTTACGGTTTAGGTGGCTAACAACCAGGCGTTCAATAATATGCAATTACAGTCCAATATTGAACAAGTCATACTCTCTGTCATAAAGCAAGATATCCTCTGCTTCATCGTCGCCGCTATGGTAGACAATCGTCTCTTCAACCGTAGCAGGCGGCGCAGATTGCACAAGGCCAGTCGCCCGCCTCAGGAACTTTTGTCTTTTCCGACGCGATAGCGCCCTGTTCATGATGAGAGCGATGTACCTTCACCTCATTATGCTCATGCCAACGATACAGTTGAGGGCAGGCCGTGTCATCCTGTCCTTTGGTAGCATTTGGCTTTGGCATATTGGTTTCATTCTCAATCGAGCTCACAATAGCCCCCTTGGAGAATCTAAGCATCTTGAGCGTTTTGTAGGCCCTATGACCATCCTTCTGCTTGCTCCGCCGAGGCTGAGGTGGTTTCCCCTTTGTACCATTATTATTGGCAGAGGCTGAAAAGGTAAAAGGCAACATAAAATACTGGGTCAAGACGGGTGTATCTTGGTAGCCCAAAACTCATGCACTGCTGTATCATACACTTCCATGCACCAAAAGACTCGGGATGCGGTAAACCAATGGAAGATGATGGTCACAATGTTGCCGGAAAGGACCAAAGCAAGAAGACCGCTCAAACGCATTCGACAGGGAAATGAATAAATATCCATTGTCGCAGAGAAATAAATGGTCCTCATTTCAACCGGACCATAAATTTCAACATTATGTCTGTTGTACAACAACATTCACGAATACCTAGGTCCTTGATACTCAAGTGTAGTAGATAGGTTTCTATATCTGATACTGCTGCAACCCGTCGTTTGGTGAAGCACAGACATTCAGTCGAACCTGTCCATCTTTTGTGTCAATGAACAGCGAACCCTGTCAATGCCCGTTGCTGTGGTTGCAAGCTGACAAAGCAAGCAGCCTGACATCATGGTTTGGAGGGCGGGACAAAAAGAGAAATGATTTTGCCCCGCTGTCGAAAACCTGCCGGGTGCCCTCTGGGCTCACCGCCCTTCGGCCGAGTTGACAAGGCCCCGGCAAATAGCATTCAACTGGTCTGGTCTCTTGTGATACTGTCTGTCTGTCTGTCTGTCTGTCTGTCTGTCTGTCACGTCTAGTCGGAATAGTAGAAGGGGAAAGCCAACTTTTTTTTTTTCGCGGTTATGAAGTCTACCTAAAAACTACTTGTGTAGTAAAGACGCCGAGATCTACCTCCAATCGTGAAAATCGTAGGGCGATGCTAGCTCGGATTGGACGACTTGATAGGGCAACAGCCTGCCCATCTAGACTCGCGGGCCAATCTTTCCCCAATAACCTCAGCTAATCGTCCATCGTGACATGCTTGCCCGTACCCCTTCGAGAAAGATGCCGTAATCGTCCATGGGTCGTCATATGTCCTATCCATCCAGCTTCCTTCCCATTAAGAGAGCGCCATAAGTCGTTTACAGGTCATCATCCTCGTCCTCACCGGGGAGGGCGGTCTGGGCAGCCTCGTCCATCTCCTTGCGGTACTGCTCGAGGAGAGCCTCGTCGACCTGGGCGGTGGGCGGGGCAAGGGCAGGTGCAGCGACGAATTCCTACATCATTTTGTTAGTTCGGATCATCTAGGCCAAGACAAATGTGTCGGTGGCGGCGCTTACCAGAGCGGGGTTGCCAACGAGCTTGCGAGCGAGCCAGAGGAAGGGCTTCTCGAAGTTGTAGTTGGACTTGGCCGAGATATCGTAGTACTGCAGGTTCTTCTTGCGGTGGAAGGTGATGGTCTTGGCCTTGACCTTGCGCTCCTTGACATCGACCTTGTTGCCGCAGAGGACGATGGGGATGTTCTCGCAGACACGGACGAGATCGCCTGTTATCTAGGTTTAGCGTTGATGTTGATCGCACTGGGGAGATCGTCAATGGTACGTACGGTGCCAGTTGGGGACGTTCTTGTAGGTAATGCGGGAGGTGACATCGAACATGATGATACCGCACTGGCCGTTGATGTAGTAGCCATCACGCAGACCGCCGAACTTCTCCTGACCAGCCGTGTCCCAGACGTCGAACTGGATCTGACCGAAGTTCTGTGCGCTTCGTTAGCATTGGGTCGCTCGGGGATTCCACCCGGTTCCAAAATGCGGTACTTACTGTGGTGAAGCCAAGAGGGTGAACTTCGACGCCAAGAGTGGCCATGTACTTCTTTTCGAACTCTCCAGTCAAGTGGCGCTTGACGAAGGTGGTCTTGGATGCGTGATAAGTTAGCAAAACGTTTCCCATGATTGGGTAGCAAATGGCAATGGCTCCCGATCGTTGCAATCAGAGTCGGACAACAGCCGGTATCTCGATGCATACCTTTCCAGTACCACCGTCGCCGACAAGCACAAGCTTGAAGGTCGGGACTTGCGAGGCAGCCTCAGCCATGGTTGTGATGGGTATCGAGAAAAAGGCGGAAAGTTGAAGATAACGTGGGTCAGAACTGAAGCGCGGGGTTAGCCTGGTATTTGGGTGATAAGGCCCTTGAAGCACGAGGCAACGGCGGTTCCGGGAGGAGGAAAATGATCCAGAATATCTGGGGGCTGGAATAGTCTGGCTCTTACCTTCGCCGGGGTGGAGGATGCGAAGTTTGGGAGAAGGTTGAAGGGGGGAAAATTCACGATCGGCTGTCTTTTGGATGTTGTTTTGTAGGCGATCTTGCTTGGGGTCTAGGCGAAAATCTCGTTGTTGGGCCTCCTCCCTCTCATCACGTGAGTCTGGTGGGACGTCACTTTTGTCAAAAAAGTCGCTTTTTTTACAGCAGCTTTTAAGCTATGCAGCACGACCAGTGACTACAGTACTCACTGATAAGCTGCTTCCTTGGTCAGTGCCAATACATGAATCACAAGGTAGGCGATTTTGAGGCTGCCATCTAAGAATTGGTCTCGGTATGACCAAGCTGGCCAGGATCCATGTCACTGTACTCCAGTGTTGCCTTCTCAGCACTGACTGCATAGCACAGGATGGCCTAGGTACCTAGTGCAGCCCAATCTGCTCCACTGGCCTTCATCCTAACCAAGTACCCTTGGCCAAATCAGTCAGCCAGCCAGGTTGGATAGCAAAACTCGAGTTGGGCAGAGGAAGACACTGCCCCGAGATCCACTGAAGCCTTAGGGATGTGAAGATAGTTATTTGATGTTCTATTCAGCTCTACAAAGCTAGTCACAGGGTATCATCTCGTATTTCGCCCGAAACCATTGCCCCTTCCGAGCAGCGATAGCTAGGCTTACCGCCGCCACTTGTCAGGCTCTTCCTTATCGCACACACGTTCTCAAGGGCCTACCTGAGGAATTTGTAGCTCTCACACACTCAATCATGTCGCTTGCCGTTCAAAGCGGGAGTATGTGACAGCCCAACATACCACGTCCTCCCCAGTCCCGACGTGGCGTGAGTGTCAATCGAAGCTCCTGCAACGAACCCGAGCCAGCTCCTCTGGCCACTTTAACGAGTATGTTTTGCTGGCGCTGGTTAGCGTGGGCACCGAGCATCGATGGACAACGGCCCGACTCACCCCTTCATTGCCTTGAACGCATTCGGCCAGCTTCTTCAAGTTGTCGTGGTTGCTAGCGTTCACATAACCAAAATTCCGGATCAGGTCGCCAGCTTTCAGGCCCGCGCTGTCCGCAGGACTCCTGGCCACGACACTGTTGACTTTGGCAAAAGGACGCTCCAGAACCTCCAGCACGCTGTCCCGCAGGACGGGGGCGGGCTCGCTCGAGGAGCCAGCTGGCTCGTCAGCAGTGTCTTGAAGACTGGCAAAATGCTCATGAAGGTGTTTCTCGATCCGTGCCATCAAGTCTTTGTAGTCGTTCCTCAGATGTATGATGCGCGCCCTGGTTGTTCGGACTGTGCATAGTTAGAAGAAGAACCCCAGGATGGAAGCGCAAAAGGTCTGCACTTGCTCTGTGCTACATCGATGTCGGCTCTCGGAAACCCATCGCCAGTCAAAAGGCTGGTGTTCATGTCCACCCCATGCTTCTCAACCGTCAGAGCTCCAGGTCACGACGGATAGGCATGAATGAATTGACGCACCGAATCAAGAACGCCGCTGAGAGCCCGAAGCTCGGCTTCCATGTCGTCCTTCTTTCGCTGAAGCTCCGCAAATGACAGCTGCCCCGCATTGCCGTTGGTGATGGGGGCAGACGTCGGTCCCGATGGGACGGTGGGTGCATGTAGGTTACTCATCCTCAGCGGGAGGCCCATAATCGTCCTGACATTCGATCCGACAAGGTCATGTTCCCACGGCGATGATGCGAGAGAGGGCCGTGAAGCTGGAGCGAATCGAGGTTCCTAGTCTGCAACCTGGGGTGGCTGCCTTCTGATTGCTCCCAATTCATCACGTGCCGGCAGACGCTAAGGTCTCAGTGGAATCCATTCATATCTTTGGCACTCCATCACCACCTCCCAAGTACAAGCCTCTTCTCAATAACATGTCAACAATTCATAATCAAGAGTTTCCAACCAACTCATCACATGACCTCTGATCGAGGGCATTCGCCCTTTCATTTCGGAAAGGTCGTATGTTGGCCAATAGCAGAAGTGCCGCATCACTTCTGGATTTGAGATTGCTAGCATAGCCAAAACTGGACATGTTAAACCTTCGTCAGGGAGAACCGTTTAACAACTTGAAGACCCAAAATCGTCATGGGGTTTTTGGGCTATGGTGGCCATGGTAAAAGAGGTATCTCTGGCAGGACCTGGACGTGATTAAGGTTATTGACAAGGATCCATGGATTAAAGTTAGTTCAGGGTTTGGGGGACGGTTACGGTGTTTGCTAGTGGTGGTATTAGTTAGACACAGCTGGAGTCATTTTCGCCAGGGAGTACCTTACTGCGTCTAGCAGCAAACACGCACTCCGCCGAACTCGCACCTCTATTCTTCTTGAAGGTGCGGAGAAGCTTGCGAAATTCATCCGCGCCTTCGCAACGTCGTAAGAGCATAGTCGAAGACATACCTGCTGGCACTGACCTCAGGAAAAAAGAAATAGTCTAGGCAGAAAGAAAGCTCTTACTTCCCTTGTTTGGTGTAGGCCAAATGACTGAGAGGAAGCCATACAGCAACCTCACAAATGTCTCGGTCACGACACACGCACTATTACTGTGACGCGTTCCATGCTGGTGGCGGACGTGGTAGCTCAGTATCGACAACAGCTCCTGGCACTACCTACCTAAGCTACCCTACACGTAGTGCTTCCCTCCAGCACAGGCGGGCGGGAGCTAAGCTCAGATGTGGAACCATCTAGGTACACATGTAGGAGTTGATAATGTCTTGCAGGGTGGCCGGGACGTAATTGTCCTGGATTCAAGTTGCACCTGTAGCAGAGAATAGGAAGCTTGACACCATGTGCAATCTCTCCATGCGCACCTTCATGCCAATATTCTCAATATCTCGTTTCGTATTAAAACCCAGGAGCTTTGTGCTGGTAAATCAGTTCCACCAAAGCCAAGCTTCCAAGGAAAGTGGTCAGGAGGTGCTATTACCTCGCGCTTCGGGATGTCTTGGCCCACCTGCCATCGCACCTTCCTGGAAGGACTACAAGAGTGAAGATGTTGAGACCAGACGCGTCTCCGGTTTTCATTACACTCGGCAAAAGTCGTATGCTGGTCCCGCTGTACGATCACGGATCTTGGCCTGCTTCTTCTCTTATCAACGTACTTTATGTCTTGACTTCCCTTGCGGATAGACTCCTGGCCGGGTCGAACGTTTTGGTCTCTTGGAATGTGAATATTTGAGTCTTCTGGTTTTGGATTCTATTGTCATTATCATGTCACTCTCAGATGCAAGCTCTCGGAGCTCTCGATCGGCGGCGTCCTCCCTCCGCATCTTGCGTATGGCGGACAATACTGACACGAAGCTACCCATGCTTGACAATCAAAGCGATCTTCAATCGATAACTCAATCGTCATGTCTCAATGGCGGCGAGGTCACGCCAACACATCCAGCGATCCATCCAGCAGACCTTCGAACGTAGGATGTTCTGAATGGTTTGGCTGCTGGTACAGCGACTGTTTACAATCGTTCCTTGTCAGAAGCAGGAGATTGGATGGAGTGGGCTCCAGAGGGCGCAACGCCGTTGAAGGCGACGAAAGTTCCTTTCCAGAAATGGATCCAGTCTTTGCATCGACGCCATCGCGGAAGACATAAAGTGCTTACACGCTTTGAAGGCGGAAGAGGGATCTCGTTACAAGTTCTGGATCCAGCTCACGACCCAGGCTCGCAGTTTCCCCTATCCGGTCACCACAGACAATCATCATCTGGGTCTTCTTCACAATATGTGACCGGGGTCAGGCCTGCAAGCATGAGCCTCGCTAGTACCAGCATCATAGGTCGAACCCGTCGTGATATGCTACGGTCTACGGCCGGCGTTACAAAGGTCGACCGCAGCACGAGGACTTCGATATCTGTCGGTCGGTTTTCCGAGGACGGTTTCATTACGGATCGCCAACCTCCCCCAGATCCAGCGGTTATATACAGAGCGCATCAACGAATGCGGATCTTGGAAGAACTTGTTGCTACCGAAGAAGGCTACATCGGAGACATGCGATTCCTCGCAAATGTCAGTGGCGTCCCATCAGATGCTGTTCGGACTTTGTTTTAACCCCATTTCAGGCATACGTGACGACCTTGGCATCCATGCCAACACTCCCGGGCGGCCTTCGCACCTCCATCAATCGCAACATCATGGACCTCATCGAGCTTCACGAGGAGATACTTGGCGAGCTGCATCGAGCGATCCCCCACTCTGAGTACTCACAGACCACCGATTCCGAGTCTGCACCTATACATGTTGGACAACCAAGCCACCACAGATGGGGGGGCAGTGTCGATGGTGAGCCGGAGCATCAAAGAAAGAGTCTTCGGCCTCAGGACACCACAGGAATGACTGCCGACCCTCAAGTGGCTGCAACTGTTGCGAGGATCTTCATACACAAAGTACGTCAAAAGCCCGCCCGATCCCACACATTCCACTGATATATCGACCCTGTTGATAGATGAATCGCTTTTTCCTGTACGAAGAGTATGGTGCGAAATATGAATTAATGATCAGGGATATTTCTCTCGCTCGGCAAACTTTACCTCGTTGGGACAGGTGCCAAAGAGGCCTCGAGGCTCTGGCCTCATCGCTGAGCGCTGCCAACGCTCCGGCCGACCAGCAGAAAAAGTCCCTTACGATTAGAGATCTGTTGGTTAAGGTACGTAGCTCGTGGCCGCACTGCTCTCGGTGTGCTGACCGTGTTCAAGCCTATACAACGTGTGTGTCGATATCCTCTTCTCTTTTCCGAACTCCTGAAACACACCCCCGTCTGCGATTGCCCAAGTTCTCATATGGACGTGGAACATACTTTGGTGCGCCTGCGAGAAACTACCAAGGAGATAAATCGTGCTGCGGATGATAGCCAGGTCAGGTCTACTGTGGAGAGAACATGGCTTCTGCAGGACCGCCTGAGCTTTGCCAACCAGGTATGCAGTGCGCTGCAAGGAAACCGCTCTCCTGTCTAACTTCTCCCAGAAATTGGATGCCATGTCAAGAAGTCGAATACGTTCCTTGGGACACATCCGCCTTTGCGGCGTTCTTCATGTCTGCTGGCAGACCAGAGATAGTGTCACGGGTAGTTATATGATCTGCCTTCTCTACCGATGCCACCTTTGCATTGCTACGGCTGGTCGAGCCGATAGTATGTACGCAATACAGGCTTGTATACCCTTGAATAATATCAAGGTCGAAGAGCCTGATAATGGACGAGGTATGTACAGTGAATACGATGCCTTTCCTGCACCCGGGCTCTGCCGCAAGACGATTCGATTGACACATGCCAAAGGTCTGCAGTGTCATACGGCGCGCTATTCCTGGAAGCTTGTTTTCGAAAGCGACCACCAGCTGTACGAGCTGATTATGTCGGCTTGTAGCCAAAAGGAGATGATGCATTGGCGAACCAGACTGGACAATTCAACACCTGTCAATGGGCAACATCAGTCCCAAACCTGTCCCATCGGGTCATTGGCACTCGACATTAAGTCATTGGGATTTGTGTATAGGAAGCCAGGTAGCCTCACTTTGATCCAATTATCTCTGAGATTGTCTAACCATCTCCAGGAACGATGACTCGGAGGATGTCGATACACAGGGCGACTACATTGGGACCAAAGTCGCCTCTTTACCAAGTCATCATCAAAAACACCAGCAACCACAAAGAATCGACGGGCACAAGCACCAAATCTCCTATCAACCGCTCACACTCTCTGCTGACTACTACGGCCCGTATCCCTGTTCTGGCACCAGCCAGAGGCGAGCGAGCGCGACTCGAAGCTCTGGTTTCTGATGTATGGACCAAAGAGATCTTACCTTTTCCTGGGATTATGGAACGATCGCGAAGCGAGCGTCCTGCCAGGACTTCAGCTTCGTCAATGATCCGGAAACTGAGTGTGGCCAGCATTGCTAGCACATTCTCGCGGCGTTCGAGCAGCTTTTCCAGCATGCATGTTGCAGGTACTGCTGATCAGCTTGACGACAATGAGTCGACAACGACACTAGAGCAAGATATCGAGGGTCATGCGGTCGAGAACGAGGCCAGCCCTGGGGAATGGTCGAAGTCGTGTTTGTCAGTCATCACGGACGAAGCAGACAAGCGTAGCATTACTCCTCCTCATGGTACAATCATCGACGAAGCCAAAGAAATCGAAAGAACTTCCTCTCGAGTCGAAGGACGACTGCGGACAGCTGTTCAGTCTATGGCAAGTCTGAACACTTGTCGTCCAACGAGTCGGCAAGTGACTCAAACATCAAGGGTGACTGCTGCCAACTCTATGCAAGAGAGCGCGAACACACCCTTTAGCGACAGCTGTGCTGCGTCACCCGTTAAGCCGGTTAGCAAGTGGACCAAGATTGGGAGTCTGCACCGTGGCGTGTCTGTTCAAGGGATCCGAAGCTTGTTTCGATAAACGGCGGAAAGCTCAACTTGGCGTTCCAGCCTCGTTTCGCTTGGGACCAGAGCACTCCCCTGTCCGAGTCGTGTTCTCGACGCGCCGAATATTCATATCATGTTGGCTGCTATGGCGAGGCCCCCTATCACTACCTTGAAAGATTGGGGTGTGTAGTTGGATTGTCTGTAGATACTGGCTCAAGAAAATACATTCATTCATATAATGCGACCCTCAGGAATCCAAGCAAATGTGAAAAACCATCGCGTTGGCAGTGTCGTCTCATGAGAACTTCAGCTAAGACCAGGACCGTTCACCCCACTGCACTGTAGTCGTAGATATAGCACTGCACTTGCTGTAGGTACTTCAAGCTCAAAACTCAAGATACATGCTAAGAAACGTGTTCTCTTCTAGCTTATCGATGCCAGCAAGGCAACGGACATCCCCAGATTGTTTACCGTGAGCCTCATGTCATGAACAGTACCTACACCCATGGCTACAGTGGCTCGTAGGAAAGGTGTGACGTAAGATGAGCTGCAGGAACCACCAAGGAATCTTGGGAGCACCAGGACCCGCTGAACCAGCCCCGAAGAGTACCTACTTGTACCTATGTGGCCTGTATTTGCTCTAGTAGCCCCACCCTCAAATGCTACTGGCACCACTTTACAGCGGCTTAGGTGCCGCCGTGCCGCCCCGCTCAAACTGCCAGCTTCCACCTTCGAAGCCATTCGAAAGGTCGTGTGCCCCGCGGTGCCTATGACGTATGCATCACGAGCGTACCTAGCCCATTACGCAGCGCCATGCCAGACACAGAGAATCGCAGTGCCATGGTGTGACGATCTTGCCCAGCCGACCAATTGATACAGGTGCAAACAAGCTGGTACTCGCTAGTAGGCAGGTACGGGAATTCTTCCAGACAGAGCTTTAAATTCCCCATCCGTGGAGCTGCTGGAGCTTTAAAACCTTCTTGCCTCCCTCACCTTCTTCCATCCTCTCTCCATCATCATATCATCCATCACTCACACATCCTCAGAGTAAAGAACGCCAACACTCACGATTCTCCATTCCTACCCACAAATCAATCCCCTTCTTCTTCAGAATCAACAACCAGAAACCCTTTCCCCATAACCACAATCGCAATGGCTCGCGGCGAGACTGTCCAGAACAAGGCTCACTACAAGGGCAAGGAGGACGACTTCCTCGTCTTTATTGACGACATGGAGGCCTTCAATAAGTGGAAGACCGACAAGTCTGTCCCCATGGCTCACTTCATCTCCTCCTTCAAGATCTTCGTCACCCACAAGTAAGTCTTGAATCTTTGCTCTCATGGAGTACCCATTGCATCATCCGGGTTGGATGGATTGGTTCTTGTCTGCCCACACTCTCTCGCAGCCCTCATCATTGACGGGGTACTGCGTGCATGCCCTTCACCGTTTGATTGACGGCTCTGACCTTACCAATTCGTACCTTCCCCGTCTGGTGATTCCTTCAATGAATGTGTGAGCGCTGACCTCTTTGATCACAGGCAAGGTGCACAGGGTACGTATGATACCGCCTCAAAGTCGACCCTGGACAACGAGTTCGGCACCCACAACGACGAGGACGTCATCAAGCAGATCCTGGAGAAGGGAACGGTCCAGGAGTCAGAGGTAAGCTGTTCCTTCCCAACTATCATCATACGATGGTCGTTTGGGCAATTAGTCGTCGCCAAGCCATGGAGCATCCACTAATGACCAACCTCACGACACAGATGCCTGAGCGCCAAGGCAACACGAACGACTCGTTCGGTGCGAGGGCCGCCCATTAGGAAGGCCGTTAGAGGAACCTTCGCAGCAGACATTCGTGGAAGGCAAGCGCGCTGCCGCTGCTGGCAGCTCGTGTCCATGGGAAAACACCGGCGTCATGCACGCAGAGGTCGGCCATGATTTGATTGCGGGCCGCATGGGAATTTGGAGTTTACTGCGTTGATCTTTGAACAGGAACAGGGAGATAGCGCATCTGGAACGAGGGGGGATCTCTGTAGGCCGATGGCTCTGGTGTCATTTGCTGCAGCCTGCAAGAGACGCTCTGAGCTAGCGAGCTTGGTCATTTCTGTGCCATACAGCAGCGTAGCTGTCAAAGCGATTTCTTTTCCCGCTCGAATGCTGTCGTTTCTGGGTACACCCTGTGTGACTATTATGTTTATGTGGAAATGACTGTTGTGATCAGTTTTGACGTTTTTTAAATGTGGCATCCTGGTGGTCACCCGAGGAGACTTGGCAACTCGACCTTCTGGAGCCCCATCTCAAATGGAGAAGCGATCTACCATTCCAGAATCTCCCCCGACTTGGCTGAAACGAAACTACACACTTACAACGCTCTGTAACAAGACTGTTGCGGTGTGGTGTGGTGCATGTTTACTGCAAAGTCTACCAAGTGTCGCTGAGAATCACAGGCGAATCTGGTCAACCCGGGTCCGTACGCTGGAAGATCGATTTTCTCATCAGAATGAGACCAGATTATTAGTCCTACCCCCTATGTTGGTCCTGTTCATAGCCATTTCGGAAGGATCGTGGGCCAAGGGAAATAGGTGGTTTGACTTCAGACATCGAGTATTAGATATCCTACTTCCACTATGCTATTCTCAATCATCCACTGCTTTCTTCACATCCCCCGTCTGTCTGTATATATGGGAAACCCCGGGGCAACACGTAAATGGTTGTTTGCCGAGGGCCCCTATTGATGGTACACTTCCTCCCCTCTCCCATCAGATCCTCACCCTGAAAGAAACATAAAAACCGACTTGGAAAACTGACACCTCCTCGACTCCCTCCGGCCTCTAACCCCACTCCTTGCTTCTCATAAGTAAGAAACGGATGAAGCAAGCCCGTACCCACCACCAAAAAGGAAGCGGATGCTGTGAGAGATTGCTCTCGCCTCTTCTCTCTTTCTCCTTTGGATATATGAATTTCGCCGCAGCATCGAGGCCTGTCTCTGTGTGTGCTGAATATTGGAATACAAGGCTATAGATTGTTGTAAAAGGATATGGTCTTTGACCGCTTGTCTAGAAACAGAAAAATGGAAAGGCGTGTATGTATGCGTGTTGCGCGCTGTATGTACACGGTTGATTTGATTGATTGATCGATAGATCGGTCGGTCGGTCGGTCGAGTGGGTGAAGACTGCGATGATCGGGCACAAGAGGGCGAAGGCTTCTGAGCAGAGGCGAGGTGGGCGTCATTTTCTGAACGACTAAGCCCGGCCACGTCCTCCTCTCTGTGGGAGCGTCCATGGCTTCGCACAAACGATCTAAATCCAGAGTTTGTCAGTACTGAGCGCCTCCATCAAGAACCCTCCACAGACAAAGCGCAAAACGTACCTCTCCCTCGCTGTAGGCCCAAAAGTAGGCGATCATGCCGACCAGATAGTAGATCGCGGCGTTGGTGCCCTGGTAGATCAACGCGGCAGCGAGAGCAGCCAGGGGGAGCAGAGCCAAGCGCATCTCGATGCTGCGATGGATGCTCGAGCCGGCGATCAGGCCCAGCGGCCACTCCCACGCCAGAAGCAGCAGTCCCATGACCAGATTGATGACCTGCAATATCGGCAGCGGCTTCACTGCCGGGTTGAGCGTCTTGGTCAAGAAGTCGAAAAAGATCTTGGGCCAGAAGAAGCTCTCGAGGGCGGCGGCAACTTGGTCTAGAACATGGTACGGTTAGTCCTCGCAGTCCAGTGTGCGATTTGCAAAGGGGGTTTTCTACTCACAAGCTGCGGCGGAGAGGACAACCAACCGCGCCCAGTGGTTCTTGATAAGTCTACCCATGGTGAAATCCTGCTCTCACAAAACCGGTGGCTTCCTCGAATTTCCTGGCTCTTGGTCCTATAACTCTTTCCAGCAGCTGCCCTTTTTTCGCTGTCCTAGCTCTTTCGATGTCCCTGCACTTTGCTTCGGTGGTGATTCCAGAACCCAAAACTTTCCAATCAAGATCCAAAGCGTCAAGCCGTGCGAAAGAAGGGAACGAGGCGGAATAAGGTCCTCTCTCAAAGAAGGAAGCGGTTACCGAAAAGGGCCGAAGCAAGTCGAAGGAGTCGAAAGGAAAGCAGGTATCCGGACCCGCTGGTAAACAAACAAAAACTGTCGATATGAAAGAAGGCTATCGACAAGCGAGTGCACAGCGCTGGCGAGCCGAAGAGGGAAGAAGAGAGGAAGCAGAGCCAAGAGGCCGCGGCCGGCGGGACCCCAGAGGACTATATTGGTGACTGGAGGGAAGGGGAGGCGGTACTTGCCCAGAGGGCAGCACCCGGGGGCGAGGTCGTGTATCAGACGAGTTTCTGGCAGCCGGGGCCCACGTCTGATGATTAGAGTTGGGGACTGGGATGATATCTCTGGAGATCCACGTTCGAGCTATCCGATCTATGATGACAGCGGGCATCCGAGCGGCATGACCTGTTTGAAAAACCCTGAGAGTGGATGCTCGAGGCTGAATGCGGTCCTCGATCTAGAGGCTGCTCCGCAGCAATGGTAAGGACCAGCGAGTTTCCGAGGTCAAGACGAGACGATAGTGTGTACAGAGGTCATGGAGAGACTCGAGCGTGGCAAGGGACCACCGACAGAATGGAGTATGGCGTTCAAGGGCTGGGCTCGGTTGAGGATTTCAGGAGCGCAGTCGCATTGATGAGTGTTTGAAGATCATACAAGACGAGGGTTGTCAAGGAGGCCGATGTGAGGCACTGGACCCATCCAGCATATAAGAGAATGCTGTCTGATCTCCAAGCGGAGCGGGAGGCATGCAAGTTTAAGAAGCGACATGGGAGGGAAGCGGGGCCTACGGGCATGGTCTAAGACGACCAAGAACTGCGTGTGCTTGGGATCGTTGTCCCCAAGGATGTCAAGGCCTTGCCTGCTTGCTTGTGTGGGCCGAGACGAGGCGGGTCATGGCATGGATGGCAGATGGAAGCCGAACGTGGGCAAAAAGAAAAAGGAAAGCAGCACAACGGAGGTGTGGCTGGACCTGGTTGGGAAGAGTCGCAGAACCGTCTCGCCAGCCATGGCCGAGACCGCCAACTCCCCTCAGAATGCTTGCACTTGCAGCCATTCAATCCGCCATGCGCGCTAACCAGGCGGCATGCGATGTGCATCTGCGTGCGTGGTTCGGCAGCAATCCCAGGGCCGGCCTGTTATGATGTCCCGCAGCAAAGCCCGACAATGCCATATGATCCGAATGCCTCCTCCTCCCTGAGGCCCTTTCCTTGGGCAAGACGGGAGGGGCTAGGGCGGTAAACCAGCTCGTACCCAAGGCTGCGCAATCTCGCGGAGTCGCAGCGAGGGCATGCTGTGGCCCAATAGACGATACCTCATGGCTGCGGAGCAACCCAACCGCCCCGGGAAGATGCGGCGGGAACTGCACAGGACAGCACAGACGAGTACGGCCGCCATTGGGCCATTGGAGCACCATCTCGTCGCCAGACAGACAGCGAGGTGGGAGGTGGGAGGTGGTGGGTTGGAAAAAGGTACAACGAACCAGGGCAAGAGTGTCGAGAATAGCAACCATGTCGGTGGTCTGTGTGATTGGAGAGTCTGGGCGGTTACAGGTCTGGGCAGAGCCAATCCTAGGCCCTCGCTTCGCATAGCTGCTTCACCACTTGCAGCAGAACGGCAGGGGTCCCCCAGCCACGGCGACAAGGTTGGCCACCCTTCAAACACTAACACACCCCGGACTAACTACAGCAGGTAGTTAGGTACCTCTAGCACTCGCACCACTCACCTCACACCGCTGCTGTCCCCAGCTGGTCAACCATCTGCTCAACACGATGGCAATCTCGCACTATGATCTTTTGTTATTTCATCCATCTGCCAATGAGGCTCAAAGAGCCTCAGATATACCCAAAATGGAAACATGCTCCAAGTAATTGGCATCGCCCAGGCACTCCGGACGGAGGCTAGCCAGGATCGGTAACCAATCCTCGCCGAGTTCTTGATATTTGAAGTCCAACTCGCACCAGGTTATTTCGACCTCATCTCCACCAACATTCAACGTCTTGGCTTCATCTATTCCAACATGTGTAGCGTGGCTAACATCAGACTAATAATCGCCCAGTAGCGAGTCAACCCTATCAGGCTGTAGGGTCATTCAGTCACATGGCGTTATGAGAGATGCTCCCCTGCCTCAGCAAGCGCTTTTTCTCATTACACGGCGTTGAAAAGTCGTGCTCTCGTGAGACCGATTCAAGCAAGATCCCGCACGCAAATCAATCTACGAGGGACGACGCCAAATGCCTCGTGTCCAATGCCTTTACCGCTTTGGCTTATTCGAGACGGATGATCGGGCATTCTGCGACGGGAACCAGCACAGCCTGCTATGCTGAAGCTGGAGCTGTTTGAGCTGTCTTCCTTCTTCTCCGCAAGAGCCGCCGACAGGGGTCTCGTGATGGTGTGGTGCAGGGTTCAGGGCGCTTTGGCTCCCGCTCGCAGTTCGCATGGCTCTTTGTGCGTGCCGTCGCCGTCCGAGCGATGGACGATGGACTTGTACCAACTTCGTAGGTATCATTTGTGCGACTTGCGTAAACGCTTTTGAGCAAGCCACAATCCTACCATGAGCTACGAAAGTAAAAGATCATTTGCCTGAAATATATCTATAGAAACTCTTGCTTGGCCATCTCGATAGTTCTCTGCCAAGCTGCCAACGGTCCTATTGAAAATACCAAGCGGCTTCATCCATTTTTGGATGCCTGCACAAGTCCCCAAGGCGCGAGAATGCATGTCCTCGAGCCGAGTATCACAAAAGTTGACGCTGTCTTGACGCTGTGGTGCTGTGCCTACATTTGCATTAGCTCTGGTCAGCACACGGGTTATGCGGCTTCACGATTGCACAAAATCAATGTGATCACATCTCTGTCATCCATATCTTGGGCTCATAAATGTGTGGTGACGAAGTGAACGACACCTTCGGGTGGCGGCAAGCAATCTGGTTGCTTTGCTAGAGGAGGTCCGTATTAGCCTGTTCACATCAAGCGATTGTGCATATGCAGATCTGGATGGGGGGAAGCCCGCCGCCTCTGCAGTGTCCATTGACTCGGCACGGCAATATTGGCTCGTCGGCGGTTCCACGGCGACGCTCATTGGCCCGGCCCGTGTAAGTGCAACGATGTGGCGGGCTAGCGCCCGGGCTTCACCTGCGGGACCCGCCAATCGCCCAGCCCCGTCACCGGTTTTCTGCTGCGTACTGGCTCGACTCGGTGTCTATCACGTTCCGGCCCCCGCGCTCGTCCTTCTCTTCTTCTCTTGTGATGGCTGACAAAGGTGGGCTCGATGATCACACGTGCCCTCGACTGTGGGGGCCGTTCGCCTTGCGATCCATGGATTCCAGAGTCTTGCCTTGTTTGGACGCAATATCACAGAACCTCTTCTCCACACAGGTTCACCACGGTGCATTGCCTTCAAGAGTCTAGTCGGTCTCCTCACCGACTTGCATGATGCTACCAGCCTCTGCCGAGAGTTGCTAAGTAAGTAGCTACGGTCTCAATCACAGCACTAATGTCCACGAGCATTTTATGCCGACATGCTCCGGCGTGACCTCTCCAACTCGATCCACTTGTCACGATCAAAAAATCCCCGTGTAGCACAAGCACCAAGGACTTGGACTTGGGAGGTGACATGATTTCCCCTCACCATACTCGGCAGTCACGTCAGGACATCTCGCTCTCATACCACCGAGTGTTCATGCAACCAGAAAGAAATCACATCCTCGGCATCGCGCTCGTCCAGCCGCTCCCTGAGAACCCTTTGCCCATCACTTGTGCTGGCCTTTGATGCTAAATCCCTGACTCCGTCTGTGATGTCACTGAGAATATGCACCTGTCCCTCCGGCAGTGGTGGGTTGACCGAGCAGTACGGCAGAAGTAGTTGTGCCGAACCCGGCCCACGGCGAAAGGCTGACTGCGGATGTCGCGCGGCTCGATCATGGAGCTCCTTGCAAAATGCTATAACCGTAGCCGGCAGACAGCCAATAGAGGTGAATGGTAGGATCGGCATGTCGAAATGTTCCATTGTGCTTCGGGTTGTCAGTGTGGAATGCAAGCGGTATCTTTGGGCTGCTGGCTTGGTAGCCAAGCTGCGCACTCACCTGCCCTGGAACTCTATCAACGATCGGGTACCGCGGGACGATCCGTTCCCGTTGTCTTCGACGAGGAATAGAACGGCTACGTTGGCGCCTCCGTCGAGATGATAAAGACGGTCAAGCCGCTTTTCGGTATCTGGCTGGTTCATCTCGGCACTTGTTACGATGATGAAGCGGAAGGACTGTTGAGTACCCGCGTTGCTCTTTCCCAAAGGCACGGCGAGATCATGCGTCTCCAATCTGCTCTCTAATATCAAGGTGAGCGTCGTTCTACTTGTCAAAAAAGGGTCGTCTCACACCTCTCCATTTCGGTGTCGTGCCACTGCGTAGCAATACATCAGGCACCGAGGACAGTTCCGGTCGTTTGCGGAGACTGCAGCAGAACAACGCATTCATGATGAGATGAGTCCATACAAGAGATATGTAGGTGAACGTAGCATTGCCACAAATAGTCTATTTCATGAGTGGTGTGTCTATTGCGTGGAATTTTTCAAAGTCATGAGTTTGTACACAGTAAATTGGTTGAGTTGGGAAGGGAGCTCTGCGAATGCGATCTTTCCAAGAATGGCCGTCCAATCTTCCTTCTATCGGGAAGGTGCCGGGCATCTCACTCACACTCGAAACTTTCAAAAGGAAGTCACGTCGAAACCAAGGCGCGCAGTTCTCGGACTTCGGCTGACGTCCACAATGCTGGCACCAAAGCTGCCTCGAGCATTAAAGCCTTGCGGCCGGGGTCGATCCGCGTGCAGGCTCCCAGCCCATTGATATCTCCGCTCCAATCGAGGAGAAACTCCGTATCCTCGTAGAACTCGCAGAATACGTCTGCATGATCAAGTCGCTATCGCTGGTGTTGGACTGGGGAGTAATGGTTGCTTTGTTTTCGGGTCCTTGAAGTTCCTCAAAGCCTGCTCCATTGCCAGTATCCTGCTCTCTCTCCTCTTCTCCTCCTCTTGCATCTCGCTCTCCCTCTCTTTGAGCTCGTCGAGCTGGCGGTTCAGCTCCTTTATCCTTTCGAGGTTCGCGTCTGGTTTGGCAGAGGAGCGGTAATACTCATAGATGATGAGCGCCATAGCGACAACGAGTATGAAGGCATCGCCGGCGACGTCTGCAAAGAGATCCACTGCCTTGGCTTCGGGGAGCGCCCTGAATTTGCGTTTCCACACACTCCTGGGCGCATCCTTGGCGTGGTGTGAATCCTTGGCGTTCTTCATTGCCTCCTCCTTCTGGAGCTCCTTCTCAACCTGCTCTTTCGTCTTGACCGTGGGTGTCTCTGCTTTTTCTTTGGCCTTTATCTCTGCATCGACATTCCGAAGTAGCGCGACATTTAATCTCATATTGAGCTGGTGTATCGACTGTCCATATCTGGCCGCAAAATTCCTGAACCCGGGGTGTTCGTGAGCTTGTAGTTTGATCCGGTTCTGGCGAGAGAAGACCTTATTAGCACTAGTAGATCGACGGGAGCCGGTAGGCTCAAGCTCGACTTACAGCTCCATATTTAGAGATATGTCGTATGAAGAGAGTCGCAAGCTTGAAGAGCGGAAGAGGCACCATGTTGCTTGCCGATCGACCGGAGGCCGCTGTGTGACTCAATCGATCGGGCGGATCGGAGGGAAGGCGTACGTTCAGTCAAAGACACTATGAAGCCATCTGCGGATTCTAATGAGAAATCTTTTACAATGATTTACAAAAGAAAGTCAACGGTTGTGAGCTGTCGCGCAATTATCTTGATGATGCAAGGCTGCTATGCTTCCCATGGAGTAATAGCTGTCGTTGCTTGGCGGATCTTATCGGGCGGGCGGGTGGCCGCGGGAGCCAATCGCCTGGCTTGATTGCATGCATTGTTCACCATGGGTACCGCCGATAAGAGCTCGAGCGTTGCGGGTGCGCTTTCAGCACCGACGTTGCAATTTGGTTGCTACGCCAACTACGGCGCTGGATTGGGAAATCCACACCAACCACACGCTCACTAACAATCACCACTGCTCACGTCCGGCATGAGTACACCCAAACTTCAACACACCACCTTTTCGACATCTCACGATACCTGCAGCTTTCTTTCGAGCAAGGCACAGTATAATTTCCTCTTTGCAAGAGAGGACCAGTGCCGCCAGCTAGTAGGTCTCTTCCCTCTTCCCGCCTTGCATTGTTCTGTTTACTGCGTGGACCCTGCATCATCAGCACCTTCGGTTTGCTATGGACCTTGTTCATCATTTTTCGCCAGCATCAGGCCAATTATAGACGTCTCTATCTACAAGATTATTTTATTTACCGCGTCATCAAAACATCTTTTCTCATTTACCCTCATTGACCATCTCATCCCTCAAGCAGGCTAGTATCCATCCGGATTTCGTCAGGGGCTTGCATCTGTTGTTGCCCTGTCGTATATGCGACTGCAAACCCGAGAGAAGAGCAAACGGCTAGGCTGCATGGTGTGTTGCCGACAGAATGGGAGCTAAGGGCATCGATGTGGAGGCCCTGTCTCCTAGGGATATCAATGCTCAGCGACCTCGGGCGACAAACGATCTCAAGACCAAGGCTGCGGCACAGCTAAAGGCAACCAAGGATAAAGAGCACCCGCCGCCGCCTCCTCCAAATGTCACGGAACCACCCAGCTCCGACCGCAGAGATGGAGCCGTCTATCAAGTCGGGAGGCTGTTGGGCAAGGGCGGCTTCGCCATCTGTTATGAAGGCCAGTTGGCCGGCACTCGGAAGCGATACGCGCTGAAGATCGTGAAGAGCAAGATGCCCGCCAAGATGGAGCAGAAGGTAGGACATATGCTTCTCGATTATATTTGTTGCATCCTGCTGACAGGTTCGTCCAGTTTCAAACCGAACTGCAAATTCACTCCAAGATGCGACAACGGAACATCGTCGAATTTTTGCGAGCTTTCTCTTTCGAGAACTCGACATACCTCGTCATGGAGATCTGCACGAACGGGTCGCTCATGGACATGGTGAAGCGAAGAAAGGGCGTCACTGAGGCCGAGGTGCGCTACTATGGCGTCCAAATTGCAGGCGCCATCAAGTACATGCACTCAAAGGGGATCATCCACCGGGACCTCAAGATGGGCAACATCTTCTTGGACAAGAACATGAATGCGAAGATCGGAGATTTCGGTTTGGCAGCTTTGGTCGTTACCGGCCGCGATATGCAAACCATCCGGAGGACCACGCTCTGTGGCACGCCAAACTACATTGCCCCGGAAATCCTCGAGAAAGGGAAAAAGGGCCATGACCACATGGTTGATATCTGGAGCTTAGGCATTATAATGTGAGTTGTAACTCATTGAATGGATTTGATCCTATCGCTGACTAGTCAGGTTTGCGATGCTCACGTCGAAACCGCCCTTTCAATCTTCTACCACTGATGAGATCTATCGTCGGGCACGGGAGCGGGACTACGAATGGCCTCTGGCTGAAGCGAGGTACATCAGCGATGAGGCTAAGGACCTCGTCGCCGATATGCTCGAAGAGGCGGACAAGCGACCGGACCCTGATCGTATTGTGGAACATCCATTCTTCGTCTCCGGATACTTGCCAAAGCAATCCGATATGAGCCCCAGGCTCCGTGAAGCTCCTCCCTCAGAGGATTGCTTCTACGAATACACCACAGACTACCGTACCCAGGCGCAGAATCTGGAGGCTCTGAAGCAGATGTGCCGCGAATGCGAAGTAGGGCCATGGAGCGAGACAAAGGTCGTGCACAAGCCTGTCTGGAAGGAAGTGGCAGCAGAAGAGCAAGCTGGCCTCACTCCCGTCATCCCCCTTGTGGAAGGGATTGTCTACAGGCCGTTTGAGGACTGGCTCAGAGAAAACCAACTACAGCGGAACTTCGCGCCGCAGCCGCCTGCCAAGTCTGCGGACCACACCTCGCATTCTATGTACAAGTCTGATGACCTGAGCAGTCTGTCTCAAAAGGCGCCCTCGGGTCTCCTGAGGGCACCGCCTCAGAGCTTCGCCGCTCAACAGCGAGCGCAAAACAGGCCTATGGGCGCGCTGCGTGGCATACAGACCATGGACAATGTCGCCAAGCCTGCGGGTACTCTGGTGCGATCCAGAAGCAAGGGTCAGGTGCCCTTGACGAATCCGCTATCAGTCGAGAGCCGTGAGCAGGCAACAAGGACAATTACGAGGAGCACTCGGACTCAGCTTCCCGCCAGCCGAACTGTGCCATTGCCGCCACCACCGGCGAAAAAGGAGCTGCCATCTCGACCGCGGGCATATACTCCAGACAGCAACGACGAGAGACTGACTTTGTTCAGCCCTGTAGAACTTCAGGAGCGTGTTCCCGACAGCACACCAGATGTGGTGCTCTCCCGCCTGCAAAAACTTCAGGGCGAACTGGAACGAGCATTAAATGCCCGCTCTATGGCTTACATCTCTTCGAGGGAGAAGACGCCTGTGCCCCCCCAGATTGTCGTCAAATGGGTTGACTACACGAACAAATTTGGGCTGGGCTACATCTTGAGTGACGGGAGTGTTGGATGCATCCTGCGAACTATCCCCGGCAGTGACAGCGGTCGTTCCGGCATGCTGCCACCTGCCTGCATGCTCGTGCACGGGGCTGAGCGTCACATCCAGAGAAAGGACGACCCGAGCTACCCGGACAGACACCAGATCGTGCCGATGACGGAAGGTATCTACTTCTACGAAAACAATGGCGAGGAGGGCCACATCCGTGTCCGCGTTGACCCGGAGACCTTCCGAGTCTCTGTCGGATACGACGGTGTCCCTGGCAAACTGTCAGCGGGCAGGGATATGTATGAGCACCGCAAGAGAGAGCGCATCGTGCTGTGGAAGAAGTTTGCCAACTATATGCTTGCCTTCGGACGGGAGCTCGAGGTCACTGCGGAGGAGAACCCTATCAATGCCCCGAAGCTGACAGACCCGACTGCTGCCCCCAGCGATGTTGTGACCTTCTACCAGCGGTTTGGCGATGTCGGTTGCTGGGTCTTCTGCGACGGACACCTCCAGGTATGTCGTACCATATTTCCTGATTAGGGGGTGGCTTTGATGCTAACATAAATGCAACAGTTCAACTTCCCGGACCACACCAAGATTGTGCTCGACGCCACGGGCACGTGGTGTCATTTCTGGCACCTGCCACAGGACGCTGCTCATAAGCTCTCTACGACCGGGTCTCTTGAGGAGGCGTCGCTCGACGAGCGCACTGTTCTCTCGTACCCGCTCCAAACCCTCCTGAACTTCAACGTTACCTCCAAGTCGTCGACGCGCCGTCGACCGGAGATCGCCCCCGAGCTCCAAGGCATCCCGACCGCCAACGACTTCCGGCGCAAAATAGAGTTTGTCAAGAACGTCGTGCGCGAGTGGGTGGCCAACAAGGGCATCGGCAACAGCGACATGAGCCGCGAGGGCCGGCTGCGCTGGACGGGCGCCCGGGAGACCAAGAACGTCCAGATCCCGAGCAAGCACGTGTGGGTCACGATCGGGTCGCGCTGGGGCGATGAGCGATACTCGGCCTACTTTGATCCGCGCAAGCCGTCGGAGCTGGGGCCGGACATCGACGAGAACAAGAAGAAGAGCGGCTGAGAAGAGGGCTCGGTTGTTAATATCGTGTTTTCGTTGCGAAGGGAGAAGAGGCGGCGGGTTGTGTGTGTATTTTTTCATAGAAAGCATCTTGGGAGTGCTGGAGTTGGGGACATGGGGAAGAGGCATGCCCGTTACGACGACTCATGGATACGAACGACACCTTTGCTTCATGCGTCTGCTTCTTCTTCATACCTCCTGTCTTTTTTCTCTCTTTCTTTTCTCTTTTTCTACCTTGAGAAGAACCCCGTTGAGAAGCTTCCGGTATGACCGTGGCGGAAGCCCACACTCAGCGGACGTAATTATTTCCTATCCTTCCCCGTATTAGTAGGGAGGGTGTTTCACGAGGCGTTTGTTGCTTTTTAGCCATCATGAAAGAAGGCGTTGAATAAGAGACTTAGCTTTTCAATCTCATTTTCTCCTTTCGCTGGTACATATATGTATCTTTTGCCTTGATCAATGTGATGGCTTGCCTGCTGCGCTTGGTGAAGACGACATGCAGCCATCTGAACTACATTGGACTGACTCATCACATATTGTACTGTGGCCAAGAGGGAGCACGATCAAGACACGCAGTGATGCTTTTTTTTTTTTCGGTTTGATTTGCTCAATAACTAGTTAATGCAACGCAGATACTATGTACACATCGCTTTCATGGCGCCATTATTTGTGTGTGTGTTGTTGTGACCACACACCGCAAGAGAACAAACAACAAAGATGCATGCAGGATCCTTACTTTGAATTTTTCTCCCTGTTGATCCGATTTTGAGTAGTAGAGTAGACTTTTGGCAAATATTGTGGAAAAAAAAGGAGAGACAAAAAGAAGAAGAGAAGATAAGAAAAGAAAAAAAAAAAAAAGAAACAAATAGGTATCCCTCACAGAGTCCATATTCAAACGCCCGATGTCTGACGCCCGATGTCTGTCCCATCCCCATCCCTCCTTCCGTTCAAACAGTAAGCCATTCCCTCCCGTCCCCTCACTCACAAGCACTCCCTCACCCCGCCCCTTCACAAAAATCCCTTTTTTTCAAAACGGCTCCAGATCCGCAACAGCAGCGTCCCTCACGCGCCTCCGCGCCCGGATCCGCCTGTTCCTCACATCGACAGCAGCGGCAGCGACATCAGCGCCGGCGCCAGCACGAGCGGCAGCCGCCTCGGCGGCAGCTTCTTCGTCAGACCAGATCAGCCGTCCGAAACCTCCCGCTCCCGGCCATGCCCTCGACCCGGCACGCCCACCGCCGCCGGCGACCCGGACCCTCGACGGCCAGTCAAAGTCCATGCCCCGGTCCCAGCGCAGATCGCCGGGCGGCAAGCCCACGGGCCCCCCGCCGCCGACGACGCCGGACCCCAAGCCAGCGGCAAACACGTCGTCGTTGTGCACGGCCTCGAACCCGGCCCCGCACCGCTCGAGCCGGATGACGCCGCCGCGCCAGGGGTCGCAGCTCAGCGCGAGCAGCTCGCGCCCGCCGTCGGCAAAGGCCAGGCCGCCGAGCTCGCCAAAGACGTCAAACGTCTGCTTGGACTCAAAGGTCTGCGCGTCAAAGACGTCGATGAAGTCGGCCTCCTCGGCGGCCACGAGGACGCGGCGGCCGGACCCGAGGGGCGAGAACTTGAGGCAGCGCGCGCCCGCGAGCTCGGTGCGCAGGGTCGCGACGGGCACCGCCCGGCCGCTGGAGTCGGTCCAGCGCCGCGCGTCCCAGATCTTGACGAGGCGGTCCTGGGCGCCCGTGGCCACGGTGTAGCCGTCGTCGGCCCAGTCGCAGGCGAAGCCGTGGTCCCGGTGGCCCGTGAGCTCGCAGAGCAGGTCCGGGCCCTTGCCGCGGTTGCGCTCGGGCTCGGCGGCCGCGATGAAGACGCTCGTGTGGTCGCCGACCATGACGCGGAGGCGGCCGTCGGGCGAGACGGCGGTGCAGTTGAGGGCGAATGGGTACTTGGTCTCGTGGACAAAGGTCTCGGTGGCGAGGTCGAGCCCGCGGAAAATGAGGTCATTAGACGCAAATGCCGCGTGGGGCGTGGACGATCGCCTCGGGATGTGCAGTTCGATGTGGTTGGTTAGAGCGGCGATATTGGAGCTGAGGCTGCCCTCATGGGCATCGTGCTCTCCGTCGATGCAGTCAGAGTTGAAGTTCCAGAAGCAGTAGCGACCGTTGAAGCTTCCTGCAACTAGCAGGCCGTAGTCGGCAGCCAGAGAGGTCACCTGCACCTGCGGACTCGACTCGAATCGCAGAGGTGGGCCGCCCTGGCCGGTCAGTGGATTCAGCTGCTGCACCGCGCCGGCGCCGGTATAGAAGACCCGGTCCCGTGATGTGGTGGCCAGCACGTTCCGTAGTTGAAAGTGAACTAGGTGCACATTGCGACAGATATTCATCTGCCTGAACCTGAAGAAGCTCTCGTCTGGCGAAGGAACAGTGCTCAGAAGTCGAGGCTGGGAAAGCATTTCGTTAGCAACAATTCCCCATTCCAGCTCGTGATATGGAAATAGGTTGGTTTATCGGCGAGCTCACATTGTAAAGATCCGACCCGTGCTTGCTGACATAGTTCTTGTAGGTGTGGCTGCGCTGCACCCGGGCCAGCTTCCTGGACACGCCCAGATCCTCCCAGTTGATGCCCTGAATATCAAGCTTGTCGCCCTCGAGATCGTCGTACCGTATGCAGTCACGGCCACGCGCGCTGACCTGCTGGGCGAGGCTGAGAGCGTCCGGGCAGCGGCCCTTGAGGCGGGCACTGGGATGGTGGAAATGCCTGCTATGCAATGCCCACTCCTCCAGGAACTGGTGGGCCGAGAGGTTTCCGGGGTTGAGCGTCTGGTGGTTCGGTGTGCTGAAGACCAAGAAATCATCGGCTTCAAAGCCATCGCCCTCTAGGTCGCTGTTGCCGCCGTCGCCGAGATCCCAGTCGGCAACCGCACCCGCATCCATATCCTCAGCCGCACCGGCAAAGTTCTCCCAGTTGTGCGCATGAGGGGGAGGTTCATAGGCTGCGTGGTGGATGGTCTCAAACAATGTGCTCAGCAGGGCGCCGCCGTTGTCCGAAGTGTAGGTGTCGGAATCATCGTAGTGGTCCAGCTCATGGTGGTTCTCCGAGCTGGAATCCATTCCGGCGGTGTAATCGTCCTTGTTCCCCTCGTCATAGGCTACCAGGCTGCTATATCCATTGGAGGGGACATCTAGGTCGTCGTCCTCCTCCACCTGGTGAGGCCCGGATGCAGCAGAGGGTGCTAAGGTTGGCAGTCCGGTATTTGAGGTGGGGTTGAGGCCAACGTCACTGTTGCTCAAACGGTGATGCACTTCTGAGGCTGATGTCAACTCGTACTCGTCGGGGCGCATTATAGTCGGAGCCTTGTCATGCCCTATACGGAAGAAGCTGGCTCAGCAGGGAGCATTGGACCAGCGTGGTGATGCCGGGAGCCAAGGTGTCGCATGTGGCGAGATGTCGGGATGCGATGTTGTCAGTCGTCAAGGCCGCTGGAGTTCAAGACACTGGGGGCCTCCTTGGGGGTGCGCGGTGTGAAGCTGTTGAGGGAAGGGTAAAAGGTTGGGCGGATGGATTACCGTCTCTCCTTCTTGTCTCTCTGGTCAGTGTCGTACTGCCACCCGACGACTTGCTTTTGGCGAGCACCTTGCTTTCTCTCCTAATGTTGGAGGGGGGATGATCGCCTGCAGATTGGACGGCCCTCGATTAGTGGATCGCGCAGGGTCGGGATAAGGCACATGCAGTGTCGCTGGAGTGCTGGAGTTGGTCCGCGGATGGATAAAACCGGGTCATTTGGTGGCTGCACACACTATCAAGACCACTGGCCGGTTGGCGGTTGGCGGTTGGCGTTGGGCTGAACCAGGTCTGAGTGTTCGCTGAGGTATTGATGGATCCCCCCCCACGACGTAACTAATTTAGAGGTCAGCTCGGGAACTAACTACCTAATAAATGAGCTGCTCGGAACGGTTCCGATACCCAACGGCTTCAAGTTGTAGCAGCTTTGTGGGAATTCCTCTCGGGATGAGGTACTTGTAGTTGGGGCACTTGAGGAATCGACACACTCTTTTTCAAGTGGACTCGCCATCTTCTAAGCTTCAGGGTTGAGCAAAAACATACATGCCCACATACTTCTCTGCATTCATGCTTCTCGAGGGAAAGCAATGCGAGAGGACCCATCTCGGGATCCGACTGTCTTCAAGGGCGGGTCGGCACGCGACAAGCATGTCCAAGTACGTGCACCCTGGCACCCTGGCACACAGGCACGGGCAGACATGAAGGAACCTCAACTTGGTTGGAACCAGCCACGGAAGCCCAGGCAAGGCCCAGTCCAGGGTGGTGGCAGACCCTCTCTTGTTTCTTGCTCTCCCAGAGATCACTTGACAATGATGCATGACGGAGAGTCTGAGCGAGGATGCACCCCGGACAGCCGGAAACAAAGGCTGTCTGTGCGAGCGAGCCAACCATCAAGTTGCTCATTGTGTCTTGATGTCTTGACGTCTTGATGAGCACACCACGCACGCAGTGGTGGTCTCGACAGAATACAACCAACCCCCTTCCCCTTGTATTCCACAAGATAACGACAGGTCACAAGTCACAGCACCACCCGCTGCTTCACCGGCCAAAGAACCCAACACATCCCGCGCGCGCCCCCTCCCCTCCCGCGGAAATTCTCAGACATTGCTTTCTGCAAAAGAAAGAAAGAAACGGTGACAAATATGCTAGACAGACAAGCACACCGAACACCACTCACTCGTGCACATATGTGTGTTTTACATGCTTTCTTTTTGCGGGCGGCATTCAATACTGGATTCGGCCAGGTGGCGCTGGGAGCGGTATGCATGTCTGAAGAAGAAGCAGCCTCAAGTTGCACAAGTGACTCACCCAGTGACCGAACTTCTCCTAATGACGGTTCAGCTTTGGGAAGGAGGAGGACAAGAAGAAGAAAAGAAGGGGAAACCTGGCCCTAGAAACCTGATTTTCTTGCCTGCTAGGTAGGTTGTGTTCCGCTCATCCCCTGTTGGAAAGCAGGTGGCTGTCTCACCCTCGCCCGTCCTTCATCCCATATCCATACCGTAGGACTCCAAGAGCCGTTGTCCATTGCTTCTGCAAACTGTGCAACCGGCACGTAAATGCTGTGGTAGGCAATATTGTTCCGAGCCCCCCCCCCCGCGGGCGGCTAAGTGCAGCCTCCTGGATTGATAGCTTAGTAGAACAATGTGCACAATGTGACTGTCTCACTGTCTGTGAGCGTGAGTGCGTGGGTGCGTGTGTCGTCTTGACTTGGCGAGGCGAGTAGCCCCCAATACTGTGTCTTGTCACAGGAACTAGGACACTCTGTCGATCATTCAGCTCCAAGAACAACAGTCTGAACAATACGACCTTGCTCTGACAAGAGCACGCATGTCCTTCTCGCTCCAGCGAGTCTGATCAGATTGTCAAAGCCTCCAAGTGTTCAAGCTGGCTGGCTCCCATGGCCAGGATTAATACATCACATCTCACCCCCAAGCCAGCGACCACCAAACCCACCCAGCCTCCCATGATAGTGTTCTGCCCATGTCACACCGACATCCCCAAGAGAGCAGGCAGTTGGCAATGGGTTTCTTGAGATGTGATCATTTCTGACCTTTTCTTCTTTCCCCCCCCTTCTCTACCTCCTATCACCCTCATGCCGCGGGGGGACTGCGTATCCTGCTGCCCCCCCCCTCCCCCGGGGAACGAATCTGATTTGCTCGAGATAGAATAGATTGGCAGACCTGCAGTGGTGGCCCGTCCCGGGCAAGCAACATCCACCCCTTGCGCTGGCACTCACTCCCCTTACCCGTCGGGACCTGCTGCACCAGACCCTATCTAGCTATATCACAGCCCGTTAATCTAAGCATCCAGCCCTCTTTGGAAGGACCATGTGGAAGATCTGTGCGACAGTGCAGGTATTGAGGTGCACATTGCCGCCACGGATCTCGATTTCCTCCATATTCGCCAGGGAAACGCACATGAAATGATCGACCTGTCTAAATCATGACCAATTCTGTCGGTGAGGCGTCTCTTATCAAGTAGGTCCAGTGGTTCTCGGCAGAGCAAAAATTCAAGAGATATATGCAAGGGTCAAAGTGTTGGGAAACTATTATTACTCTCTGGCTCTATGGAGTCCGAGACGACTGTCGAGTGAGAAAAAAGTAGTCTGTAAGAAAGACTATGTGCACAATAAGAGAACCCCAATGATGTCTCTTGTATCAAAGTTGTTGGGAAAAAAACGCCTTCTGTCGTGACGCCGCTATGCCCACCGTTCCCAAACCCCTTCCCGATGTCAACCCACCGCCAACCTCCTCCCCAGTATATTGCATACTGGGAGAGCAGGACAGAACAGCAAGGTAGAGCAGTAGCAGGAAACAATATAGTGCAGAAAAAAGAAATCAAACAGGCCCTCCTCCATCATTATGATGCCAAATATTCGGCTTGCTCCCGACAGCTGTGTGTGGGAGAAGCCTCGCCATGATGCTAATGTATGTTTTTGTTGCAAAACCAAAAGATCTTTGTTCATTCGTTTCGTTCAAGCATCCGAATAGTACTCCTCATAATGCTGATGACCGGGCGTCATGGTCCACGTGCCGCCATTGTTACTGCTGCCGCCGACCATGTTCTCCTTGGAGCCCCAGTAGTTGCCCCGGGTGCGCCGATCGCGCTCAAACTCGGCCCAGCGCTTCATCGTAATCTTGCTGCTGTCAAATTCGCCCTCGTACTCGATGCCCGCCTTCTTTGTCTTCTCGCCCGCCGTCTTGCGAGTGTCGCCCCACGAGAAGTCGTCAAACTTCCAGAAAGCGTACGTCGGCAGAACAAAGTTCCAGATGGGCAGAGACAAGAGGTAGATGAACATCCAGATGACGTAGGACCACGAGTGGGCCGTGACGACGATGAGCACCGCAGGGAGACCAAGAATCAGAGCGAGAAGCACCAGAGGAATGATCTGGGGTGGCGAGTGGATGATGGAGATGATGACTATAGACGGGTTAGGATCACATCTAGTTAACGGCATAGGAAGCTCTGTAATACTTACTGACGTAGAAGGTGAAAGCGATAGCAGCTGGCAGCACCAATGTACCGATCAGCTCGATACCGATGATGAACTGCATACTAAAGCAGAATGTACCACAGAGATCTCGGACAAGGACCAGCTCCATCAGGTTGTGAATGGTGGAGTTGATCCATCGTCGGCGCTGAGAGAGGAGAACGCTGAATTCCTCGGGAACGGTCGTCTTGCACACGGCTTGCGGAACAAAGACTTGCTTGCGCTTGGGGAAAGTGCGCAGCATGAGCGTGGTCAGGTAACGATCCTCACCCAGCAAGAGCAGGTTCTTCTTGTGCAAGGTGTCGACGACATTCTCCGAATAGTGCTCGACGACGTCGGGGTTTGCCAGGATGGGAACCCAGTAGTTCTGAGCACCCTTGGGGGCCTTGATGCGGTACATGCAGAAGCAACCGGGAAGACAGGTGACACCACCAAAGACGGACTCGAAGGACTTGGACAGATGGTGCGAGATGAAGTACTCGAAGACTTGGATCGCAGACACCCAGCTGGCCCGCTTGTTGGCAATCTTCGTCTCGCCGCAAAGACCCATGATCTCGGGATCCTTGACCATGGCCGAGATCATGTGGGTGAGACTGTCGGGGAAGACCTTCGTATCGGCGTCGACCATGAGCACTATCTCATAGTAATCGGGCGAGATTCCAGTAACCTTCCATAGACCGTTAAACATTTCGTACTCGAGCTCCGTCATACGCTCGTCGAACATGACCTTCTGGAGGAAAGACATGAGAATGATCTGACTGTCGCGCTTGCCACGGTTGCCCGGCTTGGCCTTGACAGCCTCGTCGGGGGTGCCGCACTTGACCACAACCATCATGGGCACCCTTTGCTGCTTGTCCAGAGGAATGCGAGAGTCGGCGCCATAGTCATAGAAGCCCGAGTAGATCTTGGCCATGTTGTGTCTCTTGGAACCACTTGCGACAGCGACGTACGAGAAAGCCTCGACTTCTTCTGGGAGAATCGTGTGGTCCTTAACCATGCCAAGGACGATATCAGGGGTCGACATGGTCTCGCCCTTGCCCTTGATAATACCGTCACAAACAACGAGAATGACCTTGTGGCTGTTCGGGTAGTCGGTCATGGCAATGGAGTCGAGAGTGGTCCGGATACCAAGCTCTCCTTCAGAGTAGGCAGTGACGAGACAGATGGCGTGGGCAAGGGGAAAACCAAAGGGCATCCAATCCGAGGGCGGCTGGGGAACTACGGCCTCATGAATGAAGCCAGCGGGGCCGGGACCGTCCGTAGGGCTGACACTGGTGTTGTAGGGATCAGATTTCAGGAAGCTGGTCCGGCTATCGTTGCCTTGGCGATAGATCGAGTTGGGGTGAAGCAGCTGGCCGCCTCCCGAAGCTTGGCTTGCCATAGTCGTGGGCATAGCCCTGCTATTGCGCGGGTTGCGGTCTGCGCCGTAGACAGTCGAGAAACGAGAGGTTGTCGGCAGAAAGGTGCTGCTGCGCTTGCTCACACGGTCAGAGCCCGTGCCAGCCACGCTGCTGCCCACATCGCCAGGCATGCGAACGGGAGCGCGGTAGATGTCCTCACTCCAATCTTCGATCTGGCGGTTACGCTTGCGCTTATCGGACGACTGTGATGTCTTCGCCGCAGCATACGTCTTGCTGATGAACCACTGGAAGATGATTGCCAGGACGAATCTGGAAACGACAACCGCCAGAATCAAAACCAGAGACACATACAGCACGACCTTGGATGCGATGCAGCCGACCGTGTCAGTGTCGACAGTTCCGACCTTGATGATTTCCTCAAAACACTCGGCAAGTCCTTTATCGCCAGACGACTGGAACGCTCTGGTAACATCGCGGCCATGGATCGCTTGGTTGGCCGGGGTCGACCTGTCGCGCAGCTCCTTCATGCGGTTCGGGATCACGACCTGGGTCTCATCGAACCAGTACAGCAGGTCAAGGTCGAGTACATTGCCGGAGTAGACGATCAGGTTTCTCGAGTTGTTCTTGACGTCGTCCCACTTGAAATAGACGTCCGCAGTGCCGTGGAGCTGGGTGTAGAACGTGTCTCGACTCGCCGCCGTGGTATGGCACGCATAGCCCGTGTAGTACGGGAATGTGTAGTTTGGCTTCGAAGAGCCGTCCTGGTTGAACGGCGTGCAAGGGAAATACCAGGCCAGATTGTTGCTCGAATCGGTAGGAATCAACGAGTTTGGAGTGCGCGTGATCACATTCTTGCATTTGCCGTTGACGTTCTGGAAGAGGAAGCTTCCGTCCTCGCCGCCGTGCTTCTGGGGCAGGTCGAACAGCACATTGGCAAACTGCCCATCCAGCCGCCTTGGAATACCCTCAGCAGGCGGGTGGCGAGATGTGGACAGATCGTACGCGACTCCATGGAAGATCATGAAACCAAGGCCGACCTCGTTGACTCGCAGGCGAGTGGCGGGCTGGCCGCAGACGGCCTGGTTAAATCCGAACGTGAGGAAACCGACGAAACCCATGATCAGAAGAATGATGCTGATCAGTCCCATCTTTTCACGCCAAGCTCTCTGCTGCGCCTTGGCCGGCTTGCCAAAGCACCGCAGAATGAAGTCGGGGCACCAGAAGGTGACGATGGCGCAGTAGACATTCCAGACACTGGGTGGTCGAATCTGCTCAGCCTGGCGCTTCTCCTTATCCCTCTTGCGCCCGTCCTTCTTGATCTTGCCGTTCTTGACGTGGCCAGACGTTCTCCGTCTCGTACGGCTCGACTTCTCGGCTTCGGCGCTGTTAGTCCTACTGCTCAATCGCCTGCCAGGCGTCACATCCGACATGGCATCTCCGACCCGAGAGCTGCCAGAAACGTCCGTGGTCCCCGCAACGTCTTCGAGGATCGGGTCGTTTCCTGTAGATGAGGGCATCACGTTCATATTCGCTGCGTGTTTCCTGTAGTAATAGTTGGGGTGGTCTTTCCCAATCTTGTTCCGCTCGGGCCTGATCAGGCTCCTCTTTCTCTGGAAGGGCTGAGGGTTGCCGGTCTCGCCGTGGTCGGTGGGAGAGAGAGGCATTTGCTCTGTGTTTGCATTAGGAGATGGTGGAAGAGTGTCTGCAAAAGATGTTACCGAACCCCCATTGTAATGCTGCTGCCCTGCTACGCGCTGATAGCCCGACTCAGGGCCGGCAGCGTCGCGCTGCCGGCGGGGAGGTGAGTGTCGATAGGCATTTCGCTCGTCGTAGCTGGGCGCCGCTCCCGGTCTTTCGGGGAGAGACATATTCCTGGGGTGGGATGACCGTTAGTCAAGCCAATTCATTTCGTTCGGGTTCAGCAAGGGAAATTCACCCTTTCGGGAAGAAAGGAGGTCAGGGTCGGTCGCAGGAATGGCGGGAAGTGAAGCGAAAAGGAAAGGGACGACGGCGAAAGGGATTTCCAAAGAAAGCGTCAAGACTCGAGTGGTGATCGAAAACAACAAGCCGTTTGAGGTGTTGTGAAAGAGTAAAATGCAGCTGACCAGGCTTTGTGTTGTCGCTCGGTCGGAGGTGTACCACTTACGCAGATTGTTATGGGGGGCAAGGTCGTCAGAGCAGGATTGTGGATATATTGAATATCCCTGCTATAGACCGGGGTGTTTCTTAGGAAACGATACCGAAGCGGGCAGAGGCGAGCCAGGCCACTTTCGTTATGACGGCGGTGCCTACTCAAGCCAGGACCCGATGCAAGCACAAAGTGACAAGGGTGTGTGCGAGCTGACCACAGCGGCAGCCAGTCTCCTTTCTCACTACCGTAAAAAGCTCCTCCTGCCGGTGCCAGGGGTCGTTGGTATTTTCAGATGGTCATTGATTTCCGTGTCGCAGAGACAAGAAGCGATCGGCGGGTGCTGGAGGAAAGGCAGCCCGGATATTTCCTCTCCTGCGACCTCGAATTCCTCTGCTTCTTCCGATAGACAGTCGACAGCTTGTCGCGCAGGCGTGTCGGCTGAATCCAGCACTGGTTTCAAAGGCGGGCAAAAACGAGGGAAGCCGCGCAGGCTGTTGGATGGTGGGATTTTCGCGGGTACGAGAACAGACAGCCAATGTTTTTTTCCCTTGGGCTTGGGCCGCGTGTGGTGGCACTGGGTAGCGCGGGCCGAGCAAATGCAGATTCCGGCGACGGCACAGAGTGATCGATCTGCCGTATCTGGATGTCGAGGCCTCTGCTATGGTGAAAGAAAGAGAGGGCGATAACGAGCGTGATGTGATGATGAAGCCGACAGAGCGGATTAACGAGAGAAGGGAAGAATGCTGGGGAGACAGATCATGAAGGTGTTTTTCTCCCCTGCCCTGGTATTTGCCTCCTGTTTCGATGGCGTGGACTCAGGTGGTCTCTTTGTTGCGGGTGCACCACCTCAACGGAGGGATAGGGAGGTGCTAGCAGAGACCTCCTAGTTTAGGCCAGGGTTTGTCCCCCTTTCCCGCCCAGATCAGCTAATGTCCCTCCAGCAGTCTCCCGGGTCATGACGCACTGTGTTGGTCTCATTAGCGCTTGATGGTGGCTGTACATTGCACTGAGGGATGGCCCAATCCGCTAAAACACAGATTTTTGGTGGTCCAGTCGGCACTAGCCAGAGTCGAGTCTGGTCCAGTCAGGTACAACATTGCCGGGACAACGGCGTCCCAAGACTTGCAGGATACCTTGTGCCTGGATGCCACCTGCAGCTAGCGCGCGCCACCCCAGCCCACCACCTCTTGTCCTGCACGAAACAAGGCGATTTGGCGAGCTAGGGAGAGCGAAAATTCAAGATGGTTCTATTTTTGCCCACCTTTTCCTCGTGCCTCAATGCATCCGAGGAGCAGGTTGGTTTCTAGCAAATTGGTTTCCTCTTGCTACCTAGGTACCTTACCCCATATTGACCCAAGGAGCATGCCGCATTGGCAAGTCTCATCTTCGAGAACACGGTATTTTGTCCTCTTTCTTTCTTTGCCAGATGCTTCAACGTTAGCATTTTGACACAGTGACATCAGTGGACTTTTCGGCCCCCCTTTCCCCATCATTGCCGTGGATCTGAACGCTACCCAAATATGGATCGGCCATGGCTTCTTGGTGAGTGATCATTTTGGCAGGATCTACGAAGGGAGTACTTGGTGAGCACCCAATCTCCAGTGCCTACCTAACTACTTGGTAGGTACCCTACCCACTTCCCATACCTACTTACGAGTGCTTCCTCCAGTGGAAGCTTCTGAGACGCGAGTGTGCGGCTGGTTCGGCTCGCAGCATTCTTTCTGGAACTCGAGAAGCTCCACCAACACAAGCCTCTGCCTCAACTGTCTTGACGGCTGCAACAGGCGTGCTTGAGGTCGGCCGGGTCATTCGAACCTTCTTCTCTGGTATGCGACGACTGCGCCAGAATTCCCTTGCCCGGTTTTGAAACTGAAGATTTCAAGCAAGATCCGCTTGCAACAGCGTTGCATTGCACTGCGTGTCTGGTCCCCATCGTCCCCGTTAACACAGTAGTCCAGTACCAAAGGACTCGTCCAATCGGATCAATAGGTCGAGACCAGACTACAGTGTACACAGGCCCTCACCCAACGCCGCTTGACGAAGTTCTTGAAGGCCATGATGGATGTACTTGTAATGATAGTAAAGACGAAACTGATCAAGACTAGGACTGGGTGGCTTGTTTTGGCGCGGGAAGCTGGCCTCTGCGTCCCTGTTACAGAATCGCGGGGTTAATCTAAATCGACGTCAACCGCCCTCGCCGACTTGAGACGAGGTTTGGTACGCTACCGTGGATTCGTGGCAGATCCATCGACGTCTTGGCTTTTGAAGCCTTCCCTTGTCATATCGGCAGTCGGTCTCTCCCCGTTTGAGCTCCGTCCGGTGCACTGCAACGTCGAAGCCGGGTTCAGGACGATGGGCAGTGATGATGATCTGTTGTCGTGGTCCTTTCCATGCAAATCGTCGGTTGAGGGGTCCTTTCATAGACCCTAATACTGTCTCAAGCTCATGCGGCTAATTGACTATGCTGTACCAGCAACTGGGTCAAAGACCGTGTAGTGACAAGAAGCCCGTTGAGGTTCGTACTACGCCGGGTACGAGAGATGCAACCCATGATAGCCCTACGAGTTTGGGGTCCAGTCCTTGCTATGCTGTATCTGCTGTATCTGCTGTATCTGCTGTATCTGCTGTATCTGCTGTATCTGCTGTATCTGCATGTGCAAGTGTCGTCAACCCGGCCCGGGCATACTGGGTAGTGGATCTGTCTTCCTTCGGAGCCTCAGAGTGGGCTCAAGCGGACCTCACCCGGGCTTGTAAGGGTACCTGCTTCGTACGAGTACAAATACTTGTCCATCGTGTCCGGCCCTCTGTCTATTTGCCGGAGATCCGATCGAGTTGCACATTCCGAAGTCTGTATTGAACGGATCCCACAGGGGTGCTGAGTCGGTGAAGCATCGTGTCCTTCACTGATCTGCACATATATACGAGTTCGCACGCACCCAGATATCTAGAGCACTGGACAACAACCAAAGGCGACGATCAGATACGCTGCCGCTTCAAGCGGAAAATGTGCAAAGCCCAGACACTGGAAAAATTCACTGGTGGATCCGGATTGGTCAACAGCATGCACCTGATGAGGCTCGGCGGCCTAGGAGCCTTCGAATACGAAGGTGTACTACGCCGAATTTAGACAGGTCGACCAACACGGGCACCCAAGTAAGTTCGACCCGGTCCTGCAACTTGCGGGAATCCTGGGGGCCAAAGTATCGCATACAAATGGATACTTCCTAGCTGTAGCATTGTCACAGTCAGCAAGATGTTGCGCGTTTGAGCCTCCTGGCGAAACATTTCGCACCTATGGAGGTAAAAGTCCTCTGTCAGCTCAACTGAGTGTGCTTTTGACCGCCACCAACCAAAAAACAATCGCTGTGAGCAGCAGCATGGAAGCCTGTCAAAAAAACAAAACGGGCAGAATGTGGGGCATTACCTAAAGCGGCTACCGTTTAGGATAGTACGAAACGGCAACCCAAAGCTTGTTCAACCCTTCCGTTTTCTAGAGAGCTGGCTATTATGAAATCGCATATGTAACTAACTAACTACATACAGAATAAATGGGAATAAATTGCTTTGCTCAAAGCCGTCTTGTCTCAAGTATTAGAAGGCAGAACTTGGAACGTTTTCTTATATAGTCATACTCTGCGACATGTGTGGATGTTCCATCTGCTATTACAGTCCAATATCTCAACGAAGTCCACGAATGCTGGTGGTGGGAATGGTTGCGAGATCTGGATTTTGTATACTCGAGCCATATATACAAGGGATGAACCTGCTTGGACCTCCAGTGCTCGCTGGTGTCCAGGAAGAGATGCAGTCGGATGCTCACGGCGGTCCGTACGTCGTCCTGGCCGACCCAATGACTGACCAAAATTCTTCCACGAATTCACGCTGACCACCGGTGGCGGGCCTCACAGCCAGATACCTCCGATTGTCCACTGGCGGGTTCCAGCCACCAGGATGCCCGTCGACCATGATGCCTCCGGCCTCGGTCAGTATGCACCACGCCCCCGCTACGTCCCACGCCCAAGAACCACATTCCCAGAAGGCATCCTGCTGACCACTAGCGACTCTGCAGATGGTGATGGCGGCTGAGCCAGTGCATCGGAGCGAGTTGACAAAGCGCCCACCGGTGGCCGTTGTCCGGGCAAGAGCAGTAAACACTTTGAGGTTGAGCTCGAAGTTGGGGCCTTCCCTGTCACTACCCCATTCGATGCCGATGCAGGCTGGTTTCAGCCCCTGTAGAGGACTCTTTGAGAGCGGTAGCCTCTGCGGCTCTCCATCCCCGAATGACGTGTAAGCACCACAGCCTTTGACCGCGGTCCACAATTCTCCTCGAAAGGGGTTATAGACTACCCCGACGGTTGGCTGACCTCCCATCACGAGGCCGATGGAGATACAAACCGCCGGAAACCCGTGGACAAAGTTGGATGTTCCGTCGATAGGATCAACTATGAAGGTCGGGCGTTGAGGAATAGTAGCTCCGCACTGGTATGACTCCTCTCCGATGAATGCGAAGTCTGGGTAGCGTTCTGTTAGCCGCCCTCGCACAAAGGCTTCCACGGCCTGGTCGGTCTCGGTGACAATATCCGCTGCTACACACGATATTAGTCTTGTCTAATTGCCACTAGAGTTTCTTATGCCGTACTGCCTACAATTCTTCTTGGCCGTCGCCTCGAAGGCACTCGGCTTGGCCGCTAAGATGATCCTGCCACCTTCCTTGGCTGTGTCAACGAGGAAGGAGCAAATATCCTGAAGGTCTTCGGCTGTCATGATGAGAGATGGAAGTGTCACAGAGTCTGGTCGCCATGATTCTATCTGATAATGTCCCACGAAACAGTCCATACAGTAACTTATGTATTATTCACAGTGAGGCTCATGTCATAACATGACTGGTCCTTGAGAAGTGGAGTCGTCGTCGGCTAGAGATAAACACGGAATCCGCCATTTATCTTAGCGCGTCGGCAAGAGGTCTTACAACATCAGCTACGACGATGTTGGTAGCCGAGCCCGTCTGGTCAGTTCTGTTCGGGTCGAGGGACCCCCTCTTCTCGCCCACGTGCCCCCCCGAGCACTATCCTGGGGGAGTCCAGCCTGAGGGTCGACGCACCAGGGAAGGGAAACAGCCATCATAGTTGAGGTTACTCCTCCATGTATATACCCGTCGAGCCGAGTGACCCCCCTTTTCCCTAACTCTACCCTGAGGAGAGCTTGTGCACAATGTACGACGATGTCCCCACCAGGAGGCAACATCCTAGAGCATCGGCCTCCCTCTTACCGAGGGAGGGTTCGTAGCGGATGCCTTACATGCCGAACGAGGAAGGTGAAGTGTGACGAAGCCCAGCCGGTATGCCACAACTGCACAAGGCTGGAGAAGACCTGCGTCTACAAGCCCTGGAAGAGCAAGAGCCGCATCCACCCCAGAAACTTGGGGCCGGGCGAGGCGATTCCGGGCTCATCTCCCACTCCGCCCTTGCCGGATTCCACTGTCATTCCGACACCATCGCAAGACTCGCAGTCGGGCGATGGCTGTGTCGATGGCCTGGCTCCGGCGGACGAGTCGTTGACGAGGGTTCTCTACGATCCGCTTCGGTCACCCCAAGATGAAACTCTCGTCGGGGTACCTACCGAGCATCCACAGATAAGCATTTGTCATAACTCGATATCACATGTAATCCCGACACCGATCACAAGCCACAGTCAAAATGGTGACGCCGGCCGTCGTCCTGCGGCGCAGCAGGAGTCGCCATCAGCCTTTGATTGCATCTCGCGGGATGTTGAGCTCACGACGACGATGGATAAGCTCGCAGCCCGAGAGAGGCCTCAGGAACGGTGCTTCTCGTTCTTCCTCGAAAGGGTGGATTGTGCTTGGATAACACCGTTTGACCCGCTGAACTGGCGGCGAATGAAGACTGCCGTCGTCGAGATGGGCGTCTCAAACGAGGCAGTGTCATCATCTGTCATAGCTATCTCGACTCTGTATATTGGGCAGTTGCACGGGCTCCCGCTTTCCAAGGCAGCAGCGCTCTATGAATCAGCAAGGACGGAATTCGAGAATCTCATGCGGGATGAGGATACGGACATGCAGGTAGTATTGGTCGTAGGGTTTCTCCTTTGCCTTTTCGCATTCGTCCATGCCGACATTGCCCCAGTGCTCAAGAGCACCGACGAGATATTCCTGCGACGGTTAGAACAGCACACGGGCCGCCAGCTGCCTCTATCACCACTTACGTCAAGGATTATAGCATGGATGAAACTGCTCCAGGTGTCCGCATCGCGCGCGGGAGGGATGGGGCTCATGTCCGACGGCGTCTTCAACCTCCTGCCCAGCTTCGAAGCGGGAATACCCGACATCGAGCACCCGACAACTCACGGCATGCCCGATACAAGTATATCCCTGCAAGAGGTCCTCAGCAAACCTATCTTTGATTTCTACTTCCGACTCCAGATGATCTCCGGCGAGATCTCGAGGTTGACGCATTACCATCGCTCTCGGACGAGGGGCGTGGACCAGGAGGAGGTGGCGCGAGAAATGACGCGCTTGAAATCAAAGCTCTCGGCGCTGTGGTCAAGCCGGTCGAACATACAGCAACAATCTCCCGAGGACCTGAAGAACCACCTGAGCCCCAGCATCGCCGATCCGATCATCGCCCTGAGCGCCGTCTGCGCCGCCGCCTACCACGCCGAGTTCATCGAGATCGGCCGTGTTCTCGGCGACCCCCTCGCCGAGTCGGCCGACGCAAAACACGCGATGAGACAGGTGCGCGGGATCGTCGACGGGAGCTGGAACGCATTCGAGGGCAGAGGGCTGAATCCCGGGTACCTCCGTCCGCTCTTCCTCTATGCCATTGAGTGCATGGACTGGCAGGAGAACGACTGGGCTACGGAGAGGCTGCGAGAGATCCGCGACCCGATATGCCGAAGCGAATTCTTTGCGTCGTTTGGGAGAGCGCTCTCTGATGCGCAGCTCTTCAAGGACCGGCGGGTCACGTCCAAGTATTTCTGCATACGGCATTTTGGTGTGCCGCCTCCTTATTTGTAGGCAAAGAGTTTGTTCACGTAAAGGAGATCTTGTGTATGTGTGTATGTGTGTATGATGGATTGGTTCTAGCAATTAGACACGAGGCTGAAAGAATTCTCAAGGCTTTTGAAATGATATTTACAGTTACTATCGCCTCATGGAAAAGTAATTCTACACTTGCGAATTCGACGTCCAGGTACCACGACCGTCGTTTAGACACTCTCCTCCTTATTGTTGGTAGGGATGATCTCGTTGAAATTGACCTGTGTCTTGGCAAAGCGTCGTGGGGCCACCTTCTTCTCAAACAAGAGATCCATCTCTGCCGTAGTCCTCCCCTTCGACTCGGGCACGTAAAAGAAGGAGAACACGACAGAGATCAAGCAAGCTCCCGCCCAGAAGAAGCCGGTCTTGGCAGCCCAGTTCCACGCGGTAGGGTTGAGCTGGTAGGGAGTCAGAGTGCCGGCTACGATACCAGAGACCGTGTACGACCAACGAGCCAGGACAACGGTCTTGCTGCGTAGAAGCGTGGAAGGGATCTCGGCGCAGAGCGTGTTCGTCAGTGGGCCGATCGAGCAGTTGTAGAGGAAGGAAGAGACGATCAGGACGGATCCGATGGCCCAAGCATACGCAGGCTTCGGGCTCTCGGCTTGAGGAACGCCAAGCCCCCCAACCAGGACCATGATGATGAACATCAGGCACAAGCCCCAGAGATAGATCGTTCGTCGGCCGAAGAGCGGTAGAAGAACCCACTATGTGTTTGACAGTCTGTGTTAGTATGGCGACCATACCTGGCAGAAGCGAGGAGGAGGAGGAGGAGGCAGGAAAAACGCACCGAGAAGAACCCGCCGCCGATGGCGACTCCGTATCCAATAATCGCCATGTTGAATGCCTGAGTAGTGGGCATGCCAGCCTGTTGCAGAAAGTAGGTAGAGTATGCACGGAGCGGATTCCCACTGAGGGTCTGGATGCAGTAGATCCCGATGGCGATGACTGTTCTCCGCGTGTTGACGCCCCGGAAGCATGCCCAGTAAGAGGTCGCCGCGTCAACGGCACGCTCGTGCTCCGTGGTGACCAGCATGAGAGAGATGTTCTTTTCGAGATCGAAGTGCACATTCCTTGCAGACGTCAGCCTTTGCAGCTCTCGTCTGGCCTGGTCGAGCCGGCCACGTCGGACAAGCCACCACGGCGATTCGGGGGCCAAGTAAATTGCCGGCATCAAAATAGCGGGCCAAACCCATCTTTGAGTGGTCATAATCAGTTATTGTTTTGTAGTATACGCATATGTTGGGGAGAGCTCCTTACTGGGCAGCAAAGGGGATACGGTAAGCCCACTCATCGGTTCGACTCAACACACCGCGAAGAAGGCCTGTTGCAATGATTTGACCAAATGCCTGTCAGTTCGTTAGTGTAAGCGAAAAGAAGAATAGAGGCGAGAAACATTACCCAGCAGAAATTGACGTAATTGGTTAGATACGGCCGAAGACACAAAGGTGTGATCTCGGAAGCATAGACGACAGTGACCGTCTGAAACAACCCCAAAGGGATACCGAAGAGAACCTGGCCGACTTCGAGCACTTCGATGTTGGGCGCGAAGAAAGGGATGAAGATGAAGGCGGCAATGACGACCATGCTGACGAGCATGGTCCGGCGGAACCCAAACCTCTCACTGGCGTATCCGGCAACAAGCAGGCCCATGAGTTGACCGACGGTGGAGCCGTTGCCCAGGCCTGCCTGCCAAGGTGCCGTGATCTGGTAAGACCCGGGCTTCACCTCCACACCGTATGCCTTTTGGAAGGCTGGCTGGGCGTAGAACGAACCCATCAGCTTGGTGTCATAGCCTTCCATGATGACGGCGGTCGACATGACAATGGACCACAAGACGCCCTTGGGATAGAGACTGAGGGCCTCAAGGAGACCCATTTCATGCTCCTGTTGGGTTGCATCGTGGGCTTCGGCGACTCTTGCGCTGTCCTCGACCACTTGAGCAACCTCTTTGGTTGACTGGGCTTTGGAGGTAGGGCCTGTCATCTTTGGCTTAAACGTATATGTTGAACTCTCGGGAGAAAAGAATGTGTATCAGTGCTATTGCTGATGCAGTAAAGCAGTGATGCCGGGTTTTGAAGAGCCTTTGACGTGGTCATGACCGGATGATTTATAACTTTCACGGCAAGTCGTCGGCTGGCGGAGGGTGAAGAGTTACGGACTCACGATCACATTGTCACAACAGCTAAGATCATGCCCTCAATTCAACTACCAGGCTTTTAGTCTCCCTCTTGGCCAATCCGGAAATCCTAGTTAAGCACATGCTCAATAAATATCTCTGTCGGACCGACACTATACTTAAGTGAGGAGGAGTAATGGCCTCATCTCCACATAGTTCCAGGTCAAAGCCTCTTATCTCTACGCGACCTGCTCTCCCTTTATCTCTTGCCGACGGAAACACTCAAGTTTGAGTGGCATGCTCCCAGCAGCTGATCTTGGTTTGAGAACGTGCAGAGTAGTACGACAAATGTAATTACGAAAGAAGCTATAATATAAGTTTCAGATTTCAAGGATGGATTAAAATTCAGGCAATGCCGATACAAGGAGTTCCAGCCATGGTGCGAGCGTAGAGGGGGAGGTACCCCAGGATAAAACTCCTGGACTCCAATTGAAAAAAGCCCAGGTTGTCTCGGGCTGCCAAAGCTGACTGGACATTGCGATAGATTCAAAGGCGGCAATGAATACACAGGCAAGGCTGTTGCTGTTTCTGCCGACTATAGTCCCCAACTTCTATTGACTATTCTTTCCCAGGTAAAAGACCCTGGGAAACGAGTACATATCCTCAAACGTGCAAAACTCTACATCGCCCAAGGTAAACTCCCGTTGTATAGACGGGAAATGCTGGTCCCGGACTTCGTCGAGCGCGGCCCGATCGTCGGGCTCCAAATGCCTCATCAGGTAGGCCACGCTGAGGTGGAACTGATAAGTCTCGTGGTTCGGCGCTCTGAACCCCATCGCATCTGCCAGCCTGTCCCGCAGACGCCGCATCCTCCGCTCTTCGTCCGCCGTCGCGCCCTCGACCTCGATGCCGATGCCGATGAGGGCGCCGTCAAAGTTGCGCACTCTCATCCTGTACGGAGGGGCCAGGCCCTCGGCCTCGAGCTGCTGCCCGAGCTCCCTCAGCCGCCCGGCGAATTCGGACGTCATCTCCGCCAGGGGCAGCTCGTGCTTGCCTTCGGGCCAGAGCACCGGCTCGCGCTCGCTGTCGCGCACGCCGTCGAAGACGGTCATGTGCCACGATGCCGGAGGCAGGAGGTGCACCTTCTTGGAAAGGACGGGGTGCGCCGCCAGCGCGCTGTAGAGGTCGCGTAGGCCGGGCAGGAGGGGGCAGTCCGCGGGGAGGTGGCAGAGCGTGGTGTTGCCGGGAAATCGCAGGACGACGCCCTCCGGCGAGAACTTGGTGAGCACCCCTTCGGGATACATGGGGCGTTGAGGAACCGGAGCTGTCTCTGTAGCTGTGACCGGTAAAGCCATAGTTGATGATGTTCTACCTGAGTCTGTGTAGAAGGTTTTGTCGACGGGCACGTGGTGGAAGAAAGTTTCAGTTGCGTCGCCTTTATATCGGGTGTGAGACGAGGCTGGACTTCATGTAGGGAACGGCACGTGGCTGACCATCTGTGGAGTCACTAATAGGCTGTGAAAGGATGCTCATCGGCAAGAGATTTGACGTCGCTTAGAGATAAGAAGTTGATGTGTTCCACAATACATTCATCCCAACCATGTGCTTCGCTGCGGGAGTTATCGAATGTAAGAGAAGGGTGGTCATATTAAAGAAGTGTGAGCACTCAAACATCATGCGCACCCGGCCAGCTGCATGTTCCCTCCCGTGGCCCTTGTGGCGTAGATGAGGCATGGCTCACACACGATGAGCTTGTGCGCCCTTCATCACTCATTAATCTCTCTGAAACTTTGACATCTCGTCGATTACTCGCCTCAATCCCAGCTCGTCATCTATGAGACGAACTCTAAGGATAGATCAATAGAGTCAGAGCCAACAACGCTGTTGCGGCTAGGTAGGAACCTATAGGAAGGGAACCGCAATCCTGGTCCAGGATCACGTTTCTCTCCGTTTCTGTTACGGTGGATCAAAGACGAGAATGGGGACGTGGGAAGAAACGGTGCAGGGATGTGAGGTGAGATCACGTGTGTACCTTCAGGTGGACTCAGACCCCTCGCATGCAGGGCGCTAGCCTGCTGGTGCTCACCTCAAGTGCCCCTTTTCATGTCTTTTTGGCGTCTGGCAGACCTCAGCTCCCCATCTGATGGACATTTTAGGGTGGAAAGACCCCTGCCTGCTTCTCTCCGAGATGCATCGTGTGGAAACAGAGTGTTTTAGCGGCAGATGTTTCTCTGCTGGGCTTGTCCACTCCTGACCTAGGAGAACATGCTATTATGACGGAGCCAGAGATTCAGCCCAGACGCTAGGCCCCCTTTTCCATTGTAATCTCCAGAGCTTCTATGGGGTTGGTAGTCTTCCAAAGGAACAAGAAGGAGTTCTTGTGGCTTGTCTAGTATTGCCCAAGGCATGGACTAACACGACTCAACCCTCGGAAAGGTCCTACTTGCCCACGATCAGTAGTAGACAACGGAAAGACGGTTGACCTTGGTGAGCCCATCGTGCATGCTTGAGCCGTCATGGACTGCCGCGACGAGTGGCTCGGCATGTATCTCTCAGGCCCTGTCCATACACCAACTGAAGCTGGGGAAAAGGAGACGATCTACAGTTTGGTGCCAGGAACCCCTCTCAACGCGAGAAGGTCGGAAAATACAGATTGAAGATCCTCACCCATGTTGGACCCCAGGTGGGCCAGGGTCCAGGAAAACTCCTGTGTTGTTCTTGGCGATGTAGGTAATCGTCCGAGTACAGTGCCGCTCACCTCGTCTCAAATGTGTCTCTTGCACTCGTGCCGGAGGTCCGATCTGAATCTCTGGGGCTCTCTGACCCGCTGCCTCATCAAGGGATTTCCGTTTCGCCAGCACAATTCCGATTGCGGTCACGACTGAGTGTATCCTACTCCGTACCTTATTCATAGCTCCCGTAATAGTGGAGTCTGTCAGTGTAGTCGGCGCAAACGAGAACGAGATGTAACACTGTCTATTCAGTACGCGGTGGCAAGTGCAGATCCCGCCAGGAAGTCGGGCGGAATTGTGCAAAGAAAGGGACCTCGCGGGGGCCAGAATTCGGCTGAAGACAACTCGTGCAAGGAGGCTGAGCAGCGGTGAATGCTTCCAGGGAAGTAGGGACACTGACATGCAGGGTTTGCTGCACTCTGGCCGAAACAGGCTCCATTTGGAGGGCAATGCAGCGGTTTGAGCCATGCAGCAGCAGTTTGGCTGCACGACAGGCTGCCCACCACCTGGCCAGTCATTCCGACTGCATCGAAAAGGCCTGGCGGGGTTTCAACACAAGACGTTGAGCCAAAGAAACACACTGGGCTTCGTTCTTGAGATAAGATGTTGGGATTTGTGATATACCTGCCCCGACGGAATTGATGTCGGTATTTTAGATTGAATGCATGCACAAAAAGGGCAAAGCAGCAACTCTAGAAGCCAAGACCACGCCCACTAGATCTGTGTGTTACAGTGCCCGAGGGTGGTATGACGACAGTGGCCAGGGGAGCTGGAATGCTGGCTGAGTGAGCAATGGGGAGCTCCCTTAGCAAGGAGTCGAAATGAAGTGCCATCCAGGGGCGAGCAGAACCCAATGCGGAAATGGGGTAGGCTGGGCGCGCTACAAGTACTTGGTGAACGTAGATCAGCGGCACCGCCAGCCATTGGCAAAGATGCTGTCTCGTTGCGCCAGCCTCGAGCAAACACTTTTGCGTTGTGAGAAGAAAGAATGCATCGCGACAAGAGATGCAGGGCTCTCGGGCCACATGAGAAGGCCACATACGGAACGGTTCTGGCAGATGGATTGTTGCATGGAGGTAGTGGTACCTCTCCAGCACTGGAGACCCGCCGGGCTGCGTCAGCGTTGGTGTGTGGGGTCGCCCATCTTTTTTTGGTGGATGCGCGGGTTTAGTCGACAACCCGAACTGCACGGCTTCTACGGCTTGGCCCACTGGCGGGACTCTCTCGACACTGGGGACGCACTGAGAGGCCATCATCCATGGATCGATTTCTGTACCATCCTGGATGGCTTCCTGTCGTGACACCAACATCTGCCTGGGCTGACAACATTCTCTGGGCCTAGCCTCGTTTGCAGGTGCAGCTTCGGATTTAGCTGCATCTTGGGGTTTGGGCTAGTTGGCTAGCAAACGGCCGTCGTTGTTTTCGCTGGTGAACCCCCGGTCTTGCCTGGGACAGCCCCAGGACCAGTAGGCAGATTTTCACCTTGGGAAAGGCTCTAAAGCAGAATAAAGTAAGAACATCACCAATTTGAAACTGTGCAAAGTGTCTGTAGCCTGGCGCTAGTTCCGCCAGGGCTGTCTTCTCGCTTGTTGCGGCAGCCAGTTGTGACCACAGCCAGGGAGCTCCCGGCGCGCCATTGCTCGTCTTCCCATCCATTTTATTATTATTCAACAACCCTCGGTGAGCATCTCGATCTCCTTCTCCCCAATTCCTCCCTGATTACCTCTGCCAACCCCTCACCGACCTTGTCGACTCCAGGACCCGCGGCGCTGACGGGACAGTCTCACTGTTGCGGAGGAGACAAGAAAGCAAACAGGAGTGCGAGACCACTGTGCGACCAGTCGAAGAGTAGTACAACAGGGGAATTAAAGGGAGAGAAAAAAAGGTTGTCCTCTGTTCACCAACGGCACTCATCCCCTGCTGTGTGCACGGCGGCACTTGGCGTACCAAACGCGATCAAAATCTGGCAGAAACTGTTGGACAAGCCACGAGCAATACCGGCACCCAGCTGGGCGGTAAATTACGAAGGTATGTCACTTGGTCTCTTTCCATCTGTCAAACATAGTTCTGTCTAGCGTTTCCTTTTTGTCTGCAACATGTTCGTCCGCCCATCTGTCAATCCCTCGCTGCTTGTTTCTTTTTTTGGGGGGGTGGGAGTGAGGTTGCGGGTGTGTGCCGTCATAGACACTTTATTTTCAGCAGCATTTTCAGGGTTGCCCTCCGGGACTCTAGCTCTCTCTCCCTTCCACCAGACGGATCGAATGGAGGTGTTGGTTCCTGGCGTGGTGCACCATGCGGCACACACAGTCTCTCACTTGGAGTCTCTCCCCTCTCCAGCCCCATTCTCACACAGTACCTGCACTACACCCTCAAACCAAACCTGCCTCCACTTCCCTTTCCAGTCATTGACACACAGGCCCCCTGGCCTAGGTAACTTGGCTCTGGGCTGGGCTGGCTTGAGGTCAGATATCGTGGCGTTTGTTCGGTAGTTACTTGTTTCTCCCTCCTGGTCCTGCCCCGCCTGATCGCCATCCTCATCCCTCCATTGAGTCCAGAGGAGAACAGACACAGACTACTTTGCGCTCCGTCCAGGTGGCGGCCGATGGTCCGGTCGGTATTGAGGAGTATTGACTGAGGTAGCGGTACCTACCTTGACGTGTGCTTGAGTACGAGAGTACGAGGGTGTGGAGGCGGGCAGAGACAAGTGTGTGTGCACCAGCCAGGTGGGTGGTGGGTTTTTTTTCTGGGCTCATGGCCCGGGAAGGCCCCCCCCCCCCGTCCCTGTCCCGCAGCGTGCATCCAAATATGCATGCGGTGCACGCAATCCAGCTTGAGCATTTGCTGTCGCTGCTGTGCGCTGTGCCAACATACTGCCCTACGCACGCTGCCTGAAGTACTTGCAACACCAATCCGTCCTCCAAGGATCTCTATTCCCGCATCATCTTCCCAGACATTACGACGACGACAGTCGAGCATACACGCCATCCAGCAGCCTTCTTCTGCCCCCCTTCCCGCTTCTCTCTTATTTCTTTCACCTTTTTTCTTTAGTACGACTAGCTGCCCTGATCGCATTTTTCTTGCCTCTCGTGTTGTCTGATTATGTCTGGGCTCATTCTCTGACGCAGTGCTTCTACAATTAGAACTAGTCTCCTGTTCTAGCCAGCGCCTCATTCCATAGGCCTGCACTTGTCACTCGTTTACGCCCCCCCAGCCGTAGGAGGTTGAAACGCCGCCGCCCTTGCCTGGCTTGCTTTTCCCCCTTGGCCAGCCTCAACGACCTAACCTTACTCGGGATTGAAGCAAAGCAAGCCACACGGACGATCGATGCAGACGTGGGAGGGCTGAAAGTTCGGAGCCATCACCACCCAGATTCCTCGTCCCCGCCAGTCTCAGCCGTCTGCGACCCGTCCGGCTTTGTGCGACCTCAGCGACTTGCGAGCCGAATATTTCGCAGCACGAGATGGCGGCCGTGACTACCACTCCCCCTCCTCCCACCTCGGCCTCCTCCTCCTCCAGCCCCAGTCGCCGCAAACCAGTCGCCCTGCACGAGCTGTCACCAGAACGCTGGGACGGCACGAAACCTCTTCCTGTCGTCCCGTCCACCGAGTCCGCTCGTCTGAGGCAACCCCCTGTTTCCCCCGTCAGGGTCAATTTCCAACAGGAGAACTGGGCCCAGCCTTCCAACGCAAACATCGAGACAACTCTTCCGTACGAGGCAACACCTCCAAAGCAGAACACCTACGACCGTGATCTGCCCAAGACTCCCGAGGCCCCCACGCCACCGCCCCATACACCCATAGTTGACCAGGGAAACCAGAATCTGGGTGACAACGGCCCCGTTCAACCGACGGTACGACAAGTGGGGAGAAAACCGGTACCAATTCTCGAGTCCCGGCCGGTCGGATTAGGCCCGGCAGACACATTGAGCCCAATGAGCGCGCACTCGGGATTGGACTTTGGCTTCTCTCAGCCCTCGGTGAGCGGGAGGACTGCTACCACCGATCCGGACGATGCAAGTTCGTCTGGTGTGGGCAAAGGACATGACGAGAATCGCAACAGCCGCGAGACGGACACCACTGTCAGTACCACGCAGCAGCAGACCTCGATCGAATCCTCCGCAACAACGAGCGCGAGCTCCGTGTCAGGCGCTCTGGACGCGGCAGAATGCCAACCCTCCCAAGACGCCTCGCCCGAGAGCTCCATTGAGAACGGCATACCGGGGAACCAGTCCGTACCTCAGCTCCAATACCATCATCAAGCTTTTCTTCCGAGGAGCTCGAGCGAACCACAAGAACAAGACCCTCGAGCGGCTTCTCAGCCGAACCTCTTGGACAGTGACGCAGCCATCAATCGCCATCTGACACCCAACTCCCCGTACATTCGACGCACATCTCTCCAGCGACCTGCATCCTCCTATTCAATCTACTCTGACTTCGGTCCCCGTGGCCGTTCACCCGGTGTATATGGAGGCTCGCACAACCGCGCCCCGTCGGCGCACTCCAGGAGATCCCCGGATACGAGACCGTCGTCATATGCGGACATGCTGAATGTGCCCTACCCGCAACCCGCCCCAGCACCCATCTCCTTCGACAACGCCAGACTTCGAAACAATGTAGGGACGAACGCATCCCTTCTGAGCGCTCAAAAGACTCTGGAGATGTATCGGCAGAATGTGAAGAAGACGAACGACTTGTCCATCCAGTATTCATTCGCTGTGTTCCTGATCGCCACGGCACAGGAACAGGGTTTCAACCATCAAGACTCGGGCAAGAAGAAGAACGCACCCAAGCCCGTACAAGATCTCGACAGCCCCTACGTGGAGGGCACCGCATCCTCACCCAGCGAACTGGTCCGCGAGGCACGAAGCATCCTGCAGAAACTCTCGAACGCGGGCTATCCGTTTGCCCAGTACTATCTTGCCGATGGGTACGCCTCGGGACTCTTCAGTAAGGGCAAGGAGGACTACAACTCGGCGTTCCCGCTGTTCGTGTTGGCGGCGAAGCACGGACATGCAGAGTCGGCGTACCGAACAGCTCTGTGTTACGAGTTCGGGTGGGGTTGTCGAAAGGACCCCGCAAAGGCAGTTCAGTTTCTCAGAACCGCAGCATCAAAACGACACCCAGGAGCCATGACGAGATTAGGAAAGGCCTGCTTGTCAGGCGATCTGGGCGAGAAGCGGTACCGCGAGGGTATCAAGTGGATGAAGCTGGCCGCAGAATCTGCCGACTCGGTCTACAACGCGGCGCCTTACCAGCTCGGCTGTCTCTACGAGACCGGATATGGCGACGACATCTTCCAGGATGAGAGCTACGCTGCTGAGCTGTTCACTCAGGCGGCGGACCTGGGCCATCCCGAGGCTAATTACAGGATGGGAGATGCCTACGAGCACGGCAAGCTCAACTGCCCGCGGGACCCTGCCCTCAGCGTCCACTTCTACACCGGCGCTGCGGAACGCGGGCACGCTGCTGCCATGATGGGTCTCTGTGCATGGTACATGGTCGGGGCTGAGCCCCTGCTGGAGAAGGATGAAGAAGAGGCGTACGAATGGGCGCGGCGCTCGGCTGAGCTTGGTGAGCAGTGCCCAACTAAACGCTGTGTCTTTTCTGATCACTAACGAGGAATTTGGTTTATTCAGGCTACGTCAAAGCACAGTATGCAGTCGGCTACTTCACCGAGATGGGCATCGGATGCAGGAGGGACATCCTCGAGGCCAATGTGTGGTATGTCAAGGCGGCCGATGCAGGCGACGATCGGGCCAAGCAGAGGTTAGCCGCTATCCGGGCGGCTATCAGCGGCGGCACGCCCATGGACGTCGCGCCGCCCAGGAACGGAAAGATGAAGAAGAACGGAGAGAAGGACGACAGCTGCGTTGTTATGTGATGGGACCCCCGGAGGCGGGTCGGGTATGACGTTGTTGACCGGAACGATTCGGAACGATATCGAAATGACTTCGAAAAGCAGCAATCCGGCCCTGATCTCCCAGCGTCTTTCATGGCTTGCACAACCTGGCTTGGATACCCGTGGATAATTCGTTTTGCAGACTTTTTGGGATTTCTGTTGGGCCCGAGAGCTGCCCGGAAAGCGACCTGGGGGTGCATCAGGTCCGGGGCCAGCTTTTATGCTCATATCCTGTCTCCTCGTTTGATAATCGATTGCATTCTGTTGGTTTGGCGAGAGGAGACTATGCCGTGTCAGTGGGATGAGCAATCTCTCCGGTGAGAGTTTTCTGGTTGTCTTTGCTCTTTTCAATAATACGTCCTGGAGGACATTGTGTCATGGACCATTTGCTTTTGTTTCTTTCCATCCTGGTACCATTGCATCGCACAGACTTCTTTTTTTTTTTTTGCATCGCGCGAGGGATCGACGAAACCGGGGGAGGGGAACCCAGTACGCTCATTGAATTCACGACATTTGGGTAAAAAGCAAAGGTTTCCTTCAACAAGTCCTTCTCCTCGTGCGGATCGGGCGTTTTTTTCTCCCCCTCTCCTCCACCTACTTGTTTGTTGTCTTTTTGTTGTTGCTGTTGTCGTTTGTTTTTGTCTTTTGCAAGTCTGGCTACATCGTCTTCTGTTCCCGCGCGGGTGTTTTGAGCTGCTTCTCTCTTCTCCCTAATGCAGCTGTAGAAGACGGTCGAAGGAGAAAAAGGGGCTTCTGGAGACGCCGTCGCCGTATATACCAAGACTAATTAATCATATGCCCTTACATTGAATCGCCCCCGTTGGCCGTGTTGGTGTTTTTGAAGTCTTGTTGCCGACTCAGGCCTTACTATTGCAAGCTTGAGGCGCATGCTCAGGATAGGGCTGCATCACGTATAGTCTCTTAACATATTTGTTGTCTGAAAGATGTGTAGCCGGTAGCCGTAGTACCGGATAGCCATGCGTCTAGTGACTACTGCTTGTATCAGAACCAAGGTCTGAGAGAGATGTCCAGACATCATTTCGTCAACCATATCAACACCGTGGTACTGACTGGCCTTTGCAGCTGCGCGTTTTCCCAATAACACACTCACGGAAGCTACCTACTTCGCGATCGAGCCTTGGGGCCAGGCTCATAATTAGTAGGACGATCGGATGGCAAACGTGGGACTGCCGAGAGGGGTCACGAAGGAAACATGCTGTATCCAGCTTGTCCCCCATCCTATTATGTATGTTACGTTGGTGGTACACGTGCCAGCGGAAGTTTTTGAGTACATCGGGAGCTGAGCTACGCAAAAAGAGACGGTTTGTCTTGTCTGTCTGTCTGTCTGTCTGTACCTTGTGCCAAAGACAACCCATGATAAGCATAGCTTGTGAAGACCATTTGTGTAGTTGAAGAGCCAAGCGCTTGACTATCGAGAGGGGAGCACAATGTTGGACAGGGAATATCGACTGCTTGCGTTGCGCAGCAGCGCCTCTTTTGCCCACTTCCCCCTAGAAGAGGAGGCCGGGCCCCTTTCCTTCCTCAGGACCGGCCGGGTGCTCATCGTGTTGATTTTCTCTCCGTTCAGGGTTTTCTTTTTGGGCAATGGGCGAGCCGACTGATCTGATCTGATCTGATCTGAGCAAATTGGAAAAACCAACATCCAATCCGCCACGACAGAGCTTCGCCTCCTTCTAGCCCAACCTGGCTCTTCTATTCCACCACACCTTCCTTGAGACTTACGCGCGCGGCAAAACATGTCTGGTTGGTATAGATGTGTGTGATAGGCTACAGCAATGGGACAGACAACAAAAGTTCAGCTCGAGTTGGGGGCTCAGCTCTCGGATGATCAGAAACGTCCCCATATGTTGTACGTAGTTCTGTTGTCTACGCCTGTTACGGCGAGAAGAGCTCTCTCTCTCTCCCTCTCTCTCTCTCTCTCGTTCTCTCCCCCTGTTTCTCTCCCCAAGCAAACACAAACACACCAGGACAGGCATGGCATGACGCGCCAGGACAGACGACACAGAAGAGGCTCGGGGTCCAAGTATGCTAAGGCAGTCCAATGCATGTTTCGTAAATGGACGCTATGGTAATAATAAGATTCATACATTATGTATCAGAAGAGTAATAATACCAGTTTTCTCCTCTTCCCGTGCGGAGCAGACAGGACCCCCGAGAGAGAGAGGCTTTCCCCAGTTTCGTTTCGTCAAAGGCACCAGAAAAAGAAAGAAGCCCAAGAACCGAAAAAGAACACACAAGCACCTACAACACATGGGATAGAGAGTCGTCGTCATGAATGATGATGAGAGGTGGGCAACTCCCTCAAGTGATCGCCAGCGACAGCGGGCATTTGTTGAGATGCAAGAAGGGTAACCACCGAGAGCTCATATATATGTATATATGAAACGTAAATATACACCTATGCTTTGAGATATTGACATGAGAGGAAATCCACACACAGGATGGATTAGGCGTATATTCGGGATAGTAATTGCAAGAGGCTTTCATATATACACATTTTTGGGGGAGGGGGTCGGATGCGAGTCGCAAAAGGATTAAAAATAATTCTTAGACAAAGGGGAAGTTGTGGCTGGTGGCTCCAGCGCAAAAAAAAGAGCACGAACTTGTCGTCAGGGGCTGTGGGAAAGAGAACACGGCCCCCGAGTCTCGTTCATCATATCCATGCATGAATTTTTTTCGCACTTTTTTTAATCCACTAGAACAGAGAACCACAGCCCCAGTGCTTCTCGCAACCGCACTCGCCATCCTCCTTCCAGTCGTCATCGGTGTGGGAGAAGAAGGCGATGGAGCCGCCGATGGCCTGCTTGAGCGAGGAGATGGCGGTGGCCTGGTCCTGGGGGCTGCAGCAGGCGACGCCGTTGCACTTGCACTTGGAGGGCCAGCCGGACTCCATGACGTAGCCCTCCTTGCCGCCGCAAAGGGCCTTGACGATCTCGAGCTGGCCCTTGACGAAGGGGCCGGCCTGGTCGGGCGTGGTCTCGGCGTTGAAGTAGGCGTGCGAGTTGCAGGCGACGACATCGACGTTGGGGCAGAGGGTCTCGGCGACGCCGGATCCCTGCCAGGCGGCAACGGTGTCAGTGGTGGTGACGGGGGCGTTGCAGCCGCCCGAGACGAGGACCTCCTTGACCTCCTTGATCAGGGTGACGAGCTGCTGGGCGGAGCAGAAGCCGTTGTGCAGGGCCTCGTTACCGACGACGCACATCTCGACGAGGTTGAACTTGCCCCAGTTCTTGATGGCCTGGATCTGGTGGGCGACGTCGGGGTTGCTGTTGTCGCAGCCAGGCTGGCTGATGAAGACACCGATGATCATCTTCATGCCCTGCTGCTCGCAAGCGGCACCAACGTTGGGGAGGGTGTCGCAGTCGGTCGAGTAGACACGGACGGTGGAGAAGCCCGACTTCTTGATCGCGGCGATGTCGTTGCTGACCTCGGAAGCGGTGCGGCAGACACCGCCGGGACCGTAGGGAGTGTAGGTGATAGCCCACTGCTCACCACCGCCGAGCTTGGGGACGGTGCCCTGGGGCTTGGGGGCAGGCTTGGTCTCCTTGGCCGGGGGCGGGGTAGCCTCCTTGGTGGGAGCCGGAGGGGGAGCGGCCTGGGTGGTCTTGACGGGAGCAGGAGGCGCAGGCGAGGTGAAGGGGCAGTAGACGACAACGTCGGTCTCGACGACGGTGGTGACGACGGCGGGAGCGGTGTAGGTACCAGGAGCGTAGCTGGTCACGGTGGGGACGCAGACGACGGTCTCCTTGGTCACAGTGACGGTGACGGGGGCGATCGTGTAGGTGCCGGCCGCGGGGCAGACATAGGTGGTCGTCTTGATGACGCTGGTGACAACGCCGTTGGACTTGGTCTCAGTCGTGGCCACGGGGCAAGTGACGGTCGTGGCGGTCGTGACAACGGTCGTGACACCGCCGAGCGTGTGGGTGCCCGTCGGGACCTTGGTGGTCGAGGGACCGCAGACGGTGGTGCTCTCGGTCACGGTGACGGTGGTGGCCGGGAAGGTGTAGGTGCCGGGGGTCGGGCAGGTCTGGGCGATCGGCGTGGGCACGGTCGCGGGCGTAGACAAGGTCGACGTGGGCGGCGGGGGAGGAGGCGTGCTGGTGGTAGGGGGGACAGGAGGAGTGTAGACTGTGCGGCGTATGTCAGTTTTTCTGCTCTTGACCTCTCACCGGGGACTGCGGATCAGATCCCCCATGGCATGGCAATATCGGGGCGACGTACGGGTGGCGGGACCAGTCACGGTGGTCCAGTAGGTCGTGCAACCGCAGGTCTCGTTCTGGTTCTGAGGAGTACCGGTGGTCAGGCCACGCTTCTGGAACAGGTCGTGAGCATGGCGGTGCTGGTGCGAACGGGCACTGGCACTTCCAGCGAGGACCGCGACGGCGGCGGCCACAATCGATCCCTTCATCCTGACTGCTGAATGTTTGATATTTGGATTTTTCTAGTTTTTCCGAGTAACGAGTGCCCGCTAAAAGAGTGAAGCGGTATGTGGAATGGGTGTAAAAGGAAGGACGAAAGCGAATGAAGCTTTCAAGATGGCGGCATCAACATCCAGAGACGTTCCCGTGAGGAGAGAGAGAGAGGGAAAAAGAGAAGGATCAGAGGCGGGAAGAGCGAGCAGAGGGCCCGTTATTATCATCTCACCTGCAGCCGGGGTGCTTGGGGATGGGAGCGCCACTTGGGCAGACCGGACGAAGAGGGCAGTTTGCAACGGGCAGAGAGTGACTGGGGTGTGCACAGCAGGTCACATCCATGACCCCTGGATGGTTGCTTTTCATGGTGTCTTGTTGTGGAGCTTCATTACGATCTTATCCACATGCAGCAACCAAGAGCCAAGAGAGACAAGGTCCGAGCAGGGTGGTGGGAGGCACATGCAGCGGTCAGAGTGGATGAGGTGCCAGGCGAGCCAGGCTGACCGCACACCAGTCGAGTCCAGCTTGTCATCTCGTCCAGATAGGTAGCAGCGGTACTTGAAGGGAAAAAGCTCATCAGGGGACCAGGATCAAGGGTGCCAACTCGGCCGGTGGTGCCGTGCCCTCGTACGGAGAGAGAGAGAGCAGCATGTACTTGTACCGTTGATGGGCAATTTGACGAGCATTGACGCTTGAGAACAGCATTGGAAGCACAATACTTTGTCGCAGAACACTGGCACACGACATATGAGAACGGAAGGGATAGCGCTTGCTATCGAGATAGCCATCACGGATCCATCACGGATCCATACGGATATGATGCAGCAAAGATCACGCACAACATAGGTCTCGTCGACAGACAGACAACATGAAATAACGGAATAGCGGAACGGACGGGGAAAAGCGCATGCATCTTGCTTTGCTGTGCCCGTACCAGTCCGTAAATTAGCAGCAAATTAGGGTTCCTAGTGGAAAGGGGGAAAGGTCGGTGACTTGAGTGGCTTGCAAGCCCAGAAACGGGATGATGCTTTTCTGCCTCTGCCCTCGAGAGCGGAGGTGGGTTTTCGCTGGAGCTGGGCGGTGACGGTTGGTTGGGTCGGATGGGGCAGGGCGTAAATTCGCTGTCTTGGGTGGAGTCGGGCCAACCTAAAGAGCTAAAAGGCGGCCAGAGGCTAGCGCAGGTACCTCAACTGGGCCGCCGGTGGCCGTTTCCTCCTCTTGGGCCTCCTCTTGGGTGGGGAGGGGGTTTCCTATCAAATCTAACGCCTCCTCCCATTGTTTAATTCGGTGCCTGGAGACCTTTGATAGGCGATGGCTCTCAGACGAGGGATTGTCCCTAGGTACCTAGGTAAGGTAGGGTACGAAAGGAGATACCCCGGTTTTTTGCCTGCCACTCCGGACCAAGAAGCGCTTGCATTGGACGGTGTTTATTATTGTTGATATTGCTTGATTGAGCTTCGACCTATTGTTGGCGCACAAAAGCGCCGAGAAGGGGGGCGGGAGGCAGGCCCAGAATGGAAGCAAACGCTGTCCGGGGTGGAAGCGTGGCAGAAGAAGCGGGCAGTCACTGGCCGCTGGTCACACACCCGGGAAATTGGCTAGGCGACATTACGAAATCCGAGATGAGGCACACACACACACACGTTGTTAACAAAGCGTTGATTGCCCAGAGACCAAGCCGCCAACGGTGACGACAAGCGGGAAGATGCTCACCCATCGGCCAGCTCCCAGTTTTGGTAGGTATCAGTGCGTCACGAGGGCGCTTGCTCGGCGCCAGGAACTAGTTAACTACCTAGGTACCCTCCATCCATCCATCTCTCTCGCCAGGCTCCTTTCTTGTTCATTCGGCCAACGGAACCCAAGGCGGTGGTCTCCTTTATGCAGGCCGGGCACGCGATGCCATCTACGGGCGAGGCAATTTGGCAGCGTGGCAGCCAATCTGGCAAAGGGTAACAGGCGCTGCAACGAACCCCAGACGGTCGAAAGCTCCCATGCAACCATGCAACCTGGGTGCATGGGCTTTCGGTGGCAAAGATTGAAGCTGCCCCGGACGGCGTTGCCCTCTCACTCTCTCGGGGAGGGGAGAAGCACCGTTCTGCTTTTGGACCAAGAAGCATCGAGGCCTTGGGCATCCTGGTCGCCAGATGGAGACGGTGATCTCGGCCGGCGATCCTGCCTCGATTCAGCCTTCGAGGTCTGCCTGTATTGTACCTATTGTACCTGCATGTGTGCAACCCACCGCTCCTGTCAGGTCAGCCATTTGGACGAGAGACAGTCCAGGGGTCCCCTGCTCGCCACCGACAGCGACCCTTGTCCAAGCTCACAGCCGCGCTCCATTAAGGTGCATCTCATTTCCTGAGATCCACCTCTCACCCATCCGCGCCAACTCATAAGGACGCGGCGCATGCGGACTCTTCCATCGCCTCCTTTTCGATGCAATCTCGCCTGACTGTTTCTCATCAACTGCTTCTAATCGTAAAGAACCAGTCCGTTGAAACGGACGGCCCTCTCGTCAGCGCCCTCCCTCCCTCCCTCCCCCCCCCGCATTACCCATCTTTGGCGCCGTCTACTAAGCCGGCAGCACCACCGCCCACAGCCTGCCCGTTGTTTCAGATGATCGCCTTTCCATTTCCCTAGACAAGATTGAGGCCCGCCGAAAAAGGGCGATGGCTGATTAGAGGTCCCAGTCCCATTTCATGCACAGCACTCCACTCGCGTGTGCTCCAGAGGCTGCCGCTCATTTGCTTGGCACGTCTCTATCTGCCGTGCCTGAAGGATCGTCCGGCGAGGGACGCTCTCCAATGAGGCAACGATTACCAGAGAAGCGTCTAGATTCGCGAGATGCGTCCAGGGAGCCGCCGTTTAAGCTGTGTCTTGGCAGTACCAATATTTCCGAACAAGAGGCCTGTCAGTGTCCATCTCCGCAGGGAAAGCCGTTGATCAAGACGATCGAAAGGTCTAGATGCACTTCACTTCACTGAAAGCACCGATGACTTGCTCTCAACTCAAGAATTCACATTTGCAGACAGCATGAAGCACGAGTGTATGTCGAGGAACGCGATGATGTGATCCCAAACGATAACTAGTATTCGATTCTAATGTTCTAAAAGACCCGCCAACACCGCCGATAGTGTGCATTATACCCTTTCGTATGCCTTCCTTTATGATGCCATTCCCAAGCCAGCGCAACATGCTGTTATGCGCCTATTCTCCCAATGTCCCTCATGTTTGCCATTGCCCGATGTTTTACATTTCATTACGTGGGCCCGGTCTCATAAACCGACCCCTTGAAGCCCTGCTTCCTTTCCTCCCTAGTACTGAAAGGCAATGCCCAAAGCCAGCAGACCGGCGATCAGGGAAGCCTAAATGGGATGTTAGTGATCTGAAAACAAGACTGATCGTATGTGGACAGCACTTACATGGACCTCGCTCCAGGAAGCCCCGGAAACGGGAATGCTGGTGCTCTGAGAAGGCTTGGAAGTCTGCGTGACGTTGCCACCCCCGGGCGTCGACGACGTCGTGACCACCATGCTGGACGACGGCGGCATCGACGACGAGGCCGCAGTCGTCACGGTGGTGCTGCTTCCGCTGCTCGACATGACCATCGTGGAGCTGCTGGTCCCCGCAGCGCTGCTCGACATGCTGGCAGAGCTGCTTGTCACCGTCGTCGAAACAACGGAACCAGAGCCGGTGGCGGTGGCAGTAGCGACGTCGCTGGTGACATCACCGGACCCCGACTGGGCCATGACCGAAGAGACGGCCGCAAGAGCCAGGATAGCGAAGCGGAAGGCCATCTTCACGGGAGAGTCACTGGTAGGTCTCGTGGTGGTTTGTTTCGGAGGAGGCAGTTTAGAGCTTGAAGAGACTAGGTAGGTACGCAGAGACTCGAAGAAAGTTGAATAGGCCGAGAAGAGAAACCGAGAGAGCCCTCCTACTCGCAACAGCCAGACTTATATACCAGGTGCCAAGAGCCATCACATTCCATCTCGCACACAAGCCAGCCAACTTTGTCTCAACTTGCGAACAAAAGACCCAGCAGATAGCGCCACTGTAGCTCCCGGAGGGGCCGATCTGGTCGTCGGATCAACGTGCAACGGCCCGCGGCCTGGATGGCGACTTGCCACCAGGAAGCACGGCACTGGAATGTGAGGCCAAACCTTTAATCAGACGGTGGCTAGCCTGCCACATCTACACCAGACCTGGGGGGCAGGATCTGCCCTACAAGTAGGTAGGTATGGACACATTGCTCCCTGAGGGAGGCTACCTTGGCTCAGAGTGAGACAGAGGGCTTTAGCACGTATGTAAGAGAGGGGGCAGGGGGATGCTCTTTTGAAGCTATGCCTGGCCATCGCCTGGCGGGCGCCACCGTTCCTGGCTGTTCCTGACCGACCTAGAGCATGTTGGCTCAGCGATGAAACAGAAAAAGGGAAAAGTGTCTCGTAAGCAGTAGATGCAATTGGTCAGCTCCCATGCAGAGAAGCGACGTAAAAATAGACTGGAATGTTTTCCGCGTTTGGGAAAAGCAAAAGCCCGTCCCATGGGAGTAAACTCTATGCCAGGAGGTGAAATGAGGTTGACTGGAATGCCCGTGGACTATTTGGGCGGAACGACTCTGACCAATCACTGGAGGGGCGCCACAATTATTCACTGCAGCCTTGCCTCCAATTTACGCCACAGACCACCAAGGCTGAACGCATCAAAAGACGCAATTTTGTTTGTCGCCAGCATCATCGCCAGCAACAGCCCTGGTGTAGGCACGACAAGCGGGCAGGGTTTTGAAATCCGAGCTTGCAACGATGCAGAGGACAAGGCCGTCCCACGTTTGCCTGGGCTGCCTGGCGCGCAGCTACCGAGGGCAGGCATGGCCGAGCTATCAAGCCCGCGCCCCGAGATGCGACAGCCCAAGCACAAAGTCGTCGCTCGTCTACAGACGGAGGGTAAGCCAAGCTAATACACTATTTGTTGGGGCTTTGGCTGCTGACTGCATACGTTACAAGACATTCGCGACAGTTCAATCCCCAAGCTCCAACTTCGTCGATCGCGAGCCAGTGCCACCTCCAGCCGGCAGGCGCAAGTCCCATGGCATTCCGATACGGCCTATCAGGGAGCGGTTGCGAGAGTGGGAGGCAAAGAACCCCAAAGTCCCCCAAGAGCCAAGGGAAGATCTGGCCTCGAAACCAGGCGCACCCGAGAACAGCCTCACTCGCACCGTGAGCCCGTTCATGGTACACCTGGACGACGACGAGGTCCCCGCCCAACCCCTGTTCGACGGCGAAGAGCTCGCCGAGGTACGCTGTGACACCACGTTGGTTCAGGCTGGTGACTTGGTAGAGGTCAGGTGAGTTTGTTCAACTTGCTATCCTGTGCGGACAAGCATTGAGACTGACCGCGTCTGTGCCGGCTAGCTCTTCCTCTTGGAGAGTAGCGCTGCTTGCTGTCTGCCTAGGTCGCTTCAACGGCTACGACCACTTCTACACCAACACGGGCAAATGGTTCACGAGCCAGTCGCTCCGCACATTATTCAAAGTCGACGGCTTTGTCAAGGAGGATGAGCTCGGACCCGTCATCGAGGCCCTGCCCTCCGTCGAGTCCCCGATCGAGACTCTCAATACCCTCCAAGACTTGAAGATGGGCCCGTCAAGAAACGTCGGGGCCAACCTCATCAGCAGGATGCAAGCCTTCGCCGCCGAGTCGGACACCGTTCACCAGGCCAACTGCGCGCGGTTGGACAATGCGTTCGAGCTCCTGGAACAAGATGACGCAAGATATATGTCCCTCGATGAGATTGCTAATGCTCTCCTGCCGGGGCATATCAAGTCCAAGGGAAAATTCAGGCCCGCGGCCCTGTACGCTGTCCACAAGGCCATCCTCACCGACGACCTCGCTGTTCGACCGCTTAGCGACCTCGGTCACAACCGCTCTTATCTGTTCGAGATCAGCCCGCGCTGTGATGTCGAGAGGGCTGAACGGGTTGAGGCTCAAGTTCGAAGATTCCTAGACGAGCATCTGCGGCTCAGGGGTTCTATATCGGATCAGAAACTCGAAAAGAGTGTCCTGGGCAACTTTCTGCTCAAGGCCCGGCAAGCAATCGACCAGAGTCGCAGATCTCGATCATGGTCGGCCCATGGAGTCCTCGGGCCCTTCAACAAGGCCCAAGATGCTGAGCCAGTACAGTGGTCTACTCTGGATCTGAACTTTATACAATTCATGCACAGATGGGCCGGCTTTGAAGACTATCCTCTCAACTCGCGCGTGCAGTGGATTGGAGCGGCCATTTTGAGAGCGGTGGAGCGATACCAAGACTCAGAGTACCTGACAGCCTCCACTGGATGGACGTTCTTGCAAGAAATTGGATATCTCAAGCCCTGGGATATCCAGGCTCGGTATAGCACCCGCATCCCCGGCGTTGTACCGAATCGGCAGGGCAGTCTTGACCGGGTACAGCCTGCCTCGCTGGTGCTGGAGGAGGACATATTTGCCGGGACACGGAAAGCATGGAAAGGCGTTACTGCGTACTGCATCGACTCGGCCAGCACGACCGATATAGACGATGCAGTATCTATACAGCCTACCGAGACACCGGGAGAGTATTGGATCCATATCCACGTCGCCGACCCAGGCTCCTGCATCCGGCCGGGCAGCAGCCTTGCCGAGTTTGCAAAACTCGTCCCACAGACGGCATATCTGCCGGGTCATTTTGAGCGCATGTTTCCAGGGGATCTCGTGCGCGAGAGGTTCTCGCTCGCGCCAGACCGGCCGTGCCTGACCTTCAGCGCGAGGGTGAACGAGGAGGGCGCCGTTCTCGAGCACGACATCACTCCAGGAACCCTCGACAGCGTCATCTACATCGAGCCCGCCGAGGTTTCCGCAGTCTGCGGCGTCGAACCCCCCAGCCTGGATATCGCCCAGCAGGTCTTTGAAGTCGGCACGCCCCGCAGCCTCGAGTGGCCGCCCAAGCGCGAGATGACCACCGCAGCCGAGCTCTCCGCCCAGGACGCCTCCAACCTGCAAACCCTCTCGAGGCTGGCCGCGGCCCTGCACTCCGTGCGCCTGTCCAAGGGCGCGATGCCGCTGTACTGGCCCCGCCCCACCGCGCAGGTCTCCCTCGCGGACACGCAGGTGACCGAGCTGGACCACGGCTTCTTCCGCTGCGCCGGCGACCCGTACATCCGCGTCTCGTACGGCGGCAGCAGCGCCACCACCAGCAGCAGTAACCCGCTCGTCGAGAGCACGATGCGCCTCGCCGGCGAGGTCGCCGCGCGGTGGTGCGCCGACCGCGCCGTGCCCATCCCCTTCCGCGTGCAGCCCCGCGCCGCGGCGGACGGGCCCGGCCTCGCCCGCCTCCGCGCCTTCGCCGAGGAGGTGCTCTACCCGCCGCTGCGCGCGGGCCGCCGGCCCCGGGACGCCGACGCCCGCGCCATGCGCGCGCTGCTCGGCCACGACGACGTCGCCGCCGCGCCGGGCCGCCACTTCACCATGGGCGCCGACGCGTACGCCAAGGCGACGAGCCCGCTGCGGCGGTACGCGGACCTGCTCGTGCACTGGCAGGTCGGGGCCGCGCTGCTCGAGGAGCGGCGCAGGGGCGCGAGCCTACGTGTCGTCGCTGCCGGCGGCGGCGGCGGCGACCGGAGCTTCCTGCCGTTCAGCAGGGCGCAGATGGAGGACGACGTCCTGCCCATGCTGCGCGTGCGCGAGCGGGCCATGCGCGCGCTCGACAACGCCGACGGCGCGGACCAGTGGATCCTGCAGGCACTCGTGCGGGCCTGGAAGTGGCCCGACCACCCCGCCGCCGACTCGGCATCGGCAGCGGGGAACGGCAGCAAGCTGAAGCTGCCGAGCGAGTTCCGGTTCGAGGTCCTCGGCGTGGCGCCCAAGCGCGGCCTCGTCCGCGGCCGGCTCGACTGGTTCGAGCGGCCCGCCGTCATGGAGCCCGAGGGGCTCGAGGCCGCCGGCGTCACGGTGCGGTCGGTGCGCGCCGGCGACGTGTTCCGCGTGCGGCTCGAGGACGTCAACGTGCCCGAGAGGCGCATCTCCGTCCGGGCTCTGGAGAGGGTTGTCAGTGCGGAGGAGTGATTAGGGGGCGGTGGGGGGTTGTGGAGGCTGTTGAGAGCGGCGGCTTTCTGCATATTCTTGTGAGGGCATATTCTTGTGTATAAGCTTCGGGTGTTGTCCGATGGGCGACGATGGGCCTCATCGTCTTTTGCGTTGAAGCTACAGACTTGCTTCCTCTTGTATAATTATTGGGGCGGAAGGGGATGTACGATATAGAACACGGCAAAACGATGGCATGCAGATAGATAGATACCCGCTGAACACAGAATGATCAGCCATATCGCAGATCGTAGACCAAGAACGTTCGGTCCCCTCGTCAGCATAGCTCTGCTGACGTTGTAGCCTTTGTGACGGGGATGTTGATACTGGCGGGAAAGCACCCTTCGATCCAGTCATTGAAGAGCAGCTCGACCTCTTTGGCTCCTTCCTGATCACGCACGGCACGCTATACATTCGATAGGGGTTCCACGGCCGATCGGATCATATTGATGTTGATTATCATCTATAGTAAGATGCGGATATAAATGTATATGTCGAAATGGAGATCCGCGAGCGAGGTCCAGTCCCGAGATCACGTCAAAGTCGTCGTATACAATAAATAGTATAGTGTCACCCCCATACACGCATGGTATCAAACGGACGGCTGAATGTATTTCTATCCATATATCCGCAAAACATTACAAAGGGGGCGCAGAGCAATCCGAGCTTCGGCCACAACGGTGCAGACCACTCGCTTGGGAAGACCCCGAGACCCGGCCCCCGATCAACAGACCGTGTGTGTCTTTGCACAGACATGATGGGACACGGCCGTCCCCCCCCTTCTTCCAAACATCACTTTTGCCCATACCCGATTTTGTGTTGCCAACCCTGAAATCTTTCAAATAAACACCCCTTTGGTGCTCCAATCGTTTGTTTGATCAAACCCGACGTGAAACCCCCAAAAGCCCCCCAACCCACATCCCATGATATTACTAAAACGCCAGACCCAGAAAAGAACCATTGCTTAACCTGGATGATGACCCCGAATACAGACAGGTAAAAGCCCACCAAAGAACAACAAAAACAGACGCAGGTATTAAGAACTACCGAGGTAGTGCGAATGCCAGGTAAGTCCTCACGACCCATGTACCGTAACACCTCTTATGCCCAAGATGTAAGGGAGGGAGAGAGCGAGACAATGATACCGGGAAAAAAAAGCTTGGTGATCATTGTCCGTCCTCTCAACAGACATGGCCATCGCGGAAAATGCAGTTTCAAAAACAAGTCGTCGAACCAGAGAACAATAAAAAAAAGCAAAACATACAGCAGTGTTTAAACAAGCCCCAATACTCCGTGTGCAATGCATCGTAAATGTCGTGGCGAAGCAGCCCCGTGACCCGATAGCGTCGAAAGGAAGCAAAGCTTTGCAACGAGGGACAGCAGAAAGCAAGGCGAGGAAGAAGGGTATGCAGCGATGACAAGAGCCCACGGGTGATGAAGATCACCCCCCGGGCCAGAAGAGCCGACCGGGTCCGCTCCGGAGACCGGTCATCCCTCTCCTCCTTTTGCCACTATTTTCGCTACTTGGTCGGGTGATGATTGGTGGGTCGCAAAGATCTTGATGGGTGTAACCTCGAGCCCCCTCCTAATCAACGAATCAGCGCCCGGCCATGATTTTTTCTTTATTTCCTCCATCCCACGTTCCAGATGACGTGGGCGATGTCGCGGGCCGTATTGACCGTATCAATGACCCGACCGACAATCCCGCCGTTGGCTCCCGCTGGCTCACCTTCCTCGTACGGCATGAACATGCCCGACTCTGTTCTCCGCATCCCAGCAGGTTCCGCGAAGAGGCTACCCGACGACGTAGATCGTTTGAGCCCGCCAGATGACTTGTCCTGTGAAGGTCCGGCCGATAGCTTCGACTCTCCCGCTTGCGATCGCCGGTTCATCCCGATGGTCAAGTCGTCGTTGTCGTCGTCCTCGTCTTCTTCATCCTCTTCGTCGTCGTCACCGAGGAACATCTTCTTTGAAGGTTTCGACGGCCGCAGGGTTTCTTGAGAAGAAGAAGGCGAAAGCATGGGGTGGCGGTAGCTGTGCTTCATGGCAGTCTCTTGAGGCTCGGGAGTGTCTTCCCGATATTTCAGCGTCGTGGAAGGAAGCATGGCGATGGTCGGGGTTTCACCGTGGTTGTTACTACTCGGCCTCCTCTTCATTGTCGGACGCCTCTTCTTCTTGACGCTAGTCTTCTTCATCATGATGGCCCCATCATCCGAGTCGCTGTCGAACGGGTAAGGAGCCGGGTCCATGTCCTCATCGTCCTCATCGCCCTTGATCTCGACGGCTATGCACTGCTCAACCTGTTCGTTGAAGTGGATATGCTTCTTCTCGGTGTTGGGAGTGATGATGCCGGAGGAGGCACTAGAAGGGACAAGGCTACTGCTTCTAGGAGTCGCTCCTGTCGATGAGAAGGGGAACGTCATATAATCAGTAGCGGCTCGCTCCAGGCGAGGGCGTGCCATCCGGCCACCCCCTTCCTTCTGCTGAGCCTGGACTGCCGCGGCAGCTTGCTTCAATAGAGATGAGGCCGATAATGATCTCTGAAGCATGACTTCAGACATACTCCTCTTCTTGAGAATAGGCTTCTTGTTGACGAATGAGTGGTTCTTGGATAGGTTTGCGCTATTATGATGCTGAGTCGGGATGAGACCCTCGTTCCCGGTTTGCAGCGGCCCATAGAGCCATGTCACATCACAGTCCTTGAGCCTGCAGATAGTTAACACCAACAGTACTGAGAAGTGTGGGCTAGAAGAGGGCAGATGGGTATTACCAGTTCAGAGTCTCGGGTGAGATGGTCTTTAGCTTATTTTTCGACTTCATCCATGTTCTCCACGATGCGTTCTCCAGCCGGGCGGAATTAGTGTAATCACGTCTCCTAGACACGATATACTTCCAGGATTCCCAAATGTCCTCTTCCCTCCAATCGTGAGAAAGATAGTCCACATGCCTGGACGGCTGTGCCCTCAGGGCCGTGTCATCCTCAGCATGCTCAAAGAAGTCTGGAGAGTCCGGCCGAGACGTATCCGTCGAGGTGGTGTTGTCATTGGGCGAAACGGTGTATGAATCACCCAACCCACGGGGACTAGGTGGCGGCTCCAGGTCTTCGGCTTCCTCAAGGAACCCTACGTCGTCGTATTGAGGCAGAGTGAAGGCGTCCTCGGGCTGGGTCGGTCCGAGATGAAGAGCCTCGTCGAAGCGCGATTGAAGGGGTAACGAGGTCGTGGGCTTCTTTGCAAAGGACACTCCGGTCGTTGAGTCAGTATGGCTCGGGTGAGGGGACGATGGTGCTGAAGAAGGAGCCGAATCGGAGACAACCTGGACAGGGTGATTATGTATTTCGTTTATGCGGGACGTCGAAGACGATGTACGGAATCCCTGGTGCTTGGTGCCAAACTTGGGTTGGGAGTGGGAGCGTCTGAGATTTGAAGGTGCGAAATAGCTGCTCTCTTCGGTCGAAATGACGACGGCCATTGTGATCGGTAGTCCAGGACGTGCCGTCCGCGTCCAATATCACCGCCGGGTGGTTCCTTCGTTGTTACCTCATAAGGCACCTGAGCCCGGCAGGTAGAAAGATGCGGTGCGCCTTGGGCGATATGGGTTGGGGATATAGGAGGGGTTTGCACCGAAAGCGTTCAATTCCGAGGAGAGGGGATTCTCGTCTGCCTTTCTATTGCAAGGAATGCTGGGTCGTGTCGTGTGATGTGGACTCGCAGGACGGTCAGAGCAGGGACGGTTGCGTTGCAGCTTGCTCGCCGGCAGAATAGGGACTCGAGCCAGGGCAGCCGGGTTTGCGCAAGGGATGCAGATGGGTACAAAGGCGGTGACAGGGGTGGTGGCGGCCGGGAGGGTTGACTCTGGCGTATGGAGGGTAGAATTCAGTCAATCCGAGTCGGCAAGATGGTGAGGGTGTCGATGCTGGCGCTGCAAAGCAAGGGTCGGAAACTGCAAGGACAGATGCGAATGGGAGAAAAGGGCAGTAAGTGATGCTCGGGAGAAGGGGTTGTGCAAAGATAAAGGACTGGCAGTGGGATGTCGAGGCGAAGGAAAATGGAGATCGCGGAAGGGATGGGCAGGGTAGCGAACGGGGTGGTAGTGTTCTGGAATGAATGGTGCGTGTATGGATGGTGTCTTGGTAGTGTTGGTAGGGTACTTGGGGGGTCGAGAGAGAGACGAATGTGTGTGTGTGTGGGTGGGTGTGGGTGTGGGCGTGGGCGTGGGCGTGGGCGTGGGCGTGGGCGTTGGTGGTGGTGGTGGTGTCTGTACATTAGCCCCAGGCCTGTCTATGCGGTACTTGTAGATCCAAGGGCCACTACACTTGGGGGGGATCTGGCGCTGTCGGTAGCGGTACCTGGCCCTCGACGAGCACAAAGGTACCCTCCTCGAGGTGTGCTAGGCTGCGCTACCTGCCCTCCCTCTCCCACTGCCTGCTCTCTGTTCAATTATTACACTCGCTCTTCCATTATCCGTCGGTAGTGTTATCTCGAGTGCTTTGCTGCTGCTCGCTGCACCTGGATCGATCTCTGTTCCATTCATCCAAGGTGGCTTTGGGCCACCTGATACGGGTGAATGTCCCGGGTTTTTGGGCAAGCAGAGAGGGAGAAGAAAAAGACACGAAACGTCGTCGAATGTGGAGAGCAGCACTGGGCAGGTAACTCGGTAGGTACTCGGCTCTCGAACCGCGCGTTTGTACAGGACGGTTCCTCAAGGGCAAGACAGGTAAAACAAGCCCTTTCTTGTATTGGGTTTGGCTTGCCCGTTGTGGCTCACTATCTGTGCTTCTGGGACAATGCGCTCGCTCGGAAGAGGGTCCCCGCCTGGTTCCCAAGAATTTCCGACCAAGGACACCTCCACGTCGTCGCTCTTCTGTCTCAACCTGGTTTGTATGCGACTTGGACAAAGTCAGTCTGGGTGTCTGTCTGGATCTGGGTAAGGAAAAGAACGGGCGGACGGTGTGGGTGGCGGCGTGGGACGGGGGACGACTTGGGATTGGTGCAGAAGGCCCAGGTCAAGGAGGGGCAATGCATGGCACGCTTCGGTGACAGGGGTCTGGGCGGGGGCTTACCAGTAGCCAGTGAGCCAGTGCCCTTGGGTACGAGCGAACAGCGCGGCCGTCCCATTGCCCAGAGCTTTTTGCTTTTTGGGGCCAAAAAAATGAACGAGTCCACTGGGGAAAAAGGCCTGGCCCTTCACCAGACACAGCTCAGGGCCCAGCCCGAGCCGGGCGACAGCGAGCAGAACGGCAGAACGGGACAGACGGGAAGCGCTGCTGAGCCTGTGTGTGCGAAGGATTGGATGGGAACCAGTCTCGCTACAGCCGTTGCGACTTATCTTCACCAAACACGCTCGGCATGCAGTAGACTGCTTCTCGAGCACCGGACTAATGTAGGTAGCAGTGTGTACGGAGTAGGGATGTTCAGTCCTCCCTCGCTATCTCACAACAGCCTGCGAGCTTTGAGCAGGGATTTCAGCATTCGACAACCGTCAAACAATGCGGAATGCACGCCGTGGATCTACTCCGCAAGGCTACAGAGCAAAGAAGACAATGCAATGCAGGTAACGAACGGGCTAGCAAGGCCTGCAGCGATGGTACAAGTAGTCTGGTGGATTGCATCAACTAAAAATGGCCAGGCGGAGATATCTCCATCGCGAAACACACACACACAGACGGGGCTAAAAGAATGGATATCGACAGGGACATGGGCCTAGCCAATTCAACAACAAGAGCATACCGTAATAAGGGATGTAAAAACACACATCACGACATATCTTGCTTTGGTGAAGAGAGCACTGAGGAGCAATTATTCATAGAATGCCTCATTGTCTCGGCCCTCGAACAACCGTGCTCCCAACGGCAAGGGTCTGACTTACGTGGGGTATTGGCATGCAAACAGACAATCAGGCTTCAGGGGACCCAAGCCCCAGGACATGGCCAGGACATGGGGAAAGGCGTGCCTGGATTCCATTGCTGAGTGAGATGTCTTTGGCCAATTCCGCGGTTAACATAACGTGCCGGACCTGATCAGGTGAGCGTGCGGTAGAATGCTCTCCAGGGGCTTTCCCTTGCCATTCTCGCTGGCTCGGGAGTTCCAATGGAATGCCTTGGTTTGTGGAAGCAACGCGACAAGGGCGCCCTTGATGACGAAAGACAAGACAAACCTTCTTCTACCTGTAATTAAACAACCTATCTAGGTAGGAGTTGTCGAAACCAGGCAAGACAATTACGAAGCTCTGCTTGCGCCGTTGTTTCCATTGATAATGGTTATGTCGATCCCGATCGCTATGATATCAAGAAGCAATGTAGCTGAGAGATGTGCCGGTTGAAAATCCGGGGACCCGGTACCGACACTCGTCGTCCATCGAGATGGTACTTTGCCTCGCGGCCTCGCAAAGTCACTCGCTCCTTTCCTCCTACCCTTGGGTCCGAGTAGGCATCTGCCGATTCAAGCAGAATCTCGTACTTGTTCAATTTTTTCACGGCCAAATTGACCAGGACAACGGCCGTGCAAAAAGAGAACCAGCGAATGTGGCACGGCGATTGGCTGCGGGAGCTGGAAGAAAACTCCGACACCTGAGAAAAACTTGCACGTCTCCATCAGTAAAAGCGGGCAGGTGGCGGTCGAGATGGTTCGCCTGTCAGGTCCAGGTAAAGCCTTGCCCCATTTGGACGCAGTGGACTAAGCCGATGGGGGTTCTCCCGAGGCCAGAGCCCATATCTCGGACACTCTATTTAGTGGGCATTCACCATCCAGAGCGAAAAGACGGCTCTCAGCAATGTCCAAGCATTGGCAAGCAAGCATCCTGGGCTTGGAGCTCGAGTCAAACTTGTCTTGAAGATCGAGGTTCGTTGTGGGCACTTTACCCACCTTGGCCAGGAACTTGCCGTTTGCTGACCTTCTTTTGTCCATGTCGATAGGTACGGGCAGTCGACGGCGCATGTTGGTGTTGAAACGAGCCAAACCTTACCTCTGGAGGGAAACGGGGCTGATCTACCTACCTACTTTACGCAAGCTCACTGCCAAAAGCGGCAGCCTACACTGGGACAGGTAAACCATGCCTACTGCGCGGAGATATTCAGACCGACGAGCGCCGACAGTCTCACACGCGTTGAAGAGATAAGTGCTGCAACAGTCTGGCATTCCTTGGCCTCGGCCTGAGATCCTTACCTGCCTCTACAACACTGGTTGGCCGGCATCCTGAGACGGGAAAACGAGCTGGAACGAGTCTCTTGCATACAAATAGTCCCAGTATTTGATATCGGTTCCACTGTCTAGATGGCTGGGCCTTGTGGCCATTCATGCGTTCAAAGCTTCCTCTCCGCCGTGGAGAAGCCGCGCCATGACCGAGGCTTCCCCGTTCCCCAGTTCGTGTCCCGCGGAGAGTTGTGCCATCGATCCTCAAATCGTCCATTTCTGGCTGGGGAAGCCTTCTATTGCGGCGAATATCGGAAGACTCTGGTGCTTCGAGGGCTTGAAGTGAATTACCGTCTTGGGAACAAACAGTCATCATTGCCCGACTTCTTCCGGCTCTTTTCACCTGCTAGTCTTGCCTTAACGTCTAACTCCTCGACCAGGTAGTGCGGCTAGAAGTGGAAGTAACCTGGCTAGCGCGGTGATTCGCAGATCTCCAAAACTCTACATTGATACCGACCCACAAGGAACTGTGTCTAGGAGTACGTCCTGGAGTTTGATCGTGCAGCACGAGGCATTGGAGGCGTCCAGGGGTCTTATCTCCTCTCCTCACTTCCTCCACATGATAAGAGGAGCAGCGAAGCAAGCCAGGCCCTCTGCACTGATAAGGCCAGACACTCGATCATTGCCCATTTCGAGATGTCGGGAGACAGAGTGCGGCTTGCTGGTGCTGCTTGCCGGTGGATCTTTGGCGGCACGCAATCCTGTACTTGTAGAAGAGATACGCCCTTGGTTGATCCGGCCACACAGTATCGAGGCTGAAGATCAGACGCGTCGACATCATCTGTGGACACCCAACATGGCGATCGAGAGGCTAGGGAAGCAGACGGCAGTCAACGCCTCGGCAGCGGGAAGCTAAAACAAGCAGCACGGCGGCCGCGAAGTAACTGATGCAAGGAATGCTGACCCCCAAGATACCCACCTTGCCGAGGAGACATGGGCGGAGAAGCATGTACAAACCCCCCAAATGAGCTCTCGATTAGACTCCATCCTCGGATGCTTGGCACGCTCGTGCTCTTTGTGTCATCCCGGGATGTTGGATTCGACGGCGTTCAGTCCGCCTCAGGGACTAGACCACGGAGTCCTCGATAAACTTCTGTCCACAAGCGCCATGTAAAGGATCGCAAGCAAACACTCTGGCCGAGACTGTGTCGTCGCTGCCTCCTCGTCGTGATCCAGAGCTAAAGAGCCGGCGTTGGGCGAGACATTGGGGGAGACTGTGGAGAGACGGGACCCTGATCTTCACGCAGTAAACCACGTCTTAGTAGTACCTACTCCTCACCTATTCGTGTATTCCTATGGCATAGTGGTTTGCATCCCCGTGTGGAGAAGATGGCTTCTTCTCCGCCGCCCCATCAACGTACTTGCACTGCCAAGTGATGGTCAGATTAGTTGACGGACTGCTAACAGAAGTACTTGACTATCCATCAAGCCCATCGGATTTAGGTAGTGGGATAGCCCTTCTCAGCTCTAGGGCAAGGATGTGACAAGGATGTTGATTGTTAAGATCGAGGTAGCTCCTGATGAACTCCCGTCAACTATTCAGACACCCACTTGACTGCATGTGGACGTCGTAGGCGGCTGGAAATTGATCGGCATTGCAGGGGGAGCGGCTTGTCGCTCACTGGGAGCAAACGGCTGGCTTGAATCATGAGATACCTAGGTATGTCATCGTGGAATGAAGAGAGTGGTTTTCACGAGTGTGGCATTTTTTTCGTGGGTGAGGTAAGGTGAAAGAATCAGGTGGGATTGGTTGGCTGTCGTCGATCAACTCGGACCCTTGCTACAGAGCCAGGCGCGACATCCTCCAGAAAGTTACACTCTTGACACCCTGATAAAACATCATACAAAATTCCCCAGGATTGTCTCCCTCGAAGCGACAAGAGAGACACGGCAAACCTTTCCAAAAAGGATTCACATGCAGTGCGACCCACAACGTTCTTCATCTCTTGCGCCTCTCTCGCCAGCCTCATGCTCTGGCAAATGCGGACGCCGCATGGCGCGACGCGAGCATGTTTTCCACCATCGAGACCGAGCTCCTGCAAAGACGCCACCGGACACCGGCAACACCAGATCACTCCATATCAATGTGCCACAAGACATGCCATGGCTCGGGGAAGACGAAGGCAAGCAACAACCCTGATACCCTGATAGATAGCCGGCATGTCAGCAGGAGAGTGCCCTCCACGGCGCCGGCAGGTTCAAGACAAGGGTGCACCATCCGATGCTCGTCCTGCTGAGAAATGTCTGCTTTCCGATCGATCTCTTTCAACGAGGACTCGACGAGCCGGCTGGCACAGCCAAAGTGACCAGTCATTTTTGCGGCAACTTTCCTGCAGTCCCGGGGTCAGGATAAAGAGTGGCCAAACACGGGCAGGCGAGCTCTGCTTGGCTGGAAATGGCTTATTACATACATATCCAGCCGCATAACTGCCCCTGTCGTGTGTGGCAGCATCCCACCTCCCTCCCTCCCACCCATCACAAGTGGTGGGATACATTGCATGCTACAGCTCTTTAGCTCTACGCAGAGGGAAAAAGCTTGAGGGGTGAGGTGGAGGGGTTGATATATGCGATTCCTGGCCGAGTGCTGCTGCCACTCACCAACCTACCCTTGGGAGTATACGCATTGGTGGTGCAAGCGCTCGCTTCCTCCGGGCCCATTGCGAGTCCATCCATACGCATACTCCGATTGCTGCGTTGCAAGCAAATGTCCTATCGTTTCATGTTCCCTATTCCCTTACGTACAAGCCAAACCAGAGTTGACGCAAACCACTCTTGGGTTTTTAGCCACGGCTTCATGTCATGGTTCCGGTTCCCTCTTGATGCTAGATCCAGCTTGGGCAAAAGCTAAAACTTGCGGTGAGAGATGATTTGAGCGATTAAGTCGAGGCTTACGGGCAAGCCATCGCACTGCTCCTCCTTGAGCTATCTACCAACTGTTGGAGGCAGCATGGCGAAAATCCGCTTCCTATCACAGAACGGCCGTGGACCCTCTGTTCTTCTATGCAGGTCGTGCGGCTCGTCAAGTCCCGGATGACACAAATCGGCAGCTAGGCACAGGCACTGTCGGTGGAGGTTAGCTGCCTATCCAAGGCATCGATGACATCCTCGAACGGTAAACGAGAATGGGGCTCTCTGCGGACGCGGACGGTTTCAAGATAGAAGCTCTGAACCGAGATGACGAGATGATTCAATCACGGCGCAGACGCACTGCAGTCGACAGCGTTCTTGGCTGCAGGCCGAGTGTCCCCGCTCTCATACATACAGACACGAACCTCTTCAAGTATCGCGCCATAAAAGAAAATGCCATCAAGTCGGTCTAGGCACGTACAGAATCGTACTTTTCCGGCCAAACACTCGCCTAAACTACCTTCTGGAAGACCAGGATATCTGATCCACCCCGATGGGCATTTAGAGGAAAGCTGCGACACACCCGAGGGCCAACATGGCGCATCCGAACACGGGCTAATGGAGATGGAGGGTCAGGGTCACTTCGAGGCCCAGATACGTCCCCGATAGTACAGCTACCTGGCTGGCCATATCGAGCAGAGTATGGCCATTCTAGACCCTCTGAATGGTCGTCCCATCACTGACCTTCGCTCGAGGGTGGTGGGGTATTGTATTGGCGCCGCATGTCGTATATAGAGGATCGGGACGGATATATCGCGGATGGTGGGAGGGGGGGGGAGACCGCAACACCATCCATGGACAGCACTTCTGTAGCTCCAAAGCTAATGTTGACGAGCTGATAAGGAGCTTCTCGAGGCCATTGAGCTCTCGCAAAAGGTATAGAAAAGCTTGATATTCCTGGAAAACACCCCCTCCTGCTTTGCCGGGCTACGCGCCCTGACCGGATGCCCGAATGTAGCGAAGACGGGAGGGCCGCTTGAGCAGATGCTCGGGGGTGGTCCACGATATGCTCACCGATTGACAGCTCAGCGAAGCTTTCCGCTGGCATTGGTGTTCCACATACGCAAAAAAAGCTAACCGCCGTCAAAAGTTCGATGTCCGATGCTGTGTGGCGATGGCTCCCAGGGTTTCAACGATGTCTTATCTGCAACAACAGCGCACACACACCCCTCTCTCTCCTTGTGTTTTCCCCGCAAACTTGTCACACATGTCATCTGCCACTCCTGTTGTGGCACTCTTCTCTGTTACTGCCTGACCGGCCGGCAACACACCCTCGAAGCTTGTCTCGACGGCAATAACGCCCAAGGGGGGTGTGAGGTGAGGGGGACACTCCGGCCTCCAGACCGGCCATGCACCAGTGTTGACCGAGTCTTTCGAGCGAGGGGAGGAGGAAACCACCCCCTTCCTGTTCTCCAGTGCTGTGTAACACACTCCGCGCCACAGCGAAAGTAAGTGGTGTGTAAGGTATGTGTATGCGTGTATACGTATGCAGGAATCTATGCCGTGCAACGCCGTTGAACGTAAACGGACGGGGGTGCTTTTTAGGCCTTGTCTTCGCTGTTCGTGCATTCACCCAGCGTCACCTCCAAATACCATCGGAGAGGGCATTGGGCAGCCAGAGAGAGGCATGCATACATACACACGCATGCACACGCGCAATCACACGGCTGGTAACTCAGCCGAGGTGGGTAGAAAGCATGCGAGAGGAAGCCCAACAACATGATTGTTGCAGAGAGGGGGGGAGGAGGGGTTGGCAAGGATCCTTGGGGCTGAGCAAAAAACAAGGAAACCGAGATATGTGCTGCAGGCGAGGCTGCCATTGGGGAACAGCCCGCATCGTGGCTTGCATGAGGGGGAGAGCTGCATGGTATTCGGTGGCTGCTTTGTCCCGCGCGCATTTCATTTATATATCACCCCCTACCGCGTCTCGCCTGCTTTTGTCGGATGGGTCGAGCGGAGTTTCGCTCTCGTCATGTTTCTGTCATCCAAGAGCTGTTTCACATTCTTGGGGGACATGGTCTGATAACACTCTTGGAATGAGGTCCGAACCCGGGAGTCGGAGAAAAGTGCGGCAGGCTGGACCGTTCGAGGCAAGACAGCTTTCGTCGACGTGCAGAAAGACATTGACAGACAGTTCACAATCATTGGCATAAAACGGCTCGAACAGATTGTCGATCATTGGACGATCGGCAAACCCCTATGCAGCGTCAACGGCTTTGCTGATGCATTTTTCACATGTCTTTTTCGCCCCCTGGACATCAAGACCGAAATGTCGCATGCGGCAATGCGGTTTGGGATGCAGCTCGCCTTAATCGTCTAGAGCAGGGTCTGGGATACCTGGGCAGTGCCAATCGCCTTGTCTGGACACCAATCCGCCTCGAAATAGGGTATCAATTGAGGTATGATGCGAGAACGACTTGCTAGAGCTGTTCCCTCGGCGCGAAGGCCACCTCGGGAGGTATCCTGAATGTGGCGCAGAACATCGACTTGGCTGGTGCAACGTTCCTCACATGGTGGACAAATACTTCTTTGTCCTTTTCTGCATCCCCAAGGCGCATCTCGATGCCCAGCTGCTCTGTGATCCTTTCACAAATATCCAGCTTCGGAGTGTCGTCGTCGCTTTTCACCGCGAAGCAGTGTACGTGCACGAGGGGCAGCTTTGTACTCGTGTGTGGAGTGAACAGAGCCTCCTCACCGGCATAGAGGCCCTTGTAGGAGGGCAGGAATGTGATAGCCGATGCCGGCAGATTCATCACAAAGTGAGAGATAGTAGGGGGGACGGGTATCTCCAGGGGTGGCGGGTTCGCTTGCGGCTTGCTGCGCGATCCCTTCTTCGGCTTCTGCTGGATGACTGCACGCTCGCCTTTCCTCGAAGCAGCCAGGACTGAATCTGCTGCTTTTCTGATAAACGTGCGTCCATCATCATTGAACGGGCGTACATATTGTTGAACCTTGCACCCCAAATTAGTCCCGCCATCGGTGAGCAGCCATTGTTTTAGATCTGGGCCACGTACCTTGTTGCGGGTGATGGAATCCTGGAGATAGTGAAAGCTCTCCGGGTTCATGTCGTTTGCCCAGACAAAGACGCCCTTCTTACCAGCGGGGACCGCAAATGGGCCGATTCCTGCCATGGCGTCACACACGACCTCCCCGGGCTGGAAGGATTTGACGATCCTCGTGTGCTCTCCTTCGAGCTTGCTGTTCCAATAAACCTTGGAGTAGTCAAACTTGAAGGTACAATTGTGCTCCCTGACTTCCACATTCAAGTCGTCGGGACCGGCTAGTACCTCGTAGGCAAAGGTGCGAAATTCTGACTCGGTGCCTACATTGTCAATTTTGTTGATGACAGTCTTGATGGCAGGGTTCTTGTCTACAAGAACTTGCGCAAGGACATGCTTGTAGGGCAGAAAATGACTCCGCAGGTTCAAATGTGCTTTCTGATGTCAGCATCTCACGTCACTGAGTGTCTCCTGAGATTCTTTGAAAACTCACCAACATGACCAGCAGTGTTGAAGCTTGATTGTATATCGTCGTGAAACTCTTCTGGCAAGAGAGACTGCAGTACATCCCCTATGAGATAACGTCAGCTCAGACTCATCACAATGAGGGCTACAACGAGCCACATACGGGCGGTCCAGTAGTCGTAGTCAAGCTCCAGTGTGTACGGGAGAAGACTAAGCTCATTCTTCTCGGCACCCTGCCGGATTACCTCGCCCCAACTTGTAGGCGCTTATGGGATATTAGCAGGTTTCTTTCTTTTGCAGATTTTTGCACTTACCAGTGGCTGAGATGCCAGGCCTGAGTAGCAGACATTTGCGTCCCTTCGCAGCCGGGTCGTCCTTGGCAGGGTCATCGACGATGGATGACACCCGCTCCTGTCGTAGGAGATCACCACTCTTCTCCAGAGATTTGCGGTATTCGGAAACCTTCTTGATATCGTAGACTCTCGCCGCTGCGATGTCGTACCTCTTTGAAAATAATGCCCGGTTCAGCACCGACGCATTGCGGATGATCGGCGGGCGAAAGACACCCATTTCTCCCGTTTCACCCGTGCTTGAGCCCTTGTCATCAGATCCCATGATAGGCTTCTCACAGAAACTACAAAGTCAGCGAGATGAAAATAGTTGTCACCGAAATGAGTCCATTTTCATCCGCGGTCTTGTGAGGCTCTGTGGTTCAGGCGTAGCTCAAATGGTGAGGCTAAACTAAAATTTTAGCGCTTTCGAGCAAACGTGGCTTGGCGTTCACAAGGCTGATTGGATCGTGTGGCGGTACTAACACGCTTGACTTGGTGATGTCAACGAAATCGCGTCTCTCGAGATATAACTTTCAAGCTGTCTGCCTAAGCAGGTGCTAGAACATGTTACGGAAGCTCAATGGGCTTTCCCATTAACTCATACTCTGCAAAAAACTCACTTCTCGCAATGTCCAAGAAGAGGACGCTAGATGCGTTCTTCACGACAACGCCCAAGAAACAGAAAACCGACCAGAAGCAAACTGTCAGTCGAGTGCACGCAGTATTATTTCTCGTCTAAGGCTCATTATGTGAACAGACTGGATACTCTACTCATCAAACATACCCATTTCCCATCTCTGAACTTCCACCGGCTATTGGCAAAGAGCTGTCGTCTCTACCAGCCCGGCCAGGAAGGCAAATAAATGACCAGCTGGACCTGGACCTGCTTTACTTTGAGCCCTATGTCCCAGGCTACATCGCCAAGGACTTGTTCGAATTCCTTCGGTCAAATCTCCCCTTCTACCGGGTTGAGTATGATATCAAGCGCGGTGGCTTTTCAACCCACATCAGGACACCAAGGTGGGTTGTGAACATGTGTATGGGGTGGAACAGGCCAAGACTGATCTCCTATGAAGGTTCACTACAGTCTTCGGGCTTGATGAAACATCTCGATTCGACGAAGACGGAAAGGTCGTTGATGCAAAATCCCGCGCCAAAGCCGAGGACAAAGCATATGCCCGCTATGCGCCACGCCCGATCCCAAAGTGCCTCGATGATCTCCGGGTATCGACAGAAGCGGCAACTGGTTGCAGATTCAACTTTTGCCTCGTCAACTATTATGCATCAGGAGCAGACAGCATCTCCTTCCATAGCGATGATGAGCGCTTCCTCGGTCCAGAGCCTGCCATTGCTTCATTCTCACTGGGGGCCAGCCGAGATTTCCTCATGAAACACAAGCCCATACCACCAGTGGAAGGCAGCCCTCCACAACCAGAGCTCAAGCAGCTTAAACTACCTCTCGTAAGTGGTGATATGATCTTGATGCGCGGGCGGACACAAGCCAATTGGCTGCACTCAATCCCTAAAAGATCCGGCAAGAACGATAAGGGGGGAAGGATAAATATCACCTTCCGGAGGGCGATGGTCAAAGGAGGGACGGATAATTATTATAATTATAATGTTGGTACCGGGCCAGTGTTTCGGTGGGATGAGACCAGTAGGGAGATGGTATTGTGGCAGTCATGATAGAATTCATGCCTCAGGAGGAAAGATGTGATCCCGACACTACTTTCCTAGTCTCATCTGGGCCTGGGCGTACTTGCGCAGACCTCTCAAGAACACTTGATATCCTACACCCTGGTTGTCCTCGACGTGGAAGATCTCGGTGAGGCGGATTTGCCATGGAGGGTAGCCGGATAGTTCCACGTTCGGACTGAAGAGCAGGAGCAGGTCAGGTTCGCCCATAACACCCTCGCTCAACTCGGCGTCAATCAAGTCAATGCTGACATCGGCGGCCGAGATCTTGGATCGCTGGGCCATCTCTGCTAGCGTCTTCGTAAGATCAACCAGCGAGTCTCGTCCGTCTTCAGCCGAGAGAAGCATGATGGAGATGTGCCCTTCGTCCGTGTCTTCTCGTCCTCGCTCTCGGGTTGAAGGCGCGGATTCAATCGAGGGCACATGGGGCGCTCGCAGTGTCAACGCTGGATGGACACGGCCGAAGTAGGCTGCGAGCTTTTGAGACACAGCCCTATGAGTCTCAGGGAGATAGCTCTTGAGGATTCCTGGCATGTATTGTTAGCTCCTAAATTCGTTCCCCTCTCTGCGCCTCGACGTACCTGTCTTTTCATATACAGAGAGCATTGGAATCCCGGCAGACGCACACCAAGCTGCGAGATCTGCCACCTCATTGACCAGCCTTTCGAGCTCTGCTCCACCTCTGCCATCGTCTTCAAGCTTCAGGATCACACTGAGATGCTTTGGCAGTCTCATCAAATCCTTGACGTCGCGCTCTATGATCTCTGGGGTGCGATGATGGTAGTACATGATGGAGTACACTTGATCTCGGACTGCGTGGTATGCTTGTCGAATTCGAATGTAGAGAGAAAAGATCGTGTGGATGATGGTGAAGAAGAAAACATTAAGCTGTGCTCGGATGAACCGTCGCACCTGAAAGCGAGAGCCTCCATCGCGACGACGGCTATGTCTTCGACTTGGAGACCTCGATGGCGGGGTGGGTAGGTAGGGCTGCCGACAGGTTAGTTTCTTGAGAAGCGTTCTTGGTGGAATCGCCTCCTAGAGGTTCACGGGCACAAGTCGATTTACCTGCAACAGCCGGGTTCTCTCCTCCTTGGTGAGCAGCTTGTGGCCAAACTTCTCATCCCGCCGGTACAGGTCGGTATCTTTCGCAGTAAACGGCATACTTGGGACAAGGTCAGGCGAAAAAGACAATCGTGGGTATAAAACAGGACAATCTATACTCGTAACAAAGAGTAGTCAGTACGAAAGACAAAAGAATGAATTTATGAGGTCATGGGCAGAGCTGTTCTGCCTGCGACGAGATATGAAAAGAACACAAGATGAGAAGAGGAAGAGTGGAAGCATGTGGCAAGCATGCGACCAATCACTGCGTCAGCAGAGTCCAGCCACCAAAGGGATACTCTAGCGCTGACGAAATAGCTGGGGCTGAGGCCAGCTACGCGCTGGAAGTCCCCACAAAGCTGCCTTGTTTTAGCGGTTTGTACTGGAGGGGAAGGCTAGAGAGTTCAGTGCTCCGAGCAGCGAATAGCGCACATGCGACCGACCCCATAATTCAACTCCAACACAATCACGTCGCGTTCAGCGCAGCTAGGATCGCCAACTGAAACACTACGACTTCCATTGATGACATTTGTCATTTGGGCAGCTCAGCAGCTCAGCATCTGATCTCGCTTCTGGCGCAGTCATCCATGGGGAGATAGCCAGCCAACTGGAGCAATGGAGAGGGCTGGGTCGGGAGGCTCAAGGGCCCTTTTTCCCAAAGGCCCCAGCTTCACACTTGATGACTTCTCCGGCAAGGACTTCATTGTGCGAGACTTTGTTGATTCACTGGCGGAGACAGCAGTACCTGCAAACAGGCGGTCTGGTCCAGCGCACCAGGCATTCGACCCCAAGCCCCTAATCAGGACCTTTGAGAGTGAGTTGGACGTTGCCCCGCTGCTTTGTTATCCTGGACTGCAATACTCACATGATGTGTTCCAGATGCCCTATCCCAGCTAGGATCGCTCACTGAAGACCTTCAGGAACGAGAGTCCGAGATTCTCTCTCATGTGCGGCGGGCCGAGATCCAACATGACCAGACTCTTGACACTCTCGGGCGCAAGCTTGACCAATCAATGGAGCAGTTCGAGGCGTTGGATCTTAGTTTGAACAACCCCAACGGAACAAATGCCTATGATAGAGGCAGCCGGGCAGATGGAGGTGGCAATATCGCCGTACAGATTGGCGAGAAACTGGAAGAGCTAGACAGGAAGCGAAGGAGAGCGCTGGACGCCAACTTCCTGATCCAGTGCTGGATGGAGGTTTGCGAGACTGGTGAGCTGTCGTCGTTACAGGATATACAAAGGCAAGGTGGCGCAGAAAACAAGGTCCGATGCGCCGTCATTGCGCGACAACTGATGCGCATCAGCCAACGACTGGATCCGACATCATGGAGTCAAACAAACGGCACCCGTGGCAATGGGATTACAAACGGCGTTACCGGGACGAGTCGAAAACACAACACACGAGAAGTGTTGGAGAAGTTCTCCGAGACTCTCGAACAGGATCTGCTGAAGCAATTCAACAACAGCTACCGCCGGCAGAACTTCGATGACATGATGGAGTGTGCGAAGGTGCTTCACGACTTCAACGGAGGCGCCAGTGTCATTGCCATCTTCGTCAACCAGCACCAGTTCTTCATCGACCGCGACCAGCTTCTCACTGATGAAGTGACGACAGATGGCGAGATGTGGGACCAGTTGGCTGATCCTGACTCTGACCCGCCAGGCGTCGAGCCTAGCCTCCAGTCTCTTGTCGACGAAGTCAAGATTGTGATGCAAGAGGAATCTTTCATCATCAAACGCGCCTTCCCTTATTACGAAACTGTCCTGATCAAGTTCATTCAGCGTGTCTTCCAGCAGTCTATCCAGCAAAGACTTGAGATGGTCCTTGAGAAGGCGAATACTATTTCGTCTCTGGCCTTCCTGAGATCTCTCCACGCTTCAAGAGCCTATATCAGTGCGCTTATCGAGGATCTCAAGACTCATGGCTTGACGGAGAATCCCGAACCATGCTCGGCACAGATTTCTCAGACACTAGACCAACAGATGGAAGAGTTGTTCGTCCCGTATCTAGTTGGTAACTCTTATATCGACCGCGAAAGAAAGAGTTTGGAGGAGATGTACAACTCTCTTTTGTTCAAGTTTACCCTCTATCATTCGAGGCGGCAGAAGGCGCCTCGTGGATTCATGGCGGCTATTGCTCAACAGGGCACACAACTCATTGCCTCAGCTAAGGACGCATACATGGAGCGCCTCGATTCTTCTGATCTTACGCCGACTCAGAAGGCGATGATGCTCCGAGTTGCTGGCATCCAAGACACGGATAAGAAGAACGAGATCGAGGTCTCGGAGGAAGACGGTGTGCTCAGTGTTGCGAATGCGAAGCGTATGATGACATGGCTCGCGGAAAGTGTGCGGCGGACATTAGAGCTCGGAACAGCCAGTGACACCCCCAAGGACGTCAGTGTGCTTCTCAACCTGCTCCTTACTAGTATGGGCAAAGTCTACGTCGAGACCGCGCTTGATGCTGCGCTTGATCAGGCCACCCTGCAAGAAAACGTCAAGGTCGAGCCCGACCTTAGCTACCTGCCTAATGTTCGACCGGCAGTCACTATCACAAACATCATGTCACGGTTTATGGCCACGGTTCTCATCAGGCTGGCCGAGTCAAACACCACGGTACGAAGACATATGGAAGCACAGACCAAGATGGGGATGGAATCCATCGAAAAGAAGACAAACGCTGTGATGAAGACGACCGTCGACGTTGTCATCAACTGGGTGACCAGATCTCTCGCGACGCAGAAGAAGACCGACTTTCGGCCGAGGGATGACGACCTGGAGACGCTCGTCGATTCTCTCCAAACGCAGACCTGTCTCACGATCACCACGTTCCTGAATCGGGTTGCGATTCTTCTGAACCAGTCTGTGGATGGCCACAACCTCGAAATCATCTCGAGCGAGCTCGCCCTCGCCATCCACAAATTGCTGTTTGACCACTTCAGGAAATTCCCCGTGAACGCTACTGGCGGTCTCATGGTCACCAAGGATATTGCCAAGTACGTTTCAACGCTGAAGGAGTGGCCCTTGACCAAGGAGGTGGAGGGCATCGTCGAGGTGTTGACCGAAGTGGGATATCTGTTCATCATCGGTCCTGAAGCGCTGAGGGAGAGGTCGAGGAATTTGGCATCGGGGCCAGTGGGTCTGGGCAAGAGGCTGCACAAGGCAGACTTCAAAGCATTCGTGCAGAGGAGAGAAGACGCCAGCAGTGTCGGCATCCAGAGTGTGCTGGCTGGGCTGTGATTCTTGGAGGGAAAGGCCCCCGAGGCTTATAAGTGTGTAATGATTATGATTACAGTGACGTTTCATCGAAGAATTGATACCAGTTTTTGCAGTCCTATTCCCGCTCTGAAAGAACAACTCCTCAGCTGTGCATTAACTCGGACTGATATGGCTTGCGTTAGTTATACTAGGTACGCCTTTGAGGGTTCGGCTGATCCGGCCACCAGTCTCGTGGTCGGCTAGGACTCGTTCCACCGGTGCTGTTGTTCATCGGTCTCATGCTTACCACTCTGCTGTCAGATTATATTGCAGACACCTACCCATGTTTTGGTACGACGTCGACGCAATCTCGCTGATGCCGAAGTCGGTATAAGACGACCCTGCCTCGTCCGTCCATTTCAGCTTAATTGTGGACTTCAGTAACCTACGATGTTGGAGGGAGCAAAGACAAAAATAGGACAAGGCTATGGCAAGCCCTCAAGAACCGACCTTGGCATGCATGTCCGGGCTGTAGATCTCTTGCAAAGTGCGTCTGATGCAAACTGCACAATTCTGATTGCAGTTGGTTACCCACCGCTTGAGGCTGAGTTACACCTCCTCGACCCTGGTTCGTGACAACAAGCGTTGTCCCACACCGCTTGGGATATGCATATGGCCCTGCAACGTCAAAATCAACTGGCGAATTGTAGAGCCCGCTGGGCGTCAAATCCGGCCTAGTCCGTCTTGCGACTCTTTGAACATGCAAAAGTCCCGCGCAGAAGGAACCGCCCCAACACGCCTCGGTGGAGTGGCAGTGACATCTTTTGACAGCTTTTGCGGAGAGCCTTGTCGGTTTGGCTCATTTTGCGTCTTGGCCGCGCCTGTGCGTGGACCTGAAAGGGCATTTCGCTTCGCTCTCGGGGATGCGGTGGTAGTTGTGGAGGTACAACACGAGGCAAGCCATGCGCTGGTTCGTCCACTTGACGATCTTGGGTGATGGCGGAGACCGGGGCTGGGTATCACGGGTAGTAAGATATGCTGCTGGTGTGCCCACACCAGATGAGAGCGGACCAGAACATATCAGTGGCTGTTTCCCGGCTCGTTGGTGTTTTGTTCTTTTATGACGCCGGCTTGGGAGACCTGGAGTCTTCTTGTGTCTTCATCTCCTCTCACACCATCATCTAGAGTTCTGTGTTCTGGTATTCCTAGCCCAAGGCCAGACAAGATGCCCAGCCCTATCGAGGATCTAGAACTAGCCTGCCCAAGTGGCGGAAAGTTTTACATTTGTGACAAAGCCAAGTTCCAGTTCCTGGGCTGCTGTACCAGCGATCCATGCACTGATGGATCGGGCAACTGTCCTCAGGGCAACCTACGCACCTCGACGTTCCGCAAAGACAAAAACACTTACGACCGGATACAGCCGCAGCTGTGTGCAGCTCCGTACAGCGGAGCTACATACTGGTTCACCTGCCTGAACGAAGGCCTAAGCGTCCAGCCGTTTCTCGGATGCTGCAAGACGCCGCCATGCTCATCCGGCGGATGCCCTCAGGACTCCTTGGTCGCCGCGAGGTTACATGACGATAGCTATAAGAAGGCGATGTTCCTGTCGCCGACTGCCACTTCCGGCTCCGCGAAACCATCGAGTACCACATCATCGACAACGTCTGCAGGGTCGACGACGACGGCGGCGGCCTCGGCACCTGCAGTGACTCCCGGTCAGGAAAGTACAGCAGACCATGGTCAACTACCGACAGGGGCGATCATCGGAATCAGTGTCGGCGTGGCAGCAGTCGTCCTCGTGGCCGTGGGCTTCCTGCTCTACAAGTGCGGTTGGCGGCAGAGCGGAAGAAGGGAGGAGGAGAGACATGTGATGCCGATGCCTTCGGCGGCAGGGTCCGAGCCTTATCAGCCATACCAGGGCAAGATCGAGAGCCCCTACAAAGGTGACCTTGACCGGCTTTCGGCTTCTCTCGCGGGATACCTGCTAACATATCTGCCAGACTCTTTTGCTAGCAGTCCCACTGCCGTGAACTTCAGCCAATCCCCTTACTCCGACCAGCGGGAGTTGACACCGCACCGGCCCCCGTCCAGCATGGCCGGCTCTCCAGGTATGTCCTGGGTGGGCACGGACAGCGGCCGGGTGTCGTGTGCTTCCAGCGCAGCAACACACGGCTGGGCCGGGGGCGGTGGCCCACAAAGCTGGCATCTTTCGGGCGTGCCCGAGACGGCAGCGGCCCGGTATTCATATGACCCGGCCGAGCTCCCAGCCACCCGGCCTACCGAGCCGGCGGTGGAGCTGCCGACCTCGGAGACGGGTATGTCGTATCATAGCAGGGGACCGAACCGTTGATGGCAAGGACTGGATGTTATTTTTCAATGAGGATACCCGGACTTGGGGAAATGGGAGCGGATATATTGGTCAAGCTATTGGTCAAGCGTGGAAGAATCAGTTGGATAGGTTTCAGAGTTCAAGAGAGGATGATGTGAGAGGAGTTTGGTGTTTCCACGATCTCATGATTCTTCACAACTGTACTTCAGAGGCATAGCAAAGGGGGGTTAGTTGTCATGTAAGCCTCGTGATTTTCCAATTGGAAGCTTCCTGTTCCTGACAAACATCTCGATGCATGAGCCAGAAGAAAATGAGTGACGCATAGGACAGCAGTGAACTTGCTCGCTCCATCATTAGAGGTCGAAGAACTCCATGAATGCAGGAAAAGAAACTTTGAAGTCTGAGGCATAGATAGCACTGTATTTTCATCGATGCTGTCAAAGGAGATCAGGGCTGGGCTCCGTGACCTGGCCGACCCAGCTTTTTGTTCGGCCAGTCCGCCATGTTTGGTGTCTGCTTGGAAGAGAGCAGCAACTGGGTGCATGTGTTCGTCCCGATCTGCACCAGATCTCAGGCTTGAGGGGCCCGATTTGATGTTTCAGCAGGACGGTGCGGCACGCGGGATCCAGGCTTTTGCGGACATCGGCGTGCAGGTACCACTAAAAATATTCCCGATGTGCCTGCCCAGGTCCACCACCTACGTAAACTTGCCCGCTGTGCCCGCCCACCGGGCTCCAGTGTTGCCTCCAACCGCGGCGCTTCTAGGCCACATGGGCTCTAGCGCAGGGGTTAGCCTGCACTAAAACGTCCCAATTGCTTACATATACGACGGAGAAAGCTCACCCCGCCATCGCTAGATATTGACACGTAGAGCAAAACCTCAGAAAAAGTCTGGGTCTGGTCCTTGCAATACAGGCTGGCAGTTTCGAATTGCCACTCACGCTCTTTTTAAAGAGGACATCTGGTCTGGTCTGCAGCTCAGTCTCTAGAGGCTGCGAGGTTCAAATTCAACTCTCTTGCCAGATCGCAGTAGGAACCACGAAAAGTAGCCTACAAGGTGTCTGCATGGTGTAAACTCATTTCTTTTCCAATCTGGGAGCTATCGGCTCGGCTAGGCAGGCAGACCGACAAGAGGAGACCAGACTTACACGCCCTTTGGGACCAGATATCCCCATAGAAAATCCTCCCGTTCTTAAATACGATCGCGGGCCCCTCTACCAATTTCGCAACCTCGCGCAAACTTCCCCACTGGCCCAGCACTCACTCTCTGGGAGATCTTCAAGATGGACAACGCATATGCGCAACCCATCGACAAGGTCCTCAAGGGCCTTGGTGTCGACGCGACCAACGGCTTGACCGACAGCCAGGTCATCGACTTGCGCTCCAAGCACGGCAAGAATGGTACGTCCGGCGCAGCCTCCTCTGCCTCCACGTGAGCTTTGTGCGACAATTGAGAGTATGCCACTGACATCTTCCTGCAGCCATCGCCGAGGAACCTCCGACGCCCATCTGGGAGCTGATCCTGGAGCAGTTCAAGGACCAGCTGGTCATCATTCTTCTCGGATCCGCCGCTGTGTCCTTCGTCCTTGCGCTCTTTGAAGAGGAGGGTGGCTGGAGCGCATTCGTTGATCCCGCAGTTGTACGTCGCACTCGCAAGATCTGGTCGCAAACCATGGGCAAAAAACACCCGCTAACCTGCTCGAATACTCCAGATCCTCACAATCCTGATCTTGAACGCCGTCGTCGGTGTGTCCCAAGAGAGCAGCGCCGAGAAGGCCATCGCGGCCTTGCAAGAGTACTCTGCCAACGAGGCTAATGTTGTTCGCAACGATGGCCAGATCTCGAGGGTCAAGGCGGAGGAGCTGGTACCTGGCGATATCATTTCCGTTGCCATTGGCGACCGCATCCCCGCAGACTGCAGGCTGATCTCGATCGAGAGCAACAGCTTCGCTGTCGACCAGGCTATCCTTACGGGCGAGTCCGAGAGTGTTGGCAAAGACGCAAGCGCCGTGGTCGCCGATGCCAAAGCTGTGAAGCAGGATCAGGTCAACATGCTCTTCTCCGGAACTACTGTTGTCACGGGCCGCGCCAAGGCTGTCGTTGTTCTGACTGGTTCGAACACGGCTATTGGAGACATCCATGAGAGCATCACCGCGCAGATTTCGGAACCCACACCCCTCAAGCAGAAGCTCAACGACTTTGGTGACACTCTTGCCAAGGTCATCACCGTCATCTGCATCGCTGTCTGGCTGATCAACATTCCCAACTTTAACGACCCCAGCCACGGAACCTGGACCAAGGGCGCCATCTACTACCTCAAGATTGCCGTGTCGCTTGGTGTCGCTGCTATTCCCGAAGGTCTCGCTGTTGTCATCACGACCTGTCTGGCGCTTGGAACCCGCAAGATGGCTGCCAAGAACGCGGTTGTGAGGTCTCTCCCCTCCGTCGAGACCCTGGGTAGCTGCAGCGTTATCTGTTCCGACAAGACCGGCACCCTGACCACCAACCAGATGAGCGTTAACAAGATCGTCTACATTGGTGAGAACGGCACTGGCCTGGAAGAGCTCGATGTCGAGGGAACTACTTTTGAGCCCAAGGGCAAGATCACGCAAAACGGCAAGGTCGTTGAAGACCTGGCGCAAAAATCCAGCACCATCCTCCAGCTGACCGAGGTCGCTGCCTTGTGCAATGACGCCCGCCTTGCCTATGATGCCCGCCTTGGTACCTTTACTAGCATCGGTGAGCCCACTGAAGGAGCTCTTCGTGTCCTCGCCGAGAAGATTGGCCCTTGTGCCCCCGAGGACTGCCACCCCGAGGACCGTGTCCACTACGCAAGCAGTTGGTATGAGAAGAAATATCAGCACCTCGCTACCTATGAATTCTCTCGCGACCGCAAGAGCATGTCTGTTCTTGTTCAGAATGGCAAGGGTCAGAAGTTGTTGGTCAAGGGCGCCCCTGAATCCATCCTCGAGCGTTGCACCCACACTTTGGTCGGTGCCCAGGGCAAGAAGGTCGCCCTGGACCGCAAGCTCACTGATCTAATCCTCCGCGAAGTTGTCGACTATGGAAACCGTGGTCTCCGTGTTATTGCCATGGCCACTGTTGAAGACGTCTCTGGAAACCCGCTCTCCAAGACTGCCAAGTCTACCTCCGATTACTCCAATCTCGAGCAGAACATGACTTTCCTTGGCCTGGTCGGCATGCTGGATCCTCCCCGTCCCGAGGTTCCTGCGTCCATTGCTAAGTGCAAGGAGGCAGGCATCCGTGTCATTGTTATCACTGGAGACAACCGCAACACGGCTGAGAGTATCTGCCGTTCGATCGGTGTCTTTGGCGAGTACGAGGATCTCAAGGGCAAGAGCTACACGGGCCGCGAGTTCGACAACCTCAGCCCCAGTGAGCAGCTCGAGGCTGCTAAGAAGGCGTCTCTGTTCTCTCGTGTCGAGCCTAGCCACAAGTCGAAGCTCGTGGATCTCCTGCAACAGCTCGGCGAGGTCGTTGCCATGACTGGCGATGGTGTCAACGATGCTCCTGCTCTCAAGAAGGCCGACATTGGTGTGGCTATGGGTTCTGGTACTGATGTTTCCAAGCTGGCAGCCGACATGGTCTTGGCTGATAACAACTTCGCCACCATTGAGGTTGCCATCGAGGAGGGCCGTTCCATCTACAACAACACTCAACAGTTCATCCGATATCTCATCTCGTCCAACATCGGCGAGGTTGTTTCCATCTTCTTGACGGCTGCCCTGGGCATGCCTGAGGCTCTTATTCCTGTTCAGCTCCTCTGGGTCAACCTCGTCACTGACGGTCTCCCCGCCACTGCGCTGTCCTTCAACCCTCCCGACCACGACATCATGCGCCGCCAACCGCGCAAGCGCGACGAGGCCCTGATTGGAGGCTGGCTCTTCCTTCGTTACCTGATCATCGGCACCTACGTTGGTCTCGCTACTGTTGCCGGCTACGCCTGGTGGTTCATGTACAACCCGGCCGGCCCCCAGATCACCTTCTCGCAGCTCTCGCGCTTCCACCACTGCAGCGCCGACTTCCCCGAGATTGGCTGCGCCATGTTCTCCAACGACATGGCCAAGTCTGCGTCGACCGTGTCCCTCTCCATCCTCGTCGTCATCGAGATGTTCAACGCCATGAACGCCCTGTCCTCGAGCGAGTCGCTCCTGACGCTGCCGCTGTGGGACAACATGATGCTCGTCTATGCCATTGCCCTGTCGATGGCGTTGCACTTTGCCCTGCTCTACACCCCGGGCCTGCAGACCCTGTTCTCGATCCTGCCCCTCGACTGGACCGAGTGGAAGGCGGTGCTGATTATCAGCGCTCCTGTCATGTAAGTGCTATTGTATACTGTTCGACTCACTTGCTACGTAGTAACTAACGCCATGCCTTTAGCCTTATCGACGAGGTTCTTAAATTGATTGAGAGGCAGTTCTTCATGCAAAAGACGACCGAGGTCGTCACCAAGACGAAGAAGGAGCAGTAACAGACGGGAAATAGAGAAGGCCGAAGAGATGTTGTGTATGATCAAGTGGCATCTGACTGATAGAGATGTAGACGCATGCATGTGTACATTACGTAGCTCATCTAGAGAAGGCTGTATAGTCAGCTCTCGGGCGGCGAGAGTGGCTTCAATACAAAAATAGAGACTTTGAAGGCTTTGCCTTCAGCGGATAGATAACAACAACATCTTCGAAACCCATTGATCACTCTCGTGGTGGCAGGTCTCAATACGCTCGACTTCATGTCTAGTCCCGTGTAGTATTAGTGATCTACCGTTGAGAGACAAGACTCTATTCGTACAATGTACAACGACCTAAGTTTCAGCAGGCCGAGAAGACGCGATGAGGTATTCGTCCTGGTCCGCGCACGAGCTCCACTACACCGGCCATACAATCCATCGCCGCGCGTTTAATCCTGACGGCCCTTGAGTAACCGCTTCGTGACCTTGTCCTTCTCGATGATGTAGACGTGTGCACCCCAGCCAGACAGGGCATCTCGGTCGACGGCGTTGAGCAGCGCCTGGGAGATGGTCTCAAACAGCTCATCGGGGCCCTGGAAATCGCCATGTCAGCAAAAGGATAAACTCTCACACGAAACCCCCATCTGTCAGGGCTCGTGGCTTCACAGAGGGTAGACATACCAGATCGGGCTCGAACAAGCTCTCGCACATGCCAAACAGCTGCTCCGTCGCCGTGCCGCTGACGATGAAGTCCTTGGCGAAGTCGATGCAGCCGATCGAGTCGAAGCCGCAGATGAAGGGCTGGCCCGTCTTGGGCTCGAGGCCGGCGACGACGGGGCTGACAAAGTAGGGGCCGAAGCGGCGCTCGTAGAGGGAGCTCGAGACGAGGTTGGCGAAGGTCTTGGGCGCGATGTGGCGCTCCTCGCGCAGGCGGTACATGTTGACCTTGTACCGGAAGAGGTCGGCGACGGTGGAGACGTCGGTCGCCAGCCCGGTCAGGCCGAGGAAGACGCCCTCGCCGTACTGGAAGATCTTGGGGAAGTTGTTGGACACGGTCAGGGCCTGCAGGCCCAGGCGCAGGTCGCAGGCGATGGCGACGCAGTCCTTGCCCACCATGGCGACGCAGGCGCCGCCGTCTGTGGACGCCGGGGGTTAGTTCTTTTTGTCTTATTCTTTGTATTCTTCGTGTGCGCTGTGTGGGATAATGGTGGAAGACGAACTTATTGAGAAGGGCGACGACTGAGAGCTGGTTAGCTGGGTTCCTGTCTACCATCATCTGAAGAGGGATGCTTACCATGGTCTATCTGAGCGATGTGGAAAGGGTCAAGAACGGCAGAATCGAGCCTTTATCGTCTGAGAATGATTGTCTGTCGGATGTGGCCGCACTGCGTGCGGCGTCGTGGTGATTCGTCGTTGGAATTGAAGCTCGTCGATGCTGGGTTTGATTGAGTGTGGTCGTGCTCGTGAGGCTTCTGGGAGCTCCCAAAGTAGATGCAAGGCAACACGCAGCTGGCGCGGCTGGCTGGGAGGTCCAGAACTGGGGCCAGTGCGGGCTCGCTAATTGGGTGATGAGAAGCTGTTGAAGTGGCCTCCACTCAGTGATGCGTGTACCGCATTTGTAGGGGCTGACCCGCCTGAAGGCCACTGGCGTGCGTAGTAGAGAGGGAGCCTACAGCTCTTTCTACCGCTGTGGGGAAAGGCTAAGGAACGACGGTAAAAGGTACGGCGAGTTATAAATTTCACCACCCCAACCGAGTAAAGTACCCGCGTAGTTGGTAGATTTAATACCCGCTTGTACTTTAACCGTGAGCAAAATATCTGCCCAGCCCACCTTCAGGCAGTACCTAGAGCTTCCATCGATATCTACCACCGCTGATCAAGCATCCGCCACCAAGCTTCACAGCTGCCTGCCCCGCTATCAACATCCAAACAGGCGGCCACACCTCTTATTGCAGTAACTGCGGCCGCTGTTTGCTTCTCTTCTCATCTCCGTTTCGTCTGGTCGCGAATAACTCTGTCCAACATGGCATCCCATGTGGTGGTCATAGCCACGGACCTACGACGGGCTACCGTCAAGGTCACGCCCGTGACTTACATGATTGATGTTCTAGACGAAGCTTGCAAGAAGTTGAACCTTTCCAGCGACAAGTACCTACTCAAGTAAATCCAAAGCAGATGCTCCGTCTATGGGGGTCACAGTGGAAGCTAATCATGTTCTGGTAGGCATCAGAACAAGCAGCTCAACCTCGCGGATCCTTTCCGAATCGCAGGCCTAAGCCCAGGCGCCAAATTAGATCTCATCGTCAAGTCAAACAGTCCCTCAGTTGTCACAGTCGCTCTGAAGCTCCCAGAGTCGGAGTCGAGGCTCGGCATACCGAACGGCCGTGTCACAGAGAAAGTCAGAAGCGACACGTCACTATGGAAGCTGCTACGGCAGTTCGAGAGCACCGGCGCGGGCGCACAAAAGGGGCTCAACATCACAGCGAGAGGTATACCTCAGACGAGTAATGGCGCTGGTAGTGGAAGTGGCCAGCTGTTCTGGGAGACACCTGTGCTGCAGGTCATAGGAAGGGAGTTCTCGACTCTGGCAGACTTCCAGAAGAACCTGTCGCAGATCGGCATCAACTCCGGAAACCACCTGATGCAGTTGTCGTTCAAGCGGACGGAGACGCCGTTGCATGTCGCGATGCAGGAGGTTGAGCGGTACTTCAAGGACGTGACGGATGCAAAGTCGGCTGCACCGGCGGCTGCGCCCGTGGCTGATTCGACCGGCGGACTGAAGGCCGACACTGGTGCGCAATCAGCCGCTATTGTAACGGCCACTTCTTCGGCAGCAGCTGTCCCTGAGCAGACACAAGCGATTCCGGCCGCGAACCGCAGCGAACAAGCTCAGCCAACTGATGCAGTCCCAGTGGCCGCTCTTGATGGCTCAAGTGCTATTCCAGCTGCGACGTCAACGCCGGCAGACCCTCTGCAACCCACTGCTGTTTTCTCGCCATCATCGTCTTCAACACCGGCAGCTGCTAGAATTCAGGATCCCGATTCCTCATTTGTGCCGAGTATCGCTCATGCGAAACTGCACCAGCATCACCTGCTCCAGCGTACACAAAATAAGCGACTCAAGTCGGACCACGAATTGGAGGCTGACGCGGCTGTCCGAGAGGCAAAGCTGGCGGCTATCAAGGACATTCGAGTCAAGGTGCGCTACCCGGATGGTTATCAGACACAGTGGATTTATGGTCACGGGGCCACGGGAGCTACACTGTATCAGGCTGTCCGGAGTGTCATGCGTCACGCAGACCAACCGTTCAAGCTCAGCCTACCGGCTGGGGGTCCGGTGATTGACGATGGTCCCAAGCATCTGATCAAGGGTTACGGTCTGCGGGACACGATGGTCAATTGTACATGGGCCGACAGCGTGCCAGCTACTGTTCGGAAGGAACCGTTCCTCAAACAGACAGTAACAAAGGCCGCCCAGGAGGTGAAGATGCCCGAGTTGCCCAATGTTGAGTCGGACGACGAGGAAGAACAACCCGCAAAGGCTCCACCCGTCAAGAAGGGCGGAGATGACGATGGCGATAAGAAGGGCAAGAAACTGCCCAAGTGGCTCAAGTTGCCGGGGAAGAAGTGAAGAGTCATGGGGCTCATCAGGTGTCGGTGTAAGAGCACTGCGTACCTCCAGCACATTTGATGTCTTGATGAGGTCTCATCAGGAAATCTGGAACAAGCGACGATTTATGGTTTGGGCAGCATTTTATGGAGTTTCTGGAGCGTAAAGGGTCTATGATACACATTCTGATAGAGCTTGCCAGAATGGCAAAGGCGTACAAGACAGAAATAGCTGTGTTTGACGTGTAATATCATTGCCTCTACCTGGTTAACTTGACATGCTTGGTCTATCCCTGTCAGAGAGGGGAGATCATGTACTTCGCCGTGAGAACCGACCGTGTTTGCTCTTGCGCCTTGCTGAGCCACTGTCTTACACAAGCGTAGATGAATACGAGCCATCATGAAACGTAATACACGTGCGATCGTCCGAGTCTTGCGTGCTGTTTGAAGCCGGCAACCATGTGATATCCCTGTCGCGAATGCTTGATGAGAAAGAATTAGTGTTACAGTACTTCCTTGATCACAAGACGGAGCGCAGTTCGAACTCGACGTGCTGTGATAGGGCAGGCCTCAACCTGGTTGCTCATTTCCGTGGCATGTATCGGTGCGTCCTCATCCTCGACATCCTCTGCCGTGTCGGCCTCCGGCGCCTGCACGACGACCTTTTCAGCTCTCTGTTCTCGGCGGCCCTGACGGCGAGCCTAAGCTGTTTCCACTGGTGATACCATTCCATCATCTGCGCCCTGGTACCCCCATTCCGCAGTATCCTCTCGATCTCGGTGAGTAGGATCCTGTACTGCTGTGAGGTTAGAGTCATCTTGCCCGGGTTGATTCTCGCTCGAGAAGCTCAGGGCTTTGGCCCAGGATGTCGAGAGAGAGAGAGAGAGTTGAGGAAGTTGTCTGGTCTCTGGGAGGTGCTATGGCTTTATATATATATCTTGATCTGGGATGGAAGGCTGCGAAGAGTTGCGAAACCGCAGGGGAAGAGTTGCCTGGGGCATCTGCCTGGCGATCATGCAACCCATACTTGCTTTCTCTACTCGTGGAAGAGCTTGACTGGTTGAAATCTACACTTGGATGCAGCCTTGATGTTCCTTGTTGCGCCTTGTGGTGAGTCACCCGAGCAGAGGTGCAGGTATTTGTTCTAGGCAGCAACCACCCGTTCCACTCTGGCGGGTGTTCACCCTCTCAAGCCCTTTCGGTACAAAGCTCACAAGCCCAGACAGTTCCATGAGTTTGCATGAGTTAAAAACTCTCCAAGGCTGTCTGGTCGAGTGGGGTTCATGGGCGTCAACATTCAGGGGGATCGTCTCCTCCCAAGTGGGCACGCAGATCATCCGAGAATAGGGTTTCCCAGTCATTGTAGGTACTCACCACATGCATCAATCCCGAATCAGATGTCGGACTCGCATTAAGGCCAGTGCCGTAGGCAGGTACACCCGCAAGATGCAGGGAGCCTAATTAAAATGCGGCCGATGGCAGTCCGTCACTCTGCCCTACGGCTCATTACGAGGAAGTGAGAGTTGAACACAGGACGGGCCAATCGTCGTGGCGCTTCTTGTTTCACACATGCAATCCTTCTTGCTGCGTCCTCCACTCATCCGACTGAACACTTTTCTAGAAAAGCACGACCCATAGAACTCCATCATCGTCACAAGAGAAGTAATACCGCTCAAAAGAGGGTCCATTGCCGCGCATTGGAACCCACGCGGTCCGGTTTTCTGTTTGTTTGCCGTTGTACAAACGGATCTACTTGTCTATTCTAGGCACCGTGTTTGGATCGGCAGAGATGCGCACTGCAAGGAGCACAGGAGTACTGCTCCGCCTCGTCATTTACAACCTAAAGCGGGATATCCCAGCTCCCTTTAATGTAGATGTGGATATAATAACAAGCTTTTCTATGCTTTTCGATTTCCCTGTCCTTCTCGGTCGCCCTTTCCCAGTTCAATGAGAGTGAAGATCGTAACAGAGTGTCTATCCTTGCCATCAACTTGGGCCTCTCACCTATCCTGATCAACTCGATTCGCATCTTAAAACACAATGCGATCTTTCGCCATTCTCGCAGCTGCCGCCGGCGCTCCACTCGTGGCCGGCCTCAACTATGCGCTGCCCAAGCAGCTAATGGCCCTCGAGTCCGACTGCTACTACCCGGCCTCCTACGAGGTCCGCGACTTTGCGAACTGGAAGCCCGCGGCGGGCAACGACAACGCAACGACGCTCGACTTTACCTTTGTCGACGCGGGCGCGGGCATCACGACGCCGTGCCACCTCAACGCCACCTCCAAGTCGCTGACGCCGGCCAACTCGACTCTGGCGAAGCGCTGGGCGTGCGACGACGGCCGGGTCTCGTTCATCTGGCAGAAAGAGCAGCTGTGGATGATTGAGAAGGTGTGCCCGGACCAGCAGACGTAAGTTGAGTCGAGACCCTTCCTCCTCATCCCCTACCGAGACATGTCTCCTCTTGGTATATAATGATGACAACGAGGCTGACGATGGATGGTTTTTTTTTTTACCACGATTAGTTCACCCATCTTTGAGGCCTCGGGCTCCGTCGACCCGGCGCCACAGTGTGTCGACACGGACTGCAGCTTCCCTCTCGGCGACGGCCAGGAGTGCAAGCAGGCTGGCCCTATGCCCGCCAACTTTACCAGCTTGCAGCCTTCTCCTCTGTGACCGCGATGCTGTGCTCATTTGAGCTCTTACGGGGTGATCGATCATCTTGGATGGTCAGCGGACTAGACAAGCTCTCCAAAACTTGAGGAAGAAAATGGGATCTTGGCTCCGAAGGATCAGGCGTTTCGGCTTGTGCTTGAACTGAATAGACTTGGGTTGCATGGTACATAGATCACGATAAAAATGAGATAGCCTCAAGAAAGAGGATCTTTACATCTTGAGGTCTATGATCTTTTGCATTTGTAGGTAAGAGTAGAAAAAAAGGCAAGTATCTTAACTACCTACATAGACTTGTCGTTGTAAGCCACCGAACCTGCAGCTAGCCACCGGGGCGGCCTAGGCTGCCCAGGAGCTCGCTAATTTGCCGACTACAGGGCGTGATCCGGGGCTCCTCCCCACGTTTCTCTTAGCGGCATTTGACTCGGGACCACCTGACGTCGTTTCACCCATTTCTTTGCATGTCGTGACCACCTCAACCGAATACCCGCCACTTCTCCCAGAACCTACAAGAATGATGATCGTTATGCGGCGCTGACAACACGAGGCATAAAAGCGCGAATCTGCGATTACTACTGTGGCGCTCGCCATGAATTTCCAAGTCTAACGCAAGGTCATCACATCTCGAAGAGCAGCACCGGCACGGACACACTCTGCCCGCCTCATTTTCAGGGCTATGCCGCTGTGCTAGCCAGATCAAGTTGCTTTTTGTGGAGGAAATACGTTGTCTAGTTTTGCCGTGAGAATGCGATCATTGTTACTGGCATTGGGCCTGCTCTTGGCTGGGGCTTCTTGCCCAGTCGCGAGCACTCTGAGCCAGACGGATGGCGACCAGCATCCTCTTCACGACGGAGACGCTACCGGTCAGGCCGTTTCCGTCGCGCTCTTCTCGTCTCTAGAGCGCCTGTCACGGCTCGTGGATATCTCCTACTGCGTCGGGAACACCGGCGTGTCTCCGCCCTTTTCTTGCGTCTCGCGGTGCAAAGAGTTTCCTGCCATGGAGTTGGTGACGACTTGGAATACGGGCATGCTCATGAGCGACAGCTGCGGCTACATTGCTGTTGATCACGGGGACAGGAAGATAAACTCGACTACGGGGGGTCTCACGACCACGGGCAACAAGGACGACGGCGCGATCGTTGTGGCTTTCCGTGGCACATACAGCATCACCAACACTGTGATCGATCTGAGCACTGTGCCTCAGGAGTACGTGCCGTATCCGGAGCCAGATGACGGCGATGAGGAGGGTGACAACACATATCCTGACCCTGAGAAGAGGGAGAGGTGCACAAACTGTACAGTGCACATGGGCTTTCTCAAGTCGTGGCGCAATGCCCGATCGCTTGTGCTGCCAGCGCTGAAAAAGGCTCGCGCCGAGCACCCATCCTACCCTATCCAGCTAGTTGGCCACAGTCTAGGCGGTGCTGTCGCTGCGCTCGCCGCGCTGGAGTTCAAAGTTGCGTTGGGCTGGGACGACATCAAGATCACGACGTTTGGGGAGCCGCGGGTCGGAAACCAGGGTCTGGTCGACTTTATCGACAGAGTGTTTGGCATGGAGAAGGACGAAGGCTTCGACAAGGACCTGGAGAAGCGCATATACCAGAGGGTCACGCACGCCAACGACCCGGTGCCTCTCCTACCCCTGACCGAATGGGGCTATCGCGCTCATGCGGGCGAGATATACATCACCAAGGAGCCACTGTCGCCTTCGCCAGAGGACCTGAGGATGTGTCGAGGGGACAACGATCCCAGCTGCATCGCTGGCGCGGACAGCACAGTCAACCAGGAGGAGCTGGTCGAGATCGTCAAGGAGGCCGAGACGATGGAAGACTCGCGGCTCGAGGCGAGGTGGGAGTTCCCTGCCCGATACAAGCTGTGGCAGCTCTTCTTTGCCCATCGTGATTACTTCTGGAGATTGGGGCTTTGCGTGCCTGGTGGTGACCCGTGGGATTGGGGCAGAGAGAAGTACAACTATACGTCGGGCTCTGATGAGCTGTAATCACCTCATACCCCATGTTATGGAGCGAGGAGTTGGCCGGGAGCGTGTCTTTTTAGGTCGTCTACAAGCTGTACATACCGTTGACGAGATTGCCAGCAGATAAGAACCTTGGAATAAGCAACTACTCAGACTCAGCCGGTGCGCACACGTAGTCCAACCCTCTGCTGTGGCAGCCTAGCACATGCTGACACGCGCGTCACGCTGTATGCCGACGACTGGACAGACCCGACGGCGGTTTGTCGGGTTCTACCAAGTTAGTAAAAGTCTGCGATCTGCCTGATCCAAGCCATCTCAGTGAATGGCGCGTATCCAATCAATACTCCACGTCTCCATCCCGACTGATCTTGTTCTAGGCCTGGACTGGAGAGAAATGATTGGCGGCGATGCAGGCAAGTCAAGCATGGGCACGTCATATGGCACGCACGAGAGCCATGCAACTCTACGTGCCCGCGGGATGGATTGGGGGCCGCCGCACTCTGTTCTTGTTCGTTCACACCTGGGCAGGGCGGCCGGCGGCTGCAGGCATTGTCACGACGGGAAAGCAGGTCTAGTCGAGGTTTGTTGGCCGGATGCGAGGTCGCGTGCTGCGAGTCCCCCTCCCTCGACGACCAACCATTTGGACTTGGGACGGTACGGGACTTGCCATATCTTCCCCCTTCCCCCCCTCTCTCGAGGCCTGCTGCGTCCCCGTGGCACATCCGCTAACGGCTCTCTTTCGTGCAAGTCACCTTGGAAGTTCAAGTACATTATCTGAGGTACCTTTCACGAGAGGGGACTTGGGGGATCCGGACTGCCAGCGCAGAGAGAGACAAACCCCGGAAAGCGGGGCCAGCTTGGCACACGTTGACATTGATGCCACGCGATAAGACCCCTGCTCTGGTCTTGTTCGAGTTTTCTTCCCCCTTCCCTTCCGTCTGTTTCTGTAGCATTGCATGTTTTTAGGGTGTTTGAGGGGGGTTCCCAGAAAAGGAGTTGGGACTGCCCTGTAGGGCTTTCCGTACCTTCAGCATTACAACTAAGGCAGGGAGTCGTAGATGCAGCATTACCTCACTTGTTTGCCCTAGCCATCTTTCTCTGAGCATCGTGGTCATATCTCAGAGGTCTGGAGATATTGCGACTTACTCATCATAGGAGCCTTGAGAGGCGTCAACTTCCAAGGAATCGTGTAACTAGGGACGTGCCGTCGATTGTGGCGAGGAGGGTCTAGAACCTCTTGTATTAGTAGAACGCAGCAGCGGTGAAGGACTAGACAATGTTCCATCTCTACAGTCTTGGGGTTCCTTGAATGAGGAGATGCCCAGACAAGTTATGATCGGAAATAGGTAGTCGACGGGCTGTTAACAGAAGTGTTGGACTACATTATCCATCAAGCTCGATCGGTTTTAGGTAGTGGGATGGCCCTCTCGAGTCCCAAAGCAACGGTATGAATTATTGGCATTGAGGTATCTCCTGACAAACATCCCTCAACTATTTTGACTCCAGCTTGGATGCGCAGAGTGAGATCCGCCATTTCAATCTTCTGTATGTCCTTTTGAAAACCGTCTCTTACAACCAACCCAAGGTCGTGAACACTTGACTTGTGGTGCAAGGTGGAGGTAACTATGTGTATTTGTAGATGATGCGCAAATTGTTTGAGGGATACTTATCCAACCGCTCGATGTACAAGCTGAAATAAGGTAGCGCATAACAGGGAGAGCATCACGAGTTGGCGTTCACTTTTTCGCTTAGGTGGGCCGCTCCGCACCGCCAACCGTGATTCAAGGCGGGCTCAGGCGGGCCAGAGCTCTAGCAGTAGTGAGCCAGAGCTTCAGGGAGCCCCGCCATTCAATCCACCTTGCTAAACCGGAACCAGGTCCCAGGCCCCTCTTTCGAAGACCCCTCCCTCCCGGCCTAAGTACCTGGAGCACTCTATTTACCAAGCGAGGTACCTCTGAACTCGAGGACTCGCCTGGGACAGTGACAACTGAGCAAGGGCCCTCCTGCCTGCCAGCCTGACTGACTGCCAGCGGTGCCGCCTCATCCAATGTTGTCCAGACCAGTGATCTCGCAGAGCGTGCTGCCAAAAAGAGGCAAAAGAGGGGAGACAGCCTACAGAACTGCACTAACCTTGATTCCCTTCCCGCACAGCACACACTGCACACTGCACTGCACACTGCTTGACGATTTGACGCACGTACCACCACCACGTCGTCCCCAGTCTTCCCTCACGCTCCTCTCCTTCTCAACACATTGATCTGATCCTCTTCTGTCCACCACCGCCGCCTGCCCACACCCACCACACAAGCCCGCACAAGCCGCCCTCCTCCTCCACTGCCAACCTTACTGCCTGCCTACCTGCCTACCTGCACCGCCCACACTCTTCTCAAACTTCCCGATCAACACAACCTCCAAGCCTTTCCATCCGCGATCCAAATTTTGCAACCCCACCCTTTGTACTTCCAAAAGTAAACATCATCCTTCTTCTTCCCTCCCGGATCACGACCTTCTCTTCTTCTGCCCAGGCAACTTACCATTTCTCTCTTTCTTCCACAGACCGATCGATATCCTCCCCCCCCATAATCATCAAACATGGCGACCGAGGTATGTAACATGTCCCTGCCCAATCCGCCTTGCTCACCCAGTCCGCGTCACCCTGCCCCCAAAGCCATCATCCCCCGGTCCTACAGCCTTCTATCCTAGATAGAGGGCTTCTTGTGGCTGCGGACGACTTCTGTCCATCTGCATTATTTTTTTGGTCCTCAGCATCAGATCACTCCTGCTTTCACTTTCCCATCAAGCTATCAGTCACTAACATATGATGTCTCCTTTTAGCGTGAGAGGTGTGTACCGCAAAAGCCCCCTCCTCGGCCAAATATGCCTTGCCCACTACGATGCCAGGCTTGACAACGACGAGATGACTGACCCCGACATTACAGCAAGACTTTCCTGGCTCGCCTTTGCGAGCAAGCCGAGCGCTACGATGAGATGGTCACCTACATGAAGGAGGTTGCCAAGCTCGGTGGAGAGCTGACCGTCGACGAGCGCAACCTGCTGAGCGTCGCCTACAAGAACGTTGTTGGCACCCGCCGTGCCAGCTGGCGCATCATCTCCTCCATCGAGCAGAAGGAGGAGTCCAAGGGCACTGAGAAGCATGTTAGCACCATCCGCGACTACCGCCACAAGATCGAGCAGGAGCTCGAGAAGGTCTGCGAGGACGTCCTCGATGTCCTCGACGAGAGCCTCATCCCCAATGCTGCCTCTGGCGAGTCCAAGGTCTTCTACCACAAGATGTGAGCCTGGACTGCCCCCCCTGCTCTCCCTGGGTAGATATAATTATCAAAATGCCTCTCGGGTTTGCAGATTCTGTCTCATAAGGTCACATGCTAATACCCTGGTGTCATACAGGAAGGGTGACTACCACCGCTACCTGGCTGAGTTCGCCTCGGGCGAGAAGCGTAAGAACGCTGCCACTGCCGCCCATGAGGCCTACAAGGTATGCACAACTCCTTCGGCCTTGTCCGAGCCTGAGCTAATTCCACATGTACAGAGCGCCACCGATGTCGCCCAGACCGAGCTGACTCCCACCCACCCCATTCGCCTTGGCCTTGCGCTCAACTTCTCGGTCTTCTACTACGAGATTCTGAACTCGCCCGACCGTGCCTGCCACCTCGCCAAGCAGGCCTTTGACGATGCCATCGCCGAGCTCGACTCGCTGTCTGAGGAGTCTTACAGGGACAGCACTCTGATCATGCAGCTCCTGCGCGACAACCTCACCCTCTGGACCTCGTCCGACAACGCCGAGGGCGAGGCTGCTGCTGCACCCCAGGAGGGCGCCAAGGAGGAGAAACCTGCCGAGAAGGAGGGCGAGGCCAAGGCCGAGGAGCCCGCTCCCGAGTCTTAAAGCGGTTCCTTTGATCGAATGCGGCGATTAGACGTGGCCTACGGGTCACGGCTGGCTAGCCATTTCCAGCTGGTTTCATGCGTGCTTTACGGTACCAGAGAAATGGAACTAGTCGTCTACGAAATCGGCTAGATGCGTTGTGTGTGTGTGTAAACCACTCACTCGGGCATCTGTGTTGATGGGGGGTTTACGGTTGTTAAAGGGATCGCGATGGTGGAGCATGATGATGATGTTTTGTTTCTCTTTCATCTTGCTTGCAGCTCACTGGGAACTGGATCGACACTTGTCACGGCCTCTCTTTATGGGGGGACAGACATTTGACTGCATCTGCGTCCAAGTCCTGCCATGTATCCAACATTTGGCGTCTCCCTGCGGTCACCTCGAAGTTATTTTGATGGCCGGGCTTTATCCCCCCTGGTGTTTTCCTTACCATCCTGCGCGTTGCTTTTTGCTGAGTGTTTTCCGAAAGAGTACCCTTAAAGTCAAACACCCCCTTTTCATGTCTATTGATCCCCCCAACCAATACAACCAAGCTACACGAAATGTGTCAATTGAGCAAAAAATGAACGAAGGAGAGTAGTAGACGAAGAAGAAGATATGATATCTCAAAAAAGGTGATGTTTCTGACCTGGTGAAATATGTGTATGAGTGGTGGGAGAGTGTGAGCGTCGAGGTGCACACTTCACGAGGTGAGATCTCAAAGGACTTGAGAATATATGGTAATATATAGATCTATTGCGGATTGGGGTATGGCGATGTATTAAAACATTAAAAAAAAAGGAAATTTGGGGTATCACAGCATGTCCGCCGCCATCGTAGTTATATACTTCGGCCAGAAATCGGAAACCAATATATCTTCACCTGATACTCTCTCTCCAGCCCGTCCTCCTCCACCAGCACGAAAGGGAAGGCAGCTCGCAGCTCGAAACTCCCATCACCGCGCCGCCCCGCCTCCTCCCGAGGGAGCAGCCGCAGGAGGCCTAGGCCTCTGGCTCTTGGCCAGCAGCCTCTGCGCCCGCCGCAGCCTCTCGTTGGTCTCGAACAGCCCTCCTGGGTCGTCCGACGCGCTGAGGTTATCGAGGTCGAGCTCGTCTTCCTCCTCCTCGCCATCTTCATCCCCATCGTCGTCGTCATCGTAATCAATGTCCTCACCATCTTCCCCCCTCCTCCTGCTCCTCCTCCGCCGCCGCTTGCCATCGCCGCCCACGTCGTCGTCCCTGTACATGCGCGTGCGCACCACGACGACGCCCCGCTCGCCCGCCCCGGCGGCCATGCGGTCCCGGATCGGCACCTCCTCGCTCGCCTGCTGGTGCAGGTCCGCCCGGCTGGCGGCCCGGCGCACGACGAGCCCGCGTATGCCGCTCAGCGCCTTGCGCACGCCCGTGGGCGGCTGCCCGCGCCTCCTCCCGCCGCGGCGGCGGCGCAGGCCGAGCCAGCCCATGCCCAAGGGGTTGCCGCCGCCGCCGCCGCCGTGGGCGTCGTCGAGGTCGAACTCGGCGTCCCAGGGGGAGGGGCCCAGGGCGGGCGAGGGCGGGCAGCTGCACTGCTTGCAGGTGGCGGAGGCGGCCGCCTCGGTCTCGGTAGGGTTTTCTCCTGCTACCACTGCAGCAGCAGAGGTGTCGTCGGCGGTGGTAGTAGCGATGGCGGTGGCGACGGCCGCAGAGGAGACGTCGGTCGCGCACGCGCAAAAGACCTGCCCGTCGTGGTCGGCGACCTCGGAGCGCCAGGTCTGGATCTGGCGGATCTTGCGCTTGACTTTCTCCGGAGGCACGGCGGGCCACGAGCCACCAGCCGTGAGAGATGCCCCCTTTGCGGCGGCGGCGGCGGCGGCCGTCGTGCCGCCGGCTGCATCAGAGTCGAGGTCTAGTCCTGTCGCGCCCGGATAGGACGGCGGGCGGGAGGATGGCTGCTGGGCGGCTGCTGTGGCGGCTGCTCCTGCTCCTGCTGGACACAGCGCGCGGGAGGAGGTGCGGGACAGGGCTGGCGACTGCGCGGCCGTCGGCGTGTTGGGCCCCATGGTGGCGACGAGGAAGTTTATGCGCAGGAGCGTCTGGTCCCAGGCCGCGGCGTGGGAGGCGGCGTCGTCGCCATCGTCGCCATCGTCGCCGTCCGCATTCTCGCGGGCGAGCAGGCGCGACGAGGTCGGGGAGGAGTAGGAGCGGGAGCGGCGAGACGGAGACGCAGACGAGGCGGGAGATTGCTGATAGTGCTGCTGCTGCTGCTGGTGCGGCAGGGCCGGTGTGTGAGGCACGGAGGAGGAGGCGCGGGATGACGATGGCGGGCGGATGGAGGAGATGGCGATGGAGATGGGGGGCGTGGAGCGGTTGGACAGGTCCTTGGAGAGGTGGTGCGAGGTGGTTGTGTTCATGCGGGTTTGGGTGTATGTTGCCATGGTATGTATGGTGATTTGGGGGTTGGGGCTTGGGCTGTAGAGCCCGGCGTGTTATGCTCTATGAGTGAGGCTCTCGCGCGGATGCGACGCACACCACCCTTGCCTGCGTCTCGTCCCGGCTCGGCAGGTATGGGTGAAGGCTGCTGCTTTCTGGGATAGACAGATCCCGTTCCCGTCCCGGGACCGAGCCTCTCTGGCCGGCGCAGATAACGACGTCTTTCGTAGTCCCGCGACCTCGATGCTTGTGATCACCCTATGTGAGTGAAGCCCGGTACCAGGTGAGCAGATGGGCGTGACCCTCGGATCCCAGCCTGCGACTTTACACAACACCCGGCAGTCTCTCTCCTCTCCTCCCCAGAGGCGAGTTCGCAAATAGGACCCCGCGGCCTTGTGCGCTCGTACGCAGCACTTCAGAACCCAGAATACAAAGAGACGATCTCTTTGTTTCCTTCTGTCGTCGAACAATATCCCAGACACGTGATGTCCCAACTGCCTCTTTTTTTTTTCTGCCCCTGGTCCGGTGTATAAGTAAGTAGTTTCGAGGTGCAGGAGCGTTTCGAGGGTCCTGCTGCCCCGGGCGAGTGGTGGGCGCTTGTGGAGTGAGGCGGCGCTGAAAGATGATGCTTGTCTTCTCGGCGCACGTCACAGGCGCGGCAAGGGGACAGGCAGGGGCCAGTTAGGGCGGCTCGAGAGGACTTGTAATCAACTTAGGAATAGTGACGAACAGCCTAAGAGGAGATGGATATGCACAATGCAAAAAAAAAAAGAAGTGAAAAAGAAAAGCCCCTTTCCAGAGACAAATGAAAAAAGGAGAATGGGAAAGTGGAAAAGGAATCATGGCATTTTGGAAAATGGTCACCGCCAGGATCGACTGACTACCTACATTAGTCACTAGATGGGGAAATGGGAAAAAAACCGGAGTGCCGTAGTAACCTAATCCAGCCCTGTTCAACGGTGGGCAGAAGAGGTATCACGATCATGCTCCTAGGTACCATGTGTGGGCAAGTAGGTGCGGCAACTCGAGTCAGATGGGCTGCCAAGGCCCATCAATCTCAATGCCTTTTCCGGTCCATCAAAGCAAAGAAGCATTCCCCGGAGCCGGTATCCGAGCAGCAGGGCACTGTGCAAGCCAAGCCCGCTGCTCAATCTCGGCATGCCTGTGCCGGATCGTCACCGTGTGCGCACTGTAAGGAGGTACCTACCTTGGGGAGGCCCAACTGCTGTTCTAGAATGACGGGCTGTGCCGGCCAGGCAAGACAACACACGCTACAGCGCCGCCGGCGTGCTGGGAATGCGCACGCGGCAGATTTTTGGATGGGCGAGAAGAACTTTCCGTCGAGTCAGTCGGGTCAAGTGTCCAAAGGGAAATGCTGCTTCAGCTCGGGCTGGCCGAAAAGCCCCCCCCTATGCTAGGCATGAACTAGAACCTGGTGGATAACGCAGATATGCCAGGAACGCTTGTGTGGAAATTAGACTCTGGGGTAGCCAAATCCCATGCTCGAGACCATCGTGAATCGTGATCGTGTTGTCCTTGAAGATATGCAATTTCGATCATGCGCTGCTGCTCATACTCTCGCAAAAGCAGGCATGTTATTCCTCATACGCGGGCAGTCTAGTGCGCGCCCTATCTAAGTAACTATCCTATCCAGACACAGAAACAACCGATTTTCCTTGGCCGGGGCCTCTTCTAATGAACAACCTTGCCCAAGAAATCGTGGCCGACTGACCTGTCTGTCCACGAGTCGTAATGTCATACCAAGAGTTATATACAAGATGATACACAAACCGCCTAGCCATCCATCCGCCCATTCAAGTCGGCTTCAGCGCCTCCCAGCCTCCCACGTTGCCAGCCCCTGTATCGTCACCTAGTAAATCCATACTCTGACCGTTTTGCTGCTGCTTTTCCGGAACCAGCACATGCTTCTTATGCACCGGAACGCTGGGCTTCCTAGCCGGCAGCTTCGGCGGTGCCGCTGCTGCTGCTGATGACCTTGCCTCCTCCTCTTTCCGTATCATGCCTGGTAAGCCGACAGCCCCCGCACCCGGTGTCGCTTTGCGAGCCGGCATCTCTGCCGTACCTACTCTACGCGGCGGCATGCGCGGCGGCTTGACTTCCTCGTCACGCGTCACATAGTTGCCCAGGCCCCCACGAGAAGAAGCGACCGACGATGCGCTAGGCGAGTGCGCACGTATGGGCAGTGCTGATGAGCCCAGGTCGGCGCCCTGCTGAAGGGTGGGCGTGCTGACGGGGGAGAGGGATGTGAGATGCGCGGGCTTCTTAGCCACGGGCGGCGGCGACTTGGCCTTTGTGGTGGACTGTTGCGACACAGACGATGTGGCGGACCGAGGCCGCGGAGGCAGGGGAGCCAGATCGTTAGACTGTGCTTGGGGTGTCGACCTAGGCGCATCTCGCATAATCGGCATGGTGGGAGTCCTCGATGGTAGGGTTGGCAACGCCTGACTTGAGGTCGGCGTCTTGTTGGACGGAGTCCCCGTCTGGCGACGAGGGGGTGGAGGTGGTGGCACCTCCTGCTTCTGCTGGACCTGCATCTGATTTTGCCCTTCCAACCCATTCGGCCTTCCGACCTTGGCGGGCAGTCCCGAAGGGTCGTAGGGCGGCGGGAGCTTGCGCGGCGGCTGGCTGCTGGCGGAAGAGGAAAGGATGGCGGAATGGTTGATGTGCTCGTAAGGCGACGTCGAGATACTGGAGAATGATGATAGCCGAGACTCTGATCTGGGGACTGCTACCCAGTCAGGCTCATCCGTGGCAGCCCAAGGGTTCGACGGACGGTTGGGGTTCAACACTGTCGAGTACGCCGACGACGGAGGTTTGGGCGGCGTCACCGTCGAGCGAGCCAATTTGCCGTTCTCTAACCACCATTTCTGTCTGTCAGAGCTGGCCGGTGGGAGTCCAGGCTCGATCGCGTCGTAGCCTATGAGATCCTCATCGTCCGTGTCCTCGGCTGTATTGAGGTTGGCCGTGGCATCACCGACCTCGAGCTTGCGTCGGTCGTAGAGTTGCCGCCGAATTCTGTCCCTGAGCTCCTCGTCAACTATGCTAACCGTACAGTCAAAGGTCGCATATACAGGCCGGTGATCAGAGAACTTAAGTGGCGCCGAGTTGTATGATAGCTGTCGAAGATTGGTGCCTTTCCGCAAGATCCGGTCCGTCCAAGCGGGAATACGCTGCTTCTCTGAAGAGTCATACGAGTCCTTGCCAATGTCGAACCTGTATGTGGGGAGGAAAGTGATCCTGGCTTCGGAGTAGAAGGGGAATGACAGTCCCGCCACCATCTGCAGATTGAGTTGATCATTCTCATAAAGGCGTTCGAGGTCTCGTTGCGCAATGAGGTTGTCCACCTTCTCGCGGCTCAGCCCAATCCGGTAATTGAAGTCTCCCATCCATATGACCGTGTCGTGGTCGTCGATGCCCCGGTTCCTCGCAAACCGCAACCCATGATGAATGGTGGCATAATCGCGATTCCTCTCATCATAATTCGCAAAACCTGCTGCGAGATGCGCCGTCACAAAGCAGATATGGGTATTGGCATAGTCGAACCGGATCGCCACGGCGCCTTTGTTGCCGGCCATCCCCGACATGCCCGTCTTCTTCACATTTCCTTCCACGTTTTTGATTTCTCGCAGTATCGATGATTTGACGAAGATGCATAGCGCTGCGCCGACAAGCTGCCCGCTCCGTAGGAGGACATAGCTTTCTCCGCCCATAGCCTGAGCACGCTTGTTCAGTGTCCGTTTCACGGACTCCTCCCACAGTTGTTTCCTACGGGGGTCGCTATTCATGATCTGTTGTGGGCTCAGCTCCACGATCTCTTGGAACCCAACGGCGAAGATCTCGGGCTGTGTGTCCTCCAATATGGGTGGACAGAGCCATGGCGACAAATCTTCATTGATGCCATCTGTACGACCGTTCAAATTAAAGGTTCCAACCCACCTGAGTCTGAGTCAGTATCCCGGACAAAGAATTGGTAGTTGATAGACCAGTACTTACATATTGATGACCTCTGATGACGAGAACTCGCCACTACGCTTGTTGAGCTCCGAGGTCACATAGTCGTTGATAGGGTCGAATAGCACGACTGGAGCTTGGCCATATATCCTTCCAAGGAGAATGTCAATCGTGTTCTGGCGTCCTTTGTCGGCAAAGTTGTTGATATACAGTCTCGTGGCAGATTTGCGAGCATCTGCTATCGCGCCGGCGAGAGACATCTTCCCGTGCCTAGTAAAGGAAGACTTCAGGGCTCCCGTGCCCGCATAGGTTCTTGACAACGCGTCGCCATTGTCTGCCCAGAGGCTCGAATGCCTCATCCAGAAATCGGACGGGGCAAACTCCCCTCTGTGGCCCAAGAAAGCCTCCACAGCCATCTGCGATATAAGTGTTTGAATGAGATTGGTCCTGTCAAGGCAATCGAGACAGTTGGTCCGAAAGACACCTTCTTGCTGTAACACCACCAGAGAGCGGCGATGGCCGTTCTGAGCGCCATGCTTCTCATCAGCGTCGTCAGCCTCCTGTGCCAGATAGTACGCGAATCCATCTGCGGAGTGCTCGATGTAATGACGGATCTGCCTCGCAGCTTCATAGCCTTGTGGACCTTTGGTCTCAGCATGGAAGTCATATTCCGTGGCCTGAAGAAGTGCATGATCACGAGACAACTTATCACCTCGCTGACTGAGCGGACACCTCTGAATACCGAGGCGGTAGCACTGGCTCAGCTCAGCCTCTCCCGGCTTCGTCTCGCTGAGCAGGTTCACAACGTGCACTGCACCATAGGCGTGTTCCAGGTCTTCAAAGTGCTTATCAAACGCCGGCTGTGTGCCGTCCGCAGATCTAGTGACCGTGATCTTCTGTTGGCCAGGTATGAGGCCGGCAGTCTGCTCCCAAAAGACAGGGACCGATCCACGAACCTGGGCGTACGAAAATACAACCCCTGAAGGACTCCAGTACACCGTCTCAGTCTCAACAAAGTTGGCAACGTTCCCATCATCGTCAATACCTCGAGAGTTGAATCTCGTACCGGCTCTTCGACATGATAGTCGTGATATGACGGTGAGATAAGAAGGCATCCCCGATCTGGTTGACCTCAAGGGAGCCGAGCTCTGAGGGATAGCCATCGTGAGACAAAACCCTCGGATAGCAGAGGTGAGAATTCGCGACGCATCCAGCACTTCTCGCTCAGGAGGCTGAAGACGTGACCGGAACTGAACGAGGGGTTGGATCATGTACGAGTTCCAGAGGAAGGACTCGTCAAAGTTGTCGATGTCAAAAGCGGCCGAGTCCACAGGCCGGTCCTGCATCCTGTTGGTGAGATCAAAGTCCGTACTGTAGTAGAACGTGCCATTGCTGAGAAGTTTCTGGAGCTCTTGGCAGGGATGCTCAATTCCGACGTCCCGTCGACTCAGTCCCTGGCTGTAAGCCGAGGAGGCGTCCGCGTTGACATCCCAAGGATCCACGGACAGTACGTCGTCGTACGCGTTGGTATTGAGACAGAAGAACTCGACCGTCAAGATCCGTTCCACCGTCTCCCCTGGCCGCAAGGTGGCCACCCTCGACGCCTGCGTAATAACGCACAAAAAGACATCCCGGTCGATCGATATCAGACCTAGAGTACCGTATATTGGCCGAGGAGTAAGGGGCCGGTAATCGCTGAGGAGAGAGCTAGAGGTTGGCGTGAACTCGACGATACATTTCGAAGCGCCGCCGTCGCCTCCGCGAGTCCGGGCAGAAGGGATCGAGGCGAGGGAGCCACTGGCGATGGCTTCGGTTGTCGTGGAGCTATGGCGGAGGATGAGGGCGTGAGAGTGAGATGCTATCGCAATGGCTCGATGAGGATAGTCGCGAATCAGCAGCTGACTGGATCTCTCGGCAGCCGGCGCCTGGCCGGTCCAGAGGGAAGAGCTTGGGGGATGCTCCATGCTGCGACTTCTTCATGGAACGTAGTGAATGGGCGGGGAGCAGCAGGATGCGCAAAGGCACATGCCTTACCACGGAGCAGAGTCAAAGCTCTCGCATTTGCAGTCGAGGAGTGAAGTATCCAGAATAAGGTCGTAGAAGTGTAGATATTTCTCTTGGGGGCTGTCGGCTATGACTTCCAAAAGCATGTAATATTGCAATGATGTCTCTTATTATTCGACGATAGGTGTTCAGAGTTCCGGAGAATTGAGGCTTAGTCTGGGCTGGAGCAATGACGCAGTTACGGGGACCCTCAGTGCAGCTCTAAGCTGATCTACCAAAGTTCTAGGCTATCTCAGCGGCCTGAGGCTCTGGACAGTGGGTGCTGTAGTGGTTGGGGGCGGGGCAACTCTGAGAGCCGGGGTTTCCAGGCTGCCAAGAGGGTAAGTGATCCATGGTCAGGTTACCTAGATACTTAGTTGACGGGCTGCTAGTAACAGAAGTACCTTAGAAAGCGACTTAGGGAGGTAGTAGGATAACCCCTCAAGGTTCTGAGTTCCAGAGGAAGGACATGGCAAGGATATCGATTGTTAACACTTAGGTATCTCCTGATGAACTTTCCGTCTACTATTCTGACTCCCGCTTGCCTCCGTAGGGCTACGAAGGGTTGTCCTCTGGCGGATGCAAAGGAGAGGAGCAATGCACGCAAAAGGACGTGTTGCCAATTGAACCAGCTACAAAGCCTCTACAACTTCGAATCTGTCTTCTGCACACGGCTTGTGTACCTAGGTAGGTGCTACGCTACACGTAGCAAGTTACACAGCATGGTCAAGCCATATGGAAGCCAAATTCAGAGTCTCGGGACCATTGTGACGATGTAGTCGCGCTTGAAGACGAGCAGGCAGGTCTTCAGTGGCTTCAGATTATTAAACTTAAGATGAGATCACGCCCTGAATCAGGGTCATCCTCTTCCTATCATTGTTTTTGTTAAGAAAATCATCATTAGCCATGGAGGAGAAGAGAGGAAAACTCGAGCACCTCCACCAGAGAGCTTTTGGAGAAATTTATCTGGAATCGCCTTATGTAATCCACAATTTTAGCAGCTGAATGGCCCGTGCCAAACAGCACCTAGCTGTGGATGAGTGGGCCTCAATTTCTTGAGATCTTCCATATCTGACTTTGTTTTAGCGTGCAGCCTTGTTCACTCCAGGCCTCCAAATCCACCTTTTTCACTCCTCCTCACCAGCACATTACCAGCCCCCCATATTCGGCCACATCTAGATCGCGGGAGAACAACACTGATTGCTCAAGTCGCCTGGCAGCGCCGTTACCTCAAAGACACTCTCTGTCGGCTGCAATCGCGCAGCTAGCTTTGGTATTCGCCGACGCGACCGATCTGTGCCGAGGATCTGCACAACCCAGCACGCACGCGACCATGGGTGATTTCAACAACTTTGGTGGCTCCGAGGAGGAGAACACCGAGATTAGGCGTCTCAACAATGAAGTGGTACGTCGTTTGCTTGTTTGCCTCCTCGAAATGCGCATTGACCTTGATTGGCTGACTCGCTGTTCCTCTTCGCAGGAAGCCGAACCCGACAATTTTGAGCACTGGGAGAAGCTCGTCCGCGCTTGCGAAGCGCTCGAAGGCGGCTTGAATAGGAATTCTAGCCCCCAGGCTTTGTCGACGCTGCGAGACTCGTACGACCGTTTCCTCCTCAAGTTCCCGCTACTCTTCGGCTACTGGAAGAAGTATGCCGACCTCGAGTTCAACATCTCAGGGCCCGAGTCGGCAGAGATGATATACGAGCGCGGTTGCGCCAGCATCACCAACTCGGTGGATTTATGGACGGAATATTGCTCGTTCAAGATGGAGACCACCCATGTTCCCCATCTGGTCAGAGAGTAAGTATACAATGGCACACATCTCCTTCCCCGTAACACCATACAGACAGCTCCACCACCGCGAGCGACTTTGCGACCCAGCCTTGCAATAAGACGGATTGGCACTGGAGTTTCAACTCCTACGGTGAGAACACACTACAGGCTGCCACCAACCTGCTGGGCATCGCTCTCACATTTGAAAACCAGGCTCTGTTTTGTCCCCATCAGAACATGATCTGCATGATTCTATACCAAAAAAGCTCTCCCTCGCTCCCACGTCGCTCTCTCATCCTCACGAGACCTCATTCGGTTGGCTTGGAAACGGATGTCTTCACACTTGGCAAACTTTTCCTTCCTGTATTTGCACTCCCTTCCACCCTCCCCCGATTCTGGTCCTTTCCTTGTTGTCCTTGTGCCAAGGCTGACCTGTCTTCTAGGCTCTTCGAGAGGGCTGCTAGCCATGTCGGCCTTGATTTCCTGGCCCATCCCTTCTGGGATAAGTATCTAGAATATGAGGAACGCCAGGAGGCTCACGACAAGATCTTCGCCATTCTCACCCGCGTCATCCATATTCCCATGCACCAGTATGCTCGCTACTATGAGCGCTTCCGGCAAATGTGCGCAGACCGGCCTCTAGAGGAGATGGCAGACTCGGATACCGTGGCTCGCCTGCGCGCCGAGGTTGTTGCCGAGACCGCGCCTTATGGAGTAGCCAAGTCGGAGCTGGAGGTGGAGCGTGATGTGCGGGCCAAGATCGAGGCCGTCTACTACGAGGACTTCACTAAGACTCAGGCCGAGGTTACCAAGCGCTGGACCTACGAAGCTGAGATCAAGCGGCCATACTTCCACGTGACCGAGCTCGACCACTCCCAGTTGATCAACTGGAGGAAGTACCTCGAGTTCGAGGAAGCAGAGGGCGATGCCGCTCGCATTGTGGCTCTGTATGAGCGTTGTCTGGTGACGTGTGCTTTCTACGAGGAGTTCTGGTTCCGATATGCTCGCTGGATGTCGGGCCAGGCCGGCAAGCAGGAGGAGGTCCGGAACATCTACCTGCGGGCTACGACCCTGTACGTCCCCGTCAGCAGGCCCGGCATCCGTATGCAGTTCGCCTACTTTGAGGAGAGCTGCGGTAGGGTCGACGTCGCCAGGGACCTGCATAGCGCAATTCTCTTCAAGCTGCCCAACAGCGTCGAGGCCATCCTCTCCTGGGCGAACTTGCAGCGGCGTCAGATCGGCCTGGAGGCTGCGATCGAGGTGTTTAAGCAACAGATCGACTCGCCCGAGGTCGACATCTACATCAAGGCCGCGCTGGTCACCGAGTGGGCGTTCATGCTGTGGAAGGTTAAGGGTTCCGTTGACGACGCGCGCACCGTGTTCAGCAAGAATGTGCAGTGGTACGCCGACAGCCGGCACTTCTGGCAGAAGTGGCTGGACTTTGAGCTGGCCCAGCCGAGCGACGCGAAGCAGGAAGCCCAGCACGGCGAGCGCATCAAAAACATCTTTGACGAGATGAGGAGCAAGAGTAGGATCTCTACCAACGCCAAGAAGGAGCTGGCCGAGGTGTACATGACCTACCTCCAGCAGAGAGGAGGCAAGGACGCTATGAAGCTGTTCTTGGAAGTTGACCGGGAGATGTTTGGGTAAGTATTTCCTCATCCTCGCTTCGTTCAAGGTCAAGCCTTTACTAATTCCCACGCCGCAGACCTCCTTCAGTGGCCATCTTCCCCAAACTCAAGCTCGGTGCCAAGGAGAATGGCATCCCGCTCGGAGATCTCGACGAGCCCACCCGGCAGAAGGCAGAGGCACGGTACTACAGCTTCTACCAGCTGCATGCCGATCCGGACATGGAGGCTCAGGGAACCGCAGAGTTTCATTGAAGCCGGCTGATCTGATCGATCGCCTTGCAGCGTCGGGCGGTGCCTTCACTCGCATAAAAGGTTGTGGTTTTGACACTTTATTTCTGTTTTCTTTTTCTTCCTATACATGTATCAATATCCCTCATCCTGGCATCGGCAATGACACGGGGCTTGGATGAAGAAACGGCGGGTGTTGTGTGTTGGGGCTTTTGCATGGCAAAAAGGGGATATGCAAACTCGTCTTTGAGAGTATATTGGGGTGGATATCCTGTGATGAATGACTTCTGTTCAAAAGTTCGGGGACGGGGCGCTCTTTTTTTCTCGGAAGTAATTGATCGGAGGGAGGAGGACGGGACGTGTCGCGGCGGATGGGCCCGGCACTCGAGCGACATTAGGCTGGCTCTGTCTGGCCCAAGAAGGTGGCAAACCAATGGAGCTTGATAATGCGAGCTTTATTATAGAATACGATATATGGTTTCTATCAGTTCCATGTGCTGAAAGCACAGCAACACTGTATGTTTGAGGAGCTGTGACGAGACGTGGCACGGAGGAAGGCTCGGAGTCCGACGGACGGAGACTGCCTGACAAACGCACAACCCCCCTCCCCCCCCTTCCTGATGTTGTGCGGAGCAGTGGTGATGTATGCAGGTAGGAAACTTCAGGCAAACCTGCTGCAGCCATGCCGGTGAGATCCGTGTTCTCCTGATCTGGCGCTGACTAGACAGAGTTGCCACACTATATGTAGATTGTGCAGATTGCTGCCTGCCCTTTGAGGCCTCTTGAATCCCGTCGCTTTGACGAACATTCTCCGTCCTGGCAACGCAATTTGATAGCCGACACCAGGTCCGCATCCGAAAACGGAGTCCCCGTCCCGGGGTCCGGCTGTGTACATGTAGCGGGTCTCACTTCAATGTTCTCTTTCATTTACGCTCGTCTTTGCTCTTGACGTCGATTGATCCAGCTAGCATGTGAAGCAAGAGCCATTGCAGGGTCCAGGCACATTACGTATTGGGTCATCATGAACGTAGGTACAAGAAATAAACCAAGGGGGCGGGTTAAAACGAGGCCATGTGGTTGACAACGGGCTTTAGAATTAGTCTACAAGAACATCGGCGTCTTTTTCTTACTAGTGGCCCCTTTGCGGCGCGCGTGTCGTGCAGGAACTGAAAGATTTCCGCGGCACGACCATTGCGCGAAATTCGGGCCAACTCACATGACTTGCCAAGCTGAAAAGTGTCGGTTCTAAAGACTAGAAAAATAGAAAATTAATATGATATGACTCAGAAGAGAACTTGTAGAGTACCTACGGCGAATGCCGACGGCAAAAAAATGCGATCCATCTGATGTGGTTGACAAATGTTCAAGACCCATGCCGCCGCTAACGGACAGTTGACAAAGAATGACGAGTAAGTCCCCTGTGGCGGTGGCCCGTCGGATTCCATCGGAGGAGGCGTCAATGGGCTCTAGGTACGGAGTAGTCATGTCCCACAGTGTCTTGTCACTGGGGAAAGGCGCCCCTGGAGCACGTTCGGGCTCCAGTTCAGCAGCCCTTGGGCCAACCACAGCGGGCTTATTCGCCTCCTGGGCGGTCATTTCAGTGGGGGCGCTCACTGTAAGGTGGATTCGGAGCGCCGAGGGTGGAGACCCTGAATTGTCCAAAGTGTCCCAAGTGTCGCTGGCGCAATCCCTTGGTCCAATCATACGAGAGCAATTGCCAGTTACCTGCGTTCTATCTGGTTCCTTGAAAGCTCTGGGGAGAGAGGAAGAGAGACAAGGCCAAATGCCCTTGTTGCTCGGCGAGATATGGAGACGGTACCAGACTGGCAGACTGGGAGAGCTGCGCTTCTATCTCCCTCGGGTCGGCCTGCCTAGTCCGATGGTTTCGGTTCGGTTTATGTACCTGGCTGAACCCATTCCTGTTCCTCTTATCATGAACTTTTCCCCTTCCCTTTCTTTTCTCTCTGCTTCTTAGAACCGTGAATAGAGAACCTCTTGTCCCTTCTTATCTTTGCTTGTGTTCAAGACCCTCAAGGTACGTTTCGGCTCCCTACCCACTTGCTTTTGAAGTTTGAGTTTTGTCTTGCCGCCTCGTTCGAAGTTCCGAGCTTCATAATCTGGGTCACTCCCGCCCAAAACCGGTATCTCCGAGCTGGGTAGCCGTCGAGAGATCGTGACCACCTTTCCATATCTTGACCCGTGCCAAAACGCTTGGTCGAACTCGGTATTGACGTCTCCCTTCCCCCTCGTGCAGATGGCTTCCGCAGCACGCCAGTTTCTCCGCACTGCCACGCGCACCGGCACGCGCAACGCCTTCGCCGTTGCCCCCCGCGTGGCCTTCCGCCAGGGCGGCCGCCGCGCCTACTCGTCTGAGCCGACCAAGTCGTCCAACTCGACCTGGCTCTGGGTCGCCGGTATCGCGGCCATCGGCGGCGGTGCTGGCTACTTGTATACCCAGCAGAGCGGCGGCGTCCCCAAGGTCTTCAAGGCCACCCAGAAGGATTACCAGGCCGTCTACAACGAGATCGCCAGCCGCCTCGAGGAGAAGGACGACTATGATGACGGCAGCTTCGGCCCTGTCCTCGTCCGCCTCGCCTGGCACGCCAGCGGCACCTATGACAAGGAGACGGGCACTGGCGGCAGCAACGGTGCCACCATGCGCTTCGCCCCCGAGTCGGATCACGGTGCCAACGCTGGTCTGAAGAACGCTCGTGACTTCCTCGAGCCTGTGAAGCGTGAGTGTCAAGCTGTTCTGCGGTCGATTAGTTCCGGTGGGCGCTTGGGCTGACGTGTGATGTCCGCTGAATAGAGAAGTTCCCTTGGATCACCTACTCTGATCTGTGGATCTTGGGAGGTGTCTGCGCCATCCAGGAGATGCTTGGCCCCAAGATCCCCTACCGACCCGGCCGGTCCGATAAGGACGTTTCCGGCTGCACCCCTGACGGCCGTCTCCCCGACGCCTCACAGGCCCAGGACCACCTCCGCGCCATCTTCGGCCGCATGGGCTTCAACGACCAGGAGATCGTTGCTCTGTCTGGCGCCCATGCCCTCGGTCGCTGCCACACCGACCGCAGTGGCTACTCGGGTCCCTGGACCTTCTCCCCTACCGTCCTGACCAACGACTACTACCGCCTGCTCCTTGACGAGAAGTGGCAGTGGAAGAAGTGGGACGGCCCCAAGCAGTACGAGGACAAGACTACCAAGTCCCTGATGATGCTGCCCACCGACTATGCCCTGATCCAGGACAAGCAGTTCCGGCCGTGGGTTGAGAAGTACGCCAAGGACAACGACCTGTTCTTCGAGGACTTCAAGAACGTCGTCCTCCGGCTCTTTGAGCTCGGTGTGCCTTTCGCTGAGGGTACCGAGAACCAGCGATGGGTGTTCAAGTCCTCCAACGACGAGTAAACGTGTCGTCTTGCGGGGTGTGCTATAGACCGTCCGGGCCTTCCGGCAGAAAAAGAGGTTGACGAGCGATGATTGAGGAGATGGCGATCTTTTTTTTGGGGGGGAATTCGTAGAAGACAGCGCCGACCCGAGAGACGGGTCGTAGTCGCAATTAGACTAGACGGGACACTGTTGGAGATGTCATGATATCTGGTTTCCTTTGTTGTTGGACATGAGGTCTATCCACGGATAGACGGGGCCATGCGCGGCAAGAGGGTAATCGGCTTCGCTTCTTGTGAGCAAGCTTGGGGTCTTGTTTGATAGTCAGAAGCTGTATAACACCCTTGGTCAATGTGAGCCGATTGACAAGCTTTCGTCTCTATTTTTGTGACTTGAGACGCAGGACGAGATGGATCAAGAGGAAGACCAGGCAGAGAGGGAGGTCAAGTCAAAATAAAGGAGGTCAAGGGCAAGGTAGTACTTGTAGTAGGGTAATGTAGGCCAGGTGTCGCGGGCCATGCCAGTACTCGGGCAGGGGTTCCCCGCATTTGCCATGCGTGCCTGCCGTGTTATTCGGCGCTTGTGGTGATCGCCTTCCTGTAATGGGAACGAACAGGGTGGCGTTGAAGCTTTATTGGTCGGTTGGGATCCTAATAGCCAAGGTAGGTACGTCTTCTTGGACACGCACTGCAACGCTGGTCATCACTGCCCCGGCTTTTAGTAGGGAGTGGCAGCTATTACAAGTAGATGAGAGCTGGTGAGGATCTGGGGTCCAGCATAAGGTACCTATAGGGTCCGTGAGCTTCCACTACCATACATTCCCATCCACCCAGCAGCAAGGTTTGCACCAACGACCATCCGGGCCAGTTCACAATGGACCAGATCTTCGGATGACAGCTTCTCGCCACTGTCTAGTGCTTGTTCTAATTCATGGGATCGCAATGATTGCTGCTTTTTGACAGGCCCCTTGTCGATGTGTCACGTGATGCGCTCATCGACGTCAACTTTTTGTATCGAGCTTCGAGATCTCCAGTTCAGAGCTTCAATCTCCACACGAAACACTCTCCCATCGTCCCGCATACTGTACGGGGGAGGCTAGCCGGCGACCTTTCCTTTCTCTTTTCATCCTGTCTTCTCGACGAATCCCACACAGACACACACCCACGATGGCGGTCTCGGCCACCCGCCTCCCGGCCCTCCGGCACCTCGCCGCCTGCGGCACCCTGCCCCGCGCCCCGCGCCTCTCGCACCAGCGCCGCTGGGCCCAGGTTCACGACGTCCGGTTCCTGGCCACGACGCAGCGCCGGCCGAGCATACTGGAGAAGTACCGCGACAAGCTGGACCGCAAGGCGCGCGAGGAGGGCCACGCCGGCATCGACGAGCTCAAGAGCGCCTACGCCGACCGCATCCGGGAGCAGCGCGCCCGGGACGCGGCCTCCTTCGCCGCCGAGCCGGGCGCCGCCGCGCAGACGCAGGCACAGCAAGCACCATCACCACCACAAGCTGTCCCGCCGCCGCCGTCGTCGTCCACCCCCTCAGAGACGCCGAAGAAGTCGTCGTCGTCGACCGGCAAGTCCAACATCCCGCCCCTCGACTCCTTCCTCGACGTCGAAAAGGTCCGCAATCTGCCCGTAGAGGACCTCACGGCCCTCTGGCGCCTGCGCCACGCCGCCAGCGAGCGCTCCCTCTGCGCCGTGGTCCCCGCCCACACCTACGCGGCCATGGAGGCCGCCGCCCGCGCCCACCCGCAGTTCGTGCTGCCCGTGCCGCACCCGGACCAGGGCGCCGAGATCCACTTCCTGCAGTGGACCTTTGACGCGCCCACGCGCACCTCGACCGTGCTCTTCACGCAGCTGGCCGAGTACAAGGCCCGCGGCGAGTTCGCGCAGGCGCACACGAGCGTCACGCACCACCTCGACCTCGCGGCCGACAGGGGGCTCGTGCTGATGCAGGGCCAGGTCGTGGAGGGCCGGGGCGCGCGGGTCGAGGACGCGCGGTGGCTCGTCATGTGCCTGCAGCGCTTCTACGGCGGGTGGGACGGCCAAGGGCAGGAGGGCGCCGTCCGGGCCGAGGAGAGGAGGAAGCTGCTCGAGTGGTTCGGCCGGGGGGACGAGAGGTTTAGTGTGCAGGCACTGATGGAGGAGACGGAGAGGTTGGCGTAGATGGGGCTGGGACGAAAACGTGTTTGTGTGTGTACGATTGAAGGGGTAGGAGCGTATAAAATGATGGTGAGGGGAAGAAGCCAAACATTGGACTATATAGATTGGGGTGGCCATCATGTCACTATCACATACTAACGAACATCAGATAGACTGCTCTTGACTCGGGAAATTTGTTTTTATCCAGAGCTGTATCATACATATATGCCTATAGGGTCTGTATCAAATAAGAACCAAAAAGTGTATAAGAATCGCTTTCTTCGACTCTAAAAGACAAATCCCGGACATTTTTCTACCCGCTCTTTCCTCTCTCCTCTCTAAAAGCCACCTCCTCTCAACTCACAGCCTAGCCCCGGCCGTCTTCCTCTCCTCCTTCTTGGCCAGGTCCCGCAGCTCCCTCCTCAGGATCTTGCCGCTCGGCGACTTGGGCACCTCCTTGACGAAGACGACGCCGCCGCGCAGCTTCTTGTGCGGCGCCGTGTGGCCCGCCGCCCACTCGGCGATCTCCTTGGCCTTGGCGTCGAGGGCGGCGGCAGCGGCGGAGGCCGCGGCCGCCTTGCCCGCGGCCGCCGGGGACAGCACGACGTAGGCGCGCGGCACCTCGGTGGCCTGCTCCGGGTCCTGGACGCCGATGACGCCGACGTCGGCGACGTCCGGGTGGCCGAGCAGGAGGCCCTCGAGCTCGGCGGGCGCGACTTGGAAGCCCTCTGTTTTTTTTTCGGTCGGTGGTGGTAAGCATTGTGAACGACACGGTAGAAAGAAATGGTGGGAAAGACACAACTGTGCTGGGTATAGAGAAAGAGAGAGAGAGAGAGAGAGAGAGAGAGAGAGAGAAGCAGAGGCACTCACTATACTTGATAAGCTCCTTGAGCCGGTCGACGCAGTAGTAATTGCCGTGCTTGTCCCGGCGGAAGATGTCGCCCGTCTTGAACCAGCCGTCGGGCGAGAAGGTGTCGCGCGTCTTGTCGGGCTGGTTCAGGTAGCCCAGGAACACGTTGGGGCCCTTGACCCAGAACTCGCCCTCCTGGCCCTCGGGCACCTCGTTGCCCTCGAGGTCGACGATCTTGGCCTGCATGTTGGGCACGAGCTTGCCCACGGAGCCCATGAACTTGGCCCACTCGTCGGGCAGCTGGACGTTGGTCACGGGCGACGTCTCGGACAGGCCGTAGCCCTGCTTGACGGGGATGCGCAGGCGCTGCCACAGCGCCTCGGTCAGCTCGGCCGTCAGCGGGGCGGCGCCCGAGTGCAGCACGCGCAGCGAGGTCAGGTCGTACTTGTCGACGGCCGGGTGCTTGGCGAAGGCGAGGACGACGGGCGGCGGGATGTAGGCGTAGGTCAGGCGGTACTTCTCGACGAGCTGGCAGGCGCGCTCGATGTCGAAGCGCGCCATGACGACGAGCTGCCAGCCCAGGTAGATGCCGGTGAAGAGGCAGCAGCTCAGGCCCTGGAAATGGGAGGAGAAACATATTGTTAGAATCGCAGGTCATATTGGCCAAGAGAGGGGGATTGGGGATCACAGTAGGACGTACATAGATATGGAAAAAGGGAGTGACGCCCAGCATCTTGTCTCCCTTGCCGTCCGTGCCGCCATACGGCGTCAGGTACTGGCCGTCCGTGGCGGTCATCTGGATGATGTTGGCCACGATGTTATAGTGGCTCAGGCACACGCCCTTCTGCAGCCCCGTCGTCCCGGAGCTGTACACCAGGAACGAGAGGTCCTTCTCCGGGTCGACCGCCGCCCTCGCCGGCGGCGCCTCCTCCTCGCCGTCCCCGCCGCTCAGCAGCAGCTCCGAGAAGTGCACCGCCTTGCCCTCCGGGTCGCGCCGCTCGTCGCCGATCAGGATGATGCGGTCGGCCGGGATGCCGGCCTCGGCGGCGGCCCTGCGCGCGTTGGGCAGCTGCGCGGCCTGCGTGACGAGCCCCTTGGCGCCGCTGTCGCGCAGCTGCCGCGCGAGCTCCTTGGGCGTGGAGAGCGGGTTGGCGGGCGAGGCGACGGCGCCGAGCCAGAGCAGGCCGCAGGTCAGCAGCGGGACGTCGATGTTGTTGGGCGTGTAGAAGCCGAGCACGTCGCGGGGCTGGAAGCCCCAGCGGGCGCGCAGGCCGCGGCCAAAGGCGACGGACTGCTGCCTCAGGGAGGCGTAGGTGTGTGTGCGGCCTGTCTCGCCGTCTGTGAAGAGCTCTGTTTGGGTGTTAGCGGCCGACAGGAGCAGGCGAACCAAAACGGTCCCGGTATACTTGGTCTTACCTTTTGAATCCGCAAAGGGCTTGCTGCCCCGATCAAAGAGGAAGCTCCAGAGGTCGACCTTGGGGATGTCGACGTCTGGGAAGGAGGTCCCATACGGCATGTTGACGGCTCGAGGTTGGAGATCTCCGCGCCTTCTTTTGGAAGAATGGCTTTAAATGTTAAGGGGAAACAGCTTATATCTTCCGCTTGAGCTGCTGGCTTTTGTAAAAGGGAACCCCGATCTCGGCAGTACGGTGTAAGTGAACAATTGACGAATCGCGAGTTGGTGTTGTGAGCTGAGCCAAATCAACCACAAGCGTTGGACCTGCACAGGTTTGATCAGAGACACTGTCGGGTTAAAGCCTCGCGATCGCGAGTTCATAAGAGGAGGAGGAGGAGGATATGATTCCCAAGATGTAGTCTACGGTCTAGTCGCATCCCACCCCAGCTCCCTCCTCCCTCTCGGCCTCCGGCGGGTCATCGGCGGTCATGGGGCCCCAATCAACCGTCGCTGGCCTTGAAGGGACGCAGGGACGCAATGGGAAGGTGCCTCGGCACGGCTCCAGATCCACACGACGGAGCTGGAGGCGCTGGCGCTAGGCTGGTTGCGGCCTACTTGGCAGTGCGGAGGCCCACTGGCCTGCTACCTTACCCCAGAAAATCCTGGCCGCTCAAGGTGAACAGTCAAGGTGAGCGCCGGAGGAGGCTTTGAGGTGGTCTAGACGTCCAGAATGCTCTTCTACCTGTAGATGCCTACATACCTGGTAGAGTCTTTAACTCTGTAGCCTTTCCTGGGTTGATTCCTCCCGCAACTTTCAGATTCAAAGGTTGATAACGTATCTAACTATCTTATCTTCTTGGGGAAATAAGCAGGTTCGGCAAGTCACCATCCAAGCACGAAATCTCGGGCGCCTAATACAAATCAATTAATGCCATACCTGCAGGTTACTCGGTGTTCGGACTGCTCGAAAACAACTTGCCAAGCCACTGCACAACTCAGCATTGCCGAGAGAGGGCCGACGTTGAGAGAAGGCCCCATCTTGGCGCGCCGAGGCACAGATTGCGGTCGCCGAGATGCGGCGGACCCGCAATGCAGCGGAGCCGATCTTGCCCGGAGCGCCGGAATGATCATTAATAAGAGCCTCGAATTATCCAAGAACCTGTCACCCCCCATGTCTCTCTGTTTTTTTTCTTTTCTTTCCTTAACCTTTAAGGTTGTTGCGGGAGAGCCAACCTTATCGCCTCGTTTCTATACACTAAATGGCCATTGCTTGGAGATACTGTGCAACGCTTTTACAGAGTCCAAATACACCATTAATTGACTTTAAGCATAGCCACATAGGCCATCTCGAAACTCAGCACCTGCGCTCAGAGTGGAATTGTATCAATATGCAGGATAAAGCACAATTGAAGACTGCACCGGCTCTTCCGGTTGCTTGGTTAGCTGTCACCACTTCGAAATAAGCATGGGCACCCAAAATGGAGCGAGTCAAGACGAGGGACAAGGGCCACCGCGCTATGCGAGTAAGGCAACCAACAGGGTACAAACCTCCATCTCCATCAACCCTTGTCTACAATATTGACACCAAATGACAGTCGTCTCGAGATGCCTACTTCGTAAAATGGAGTACAAGTATGAGTTGGTGACTAGTACTTAGTTGAAACCGAGACTCAGAGAACCTGCCAAGCTAGGGCGCCAGATGCTACAGGGGGTCTGCTGGCGATCATAGCGGCTCTTCCCAGCCCAGTCTAGCGGTGCAGGGGTCTGAAGCAACGCCCCCAACATCTGCAACAGCCTTGAGACGAACAGAGGTGCCGCTTTGGCTGCTACTTGTATTTTCCCTCCACGTTTTGCTCTTCGCTCCATTGAGCGAGACCGCTTCATCAGATCCACGCAACCCGTTCATCTCCAACCCCCCGGTAAGCCTGTTTGGATCTACGGGCGGCACTGAGTCCTTGGATTGTACAACCTGAGCCTCTACTCCATAATCGACATCAGGGGTCCTTGCGAGCCTCAAAACCCACAACCCATATCCATGTTCCAAGGGGCTTCGTGACAAGCACATCTACAAGTAGGCCCGTCATGAGCAGGAAAGGAGATATTTGTTCCTCCAATCCCATCGCAAGCTCTCCTGCCAGACCCTGTAGGTCGGCCTCGACTCGGGATGGCAACCGTCAACATCAGATACAGACGAAGTATGCAGAGGCTCTTGAGACAGCTAGAGCCACAACGCGGCCCCCCTTGAGGCGCTGCACATGCTCGTGTAGGTAGGCCATGACCCGGTTGGTCATGGCTCTCTTGCGGAGTCGCAAGGGCCAACTTTCGATTCCCAAGAATGCCCAAGAGATCTGACGGGATCCTACCCTTGATCCGATCCTCTGGGCAAGGTGACATTCACCTATTAAGATCTTCTCGGTCTCCTCCTGCCTAGAACATATTCCTCTTGTCTTGCATACGTTCTCTCTTGGCTATTTGATCCATCTCTTGGTGTTCCTTTGCCCTTCGTTACAGCTGAGCTGTCTTTCTACTCTCGGTGCAGTGCATCATCATCACCACTTCTCCTACCTACCACTCTTGCGTCTGCCGGCCAGTCTCAGACCCACTCGTTCCAACAAGCTTTCAATACGACCCTTGATATATCTCTTCGAACTCTCGACAATGAAGTTTGCTGCCGTCCTCTCCCTGGCCCTCTCGGCCATGGCCCTTCCCATGGACATGGAGAAGCGTGCCCTGACCACCCGGCCCTATGCCCAGTTCCAGGTCTCGGGCGGCGTGGCCGGCAACGCCCTTGCTGAAGTCCAGGCCAAGTTCCCCGTAAGCACCCCGAAAGTAGCTATTTGATCATAGGAGAAAGAGGGTGCTGACAGCGCTCCGTGCCCAAGATCAACGAGAGCAACCTGGCCGGCGTGTCCAAGTCGGACCTAGCCATCATCAAGGCCGCCCGCAAGACCGCCGAGGCCGCCGAGACCGGCGCCTTCAACAAGGCCATCTCCGCCGCCGGCAAGACGTCCGCCGCCGGCAAGGCCCTGCAGAACGGCAAGATCAAGAACAAGGTCCTCAAGCTCAAGCTCGAGACCCTGGCCCTGCAGATCGACCAGGCCCAGAGCGGCAAGGACAACTCGGCCAAGATTGCCCAGGAGCAGAAGAAGCTCGACAACAACATCGCCACCGACAAGAAGAACGCCGGCCAGGCCAGCCAGAGCGTCCAGTTCGCCGGTTAGAGCGTTGCAGTGGTAGGCGGACGCTGGATTCGGGTGTGGATCATAGGTTTTGTTTGAGAGTTGCGAAAGTGGTCGCGATGAGGGTGCCGGCGCCGAGGTAGAAAGTTTCGACCTGGTCACTTAATTATTTTCCTACGAGAAATTTGATTGCTATTCCTTACAAAACACATCCTCTCTGTCCGTCTTCAGCGAGTATTCGTTCCACAGGGCGTTGTGAGTGTCGTCAAAGCAAGATGCTTTTACCACTGCAGGTGTAGTTTCAAGGGGAGCGAGCAAACACGCAGCTGAGTTGCAAACCCTCTCAAATGATGCTCAGCCTTCATTGGGGTGGCAGAGCCCATAACACACAGACGTTGGATAGTCTTTGCTGAACGCGAGCGAGTTTTCCAGTGCGTCGCAACGGAGCAGTCAACCTTCTGAACTGATTTTGTATTTGGGCTCAAGCTGAGAGTGAAGTGAGGTCCTCCTCACTCTTATGCTCACATTGTATACACATTCATATATCGTCGACCTGCCTTTACATATCGTCAGTCCTCCTTTGCACCGCGCTCACAAACGCGTAATTCGAGCAAATTTGATCGACATATCGCGGTTTCTGGTTCCCCAGTTCGACGTCCTGCGCACCCGCGAGTAGTGTACCAAAGCAACCAGACGCTGGACAATCCCCCCTTTTCTTGTCCGGGCCCTATTACTGTCAGTGTTTTTGTTTTTGTTGTTGTACTCTCGACAACCCCCCAACTCTCATGTCAACAAGAGCTACTGCTCCCGGGGAGATTGGATACTCGTCCTTTTTTTGGAGGAAAAACGGCACTCATATCATATCATCCCAGCCCCCGACATTGGCCCCCCTCCACCCTTCTCTCCCTCTTTCTGTTTACAATGAGCAGGCCGCCAGACTCTCTCCGCCGCTTCACGCCTCTTGATCACGGCCCTCCACTGCCTCCCCTTGACACATACTCAGATATCATCCCGCAGGACGTCTCCCCAGCCCCCGTCCCGCCTCCGCACCAGATCTGCTCTTCAGAACGGCCTCTCGTGCCCTTCGACCCTCACCCTTTCCCGTCTCCTCCTCTATCTTCAAGACTCTCCAGACTCCCGCGCCACGAGCGTAGCGCGTCCTACGTCTCGGGTTACTCGAGCCACTACAGCCAGTCCTCGAGCAGGAGCAACAGCGGCTCCTCCCTCCTCCTCCTCAGCGGCGGATCAAGGCCCGCAGCACCACCAGCAGCAGAGTACACCCTCCGCCGCCCGCCAGACCTGCCACCGCAGGACTTCCTCGCCCAGCACCCGCACCTCGTCTTCCGCAGGACAGCCGCCCTCCACCGCCAGCGGCAAGGGCCGGACTACTACCGGGACCCGTCATCATCGCCGCCGTCGCCGTCACCGCCAGAGAGACACCCCCCCAGGCCGGGCTTCGCGACCGGCAGCCCCCGGAAGCACCGCAGAGCAGCGGTGCAGCGCTTGCGCCGGCCGGGACTCCCCTCCGTCGTCGAGGTGGCGAGCAGCCAGGAGAGACTCGCGCGCGACGAGACCACCACAACCACCAGTACCACCACCAGCAATACCGCCAGGATGTCGCAGAACTCATACAGCAGACGCGATCTGCCTGAGCCGCCGCCGCCGCCGCCACCACCACCACCGCAGCAGCAGCACCACTCCTTCAGGGAGGCGGACCCAGCGGGCGTAGCGTCGCCGAGCAGGGGCTGGTACCAGAGCGGCCCGGGGATAGGACCCTACGGAGACGCCAGGCGAGCCCCCGACAGCCACTACGTCGCCACGACAGCGAGTCCCGCGCGACAGCAGGCGCTCGTGGGCTACGACTCGAGGCTGCCGAGGCGAGTGCCCGCGGCACTAGGCACTGCTACTACCGTTGCAGCCGCAGCGCCACCGCCACCGCCCACGGCCCAGATCCCAGACGTGAGGCGCCCTCCCCCGCGCGAGAGCTTCTCGCAGCCCCGGCCGCAGGGCCGGCTCCAGCCCTCCGAGACGAGCATGTCCGGCATCCACCCCGCGCTCCGGCAAGGGCGGCCGCTCTTGGCCAGCGATCACCATCCCGGGCCCGCAGTGGCGGCATCGGCGGCGCTGCGTGCGGGAGGAGGTGAGGACGACGACGGGCTGTCCATCGCGGGCCCGGCGTTTATGAGACCGCCGCCGCCGCCGCAGGGCGTGGAGGCTTACGGCTACAACGATGACGACGACGACGGCGGCGGCGGCGGCGGCGGCGGCGGTCAGTCCTGCCACCGGACTATATCCTCGGCGACTAGCACGGCGGTGCAGGAGCAGGAGCCGGCTAAGCGCCTGCGCGTCAGGGGCCCCAGGGACCCGTCGTTCAAGCTGAGAACCAAGCGCTCAAAGCTACAAGATGGCCCTCCTCCTCCTCCTCCTCCTCCTCCCCCTCCCCAACAGACGGACGCGCCTACGAGGCTGGGCAGCATCAGCACGGTGTCGAGCGCCGGGGCAACGTGGCACGGCAGCAGCGCTACGGAGAGCAGCGCAAAGTCCGTCCTCGAGAGGTCGGACAGCGACAAGTCGTCGTACCACAGCTTCCCCGAGGTCATCCTCGCAGAGCAGGACGAGGACAGCAACAGCGGCAGCGGCGGCACGCCAAGCAACGACCAGACACCCCGGGCAACCGCCACCACCACCACCACCTCCTCCTCGGCACAAGACCAGACTCCAACAGCAACCGCACTGCGCCGACGCCCATCCTCCATCCCCGTACCCCGGCGGCCCTCAGACAAGGAAGGCACGCCGACCCCTCAGCCCCTGACCGTCCCGTCGTCCAAGATCCCCGCTCCAGTCTCGTCCTCGACAGCAGCATCAACAGCATCAACCTCATCCTCGTCTCCTCCCGCTCCTGCCGCAGACAAACAACAACAGCAGCAGCAGAAGCAACCCCCGTCCGACCCAGAGGAAGAACCAAACTGGACCCTCAAGACGACGTCGTCCTCGACGACGTCGTCCTCCCAGCGGTCCGACGCCGCCTCCGAGCCGACCTGGCGGCCCTCGCGCCTGCACGACACCGTCTCCCGCACCCGCGCGCACTACGACCAGTACGTCATCAGGATGTACCCGACCTCGTCGGACAGCCTGGCCGCCAGCGGCGCTATGCCCCAGCGAGACGGCGGCGGCGGCGGCGGCGGCGGCGGCGGTGCGAACACGACGGAAGCGACGAGGACGGCATCATCGGCATCAGCATCAGCATCAGCATCAGCATCATCGTCGTCGTCGTCGCCTCCGCCACCGCCCATACCGGCCAGAGCGCCCAACCGGCCTTCCTGTTACGTGGGACGGACCAGCAGCCCCGTGGCCGTGGGCGGCGGCGACGAGGACACGGCGAGCAGTGCCGCCGCCGCTAGCAGTAGTGCGACTACTGCCGTCGACCTCGCCGCTCATGAGCAAGTCGAGCTGCACAACCTCGGGGCGGCGGCGGACTGTACGAGACAGAGCCGCAGCTCCTCCAGCGGTGGAGTCGGCGGCGACAAGGCCGAAAAGCAGGCCGCGGAGCCCGACTCTGAGCCCGACTCCAGCTCATGTTTCGGGGGTCTGCGCAGACTGTGGAGGAAGAAGTGATCCAGGCTACCTCTAAAAGTCCAGGAGGCACTTGAGAGCTGCAAGAAAGGGGTCTCGAGGAGGAAGAATTATGTGTTTCTGAGAGACGACGATTTGGTCAGGCGTTACTAGGCGTTACTAGGCTGTTTGGCTAGTTCTTTTCCTCTGCTGATCACTCGTCACATACATACATCTTTACCACTTGGTTTTACATACCAAGGAAACACTGGATTATAGGATTATTTCAGGGGGGGCAGGGTTGACAAGTCTATCATTGCTTGTTAATGGATGGATGTAATTTTGGTCTGTTTTGATTATGCTTCTTTTTTTGTTTCAGGGCTGTTCCTCCAGGCCTCTTTTCTAGCCTTGGGATCACCAGCTAATGTACAAACTTCGTCGTCTCGCTTTGATCTGAATGCAAACTGTGACTCCTCCCTCCCCTCCTTTTTGTTACCTAAAACTTGTTACACCAGCAACTGAAGGACGAGCTCAGAAGCAACAGGTCCAACCGAGTTCTGTCTTCGATACGCCAGGAAACCAACGCAGAGAAGGACAAGGCACTTCATCCTTCTCACTCGCTTGAATCTGACTTCAACGCTTAATAGTTCAGCTCACCGCCTCCAGAACCCGACACCTGGTCGAGGTCCTCGTAGCTCTTGATCGTGCGGCCCTGAATGGCCTCACGGGGCCCAACCGCGGCGCCACCTCCAGCGCCGTCACCCCAGCGCCCGCCGCCACCAGGGCCGCCCCTGCCGCGGCCTCCCATGCCGCCGGCACCATCGTAGCGGGGGTTCGGGCGACGGTCGTACGGTCCGGACCGATTGTTATAGCGGTTCCCACCGGGTCCGCCGCGGCGGATAGGACCGGCTCCACGGTCATCTCCGGCACCGTGCCATCCAACGGCTTGCTGCATCGCCGCCGCATTGAACAGGTTGGGCGGGAAGTTGCCGGGCATGGGGAAGCCGGGCATGGGAAGCATGCTGTTCATCGAGTAGTTCTGCAGGTTAAATCCACGCGGCGTACCAGTCGGCGCTTGACCGTTGGCAGGCGGGAAATGCCCGTTTGAATTGGCGTCGGTCCTGGAGGGCGCGATGTGCGCAGGGTCCAGCACATAGGCATTGATGAGTTCAAACTGCCATGTCGTTTAGCATCATGTTCAAATATTGCGGATAGACACGGCGGGCGGGTACTGACCTCTTCCTTGAGCTTATCAAGCCACTCTCCGTGGCGCTTCTCAACATGCTTCCTCCAGAAGTGCTCTTCCTTGAAGAGCTTGGTGCAGTCCGGGACTTTGCAGCGCCACTTGTGCTCATCCTCTTGCTTGACAAATTTGGCAAGGTCAGCGCCAATTGCCTCTTCAGCGGGCTTACCGCCCAGCTTGCGAAGGTCGACTGAATCAGGCTCGAGAATCTGCATAATCTTATCCTCGAAAGTCTTGACCCAGTTGTAAGCTCGCTGGAGTTGCTGCTCCGTCTTGGTCGAGGTGTTGCGGAATTTCCGGTCTCCTTCCGGCGCCACCTCGCCTTCCTCGCCATCTGCAGCCTCGCCTCGTTTCTTGCTAGGGAACGGGTCGCCAACAGCGCTTGCTCGCGCGATCTCTTTGGCCGACGACGACAGCGTGCTTCTGGGACGCCGCAGATGCCCACCAGGGCATTTCCGCGTGAGCTCGTGGATCGAGTCGCTCTCAAACACACAGAAGAAGCAGAAGTTGAAGACTCGTCTGAGGTACTCGATCAGGAGATCAAGTTGCTTCTTCTTGACCAGCATATCCTCGTCATCTACTTCGTCATCGACCATGCCCTCTTCCTCTTCGTCCTCCTCGGCCTCCATCTCCTCGCCTTCATCCAAGGCCTCGTCCATGCCTAGGACGCGCTCCTTCTTGGACTTCTTTGACGAGGACGCTCCCGAGACAACTGGTTGCAGGCGACCGGCGCTTCGAAGCTCCTCAACCTTCTCCTCAACCTTGAGAATGGCATTGAAATCCGAGCCAAAGTCCGCTTCAAACTTGTTGACAAGCCTCTGGACCAGAGTCAGATCTTTGTCAATGCGTTCGGGGGCCGAGAAGAGATCCCAGAGTGCCTTCTTGCGGGGGTTGCTCGGTGGGTTGTGGACTCCAAAGTGGCAAACAAAGTCGCCACGCACCTCGTCCTTGACAGTCTTGCCGTTGACAGCTTCAAGTGCTTTCTCGGCGGTCGAGGCTGGCGCGGGTGCGGTTATCATCTCGTCACCATCCTCATCTTTGGCATCAGTCCGCTCGACGACGGAGACGCCCTCGGCAGCGGGGTGGAGCATGATCCAGCCGATTCGGTGGTACCGCTTGCTGGGGTTGGGATCGCTCAGAGAGAGCCACTTGAAGCCGCCTTCATCTTCGCCCAGATGCTCCTTGCAGAACGCTTCGAGGTTTTGTCGGCTGACGCTGGGCGCAATGGTCTTGATAAGGAGAGTAGGCTGGAAAAGATTCTCGTCCCGGATGTCGGCATTGCCGGCAGGGACAAGGTCGCCAACACCGAGAACCTCATTGGCCGCGGTGGCCTCGCCTTCCTCCTTCTCGACAAGACCGCCGACGCCATTGCTCTCGCTCTTGGGAATCCCCTCGAGAGTAAAGTCGTCGAAAGTACCAGCCTCAAGATCCTGCTCCCATTGGCTGTACCCGCCCCGTCGGAACTCGTTGAGTTGCTGCCTCAAACCGTCCCGGATCTCAGGCACATATCGCTCGCGGAACCACTGCTCGTCCTTGTGCTGCTTGACAAATTGCTGTGCCATCTTGGCCTGCAATTCCTCCTTGTAGGCATCATACGCTGCCTGGATCTTAGCCTTCTCTTTCTCGCGCTCCTCCTGCGCTTCCTTCGGCCCGCGTGGACGATCAGGTTCGCGTCGGCGGCCACCGGTTCGCACTCGCTCCTTCTCCTCCTTGATCTTCTCCTCTGCTCTCCACCATTCCCCGAAGAAAGAGAAGCCGACCTGGTAAGACAGCTTCATAGGATCTGGGATCGGGTTGGTCATGGGCGGAGGAGGTCCAGCATCTTGTCCCGGAACATATCTATCGATGTTGGCAGGCGGAGAGCGCATGCCGCGGCGGTCGTCTCTGTCGCGATCGCGGCCAGGAGCATAATCATCGCGAGTGCGAGTGCCCCTTGGCTCATATCGATCAACGGCCACCGGTGACCGTGACCGGTTGGAGCGACGGGCTCGATCGTGGCCTGATTGGATAGTAAGTATGCGATGCAACGCAGAGCACAGATATCAATGGCATCAACGATGTATCGCAGCTGTGCGATACAGCATTGTTTTTCGGGAGGAAGTCCCACAGTATCGAAAGACGAGACGAAAGGGCGACGAAAAGACAAAACGCACCTGGAGACCTGCCGCGGTAGAAAGTATCTCGTTCTTCCTTGACCTTGGCATCATCTCGGCCACCCCAAGTCCTGTCGGCAGGAGAGCGTTCCCGGTAAGAGCTATACGAATCCATTGTACCTGTTGTGGAGATAGCGATAGTCGAAAAGGTCGGGCTAGGTGAAAGGCTGTCGGGTTCCGGCGCAGAGCGCTCGTCTCGCCTTTCGGTCGGGGTTCGCTGCTTCTTTAAGTAATGCCAGGCGTTTGACAAACGTTCCGAGAGAAAGAGAGCCTATCGTTTGGCCAGAAGATTGTAGTTAGAGACATGATTCTGATTGTTTGGTACGTGTAGCAAAAGAGACAACAAAGGCGTGTAAGGGTAGTAGTAGTAATAGACGAGCGGAGACAGACGAGGCCGCTGTAGCAAACGAGCCAAGAGAAGGAGGATTAGGGCAGGAAGAGGCCAGATGGAGATCAGGTAAAAGAAAGCTGCGATGATCGCGCTTGGATTGGGGGTCCGGATGAGGTTATTCAGGAAGCAAGAGACGAGCTGATTCTTTGGAGACTCGGAAGGAGGGCAGGACGCAGCAAGAGCGCGCAGAAGGGCAGAGAACGGGGAGATCAAGACGACTGACGAATGGGGATGGATGAAAAGGTGACAGAGAGAGAAACGAACAGTTTTCAAAATGAGATACCGTGACGACAGCACGATAGGGCGAATGCAGGCGGCCGGTCGCAAGATCGCGAGTGATGCTGATTCCCTGTTCGCCTGCAAGATGGGAACGAAGTGATGTTCGAGGCCGACCTGGAGGGAGAGGCTGGTCAGATGGAGCGAGAGAGCGACGAGACGATTGGTAGACCCGATGGTAGCGCCTTGGTCGGAGCAGGAGACTTGTTCATTTGCCGTTAGCTCGGACGCGAGTCACACTGCTTGCCGGCAGCGCAATCACGTGGAGTGGAAGCTGAGAGGACGCAAGTACTGGTGGCCCGTGCGGGGTCCTATTTGAAACGGCTGGAAAACGGCGGGTGAATAGGTCGGTCCCAAATCTGAGCAAGAACGGTAGGACCGTAGGAGCTATCTAAAAAGACGGCCACCGCACGTTTGGGCAAGGATACCTAGGTATTGTGTGAGAGGCAGGAACATCAGTTGCGCGGTAAAATGAACGAGATTTTTACGAAGTGTTTCCTTTCGTGTGAGCTGAACTGATTTGAATGGCACTCAAAGCTCATGAAGACGGAGTCCGCACAGTTCAGAGCTTCAGACCCGCTGATTCCAGGTACATAGTGGACACCCACCCTCTAACGGTAAAGCTTCCCCCGGAATCGAGCACCAGGTGCGCCCGGGATACATGTCGTCATAGTCACGCTGTTGATCAGGCACTTTATGGGAAGAGGTGTCTCAAATGCACCACCATCAATCACCACGCACATTAACGCTCCTCTTCTGTCGTTATCACGCAACACCCAATCTCCAACTGCTTTGCTGCCATTTCCACCCTCTATCCAACTGACTGCACTCTTTCTCTTTGAAAGGAACCCGGACCAGCGAGGTCGAATCACAGCTGCCCATCATGACGACCTACATCCCCTCCCTCACAATCCCCTACTCCGTCTTCGCCAACCCGACGGCCTCCGTGCTGCTCCCCGTGGTCCTCGGAACAGCCGTCGGCTTCGGCACCAGGCGTAAGTCGGACCCCCAACCTCTTGCTTCGCCCCAAACCCAACCCATAACTAACAAAGACAACAAAACAGCCACCGAGCCCCAAAAGACCTACATGGCCCTCAAGCAGCCGCCCCTGCGGCCCCCGCCCGAGGTCTTCGGCCCCGTCTGGACCGTCCTCTACGGCCTGATGGGCTACGCCGCCTACCGCGCCGTCAACGCCGGCATGTCCCCGCTCAGCAGCGTCGACCACATCCGCATGACCAAGCACGGCGCCACGCTCTACACCATCCAGCTCGGGCTCAACCTCGCCTGGATGCCCCTCTTCTTCGTGCTCAAGCGGCCCATCGAGGCCACCGTCGACGCCGCCGCCCTGCTCGGCGTCAACGCCTACCTCGCCTACCTCTGGGGCTCCGTCGACAAGGTCGCCGGCTGGTGCATGGTCCCCTACCTCGGCTGGCTCGGCTTCGCCACCTACCTGTCCGCTGGCGCGGGCTACCTGAACAACTGGGACTTCAAGAACAAGGACGTCAAGTCCGCATGATCGGGTTCTGGTTTTGCGGTCTAGATGCCTCGTTCTGCGATGATCTGTGTGTTTGGGCGGGGTCGTTTAGCTGCGATCACTGTCATGCTGTATAATTGTAGCTTGCTATTCCCATGATCGGAATATAATCAAGTCAATAAACACAGATCTATCTATGACTTTTGTGACTCCCTGAATCTATGACTTAAGATAAAGAACCCCTAGAATGATGCTCCGAACGCCATACATGTCTGAATGCCTTCAAGCAGCGGCCCACTGGGCCGTCTATACAAGGTGCTTTTTGTTTTCGTCTTGCCCCTTTAAAGCAGCCTCTGAGCTCATGACAGAGGAACGTACTTCTTCAGGCCGTCATACACCATGAAAATGAACGCGGAGCTGGGTGCTGAGCGCATGACCGTGATCCCGCATCCGCGGTAGAAGCCCTTCAGCCCGGCCTGCTTCCAAAGAGCCCGCGCCTCGCTCAAAAATGTTCGGTTGAGAGACGAGTCGCCGATCGGCGTCGTCTGCATCCGCGACTTGACGGTGTCGGCGGGGAAGAAGAGGAAGTTGTACGACATGCCGGCAGAGGCGCCCGCCATAGCCTGCTGCCACAGCGGGAGATCGCCGTGCGTCGCCTTCTCTACCTGGGCAGGGGTCTTGGCATTGCGGATGTTGACTTCTCGAAACAGCGTCGAGCTCGTCTCCTTGCTGCCGAACCACGCAGCGCAGCCGCCCGCCTCACGGATCAGCGTGCCCATCTGGCCATGCCAGAAACCCCAAAGACCCTGGTGGCGCCAGATATCGCGGATCACCGGGATAGGCCTCAACGGCGCCTTCACTACGCCGGCCTCTGTCTCCGGCACCTGGATCTTGCACTTCACCAACTCGATCGGGGTGAGGATGAACGACGTAAACACTCCAGAGAATGCGCCCGTGAACCAGAGCGCCGAGAGGGGCAAGTGCTGGTCTCTCGGCACAAGTCCAGAGCCGTAGACCGTCTCGCGCCCGATGCGCTCAAAGAAAAAGAGGCTGCTGGTCTCGAGCGCCGCCCCGAAGAGCGGCGCCGATATGCCGCGGTACAGCCCCAAGACCCCATCTGCCTTGATCGACTGCTTGAAGCAGTCTAGAGGACCCGTGTATCGCAGGGGGAGGTGGTCGGGCTGGGACTGGAGACGGACTTTCACCGTGTCGAAGGGATACTCGATGTACTTGCCGACGATGCCAGCGACCTGGGGGCCAAGAGAAAAGGGTCAGTGAGAAAGATCTCAGAGCACGGACAAAAGTGCATCTGTTGTCCTTACCGATCCATAGACGATGTCTTCAACGGCTTCCATGACTGCAGAGGGTGGCTTGATGTCCAGAATCTCCGAAGCTGACACTGGGGCTTCGACTCTGGCTTGCGTGGTGGACGCCATTATATGCCCAGCAAAAGTCGAAGTCGCCAGGCCGCCCGAGTCAGCTCCTAACCGGGGGCTGTAGAGAGCTCAATCGGGGTGAGCAGCAGACGTGTCGTGTGTCGTGTGTTGTTGGTGGCGACGAGGTTGGTGACGGCGAGGGAGCGAAGGAGAGGGGTCACCACCCAACGATAGCCAGATCGAGACAGCGGTCGGTAATGGCGCGTGCCAGGATTATAGCAAGGTGTGGCCGAGCAAACGAGGTGACGACCTATGAGGGAATTGTTTGCTATGTCTATCACATGCAGGAGGGAGCCAACAGACAAGACGTCTCTGCAGCCTCCGTGACCGCTCCTTTGGTGATGGTCAGGATGGGTTTTCTCTCATAAAGGCGGGGCAAGATTGTGCCCATGCAGGTCGGTCACTCAAACTCGCCTGCACGCCAACAGCCACGCAGCCGACGAGAGCCCCAAGTTTGACGCCGGTAACTGAGGAGCGATAATTTCCAGGAGGGCGGAAAGCGGGTCAATCCATCGCCATCCGGCTCGAGAAAGCTCGTCAAGATTGGTCGAGCAGACTCTGCATGGGGGAGGCCTGGCCCTTTGTGTGGAAATAGCGCCGGGACTCGATAAAATTTGGCGGTGACTCTTTTTTCGCGCTTATCTTATCTGATCATCTTGCATGACCAGAACCCATACAAATCCCTGTCTGGGTTCGAAAGACCTCGGCCGTTGAACGGAAGCTCCACGAGGGGCAATCCACTCCAGTCTTCCGGTTCTTTGTAGGTGTCTAATAACAAGTCCCTCACACTGATGGCTGGGTGCAATTCTATAAAGTACTTGAGACGGGGTGATGGACCGTCCAGCTCACGACCTGGAAGCATTAGGAGATACAATTATGAACGTGCATTCGCATTCAAGGTATCATTCACCAAGCTGCCTAACAGATAATCATGGCTCCTCAAGGCTCTAATTCCACCCGGCCTTGCTGCCGAAACCACCGCCGCTCTCCTCATTCTTTCTACCTCTCGTAGGCTTATTCTGCGCCGCCTCGTGCCTCCTCAACTCATCTGGCAGCTTCGAAATCGAGCTCTTTGAGATCATCTGCTTCAGATCGTACAGCACATCCGTGTCCTCGTTTCCTAAGAAGGTAATCGCCACACCGCTCTTGCCAGCACGACCCGTGCGGCCGATTCTGTGCGTGTAGCTGTCGATATTGGTGGCCATGTTGAAGTTGACGACCAGCGAGACGTCGGGAACATCGATACCTCTTCCGGCCAAATCCGTAGCCACAAGGATGTCTGTCTGCCCGTTCCGCACCGATGCCAGTGCTGCCTCACGCTGCTCCTGTGTCTTGCTACCGTGGAGAGTGACGACTGAGAAACCCATGCCCTTGATGTCCTTGGCGACAGTGTCGCAGTTGCGTTTGATGTTGACGAACACGATGATAGGCGGCGCGAAATGGCCAGAGTGGAGGATCTCACGCAGACGCTTCTTGCGTCTATCTTCGCCCGAGATAAACTCGACGCGTTGCTCGACAGTCTCGACAGCTTCGCCAACGTTGCCAATAGTCACGATGGCCGGCCTTCGGAGATACCGCTTTGCAATCTTCTCGACGAGCGGGGGCATAGTCGCCGTGTACATCATTGTCTGGCGGTACCGGTTCTTCCCTCCCAAGTATCGGGTCATGGCCTGCGCATCCTCGGCATCCTCTGTGTCGGGCTTCTCGTTTGAGACGGGAAGAGCGTCCAAGATCTTGTTGAGAGAGTCCTCGAAACCAAGGTCAATCATACGATCTGCTTCATCCATGATGATGTAGCAGCACTGTGACAGAACAAGCAGGCGCCTTTCGATACAATCCACCAACCGACCAGGCGTCGCCACAATGATTTCAGCTCCGTTCCGCAACGCGAAAGCCTGTTCCTCGATGGAGTGGCCACCCACAATACTGACGACAGTATAGCCGAACGGCGTAGCAAATTTCCTAGCTTCGGCCTCGATCTGCTGGGCCAGTTCTCGAGTCGGTGCAAGAATCAGTGCGTAGGGACCGTCGGCTTTGGTGTACTCGTCTAGTGGTGGTAGCTCCTTGATATAGACAAGCAGAGGCAGCAAGAACGCAGCCGTTTTACCGGAACCAGTGACAGCGACACCGATCAGATCGCGACCCTGTAGAGCGATAGGAATGGCGGCACGCTGAATGGGGGTAGGCTCTTCGTAACCAACTTGCTCGACGACATCCAATAGTCTCGGCGGCAGCGCCGATTCTCGCCATTTCCGCATGGGATTAGGTATACTGCCGCCCTTGGTAGCGATGCCGAAGTTCTCCTTGAAGATACGCCAGTCACGCTCGCGCATCTCGTCCAGAGTCTTTTCCGACCAATGTTTGTGCATGGCCCCACGCATCCGTCGCTCCTTGCCTCGCCGAAACTCCTCCAATAGCTGTCGGGCTCGCTCCTTTCCATGTTCAGGATCCCGCTCCTCGATGAGGCGCGCCTGTCGACGGATCTTCTCCTCCTCCGCGTCCTCGCTATAGCTCGAGGTTTGAACGACTGGAGCGACGGGCGAGGCGTAGAACGAGTCGGTGGTGTCGTCGTCGGGGTTCCAGTCGAAATTAAACTTGTTGCCCGCATTGCGGCTGCGCTTCTTCTTGGCGGAGAACTTGCTTTGGTTGACATCGGGGCCCATGTATCTTGCGCGAATGAGTTCTGCCTCCTCATCCTCGGCAGATCGCTTCACACCCCTGGGGGCGGAGCGGTTGTTTGTGCCGTTGCTGTTTGCGCCGTTGGCAGGGCCATCGTGTCTCATAGCCCTCGGCGCGGTGGGAGCCCGTCCGCGATCGTCGCGGCTGTCGCGATTGTCCCAACCACCTCGCCCGTCTCGCCCGTCTCGCCCGTTTCGCCCGTCTCGAACATCTCGAAAGTCTCGCCCATCTCGCCCATCGCGACTGTCACGGCCCCGATCATCGCGAGGTTGATCTCGACGCTGTTGCTCCTCTTGCAGCTGCTTCTCTTTCTCCTTCTTCTCGGCTTCTAGCTTTTCTCTTTGCTTCCTTGGAATGAACTTTGGCTTGGCAGCGGCGGCAGCTGCCTCGCGCTTCTTCTTTAGAAGCTCCTCGAGGTCGAGAGGAGCCATGATGGTTGTTGTAACGGTAGTGTTCGAGAGTGTGTTGATCGCAGAAGAGAGCACTGAATGGGGCTCTCGTCCAGGCGACAGATAAAGGCTTATCGGGACAAGTCTGGAACGCATCCCAGAACAGCACAGAACCTTCTATTTGTCAACTCAGATTTATGCCACGGTCTATACGTCAAAATCACGAGAGTGGTCAAGATTCTTAGAAATCGTCAACCAGAGAATTAGTCCCTCTTTCGGAAATTTTCGAAAATTTCCTCAATTGCCGGAAAATGAGTCCGTAGAGAGAGAATCCCACAACCTCAGCTTCCAAGCCCGGCGACAAGGTTAGACATGGACCCACCTAAATTTTCCCCAAGTCTCCCAATCGACTGACCCAGAGATCAACCATCTCGAAGTCTCCCGAATCCAAGCAAAACCTCACCCCGATCCCATCCCTACGAGATCCCCTTCTTCTCGAAACACACCCGCAAACAGGCCAGCACCCACACGAGCCGGGACGGGTGTGCACGCCAATCATGGCCGCGACAAGCAGCAGCGCGCACTTCATCCAGCTGGCCAAGGCCCTGCCGCCGCGGCTCCAGCAGTTCCTCGCGCGGTACCCCCCGGCCACGATCCTGCCCGCCAGCAGCGCCGCCGCCGAGGAGGGGGCCACGCCCTCGAACCCGCGGGTCACTGGCTACCAGCAGGACCGGCCGAACCCCTTCCTGCCGATGCGCCACCCTGTCACGGGCAAGTGGCACGACCCCGTGTATTCGCTGAGGAGGCAGGCCGAGCTGGTCAAGCTGGCGCGCGAGCACGGCGTCGAGGAGCTGCTGCCCCCGACGCCCAAGGGCACCGAGGAGAGGCTGCGGAGGAGAGTCGAGTTCGGCCTGCGGGTCAAGGGTACCGGCGTTGGGCAACAGGTCAAGGGTCACGCGCACGAGAGGCAGATGGTTGCAAAGTACGTATCACCTCAGGGAGGAGGAGAGCAGACACCTGCTGGATATTTATATGAGAGAAACGAGGCTAACGACTGGACTTTTGCACAGGATGGAGAAGAGGAGAGAAGCCATGCTCAACATGCCGAAGCTCATCAAGGAATGGAAGCAGGTAAGTCATGGAATCAAGGCTTGTCTCCCGCGATTGCCCGGTGGCTAACACCATTGATCTTGATAGGTTGGAAAGAAGAACTGGACCAGATTCCCCAGGTAATGCGAGAGCGGCTAGGTGGCTGGATCAATGGACTCAGATGCTGTACATATATCATATATCACACCCTGTACCAACAATGTGTACCACAATTCGAATACAAATTCCTGAACATGACGTGGCCTTCTTCCGTCTCAAGCCCACTAAAGTAACCATGAGAACTTTGCTGAATTTGACTATAGTCAATACATCTAGGCTTAGGAAAGGCTAGTACATCTCAGGAGCATAATATGGCATGCTATGTGACCCTACAATTTGCGAACTCGGTCATGGTCGACGGCGATCTTGGACCACCACGTTCTCCCGGATCTTGAAGTAATCCCTCGGGAATTCCACCTCCTTTAAGACAACTCTATGATCAGTAAACAAGAACACGGGAATTCTTAGTCCTACCCAATTCGCATGACCGCAAACGTCAAACACAAACCCCAAAGTTGGCGATACCCTCATCAAGCACGCCCCACACGTGACACTTAAAACTTACAACCTTTCATAAAATTTCATGTCAACTTATAAATCCTCAAATACTCTGACGCAACACCGCCTTTCCGTCCTAGCAAGGACACACTCTCCCCTTTGCGAAGGGGGCACATTTGCCCAAGGCTCCCAAGCAGGTCTCCAAAAAAAAATACACATACACAAAAAATGGCGGTCCCGGCCACCGCCGCCCCGGAGCCCGGCCAGCCAACCCACTACGAGATCCTAGACCTGCCGCAGCCCTTCCTCGCCTCCCAGCGCGACCCGGCGCCCCTCGTCCGCCGCGCCTACCGCCGCGCCCTCCTGCGGCACCACCCGGACAAGGCCGCCATCCTCACCACCACTGCCAGCACCACCAGCACCACCACCAGCACCACCAGCACCACCAGCAGCCTGACGATAGACCAGATCTCCGCCGCCTTCGCCGTCCTCTCGGACCCCGCGGCCCGGGCCTCGTACGACCGCGCCCTCAAGCTCGCCCGCCCGCCGCACCAGCCGCCCGGGTGGCAGCGGCAGCAGGGCGGCGACGGCCCCGGCCCCGGCCCCGGCGGCAGCAGCAGCTCCTTCCAGACGGGCGTCGAGAGCGTCGACCTCGACGACCTCGGGTTCGACGAGGAAGACTCGGTGTGGTACCGCGGCTGCCGGTGCGGCAACGACCGGGGCTTCGCCCTCGGCGAGCCGGACCTCGAGTCGGCCGCCGAGGACGGCGAGCTGCTCGTCGGCTGCCTGGACTGCAGCCTGTGGCTCCGGGTGCACTTTGCCGTCGTCGAGGAGTGAGTGAGACGAGAGAATGGAGGAGTAACCAGCAGTCTTTTTTTTTTTGGAGGCCTCAGAGGTATTTTATACCTCCGCATCGGTCTCCAACCACCAGGACTGCAGCAGGCGGCTCCCAAAAAGAGTCTTTCCCGGCGGTGGTCCTTTCAGGACTGAAAGCCGCCCACATGAAGGGTGCTGCAGAATGGTTGAGTAGCTACGAAGACTGGACTAGTACCGCGGTCGCAAGGACAACACGGCGCACAGCGGATGCCAACATCACTGCCGTCCCATTCTGCTTTATGCAGCCTGTCCGCCAGAGAAGTCCGGCATGTACATATCAGCGCGAGCAAGTTACAGCTTGGGACGCTTTATCTACTACGGCATGCCGTACCGTCCCCAGCTCTATGGTCACCTTGAGAAACACCTTCATGACATGAAAGAGGGCTAGGGCCGCCTGGCCGTCCTGAGCTTACGTTGACACCGCGGCTCTCGTATCATCCCGGTTATGTGATGTTTCTCTCATCGCAACACTCCGAGACACAATCCGGGATAGAATCTAGCGTATAGGGCACTCATGTCTACCTAGTTGAATGAGAAATACACACACAAGTAATACATTAGAGTTGCCCCCTAACAGACAGAAAATTGACGACATGATCAATCACTTCAGGGCAAAGGACAACCCAGCCCGTGCCAGTGGTATCTCGAGAGGGAAAAGTTCACGAAGGAAAAGAAGAATTTTTATTGTCCAGACGATTCAGCCTTCTGCGCATTAGAGTCTAAAAATCAAGCAATCTGAGGAAATCAGAGTCCAAGATGCCCGTTGGTCTTTTAGCCCCCATTTGCCGATTAGGAAAAAGTCGTCAAAAATCGTTGTGTTCGCATAAACATGCAGAGTCTTGAAGAGTTCGACCAGTCCACACTCCATAGACACCATTTCCACCGGGGATACCCACCAAAGAAGCAACCGGTTACGATACCAGGGAATGCATTTCTTACTCGGCAGCCTTGGCCTCCTCTGCGGCCGGCTCGGCGGCCTTGGCCTCCTCCTGAGGAGCGGCCTCGGCGTTACCGCCCGCAGGGGGCTCAGCCTCTGATGAGGTCCACAGGGTCTAGATTGCGAGATTAGCATCACATAGGAGGGAAGCGACAGGGTCCCGGACGAAACTTACCAGGTTGTCACGGAGGAGCTGCATGATGAGGGTAGAGTCCTTGTAGCTCTCCTCGCTCAGCGTGTCGAGCTCTGTGACGGAGTGTGTTAGCAGCGTTACCATGAACATGTATCTGCACAGTACTAACCGGCAATGGCATCGTCAAAGGCCTGCTTGGCAAGGTGGCAAGCCTGGTCGGGCGAGTTGAGAATCTCGTAGTAGAAGACGGAGAAGTTCAAGGCGAGACCAAGGCGGATGGGGTGGGTAGGAGGGAGCTCGGTCTGGGCAACCTCGGTGGCAGCCTTGTAAGCCTCAAGAGACTTGTCGGCAGAGTCCTTGCGCTTGTCGCCAACGGCGAACTCGGCGAGGTAGCGGTGGTAGTCACCCTTCCTGTGGCAGATATTAGGATACAACATCATCAGACAATCGAGTCATCATTCAACGTACATCTTGTGGTAGAAGACCTTGGACTCGCCGCTCTTGGCCGAGGGGATCAGGTGCTTGTCGAGGACCTCGAGGATGTCCTCGCAGATCTTGGCGAGCTCGGCCTCGATCTTGTTGCGGTACTCCTTGATGAGGGTAACCTGGGTAGAGTTGCCCTTGGACTCCTCCTTCTGCTCGATGGAGGTGACGATTCTCCAGGAAGCACGGCGAGCACCAATGACGTTCTTGTAGGCGACGGACAGAAGGTTTCGCTCCTCGACGGTCAGATCCCGGTCCTCGGAAGCGACGATCTTCATGTTCTCAACCATCTCTGCAGACGGCTCGCGATTAGCTCGGGCCATCAGAAAAAGATGGCGGCGCCGTCAATTACGTACCCTCGTAGCGCTCAGCCTGCTCGGCAAGCTTGGCCAAATAGACAGCATCTTCGTGACCCATTTTGAGTATGTTGATCTGTTATCGCGGAAAGACGGTCAGCAAAATCCGGGGGTGGCCTCAGCTCATGTCAAAGTGACACAGAATCTGAGCGAGATGAGGGAATTGCAGTGATCAAAGGAAAACTAGTGATCGCAAAAGGGATATCAAGACTGCATTGAGATCTCTCGAGGGCTATCCGAGCCGCGGGCGGGATTGCGCCTCGTTGACTTCATGACTAAAAAGGAGGCTCCCCCGCTCAGCTCACGGTGGGGTCGCGCATCGCCAGACGGGCTAGCAACGACCATGAAGCTATCCAGAGTCAAGTCAAGGCGAGGCGGATGGGTGATTGGGATGGGCAGGCTGATCCGAGATGATCGAGAAAGCCAGACGAGGTTGAGGGCCGAGGGGAGGGGGAGAGCCGGCAAGGAGGCGATGACGACAGTTGGTGAGGCAGGACAGGGCAGGGCATGAAGAGAGGACGTACCGAGTGCGATCTTGGTGTTGGAAAGTCGGGAATCGAGAGAAGGGGATTCGGCTGATGAAATGCAAGCGAACAACCCGGAGCAGGAGATGCTGGGCAAGTTGTTTATTGCGAAAAGTGAGGATGGGGGGTATTTGGGTATTGTTGTTGTTGTGGCTTCGGTGATGAATTAGTGGAAAAGGTAGGAAACAAGTAGAAGTCGCGGATTGGGGAAGTTGTTGGATTTTTGGCTCAGGTGGCCCAGGTGGTGCAGGTGGTGCAGGTGGTGCAGGGGATCCGTAAAGGTGAGAGGTGGCTGTTTTGGGCGGGCTAGAGCAGAGAGGCAGAGTGGCAGAGAGGCAAGGCAGGCAGAGCCAGGAAGGGCCAGGAAGGGGCCAATTTCAAGGCGCGAAATTGCACTCAACCCAAGGGACCCAAGGGAAGGGGAATGAATGGGAATGGGAGCAGCACAGAACAGAGAGAGAGAGAGGGGGGGGCCAAAGGAGGGGGGCGCGAATAGTGGATGAGAAACCGCTTTCTATTGGGGGGGGGGGGGGGTGACCACCAGGGAGGTAGGTAGGTACCTAACCTCTCTAATCAGCTCGGGTCCAGTAAGTACCAGCCAGACGCAGCAGAGCAGAGATTGTGCACTACAGGTACCTAGCTGGACCTCTGTCGACCACAGCACAGCCCAGCCCAGCTCTCGGACAAAACAAGGGAAACAAGGGAAACAAAGGGCGCCAAACACCACGAACCGGAGGGCCGCCTTTTCATGCCAATCCCTACCTACACGCATACACGCATACAAACGCTCTCCTTTCTATGTACCGGAGGTAAGGCGACGCGGGTCAAAAGGGCTGTGCATCTGACATCCGAATTCCTCCTACCCCATTCCCACCCTCAAGTGCATTTTCCTTTTTGCACTCGTTCTCCCTTTTACCCAAGAACAAAGCGCAAAGCACCCGAGATCTTCTAGCTGAGCTGGCGGTCTATGAAACACACCCTGACTAGTGGGGTACTTCTGACCCACCCTTTCTTCAGGTCCTTTCTCCCCTACAACGGCCCTGGGGGGGACCAGACCGTTCCCGGGCACAAAGTACCGACACGTGACTGGCAATGCCCTAAAGGGGAAAAGCATAGGTCAAACCAAGGTGATTTCTGGGCAGGGTCGTTGCTACTGCTACCCCTCCTCGAGCGCGCCGGAACCGTGCTCTCGAGGGAAAATCCAAACAGGATAACGTCACTCTTGGACCCAACAAATGTCCACATGGCTCCGGCTGCTCGTGACTTGCATTGCAAGATTGTGATCGTTGGAGAGACGAGCCCTACGTCAGAGCTGGATAGCCTCGGGGCCATGCGACGTTAGATTGTCACAGGCTTGCGCGAGATTGACTCATTACTAAGGAATTGCAGAGAGCTGTTCCCTTTCTCTGGGTCCGTATGAACATCGCTGGTCGGGCGATTCTCTGAGGCGTCTCAACTATCGAGTTTCATTATGCGGGTCTTTATTTTGCCCTGTGCTGTCTGGACCGAGTTCCCAGGGATGCCGTACCAGCTTTTGGAATGCCATCCTCGATAGCTTCAAGGGCAAAAAACGGCCCAGCCAATACATTGAGTGAGGAGCGATCCAAGTAAACATGATGCTATGGCAATGGATTACTGATGCTCGCGTTCCTGAACAAAGCTGCTCACTGGGAACATACAAAACCACCGAGCAGTCGTCTCTGGGTCCCCAACTCTGCGTGTTGGATGTCTATTGGAAAGATAAAAACCTATTCTTAGGGTAAAGCGAAGCTATCTAGATCCGAATTGCAGGGTCACTGGCAAGTACTTGTATTGGGTTATTTATTGACGTGACTCGATCATCGCATCGTTGCTTTGGAGAATTCATCGTCGGTGTGTCGGTGTGTCGAGAGTCGCAACATAGCCAGCCCTCATCGCCGTCCGTCAAGATGCACTTGTAGAGCCAAACCTGTCGACAGTAACTCCTCGAGGGTGGTCCTCTTGGTTCGACACTGCCGTCTACCCATTGTTGGCCTGAGGCCTTGAGAAATGACAATCACGTTGTTGAGTGCATGGTGTTGCAACAGGGTATGTCCAAGCCAAGTACTTAAAGAGGCCATTCAATGTTCTGAGCCTTCAATGTTCTCCACTCCCGGTTATCCGTCATCAGCCGAACGCCAGGCAAGGTTAGCCAGTAGCCTTGGAGATCCGTAGCTTGCCCAGAGCTCCAAATCGCTCGCTTCGGCCAGCAACCTAGAGATTCTTTCCTGCGACGACCGCATCATCAGACCATCCATCTTTAACTCCCACCACCAAACCCCGGATCAACCAATTGAACCCCCAAAGGTATTTTTCGCCCCTACCACCGCCGCATCCCCCTCCGTCCTCCCCCAGATTCAAAAGGATTAACGACGTCAATCTCCTTGGGGCCCCCTCCAATCGCTACCATACCCTTTTGCTAACCTGTCGGATCGTATTTAAACACAGCAACCCTTCTTCCTCCTCCTCCCACCATCCTACACAAACCTATCCAACATGCTCCGCCAAAGCATCACCAAGGTCGCCCGCCCGTCCACCAGGACCTTTTCCGTCTCCGCCTTCCGCATGGCCGAGGGCGACACCGGCGGCATGCCCAAGGGCCTCTCCCAGGCGTAAGTGGAGTCCGACATCTCTTTTGTTTTTTTTTCTTCTTGGAGGAGGCCTCGGCGGCATCACAACCAAAGACCTTCATGACATCTCTCGCTTTCGGAGAAACACGAACCATGACTGACTTGCGACTGGGGTGGACCCCACTACAGTGACGCTTTCCAGAAGCGCGAGAAGGCCAACGAGGACTACGCCATCCGCATGCGCGAGAAGGAGAAGCTCATGGAGCTCAAGAAGAAGCTCGCCGAGCAGCAGGCTCACCTGAAGCAGCTCTCCGACCACATGTGCGTTTCTTCCCCCCTTTTTGCAGGGCCGCCACAGAGTCTCTGCCAATTTCGCCCGGCAAAGAGATACTGACACTCTAAACTAGTGACGAGATCACCAAGGACCAGGGCGGCGAGCACAACTAGGAGACCTGCTCCGATTGCAAGTGCGGGTAGGATATCAGTCGAGATCAGAGAGTCAATACACACAAGCATTAGGTTTTTGAGACTGGCAATTTGTGGACGGAACTTCGAATTGCGTTGATCCGAAAGAACGAAAAACAACTCGATGTTTCTTTTTTGTTTTTCATAGTCCTCTGAGAGATCATGACTGCGCGGACTCCGCCATAGAACCAATCCCCCTCAAAATGTGTCTACCTAGTTGTACATTTACATATGCATTAGCACGCTGAGTGCATTCTGTATCCCGCCCTTTATCCGCTGAACATCCACCGTGATGCAAATCTCGCGCAACGAGTATGCATGTGATAAAAGAGGCCATGGGGCCCCCGACCCAGCTCCTACGTCAGACACAAATCCGCGAGTTTACCGGCGTCCCATATACGACCGATAGAAGCTCTCAGCCGCATCGCTCTCGGGACCGCCGTATTGAGCACCGATACTCTTGCTAGCCTTCTGCGCAGCCGAGATCTTGGCCTGGAGGTTGGCAGCGTTGGTATCGATCCACTGGAGCTGGGACAGATGGCCATTGAGGACCCGGACGATCTGGCTCAGCTGTGGCATCTCTCTGTTAGTACTGTATACATCGGAACCGGTATGTGCATATGACGGGCTTACCGGATCGTCGGGCTTGCTGCCCTTGCTCAGTGATCCAGAGATGTCGTTGATCTCCTTGATCATCTTGGTCAAATCCTTGCCCATCTCGTCCAGCCGGTCGGTGAGCTTCTCAGCGAGCTTGTAGGTGCGCTCGCGCTCCTGGTCGGGGCCGGCGAGCTGCTCAGCCGGGCCGACCTGCTTGGCGAAGAGGTCGTCGACCTCGCCCTCGTAGCGATCCAGCCAGCTGGCGAGTTCGTCCTGCTGGCTCTCGACAGACTGCAGCTGGCGCTCAACCTCGTTGCTGGCACGCTCTGCCTCGTAGGTATCGAGGTAGAGCTTCTGGATCTTCTCGCCGTTCTCGACCAGGAGCCGATCCCACTGGGCGACCTTCTCCGCCTGCTCCTTAAACTCTTTCTGATATTTAGATAGATCAGTTGCCCAGCGGGTAATAATCTCATCCATCGTCTTGTTCTTTAGACGTGCGATCTGGGAAGGAGGGCCCATAGTCGAACCGCCGAGGTTGGTACCGGATGCGGTGGTGCCGTTCTGAGCGGTAGTGGAAGCTGCAGGGGCAGCACCGGCGGCAGGCTTAGCCGCTCCGAAGAGGGAGCCGCCGCTTGCAGGGGCAGTGGTTGTAGCCGCTTGCGCGCCAGATGTTGTGGTTGTAGTACTTGGTGCAGAGGTAGATGCAGGCGCGGCGGCTGTGGTCGAGCCAAACAGGCCGCCACTAGGCGCAGCGGAGGAAGTGGCGGTAGGAGCGGAAGTGGTTGTCGTGGGCGCACCGCCGAACAGGGACTTGGGCTGAGCGGGCGCGGACGTCGCCGTAGTCGAGGGCGTCGCTGAAGTCGCACCGAAAAGGCCTCCTGGCTTGGCAGCCGGCGCAGCACTGGACGCAGGCGTGGCAGACGCAGCTCCGCCAAACAAGCTCGGAGTACTAGATGCGGCCGGAGCGGAGGTTGCGGTAGTCGTTGACGCCGACTGTCCACTAGACGGCGCAAAAAGAGAAGGCTTGGCCGCGGCCGAGGTGGTCGCAGCCGGTTGGGACGCCGGTGCGCTGCCGCCTCCAAACTGTCCGGGTCCGGATGTCGCAATCGGGGGTTTGGCGAATAAGGAGGGCCCAGAAGGTGCAGAAGAGGTGTTTCCAAACAAGCCACCCTGTGCCGGAGCCTGCGAAGATGCTGCACCTCCGAACAGGCCACCGGAGCCGCCGGCAGGCTGGCTCGTAGCGGTAGTAGCCGCGGCTGCCGGGGCGCTAAATTTGGCTGCCTGACCGAACAGGCCAGACTGAGCAGGCTGGCCAGTGCTGGCGCCGAACAGCGAGGGGGCCGCAGATTTGTCGGCCGGCGGTGCCCCAGCGGGCGTCGTCGAACCCAAGGCGCCGAAAAGAGGCTTGGAGGGCGTCGCAGCTCCAGCATTTGGAGTGCTGCCCGCAGCGGAAGGGAGCAAAGACTGTCCAGAAGATCCCCCAAAAAGTCCACCTGAGGGGGCAGCTGATGTTGTGGCCGGGGCCTTAGCATCCTTATTACCGAAAAGACCGCCAAATGACGGTGCGGCAGAGGTAGCGGTAGCTGTGCCCGATGTGCTCGAGGGAGCAGCGCTCGCACCAGCACCAAAGAGGTTTCCTGAGGGCGTAGAACCCGCGCCAGGGGTGCCCGTGCTACCGCCGCCAAACAAGTTGCCGCCTGCTGCTGGCTTGGATGTCATGGTTCCTCCAAATAGCCCTCCTGAACTGGGCGTCGTTGACGACTGCTGACCGAAGCGCGAAGTGCCCGACGCGGCAGGGGTAGTTGTCGCTGGTGTCGAGGAGGCTGCTCCACCAAAAGGAGACGCCTTCGATGCGCTCCCAAAGAGACTACCACCACTTGACTGTCCGCCAGCAGCAGCTCCGCCAGCCGTCGAGGTGCCGCCAAACGAGAAACCTGCGCCGGTAGTTGACGTGCCTGCACCAGCACCAAACAGACCGCCCGAAGCAGGAGCAGTTGTCGACGGCGTGCTCGAGGCACCCGACGCAGCTGGCGTGCCGAATGTGAATGGGGTAGACATTTCGAATCTCGTCAAAGAATTAGCTTCTAAGGTATCTGTCTGGAATCCGTTGAAGCTCCGTAAAGCGCGTCCTGCTTGACAACCTCGGGATAGGACAGTCGTCGCCAATGGCGCGTTCCCAATGCAACGGGCTTCACCAGTGATTGAACAAGTGATGAGGACCTCAAGTGCACCGGCGGCAGTCCGTCAAGTGGTCGCTCGAATGAAAGGCAGGGCGAAGAGTCCCGCAGCTTGAGAACGCACTTCTCAAGAGATTGGCCGGTAGGTGATGGAGAGGTGGGTGGTGTCGAGAGCATGAGAGGTTGTTGGAGGTGGTCAGCCAGGAAGCTTTTTCGCGACCAGCACTTTTTCTGGACCAGGCAGTTGAGCTCGCGCCAGGGCGCAACAAAGACTAAAACATGAGCGCGCCCAGCTTCTCCAGGGCTTCCCTTCAGTGAGTGGACAAAGCAGACACAGCACCAAAAGCCCCACATTTTTGCCCAACTCACCAGCTACGACTCTTTACCCAAAACGGTTGGCAGCACCACTTTCAACCCTCCTCGATCCATGTGAATGAACTGCTGACGGCAGTATCAATATCCTATGAACGACGAAACTACACTGCACGACCTGCCCACGAGCCTCTTTTGAGGGCTCTTCTGCCTTTCATAGTTACACTCTGAGCTTCAATCCGTATTCGTTTCAGCATTGGCAATCCTTCCATAGAGTGGCTGGTCCATCTCGAACTCCTTCGACATCACACACCTAAGCTCTCTCAGCCAGAACTGTACCTGGAATCCAGCCATATTCTCAAGTCCCTTGCACTATCGTACGACATGTCAGGCAGGCGGGATAGTCTCAGTCCTCCTGAAAAGACAGGAACGGTGGATCCTGGTGCCCATGAGCTTGGTAAGGATATTACCCCCTCCACCGCGTGGCACCCTCCTATAGCCTGATCATCGCTAATTGTCGGTATGCAGAGTCCTCCGATTCAGATGACCACTTCTCCGATGCGCAGTCTGCTCCCTCTAGGGAATCACAAGCTGCTTCACCCATACCCAAGCTGCGAGTCGAGAAGATCAGCGATGAGCCGTCGTATGGTGAAGTTCCTGGGACTGATGCGTACAAGATGAGAGAGGGCGATGCCGAGCCGGATGAGATAGCTGTCATACCTGATGAATCAGATAAAGCATCTGGCGAGAGCAGGTCTCAGTCTGGCACTCCCAGTGGAGGGGTCATTCCCACGACAGTAGTTGAGGAGACCGCCGATACGGAGGGATCTGAGACACACCCGGAGAAGCACCACAGGTCTGATCCTCCCCCAGACCTGGTGCTGAAGGCAGACGGAAACCTCGAGATGGGGAAAGACGCTTCTGGTATGGGCAATTAGGCTTCTCCTTCTCATTTCCTTACTTCAGATTGTTAACAGAAAGCTCTCGTAGAAACACCAATATCACCCCCATTAAAATCCCCGAGTACGGGTCGCACGAGAAGAAGATCTTCCATAGTCCCTAAATCCCCCGGTCTTGCCTCCCCTACTTCTCGTAACGTGGGACTTGCTGCGCCGGGGGACGAAGAGGAAGATGAGGACTTTGGTGATGACTTTGACGACTTCGAGGAGGGCGGAGAGGACGATGACTTTGGTGACTTTGACGACGGCTTCGAGGAACCCGCTTCAGCACCTGCTGCAGCTCCGGCGGCACCGCCTCCAGTGCAGCCGCTATCAATTGTAATATCACCTCCAACTTTTGCTTGATCGTGTGCTGACCATATCCTGCAGCCCATACCCGATTTCGAAGGCTTAGATGCCGATGAGATCCTCTCCGTCACGGAACCCTACCTCAATGCCCTCTACTCTACCCCAGACGACGACGACTCCATACCCACACTCCCTCCCTTACCCAGAGACGTGAACCCCGTCTTCCTCACGCCGCGTAGCGCCTCGCTCTGGTCGCAGCTCGTCGCGCCCCCACCCCTCCAGCCGCCGGACTGGATCCGCTCCCGCATCCGGCGCCTCTTCCTCGTCAGCCTCGGCGTCCCCGTCGACCTGGACGAGATCCTGCCAGCCTCGAAGCAAAAGAAGCTCGTCCTCCCGTCCCTCGCCGTCCCCGCCCGCCGCGACTCGCCGCGCACGTCGTCGGACTCGCGCCGCTCGGGCGTCTCGCGCCTCAAGCAGGCCGCCGCCAACAACGGCTCCAGCACGAGCGTCGACTCCCAGGGCAAGCCCAGGGAGCCGTCGTCGTCCGGCGGCAAGGGCGGCAAGCGGCGCGGGCCGCCGCCGGCCCCGGAGCTCGACCTCGTGGCCGGGCGGCAGCTGTGCCAGACGACGGACGAGGCGCTCGACGGCATGACGGACGCGGAGCTCGGGGCGCACGTCGCGCGGCTCGAGGCCATGGAGGGCACGGCCAGGGAGGTGCTCGAGTACTGGACCAAGCGGACGGACGAGAAGATTGGCGACCGCGAGGCGTTTGAGGGCGTCATTGAGAACCTCGTCAAGCACGCGCGCAAGGTGAGGAAGTGATCTGGGTCCGGGGGCTGAATGAGTTATCCCGTGCATGTTTGTTGGCACGTGGATGTATGTCATACTCCGGTGCCCCCCTACATTTTCAAACCCGGGTACATGATCATGGGCAGGCGTACGAAAGAAAAAAGCGTCAATCTATTACGAAGGTCAAGACACATATTAGACTTAGGGAAACGATACCACTTGGTTTTTTAATAGAAATAATTTCAATTCTTGGACATCATTCCAAACCTGGCAGAGGTTGTTCGGGATGTAAAAGACAGTTTCTAGTACGAATTTACGCATGGCTTTCAGATAATAGGATAACCCATCTGAAGGAAACGACAAGTGGCAAAAGCATTGGCACAGATCTCTAACCTCTACACTCCTAGCGTGAATATCCATTTGCAAGTATTGTAGCTCTAGATATCAAAACCCTTCCCATACAGAAAGCTTTTCGTATGTATACAGCAGCCTAGCAGACATGTCAAGATATACCAGGCAGCACCAATGGTGTTTATCTTCAGTGGGCTAGAAACATGTGATTTTTCATATTCACTCTACCTACGTAGCTCGTTACGTCTCAATGTTCTCACAAGGACAGCTCGTGTAGAATATGCTACAAAGCTTTTTAGATCTAACCTGATTTCTCCCGCTTCCTTTGCCCGACTAAAAATGAAACAAGACCAAAGAACACGCCCCTTACGAGGAGGTAGTCGGGTCCAGAGTGACACCACTGCATTGCATGTTAGTTTCCGCAAAAGGTGGTAGCGGGCAAGGTTCAAAAAAGAAGGAAACTTACGCAGCAATAGTAGCCCAACCAATAAGACGCCAATGCTTGTCAATACGCCTGCTGAGGGCGACCTTCTCTCCGAGACTCGTGCAGGCAGGGGTGGTGAGGACCAGCTTGGCGGCATCCTTCTTGATGGCAGCAACCTTGGCACCGGTGGAGGTGGAACCAATGTTGACCATGAGCACCTCGTTCTTGGCCAGCTTCTCGACCTTGGCCTGCTTGCCGTCGGCAGTCTTGACACCGAGCAGCCGCCTCAGCAGGTAGAAGTTGACCTCGATCTCACTATAGATCTCGGGTAGACGGCCCTTGAGGCCGAGTACGTGACCGACCAGGCGATCGGCTCTGCACAGGGTAGGGTCGATGCGGGTACCGACACCAATCAGACCACCGGGAACGGCGTACTTCAGCTCGTTGCCCTCAGAGTTGAGCGAGACGATGCGGCTGAAGATGGGAGTGCACTGGAGCGCACCCTTGTCATCCCTGGTGACGATGCCGGGACGGATCTCAATCTCATCGCCGAGCTTGAGGACACCGTGGAGCAGACTGCCACCAGCGACACCACCCTTCAGCTCGTCGATCTCTGCACCGGGCTTGTTGACATCGAATGATCGAATGATGATCATCCTGGGTTCCTGAGTGAAGTCACGGGGAGGCACGGGGATAGTGTTGACAATGGTGTCGAGCACGGCATCGACGTTGAGTTTGAGCTGAGCAGAGATGGGGATGATGGGCGCGTCGCTGGCGACGGTGCCTCGGATGAACTTCTTAATGGACTCGTGGTGTGTCTTGGCGGCTTCTTGACGCATTAGGTCGACCTTGTTCTGGAGGATAATGACCTTGTCGAGCTTCATGATCTCGATAGCAGCCAAATGCTCAGAGGTCTGAGGCTGAGGGCAGGTTTCGTTGCCAGCAATCAGCAGCAGCGCAGCGTCCATGACGGCAGCGCCTGACAACATGGTGCTCATCAGAATATCGTGACCAGGGCAATCGACGAACCTGCGCATGTTAGCTGGATGGCCCTTCCGCAAAGAAGCCGTACGGCACTTACGAGACATGGCGTTTTAATCTGTAGGTACCTCCGCATCCCTCACGCTCGCAAGGAGGGTCGACCTCCTTGTCGCTCTTGTAACTTCTGTAGCAGGTTGGCCGAGGGCATTCCTCGTTGTCGCACTGGTAGATCTTGGCGTTGGCATAACCCAGCTTGATGGTGATGTTTCGGATCAGCTCGTTCTTGAACCTGACCGTCTGCACACCTGAGATGGCCTTGACGACGGTGGACTTTCCGTGAGCGACGTGACCGATGGTGCCAATATTTATGGTCGCCTGCCTCGCGATAATCTCGGGAGTGAGGGGGTTCAGGGTGGTAACATCAAGATCCTTCGGCTCGGTTTGCGGGGGGAGGTAGGGCTTCTCGACGGGCACCGGTGCGGCGGCAGCCTTCTTCAGAGACGGCTTGAGGGGCTTCTCCTCGATCTCGGCATCGGAAGCTTGCTGGGCCTCAAGAACGGGGGAGTCGGGGCCAGAGTCGGATTCCGACTCGATGTCGTTTCCGAATTTGTCACCGTTGGATGCCATATTGGCGGCTCTAGTTTTGGAGATGAGTCTGTGGCGGAGTGGCGATCTCAGTCGTCTGTCGCAGCTGGGGCAGTTTTCTCTGACGATGTTCCGAAGAAAATATCCGCCAGGTATGAAGTCGACGCTGGCCGTGCCTAGATAGGTGGTTGGATAGCTGGTCGACCTTTTCGTGCTGGATACAGTCACAAAAGTAAAATTTGGTGTGCAGTCATCGATGGTGGGGTGTGCCGCCTCCCTCGAGCCTGCAGCACTAAACCCTTTCGGTGCTGATAAGATAAGGCTATGTAGTTCCCCGCGTTGGGTGGGCGCGTGGGTACTTTCCCTGCTCTGGAAAGCTTGAACAGCAAGGGAAGAAGGTCTCGACCATGTATTCCCATCTCTCATCTCGACTTGGAAGATGTGGTTCGTCTCAACATCGTGGGAATATTTGAGCTTCAAAGGCCGCCTTACTCGATTCTTTCCGTTTGTCAAAGATCTCCTCAGGTTTTCTAGAGTCTCAAATATCTAAATGGCTCGGGGATATTTTGTACGCGACGTTGGTTTTCGAGAATCCCTCGTCTACTCCCTGGGCCTGAACAAAGCCTTATATTCTACCTAGGTATGCAGTATTTCACGAATCCACATATATGAACCAACTACTAGTGGTACAAGAACCAGTCTCTCCGAGACACGTGCTTTTGGAAGAGCCGCGAGAAAGAGCCGAGAAGGGTGTTAGAAAGCAGAGAACTCAGTTGCTCAAGTGCTTGCTCGCCTTTCCAGCACCTCCGGACAGCTATGGGAGAGATGTGTGATCAAGCATCGAATCTAGATCAAACCCCCTTTCGATGGAATCACCGCCTGCGATCAAGATCGTGCTGCTGCATGTTACAGAACGGCCTGCAAGGGCCATGCCTACGCCGCACGACTTCGTTCGGTCCAGATGCACAGCCTTAACCCAGACCTGACCTGCAACCACGGATATGAGGTTTGTTATTCATGGTCGCAACAGTCCATCTTGGCTCCCATATTTAGCAAACTAAAAAATGACTGACGCACCTCAATGCTTGCCCCTTCAACTTGATGTGTTCGGGAATCGTTCCGTTTCTGAAGACTTCACCTTGGCGTTTTCATCATGGGAACTGGACAGAAGCTTGCTCTACCGAACTAGTCGTCTCACAACGCGAATTTCGATGATTAACTAATCTACGTTGACTTGGTGGCAGCAACATGCTCCCGTGGGACATGCGGGCAAAAAGATCAAAGCTGCCACTTTGGCCACCACCACATGCATGCAGTGGGCTAAAAATATCGTCAAGGTGGTGGTGTGCTGAACATGCTGGAGGTGGGTTAAATCCCGGCGCACGAGCAGCACAACGAAATGCTGCAGGTGTGTGTACCATCACATCTTCCAATATGTGGTGGTATCGACGCAGGCCGCTGTTCTCAACCTTACGAAGCAAGATGGAGACCCTGGCTATCTCATCTTTACTTTGATCTGTTTTTGGTACAATGGGCTGCCTTCCGCGGCCTCGCCACTTGATGGCTTCACGGGAATCCAAGTCCCGAAAGCTCTCGCCGTTGCACCTCAGGGTTACGCTCGTTGGTGATCGAAGCAATTACGTGAGATTGTAGTTGGTACCATCGGCCACAAGCGGAGCCGTGGCTCGCGTTTCGGGCCTCCAACAACACCTGTGACAGGTGGCCAACCTGCTCATTGTCTTCATCACGACGATGCGTGCCACGCATGACATCTGTTCGGCGATGCGAGCAGAGGGACGCACCTCCACGTGTGAACCTCCGGTGCGTGCCGGGACCTCCGTGATCGACTGGGTTTGTCCAACCGAAACCCAGAGGTTCCAGGCCTGCGTCGAGTGCGATGGGAAATCCAGAAGCAGTGATGGGGGGGCGAGAGGACAAGGCGGCACGAGAGGATTCGCAATTGTGTCTTGTGGGTGATGGGTAAGCGACTGATATTGTTGCTTGCCGCCCAGGCTACCAGGCATGCAGCAAGGGTTGCAGGCGTATCACGCATCTCTGGCCGTTGATTGGCGCCGTGTTTGGGGACCGGCTGACCCACCGCGTGGCCCGCCGCCGGATGGAGCCTATCAACGTCCGGGGATCGAAGCCAAGGATTGACAGGGACGGCAGATTGCTGGCGGGGACCCTTGTCTGCTCTCTTCAAGCATATTCTGTGCAGCCAAACAGAGATACGACAGGCTGGAAGCCAAGCATATCCGGGCAGGGGTGCAAGAGGGGAGCTACATGCCGCCCACCGCCAAAGCTGGCGGGATCGCCATGTCTCTCCCTCTTGACTTTGCTCCGGGCGGTTTCTTGCCGCCAACCACCCTCCACACTCCATCCGCCTCTGTCCATCCACACTTGCTGCACAACGTCCGTGGGCTCGCCCAGTCCCCTCCATGTCCATCTATCCGCCCAGCAAGTGCGGGCCAGATGGTAAGATGCTCTTCAAATTTGGCAAAAGAGCAGGGGTTCTGCCGGCCCGTGATTGGTCCTGTACTGCAGATGCTCAGTCCCGGCATGCCAGCAAGCCAGGGTCGAAAGAGGGCGGCAAGAGACGAGGGCTAAAAGACTGTACAGACAGAGCGAGAACGCACGCAGACAGGCAGGTATCTCCCGCCCTCCCAGGCGACCTGGTAGGTCAGTGATATTTCGAGTAGCCGAAGCTCGACGTGCATCTGCGCCGAGATGGAAAGTGCTTTGTCTGTCGTTGGACCTTCGTGGCTCTCCGCCCCTACATTAACAAAGTCCAGCCCCTCTTTGTCCTCCATTTTTTTATGCCTCATATACCAGAGATACGGTGGCCGTGATACTCTTCTGTTCTCCCATTCTCTTTCTCGTCGTCTTCTCGAGAGCTAGCGAGATTGTTGCAGAGCTCTACTGGCTAGTCTTGCAAACCCCGTTCGATCCACCTCAGGGATCAAGAGCTGTATAAGTCCCCCGCTGTCTGGCAAAGCGCCGACCAGCCAACCCGGCGCCACTCCGTCACCTAGTTGGGCGTCTATTTCCATCGAGTGTCGGGAGACCTCATTGGCAAGCTCCTGTAGCTACCCTATCAGGATCCTGGGTTCCAGTTGGACCAAGTCCACCCTTGTCAACTGTAGGTTGCTCATTGCTTGCAGGTCGAACCATCCACTGACCTGTCCCATGCAGGCTCCTCCTCCTAGAGGTCGAATTATATCCTCTGCTTGGTGGCGGCGCCAATTCAAAACCACTGGCCCCCCCAAGCGTCCCAGTTTCTGCTATCCTTTCATCTTTGGCAGCTGGTCTCCTCGATATTTGATTCTCGCATTGCTTCATTTCTGATTCAAGGGCCCTATCACCGGGTCTCCAACAGTTACCCCCGTCTTCTGTCCACTTGCTTTTCTTATATAGGCAGAGCAACCCGAGGCTCTCTGTCGGTTTTCTCTTCTTTTTGCCAAGCATAGTCAACGTCGTTCGTCATGGCTATCGACAAGAAGCGGCCCGTGGCCCTCAACTTGAGGCCTGCACGAACACCCTCGACGGATTCGTCATCCTCCGATGGCTCTCTGAAGCACCCACGAACGCCCCGTTTTGCGGAGGCTACTACTGTCCACTCTCCAGTCGATGCCCGCAAGGGGCCCTTCTCTAGGAATGACAGCTCGGCCGTTGCCCAAGCACAGCCTGGCGATATTGGTTTCGGCTACATCAACGACGACTCTAACCGCGAATCGGTCGCCATGCCCATGACCCCGAGGTCGCCCCTCAAGAGCGCGATGAAGGTGCCCGGCACTCCTGGCCGGAGGTTCGACAACCCTCTCAGCCCTACCTTCAGGGAAGAGCAGATTCTGGAGAAGCGAGAAGCCTCCACGGAGAAGGAGCAGGCCAAGGACCTGGTGAGTCTCTCGAGGTGCAAGACCCCCAAGCCTTCACCCAGCTAACTCTGTGCGCAGAAAATCAAAGTCCGCGTGCGCATGGCCAAGTTTGCTCTGCGTGGTGTCAACTTCAGCTGCAGCCTGATCATCCTGGCCATGCTGTCGTCCTCCTTCGCCATCTTCAACGCCACCAAGTCACTTCCGGCCCAGAACGGCCTGCCTGCGTGGGCCGGCAACACCAATGCTTGGCCCCAAAAGGTCGTTCTCGCTGCTTCCTGCGTCTCGTTGGCGATCTGTGTTACGGTCTTTATCGGTTATTGCCGGGGTGGCCACCAGCGGGCTGAGAAGGTCGGCGTCTACTACACCCTGTTCGCCGTTGGCTGGTTCATCTTCAGCATGGTCATGTGGTGTGTGGCGGCCGGCCTCTTCCAACACTCGCGCACCAGCAGCGGGAACCAAGACATGTGGGGTTGGTCGTGTGTTCAGAACCACCGCTCCCAGATCTTCCAGGACAAGGTTGATTATGCTCTTGTTTGCAGACTTCAGGTGAGCCACCTCTTCTTTGCTAACGACGACTGCCCTCCCTGGATGCATCGGCTAACCCGAAAACGCAGAACTGGTCTCTGATCTGCATCATCATTGAAATCGTGGTGGAAGTGATCAGCATCACTCTTTACAGCATCATCTTCTACCGCTACTACCGAAAGCGCCAGCTTACCAAGTCGATGGACCTGCGAGACAAGGCCCGCTCCGACCTGTACCTGGCTCAGCTCCGGACCCAGTCCGCTCCCAACACCCCCGGGTTCGGCCCCAAGTCTCCCGCCCTGTCGCAGTACGCCCTGTCCCCGCGGTTCCCTCCCTCGTCCCACCAGACCTACCGCTCGCTGGGCGACATCGAGGAAGGGGCCTCGCCCTTCACCCCGGGCGGCCAGCGCCTGGTCGAGCCCACCTCGGCCTTCTCCAAGCCGGCCGCGGACTCGGGCTTCAAGCTTCAGGCCCCGCCCACCAAGGCCCGTTCTGCCACTCCCAAGACAACTGGTGGATTCCAGACCCCCACGACTGATTCAACGCCGATGCCGTCGCAGAGCACAGCCGTCGAGCATGCTCCTGTAGCTCCAGGGGAGCAAATCTACGAGGCCGTTGCGATCCCCGGCGCCTACGCCGACGCAGCCGTCAAGAGCCCTCCCGCTCACCAGACGAGCTTCAGATGAGGAGCTCAAAGCATGGTGGCCTGGTGGTGGTTGTTGAAAGCGTGAAAAGTCGTGTGGCTTCTGTTCTACCTACATATATTTTATTCAACCTTTTCTTTTGTGCAGCTGAGCCTAAAGCTGAAACAACCTTTTTTTGTCTTGGGAAGTTATATACCAGAACGGCGTTCGAGGGATAGTCTAGGAGGCCTATGGGATCATACTTGAGTCTAATGCATGGATCGCTCTTTGTATAGTAGGAAAGTTCACATTTCTGCCTCTTCTGGGGTAGACATCGGTAGAAAGAATGACTACATCTTCGTCTACAAAGTCTATGGTCCAATATGCGAGAGGAGCCTTGGCATTAGACCGGCCAGCCGACTTCCAGAGACATCTTCATTTCTCATGAATCACCGAGTAGGTTCGGCCGCAATGCACTATCTGTTTGAGGATTGAGTATACTGGCAAAGTTTGTATGACCAGATATCTTCAAGATGTATCTCTGTCGAGGTCGAGGATTCAAGACGTGAGTTACCTTACCTGTTCCACTCAGGACCTTGTCGGTGCGGTAGAGGGCATGGATCCCTGACTTGCTACGGATTTAGTGGATTTCGGCCCGTGTGCCTCTGGCTTTTAGCACCTGTGGATCCGTGATAGCAACCATGTTGCGGGTTTGTTGTGCTGTAATTTGTATGCCGGAGCTGTTAGAGACGCGAGTGAATTTCGCGCTTGTCACATTTCTGTTTTTACCTTTTTGTCTACCTATGTAGTTAAAAGGAATTCTTTTCAAGTAAAGGAAGGGATAAGAAATCTAACAGATAGCAGAAACAAGACCTAAGGTATTATTAAATAGCCCAATTGTGTCAAACCATTTCGGGGATTGTCAAGGGGCCATTCGGGGTCTGATAAATTGAGATAAGGGGAGGTACCATCAAATGAAGTTGGAAAAAAAAAGTGTCCCCATCATCTCTCCTGTTATCGAGCTTAGGAATTCCTGGCCGCTAAGTGACGCTCTACTAGCACATGGTGTGACGCTTGTGAGCGCATCTTCTTTTGTCTTGCTTCCTGACTAGCTGTCTTGAGTGTGCGTCTGCTCTGTGACCAGCCAAGAATTTGAGACCGGGTGACCCAAGGTGTGGTCGTCATAGTTTCACCTGCAGCAGACAAGCTTGCTCGGGACAGCAAGGGACCCCAAAAACAGGGCAGCGACAAACATACACAGGTTCAACACACCACCGACACCACCACCACCCAATGGCTGGCGCGCTTCCTCGCATGCTCTGGCAGCACTTGCCACGAGCCGCTGCTGCTGCTCCTGCGACCAGGGCAGCCACCGCGTCCTCGTCCAAGCTTCAATTCGCCCTCGGGGCCTTCCAGAGGAGGTCAATCGCTACTCTGCGGTCAAAGCCGAACAGCGCGCCCCTCCGCTTCTCCCGACAGACGACACGCCGATTCTACAGCTCGGAGCCGCCCAAGTCGAACCAGACCGTCAAGTTCTGGCCCTTCTTCCTCATCATCCTCGGCGGTACTGGCGGTTACATCCTCCTCGCCAACCAGCGCAACCAGAGTAAGTCCTCCCTCTCTCTCTCCCTCCCTGCCCCTTGTGGTCACCAGCACCTCGGAAAGAGAAGGAAAGGAAAAAGAAGCAAAAGCTGACCGCCGGTGCCACCGACCTTCCGCAGACATCAACCCGCACTACGAGATGCCCGCCCTCGAAGGCCCCAAGACCTCGGGCCAGCTGCCCGCCCCGCACAAGTCGACCCCGACCTTCTCGGGCGACGACGTGACCGTCATCTTCGTCCTCGGCGGGCCCGGCGCCGGCAAGGGCACCCAGTGCGCCAACCTGGTCAAGGACTACGGCTTCACCCACCTGTCGGCCGGCGACCTGCTGCGCGCCGAGCAGGACCGCCCCGGCTCCCAGTTCGGCGAGCTCATCAGGGACTGCATCCGCAACGGCGCCATCGTGCCCATGGAGGTGACGGTCCAGCTGCTCGAGAACGCCATGACCGAGACCATCAACCGCAGCAGCAGCGACAAGAAGCCCGGCGCGGGGGAGGCAAAGAAGGCCAAGTTCCTCATCGACGGCTTCCCGCGCAAGATGGACCAGGCCCTCAAGTTCGAGGAGGCCGTGTGCCCGGCCCGCTTCGTCCTCTTCTACGACTGCCCCGAGGAGGAGATGGAGCGCCGCCTGCTCGAGCGCGGCAAGACGAGCGGCCGCGCCGACGACAACGCCGAGAGCATCCGCAAGCGCTTCCGCACCTTTGTCGAGACGAGCATGCCCGTCGTCGACTACTACGCCAAGCAGGGCCGCGTCGTCAAGGTCAACGCCACCGCCACGCCCGACAACGTGTACAAGGACACGCAGCGCAGGCTGACCGACGCCCTCGGCAAGGATCTGTAAAAAAAAAAGGACAGACAATTAAAAGAAAATACCGTCAAAAAAGCAAAACAAAAACTGATCATCAACACATTGTGGGGGAGAATGTCTTTATATACAACCAACCTTTCTCTTGGCTTTCTAGCGAAGGAAACTGAAGGAGTGGATAGACCGGGGGAAAAAGAAGAGGTGGGATGGATAGATTCCTTTGCGCGCGTTCTGTTTGCGACCAGACTTGTTGTATTATCACGGGCATCATTCCGGCCCCTGTACTGTATAGGTCCTAGACGATCACTTGTTCCCCTATGTAATATCAATAGAAATGAATATCTGCAAAACCATGTTTGGACATCACTCTTACGGCCATGATATCGCGTAGTAAGAGCACAGCTCTCGCTGATGCTATCATAAGACTTTGCCATGATCGTCTCTCATTGGGAATCTCACAATGTCTAGTATCTTTTTTTAATTGTACAAGGATCATGGTGCCCCTTCCGCTCAACCACCTCCCTTTTTGCCCCCGCCTCCGACAACATATCGACACTCTTCTCTCCCAACCGTCTCCCGACTTACCTCGTCAGGGCAATGTCGTCTATCCGCAGGATCATCTTGACCGTCTCGGCCGCCAGCTCGATGGCGCTCGTGCTGACCAGCAGCGGCTGCAGCACGTTCTCCTTGGCGATGTTGGAGTTGACGCCGCCCGACTTGATGCTGACGCCGGCGTTCTTCTCGCCCATCTCGTGCCGGTGCCGCAGGTCCGTCACCACCTTGATGGGGTTGAGCCCGGCGTTCTCGGCCAGCGTCGTGGGCACGACCTCGAGCGCGTCGGCAAAGGCCTTCCAGCAGATGGCCTCGGTGCCCGTGAGCTCGCGCGCCTGGCGGTTGAGCTGCGCCGCGATCTCGATCTCGGCGGCGCCGCCTCCCGCGATGAGCGCCTTCTTCTTGACCAGGCAGCGCACGACGCAGAGCGCGTCGTGGAGCGAGCGCTCGGCCTCGTCGAGGATGAGCGAGTTGGCGCCGCGGCAGACGACCGAGACCGTCTTGCCCGTCGACTTTGTGCCCGTCACCTTGACCATGCGGGAGCCCGATGACTGCACCTCCTCGACGAGGTCGGCGCTGCCCAGCTTGTCCTCGGTGAACGAGTCGATGTCGGCGATGGGTTTGCAGCCGGTCGACTTGCAGATGAACTCGACCTCGTCCCGCTCAATGTCCTTGATGACCATGATGTTGAGCTTGTTGAGGAAGTAGAGGGAAAGGTCGTTGATGGCGTCGCGCAGGATCGACTTTTGGATGAGCAGGACGTTGCACTTGGCCTTGGCGATCTTCTTGGCCATGTTCAGCAGGTACAGGCGCTCCTCCTTGACGATCTTGTCCATCTGTCGGTAGTCGTTCACGGAGATGCTGTTCTCCATCTGAAGTGTTTTGTTAGTACAGAATCGCAACAAGCTTAGTCAGGCGCTGGGCACATACATCAGGCTTGGGAGCACTGAGCTGGAACTGGATGAGACCAATCTTCGCCTTCTCCTTCCTCACAGGACCGCCGGCGTTCTTCAGCACTGACTGTGTCAAGACAAGACCGTCGACCAGCTCGCTGTCCTCGATCGTTCCTCCGACCTTCTTTATTATCCTAATGTTCCGCAGGTCCACGTTGTCGGCAGTCTTGACGTTGATTGTCTTGGTGACGGCGTTGACAGCCATGGGCCCGAGCAGGTTCGAGTACTGCGACACGATCTTGGAGGAGAGGGAGGTATTGGCGGCTTGCAGGAGAGCAGCGTTGTCTGATAGAGAGATGGGCTGGGACATGTCGTGCAGGACTTGCACTGCTGCTGCGGCAGCTCTTTGAAAGGACTCGGAGATGACTGAGGGGTGGATGCCCTTGGACAGCAACCGGTCGGCAGCGCCCAGGAGACTGCCGCAGATGACAACCACCGACGTCGTTCCATCACCTGCCTCAACATCCTGTGCGTTCGATAGGTTGACAAGCATCTTGGCTGTGGGGTGCATGACCGACATGCTCTTCAGCATTGTGCTGCCGTCGTTGGTGATAATGGTCTCTCCCTTCCCGCTCCGGATCATCTTGTCCATACCCCGCGGTCCCAGGGACGTCCTGACGGCATCGGCGACGGCTAGAAAAGAGTTAGAACTATTATGTCTCGACCCTCGAGTCGGACCTGGTGGTGGATGCGCGTACCTCTCGCGGCGACGATGTTGGACGACCGGACAGCCATGGGCTTCTCCTTATCCTGGGGGCCTGTTAGTGGGAGCTCTGTAAGCTACTGATTCGAGCTTTGATGGACCTACCCTGAAAGCAGCATTCTGCGGCGCTGCCGCGGCAGCAGGAGCTGTGGTTGCCATCTTGAGCCTCTCGATATCTTTTGCTTACAAACAGCAGGGTGAAGGTGGACAAGACTATCGCAAGCTTCGCGGTGTAGACAAACAGACTGATTATAATTTCGTAGGCCGCCTAAAAGTGACAGTGCCTCCAAAGCTCGTGGGCTATCCACTGAACTCAAAGGTGGGATTTTTTTGGAGAGTCGCTAGAAGAGTTGTTCCTGCGCCGGCCCCTGCTCCAGCCCACAACCGCGCTAGCAACAAATCTGGCTTAGCTGATAACAGCCTCGCAGCTCCGCTGTGGCCCTCAGAAGCACCAGAAGCTCAAGGCAACATGTGGATTACGAGCATCAATCAATCAACCAGCCAGTCCGTCTCCAGCCCGTCCTGACCAAGCACAGCACACCTTCACCGTTCATCTCAACAACCCCCCCAGCTCTGTGACTGTGCCTTTCCCAAGCGAAAGCCCGGGTTCGACGAATACATACGCCAAACATTTTTCTACTCTCACTTTCTCCGGACACTCGAGCGCAGTCCGTTTCCCAGAGTAAAGGGATCTTGAGATCCCAACACCGTCAAGATGGTAAGCTCCAGATTCGCCTCCCACCCAGCCATCATCACATTCTTGCTCACAACATCCAACAGCCTTCCGCCACCGGCCGCGACTGGGAGAAATACCAGAAGAAATTCGCCGATGACGAGATCGAGGAGAAGAAGATTACACCCTTGACAGACGAGTATGTACAGACGCGTTGCTAGACCCTCGGACTTCGAGCGGCAACTGACCTCCAGCTTGCAGGGACATCCAAGTGCTCAAGACCTACGGCGCCGCCCCTTATGGAGCCGCTATCAAGAAGCTAGAACAACAGATCAAGGAGAAACAGCAGAGCGTGGACGAGAAGATCGGCGTCAAGGTACGTGGTTGTCCCTGGTGACTACGGGTTGTGCTCAGAGAGAGCTGACGACGGTACAGGAGTCGGACACGGGACTTGCGCCCCCTCACCTGTGGGATGTGGCCGCCGACCGGCAACGAATGTCAGAAGAGCAACCGCTCCAGGTTGCGCGGTGTACGAAGATTATTGCCGATGAGAAGGACGACTCCAAGAGCAAATATGTCATTAATGTCAAACAAATTGCCAAGTTTGTCGTCCAACTCGGAGAGCGGGTTTCGCCGACGGATATCGAGGAGGGCATGCGGGTCGGCGTCGACCGCAACAAGTACCAGATTCTGCTGCCTCTGCCTCCCAAGATCGACGCGAGCGTCACCATGATGACGGTGGAGGAGAAGCCGGACGTCACGTACGGCGACGTTGGTGGTTGCAAGGAGCAGGTCGAGAAGCTGCGCGAGGTCGTCGAGATGCCCCTCTTGTCGCCAGAGCGCTTCGTGAACCTGGGCATCGACCCTCCCAAGGGCGCCCTGCTCTACGGGCCTCCCGGTACCGGCAAGACGCTCTGCGCCCGTGCCGTCGCCAACAGGACAGACGCCACGTTCATCCGAGTCATCGGCAGTGAGCTGGTACAGAAGTACGTCGGCGAGGGCGCTAGGATGGTGCGCGAGCTGTTCGAGATGGCCCGGACGAAGAAGGCCTGCATCATCTTCTTTGACGAGATCGACGCTATCGGCGGCGCTCGTTTCGACGACGGTGCGGGCGGAGACAACGAAGTGCAGAGGACCATGCTGGAGCTCATCACCCAGCTCGACGGCTTCGACGCCCGCGGCAACATCAAGGTCATGTTCGCCACCAACAGGCCGTCCACACTCGACCCCGCCCTCATGAGGCCCGGCCGTATCGACCGCAAGATCGAGTTCTCGCTGCCGGACCTCGAGGGCCGCGCCAACATCCTGCGCATCCACGCCAAGAGCATGTCGGTGGAGCGCGACATCCGGTGGGAGCTGATCTCGCGCCTCTGCCCCAACGCCACGGGCGCCGAGCTGAGGAGCGTGTGCACGGAGGCGGGCATGTTCGCCATCCGCGCGAGGAGGAAGGTCGCGTCCGAGAAGGACTTCCTGAGCGCCGTCGACAAGGTCATCAAGGCCAACCTCAAGTTCAACTCGACCGCCTCGTACATGCAGTACAACTAGACATGGGTAAGACGGAGGGGATTTGGCGCGGTGTTGATGACGGACACACAAGAATGGATAGATGGGAAGGTCTGCCCTATGTAATTATGTACGAGTACAGCGGCTAGCTACGTTCGGACGCTTTGGTTCGCTTTCTAGACAGCGTCAAAGGGAGCCTTTTATCATTTCCATGTCTCCCGTGGTATTGATCGTAATTCTTTGCTTTGGTATCGTTTTCTCGACATGCAGTGTTCATCAATGATGTACATGATGAATTCTATCTACTTTGCGATGCAGTGCGCTCAGATGCTGCATTAATGATCTGCCCAGCCCATATCTGAGTTCATCGTCATCGTATATCATACATTGAAAAGAAGCCTCCAGCCACACCGGCTGGACAGGCTTCAAGAAGTTGAATATAACACAGGCCATCTTGCCTCTGCTCTGAAAATGCGAATGCGAATGGTAAATAAGAAAAGAAAAAGAAAAAGACACCGCCAAATCAGAAGCAATGCCGTACATGAAAAACAAGGGTATCGTGAATAAAGTCATTTACTGGCCAGGGGTACATCATCATGCCCGAAATAAGGCGAGCCAGCCATCAAGGTCGTATGGCCCACCGCTCACACTGCCAGTAATCTCATTCATGCCTCGACAAATGGCAGGCATCCCAGGCACACCACGTCTCCGTCCCGGCCCCTCTCCACGCAGCACCGGCTGCAGACCATCTGGCGGTGACCGCCGCCGCGGCCACCTGCCCAGCCGGGTTTCTCTCTGTGCTGGTGGTGGTGGTGCTGCTGCTGCTGCGGGGCCTGCTCGTTCTCGTCGGGTGGCGGCGAGTGCGGCGGCGGCGCGTCTTCCATGTGGAAGGATTGCGAGGCCGCCTGCTGCCCGTCGTCGTCGTCGTCGTCCTGCCGATCTGCCGCCTGCCGCCAGCCGAGGCACTTGCGCATGCAGACGTAGCACGTCCGCTGTGCGCAGCCCTCGCAGTCCGCGAAGGAGTCGAGGTCGCTCTTCTTGGTGGGCTTGCGGTGGCAGATGTGGCAGGGCCTCAGGAGGGCCGCCGACGTCGTGCTGCTCCGGGCCACCGGCTGGGGCCTGCTGTTGGCGGTCGTGTGCTGGAGGGCGGTGGCGTCGGGCGTCCTCGAGCGGCGGGCCTGCGGTGGTTGGGGTTGGGGTTGGTACGGGTGCCGCTCATGGTGGTCTTCCACCAGGCGTAGTTTCTTGGGCGTGGGCAGTATTTTCCGCGGTGGCGCGCCTTGCTGGGGCTGGTATGTGTGGTGAGGGTGGTAGAGGGGCGCGTCATCACTTCGTATGCTTGCTAAGTGAGCTGGAGAGTGATATCGGTGTTGATGCCTTTGCAAGATGGGTGATTAGCGGGGGACCAGACGACGCATTTGAGCTTTTGGTGAGGGGGATGTGGTCTTACAAATGAGCCTGCGTGTCCTCGTCCTGGTCGTCTCGTCTCCTCTTCTTAAGGGAGGACGGCACCACAGGGCGCTCCTCTTGGGTGACTGAAGGCATCACCAGCCTGGTCGCGGCTCGACAGTGGCGAGCTGACCCCGGATTGACCAGAAACAATATGTGCAAGGGCTTGTCTCCGCTCGTCTGAGAATGCTTAACAATGAGATGTGTGCAAAAGAAGACAGATTGGCTGCAAAGAACAACAGTAATCGCTTAGGTGACAACGCAAAAGCGGAGGTGAGGCGAGGGGACGAAATAGTCGGGGGTTGGACTGGCTGGGGATTTGGTAGGACCGCTTTCCCGAGAAGCGGATGTGACAACAAAAGCACAGGTCAAGTTGGCGGTTTAGCAGGTAAATTCCATCGAGTCCACCAATCGGCAGGTAAGGTAGTGGTTACAGCCGTTGCTTTTTTAACGGTGTTTTGGGTGACGGTTTAGTGAGGTGTGGGAGTTTCAACGCACTAAGCAGGCTAAAATCGCGGCGCGTCTTTGGGACCTATTTGAGTGTTGTGGCTCACTGAAGGATGACTCCAATCATCATCACCGTGCAAGCCGACATGTAACAAACTGCCCCCAATCCCTCAGCAGAAACAAGGCAATGTCTTTTGTAAACTATTGCAAAGTACCAAGACAGACATTAGACATTGCTCTTTTCAGGTACTTGACTTTTCTCTATTTAGTAAACAATGTTCCCTTGCAAGAGAAGGAGAAAAGTCGATCAGCTTTGAGAACGGCATGGGATACTCCAAGGAGTTGGAACAGGATTTGCAATTGACGGTTGACTAGCAGTCCTTCACGGCGTTTGTGTAATCCAGAACTCCATGGAAACCGGGCCTCGGAGAGTAGAGTGAGCAGATCTTGGGACAGCCCTTTGTTGAGATTTACCAGGTACAGGCAAGTCAGGGTGGGCTGGATAGTGGTTCGTCCCATGATAAGATATACCGACAAGTTCAGCAACATGATGGACTACGGAGTCTCCTACCAGCCCTAGGTCTTGGACAAAAACCGGCGACTCATTCAGAATGACAAGCCTATTCTTATAGCAGTTGCCTTCGAAAACACTGTGCAGTTCAGTAGGGTCCAAATACAAATGGAGACACACGAGTGGTCTCGCACTTCTGAAAAGGAGAGACCTCTACACACCAATGTCTCCAAGCTTACTTATCCAATGTAGCTGAATGTTGACATAGAAAACAGATGTTTGAGCTGTTCTGTTTTCCATAGAAACCAGACTGAGGAGTCAGGCATGGTTGGCCCATTTGACACCCTTGATGTTTCTCAGAGGTGAGGGGGCTGACAGATGCATGGACGTTGTTGGATGTTGGGCAAAAAAAGGCAATATCGAGCATTCTTTGTCGTTTTAAGTGATGTCTACGAATGAGGTTGCCAGCGGAGCACCGACCGTATCTCCTATCGCAACGCCCGACGGCCTACGGAGTAGAGAATCGGACTAAATGGGGGCAGTTGTGCTTCAAAAAGCGAGCCACCGTTGACGGGTTCCTGAGGTCATGAGCCGCGCACGTGCAACGCAAAACATTGCGAGTTGCGAAGCAGGGGAAGGAAGGAGTTTAAGCTTTATCACGTGGGGCCCACTAGCCACAGATATCATTTGCTCTGATTTGCCCCGACACACAGCCCGACTCCACCTCCCAGCGCTAGTGCAGTGAGTTGGTGAGTGAGTGCCCAAGGCACAGAGCCTGCAGGCACGAGTGGCACGCACTGACTGGGCCTGGATTGATTGCCTAAGGTGGCCAAGGCACACCCTCAATCTCGAATTCCACCACCATTCCTCTTTTCTACACCATTCCGTACTCAACGTCCACCCCCTCCCTGTCAACCCTACAATCTCCTCCCAACGACCCCTCCGCCTCCGGCCACCACTCCGAACCAGTTCAGAGCGAGCGAGCAGTTTTCGATACTGATCATCAAGATATGAGTCGAGCCGGCAAACTTGCCCCGGAGGTCAATCGGTAAGAAGCGCCGCCTGATTTTCCCCACCCGGCCTTGCAGGTCCTGCGAATCTGGATATCAATCATACGGCCTGCCCGGCTCTTTTGCATCCCGTTCCGGACATCGCGATATCAGAAAGGGTCAATGCTAACAGTCTTTGTCATGGACAGAGCTTTATTCGTAAAGAATCTAAGGTTGGTCGCGCCCTTTGGATACCTCTTTTCCCACTGGCGACCAGCCTCGCTAACCGTCGTCGTGCAGCTACAACGTAACGCCTGAGGAGCTCTTCGAGCTCTTCGGCAAGTTTGGCCCAATTCGGTAAGCATCACCACTGTCGCGACGAATCCTACCTTGTATCTCGCAGATGACTGACTTGGTTTCTGAACAGCCAAGTGCGACAGGGCATTGCCAACAACACCAAGGGCACTGCGTTCGTCGTCTATGAAGACGTGATGGATGCAAAGCAGGCCTGCGACAAGCTCAACGGCTTCAACTTCCAGAACCGCTACCTCGTCGGTATGTCTCACTCTCATCTTTGTCCATGGCGTAGTTGGGTTGCCTGCTAACACGCTGCGCGTAGTGCTATACCACCAGCCCGAGAAGATGATCAAGTCAAGAGAGGACCTCGAGGCCCGCAAGGAGAATTTAGCGCAGCTGAAGAAACAGCACGGTATCGATTGACGATTAGACGAGCCTATGGGCAGGCAATCTCTACAGTCACGAAAGTCTGTAGGCTCGTCTCCTCCTACCCACTCGCCCAAGTCCCCGGGAGCCCGCGCGGCCCCGGCACCGAAAAAGGGCAAGCCGAAAACTGCTGGGCACACCGTGATCTCGATTCCACACTTTGTGCGCAAGCTCCTCCCGACAGTTCCAGAAGTCGCCTAATTATCGCTACGTACGGACACCTTTTCGCTACGTCGTCATATTAAGCCACGCAGGCTGTACGGGTGTGTCTTGGCTGGCCAGCTCGGCTGCCTCTCCCAACTCACAGATCATCCGCTCGCTTCTACACATTCTCTATGGGGCAGCGTGGCTTTTGTATGATTCATGACGCTGTTATATTCGTTTTGTTGCTGCTATTACTACTATCATCGGGGTTTGTTGGTTTCGGTTCTCTTTTTTTTTTTGGGACGTTCTGAGGAACGGGTATCGGCGTCATTCGCCTGCTCGACTATCAAGTCTGAGACAGGTAGAGGCATGCAGAGCTCTCGGTCGTTTCCGGCCGGTCTCTGCCGTTGAAACATTGGGGTTTGGCCATATCAATAGGGAGAATGCAACCTGAGGAGACAGAGGTATCTGTCTTTGGCCCATTTACATATTCAACATCCACATTGCGTGCTTGTGACTGAACTCGGATCATGTGCACAATCGCTTCTTCTATGCTAGTCCCATGTGATATTGATTCCCAGTTGTTATGATACCGATTCAGTAAGTACAGGTATCCAAAGAATGGACGTCAGAGAATATTCCGATGCAGTATTCTAAGAACGGATTCGGACGGTCATCGCACTGCTCTCATTAGGCATAAACCGTTCGTCTACTCGGTGGCTGTAGTAAATAAGCACTTCAGGCCCATCGTATCTCGGTAGGTAGGTATTTGATGACCAATTTCAGTCTTCGAGAATTACTTTGGTAGGTCAGCGCCTCGCCTCGTGGGATTTGCATTGGCTCCAAGGCTCCAGGCTAGCTTCAGCCCGCCCCTGTACGGAGAAAAGTGCCCTGAAAATGCAACCCCTGCCGGTACGCATCTTGCGCTGCGGGGCTCGGCTGCGGCAGGCACCTGCCCCTAAGCCCCTAATCTACAGGGCGCATAGGCGGCTTGGCTGCCAAATGATGAGACGCCTGGGCGCCCATAGGTCCGTTCTCGTCTAGCCCCATGACTAAAAAGAACATGCCTATGACCACTGCAATCCGACTGGCTGGGGGGGGGCGGTGAAATGTAGGTGTAACTCGCTCGCGACGCCGTTGACGACTATTACTTCACCCACGGACTCGGGTCAACCAGATCTACTTCGTCCTCGACTGTTTCTGTCCTATCCATGGATCCTCTTCGACTCTCAATACCGCGTTGAGCTACTTTCTTGACCTTTTTCTTTCTTTGACCACTTTGCACCCACGGTTCCTTAATCATCTCTGCAATCTTCAGTCCCCATGACTTGGATACTGCCCGCCTAACTCTCACTACACTGCCCTGCTCCGATACTTGGACACGGAGCTCGACGAAAGCGATCGACAGCTTTGCTCCCCTTCGCCTGCGATACGCTGCTCCGGGAGAGAACAAGTCCACCAGCCTCATGGCTGCTCCTGCGGCCTTCCTTCCTGCTCTCGCAGCTAGGTTACCCCAGGATGCCCCCTTCATCACGCCCACAGGTGCTGCTGCACCAGCGGCAGAGGTAGCCACCGTCGGCATCATGACCGTCCCCAATGACGACTCGATCCCCTCCGAGACCGTAGACGCCGTCATCGTCACCCTGACGCCGAGCCCGACACCGCCAGATCAGCAGCAGCAGCAGCAGCCTCCCACGCCCCCGGAGAAGTCCGTCTTCCACGCAGAGAGGCCGTCCCCCTCAGCCCCGGCCCCGGCGTCGTCGACAGCCACCGCCGGGTCGCCGTACAAGAAGGACAAGCCCGCCGACTGCGAGCTCCTTGGCCCCTTCGCGCTGCTCGTCCAGCTCGCGCTCGGCGGCCTCGCGCTGCTGTCGCTCGTCTACAAGCGCTGGCGGGAGCGGCCCCAGCGGCCCGTCAAGATCTGGTTCTTCGACGTGTCGAAGCAGGTGTTTGGCTCCGTGCTCGTGCACATCTCCAACGTCTTCATGTCCATGCTGACCTCGGGCCGCTTCTCGGTCCTGGAGCCCGGGACGGCGGCGGCGGGCGGCGTGGGCGGCGGCGTGGCGGCGCGGCTGGCGCGCAGCTGGGCGCCCGAGCTGTTGCGCCGCGCGGCCGAGGACGAGTACACGCCGAACCCGTGCTCGTTTTACCTGCTGAACCTGGGCATTGATGTGAGTTTGCCTTTTGTTTCTCTCGTTAATATTACAGCCCTGGCCTTGACTAGATAACTAACGTCCAACCTACTACGCAGACCACCCTCGGCATCCCCATCCTCATCGTCCTCCTCCGCATCACCACCGCCCTCGTCTCCTACACGCCCCTCGGCCAGCCGCCCGAGTCGATCCGCTCGGGCTACTACGGTCGCCCGCCCAACGCGTGGTGGTGGCTCAAGCAGAGCGTCATCTACTTCTGCGGCCTCTTCGGCATGAAGCTCTGCGTCCTCGTCATCTTCCTCCTGCTGCCCTGGATCTCGCGCGTCGGCGACTGGGCCCTCGGCTGGACCGAGGGCAACGAGCAGCTGCAGATCGTCTTCGTCATGATGATCTTCCCCCTCGTCATGAACGCCGCGCAGTACTACATCATCGACAGCTTCATCAAGCAGCGGGAGGCCAAGGACGAGCACGGGGAAGGGGGCAACGAGATTGGCGGTCCGCGGTACGACCACGTGCCCGGCCAGGACGACGACGACGTCGGGGAAGAGGAGGAGCTTGAGGACGAGGACCGCGAGGGACACCGCGTCCAGCAGAAGCAGGGCGGCTCCAGGACGACGACGACGACGGCGCGCAAGGACAGCCGCGAGTACGACCCCGATGTCGACGGCGACGGGCAGACGGTGTTTGGCAGCAGCTCGAGCAAGGGCGGCGAGCCCCGAAGCGGCAAGCTCGTGCCCGAGGAGCTGTATCCTCACGAGTGATCGTTCGACCTTCTGGAGGTTCTTTTTTGGTCGTTTTGTCTATCCTGTCATCGTTCTAGCGTTGCCTTTTTTTTTATCTCTCCTGCAAAGACCCCCGTCATGTACCATCATCTGCTAGCAGCCTTGCATACCTCTCTCTGCTACGAGAAGAGGATCTTTTCTTCCCACGCGCGCCTCTGGTTTCTTCTCTCTCTCTATCTCTCTCCTTCACACACACACACCCATACAACCTCCACATATACATATATACGCACCAGACCAGCATGTGTTTTAATTCCTGGGAAATATAAGCGTTGCATAGAAGTCTTAAAATCATTTTAATGTTTTCCTATTCTTTGATCATGATTTGCACACTGTGACTTCATCCTCTTGAAAATGTCAGAGTGCTTTGCTTGATGTCTTCAGCGTACGGGATGAAATGATATATGTCCACACAGTTATACATGAAGGTAAAGGGGCTCCCGGGCCTCATCCGAACATCACAGAAAGGTATCTATGGCATTACCCAAGTACTGAAGAGAAGGTGTTTGCTTGGGGGGGAAAGGAAGTTTCACTGCTGGAACAGAATGCTCGTATGTAGTAGTATCATAAAATATAGTACACCTGATGCTCTCTATGCACTCTGCAGAGCATCATGTTGCTCCTTCAAATCGCCCTGGAGCGAATCTGACTATTTCCCCTCGCTACTAGCCGCAGAAACCTGCCTGCCTGCCTGCCTGCCACTCAAGCATTTGCTTGAGGCCTCTCGTACCTCCCAATATAGACAACACTCGAGAGAAGCCAACCCGGATCGATACCCGGGAATATCCAAAGTGCGACTCAAGATGTCGCTAGCCAGTAGCTCTCGCAATATGTATATATACACGTCTTCCCGCCCACCCTCTTCTTCTTCTTCAGGAAGATGTGGCGTCTCCAAGCCCATGACGTCCCAAGATGCGGGCGGCATACGTCTCTCTAGACGAAAGGACAAATGCACCTTCAACTTGTGGGCAAAATTGAATCAGGACCATCGAGACCCAATCCGCCAGACATTTGGAAAAGAAAACCATGATGCACAAAAGACAGGCCACGAAATAGTCGCCAGAATTATATGCAGAAAAGAAAAAAAGACAAAAGCTGTGGGAAGGAGGGAAAATGAGCCCCCCAAAGTCCAAGACAGCATCGAAATGGCCGCGGCAATGTCGCCAGATACAAGTCCCAGACTCCGGTTATAAAAAAAAAAAAAGACAAAACAAAAATATCAACCATCTATATATAGACGTAACGCCCGAAGAGGTCTAGTGGTGACAGGTCGTAAGAAGGAGACCCCAATTACAGGCCACTCCAGTTCTCGTGCGGGCGAGAGTTATTACTCGCTGAAGGGGGCTGGTACGCTTTGAAGCCAGGGTAGGCAGAGCCGCCGCCGCCGGCACCGCCTGTGTGCTGCTGCTGCTGCTGCTGCTGCGGGCTGGCATGCCGTGGCTGGTCAAAGCTGTTGTTGTTATCGGACGTCGACGGTCGGCTGTAGCCCGAGTTGAAGTCGAAACCGCCGCTGTTCTGCAGAGCTGTCGGCGATACAGGCGCCGGTGAGAACTGGCGCTGGGGAGGCCCCCGCGCCAGAGGGCGAGTCGAGTCAGACGAGTACTGCCTCTGGGGCTGAGGGGGTCCGTAAGGAGGGGCCGGGCTGCGGTTGTAACCGCCCCTGTAGCCTTGGTCTCCCTGCGGTGCTGGTGACCGCCTTGGGCCCTTGTCGGCGTATGCGCCACCCATAACATCAGGGAGGCGCGGTTCGCGTTGGATGGAATCAGACCCAAAGCCGGGCATGGCTCCTGGAGGTCCGCTGCCGTTGCGCCTATAGTCGTCGTAGCTTCCTTGTCGTCCCGGACCCGGGGATGAGCGAGGCCCTGGATAGCCCTGGCCCATGGGAGGCGGAGTTCCGTAGCGTCCGTTTCCGCCATACTCTCTTGGCGATCGTTGGTTAGGGCCCATAGCGGCTCCCGCCATAGCTCCTCCTGCCATGCCAGCTGCCGCCATCCCATAACCTTGATTCATGCCGCCGGGGTGCCCTTGGTCCATGCTCAGATTTGAAGTTGATTGACCGTAACCATCACTTGCGCCGTAACCAGGGCCCTGTCTGGCATACGGGTCGGCACCAGCGCCGCCTGCGAGATAAGCGTTCGACCCTTGACGACTGCCAGGGTGGCCATAAGGATCCTGTGCAAGAGGGCTGACGGGGCTGACTGGACCAGGAGTGGTGGCGGTACCAGTCATCAAAGGGACATTCTGGCCAGGCTGAAGGCCATTGGCGGCGGGCTTGTTCAGCTGCTCCAACTCTACCGCTTCCTGCTCAACTTCGATCTTCTTGTTTCCGGAACCTTCCCAGCTCGGCATTTCGGGAAGGGCATCCTCTCCCCCCTTCTTGCTCATGTCGAATTCAGCATACTGCGGGGCCTCGTTATGAGCATTATGGACACTCTTAGCTCCCATACCCCCCACCGCAGCTCCAGCCATGGGCGCAGTCATAGGCGCTTCCATCCGGTAGCCTTGATGGGGCGGGATGTAGGGTTCATCGAGGTACTTGTGCTTCTTTTGGGGTGCATCACAGCATCCGCAGCAGTTCCCGCAGCACTTGAGGCAATAGAAGCACTCGCAGCAGCACGATACGCCGCAGCAGAGGCATCGAGCGCAGCACCAGACGATCGAGAAAATGAACAGTCCGCCGATGACAATAATCGCAATAACCGGCCACCTAGTTCATAGTGTCAGCGTGTGAATATCCATGACCATTTGTGGACATTGACATACTTGCAGAAGTCGGCCTTCATGCAGTTATCCCAGCTTGAGAAAGCGGTCTTGACGTCCGTGATTTTGCCCTTCGTGTCGGTGATGAGATCCCTCGGTTGTACCTCTGGCACAACGGGACGCATCGCCGCAGCAAGGAGATCCAATGCGCTCGCGGACAAGCTCCGCCGCATGGCGACGTCTATGGAAGGCATCCTGGGTGGAGGATACGGCGTATTTAAGTCGTAGTAGGGTAGGTGTATGTAGTATGGTTCGACGCGGCGACCACAAGACTAGGCGAACCGCTTACACGGCGCGAGCCAGCAAACCAGGTAACTTGCGGAATTGAACAGATCACTGCAGACACATCCTAGAGCCTTGAGATGCCGGGTATGTGTGATCGCCTCGAGAAGATCGTCGTCGTAGAATCAGGCTAAAGCAGCAGTTCTGATGTTCGGAAATGGGCGGGACAGAAGGTCGGCCTGGCGTTACCGAAGACGTGGTTGGTGATCAAGTCGTTGAAGGTAGGAGAGCGAATGATTGACGGTGAAAATATGTTGGCGCACTCGAAGCAAGAAAAGATGCGCTCAAGGACGAAGGAAGGAAAGCAAGCAGAGCCGCGATCAGGCCAGCGCAATTGAGGAAATCAAGGGATCGTGGCCCAGGGAAGGCTGGAACAGGAGGATCCTGGTAGGTAGCTGCAGGTGCTTTGCGGAGGGCCGAGAGGCTATCGTTCTCAGGGACGCACACCACACCAGGAGTTGGAGCTAACAAATCGGAGGATCCCTACCGCTACCGCACTACCGCACAGTGGGCGGAGAGTCGAGGGAAATGGGTGCGTCGCCTAGCGCTTTGGTTCGTCTCGAAATGTTGGAGGGGTTGAAACCTCGAACTGGGCTGTGCAAGACGCCACAGTGTGCTCAGCACCAACAGAAAAAGGTCGCCCAGAACAAAATGTCGTTGCCTTGGCCTGGTGTAAGCACGAGTCCACAGCCGGCTCCTCTCTGTACGAGATCTACAGTCTTGCCACAGCCGAATGGGGTCTGAATATGGCCAACGTGACCTCGTCTTGCTCGGATACGGACAGTTGGTGTGACTGCGAGTTCTCTAGCCCGTTGTCTCTGCTCGATCAGGGCGAGTCGTCTCGAGTGCGGCCAAGGACAATATGGCGAGGGAAGTGAATGACAATAGGCTTCTTCTTACTGCCCCCGTCTTGCGTCGTGAGAAAGAAAACCACAGGCTGCCCAGCGTAGAGTAAGATATATAAAAAGGAATGACAAGCACGTAAGAAAAAGACGTGCGTTTGGGGGCTGGCAACCTGGGAGAGGAAGGGGAAGGAGTGAGAGAGGTCCCAAGTTTAAAGCATAGAGCGATTTTACAATGAGCGATGAGGGAAGAAGCAAATCCTCGTCTGCAAGGAGGGGAGCCTTGGCTGCTCCATCAGTGTTCCATGCTCTTTGCCTATCCCCGACATGGAATAATTTAGGTATTTTTTGCTCTCTCTACTTGTGCTCTCTCCTGCGCCGTGCCTGACTACTTACATTACTTTTGCCAGCCTGCTCCATATTGTATGCAGGCACCGACGATCCTAGGATGGGATTTGGGAGATCCTGCATGCCGCATGCTTGCAGCGGGCTGGGGGCGTGTAAGCGAGAGTGGTTCCAGCACTGGCTCGTCAGTCAGCACCACCTGCACCAGTGCCCTCCCATTTTGCGCAAAAACCCCCTTCTACAAGTACGAGTCTACCTAGCGCGCGAACAGCACCTGAATATGCCCTTCAGGATGCCTCATGCACGTACGTACTTGCACATATAGAAGAGGCCGGGTCCCCATTCCGAATTGCGATCGCGCATCTGTATTTCCTGTTTGCGTCAGCCGGTAGGAGGGGTGGGCAGAGATGTCAAATGAGATCCGCAGACCGACACGCTGGGCGCAGGGGTTCACGCAGCTGGAAGTGCGGTTTAGGGGCCGGTTTCAAGACGATCAGTCCCCTATCAGGGCTTATCAGGGCCCTCCAGCTCAAGTCCAACGTCCGGGCTGGCCACTAGCACCCGATCTTCAGGGGCACTACCCTGCCAGACAACTCCACTGTAAAAAGTCTTTCCCTGGCCCTCTTACACTCACCTGTAGATATCGACGTCATGCCCAGCGTCAGTGAAACATCCTCGCAGGCTGGATATTACTCTGTATGCGTGCGTGTGAGTGCCTGCAATGTGCAAAACGTCAAAGCGATGCATCAAGGGCCAAATTGGCCCCGGGAGCACACTGTCCTTCCGGGGTAAAACGGGCTCCAAACGGTCAAGTTGGTTTTGGCGTTTTTGGCGTATGTGTCTAAGATGGAGAGCGCATTTTACGCCCATTCAGGTGCTTTTAGGCTGGGGAAGAGTGGAGAGAGCATCCACTGCCGGCCACCCTCCGGCACATGCCAAGCCTTACGCCTTTTCACACGTGAGAGAGTGAGTGACCCTTTGGTGGCATCGCAAAGATGGCAGCCAGCTGAATCAGTTGTTTGACACCCACGTGCAGGTCACAGCCACCATCCTATCCTGACCACATCTATCTTGCCACGATTGCCGTGCAATCCGACACGGCAGAATCGCGATTCATCCGTTCTTCTGTTGCTCTTATCTGGGAATCACGAGATTGATCATGGTGATGGTCCACGCCTTTCCCTCCAAGAAGAAAGGGATGCATGATCCCACGATCCCTCGATCCGAATTCAAGTCCTTGCAAAGGAATGCAACAATAAGGACAAATAGTTGCAATCATAGTGTAGTATATGACGGCATGTACATCAAAATGCGGTACTCAATGATAGATGAAAACCTGGCACTTCAGAATACAGCAGTCCTGTTCTGAATATCTAATGCAATTAGGAAATCTCTTAATTGATAATTACAAGCCGACCCTTTCCGCAACGCCAAAGCTGTTGTTGGTAAAACCCAGTGTCGTCCTAAAAGCAAACCAGGAAACCTTCATGAGATCCTCTCTCATGCGTCTCTAGCACTTCCAACCGCGTCTCGCTTGGCCATACACCTTTCCTTCTTCAAGACCGTGTCTTCCCTCCTCTACTTCCTGATCTCGGGCGAAGTTCCAGGAGGGGGTCCAGGAGGCGGCGAGTAGACATCCTCGCCGCCGCGCGGGTAGTACGTGTTGCCAGGCTGCTGCAGCGGGATGTTAGTCTGCTGCTGGCCATAGTAACCCTGGTTCTGGTCGTAGCCCTGGTTGTAGCCTTGGTTGTAGCCGCCCTGGTTGTAGTATCCGCCGCCGTTCGCATCGTACTGTCCGGCGTTCTGGCTGTACTGGGGAGGAGGGTAGGCAGGCTTGCCGCCCATCCAGCCGGTACCGTACATAGGCTGCAGACCCTTTCTCCTGCGGCGGCGCGCGCTCAGACATCTGCAAAATATATGTTAGCGACTAATTCGGGCGGGCGCGCGATATTCCTTTTTCTTGTCGTGGGGACGGCGACTTACCCAAGCATCACCATGACAATGATGAAGACGACGATGACAACGCCGGCAAAGACCCAGCGACCCCAGCTGTACCACCGAGAATTCGGGTAGCAGTAACCGCCGCTGACGTAGTAGCCGCTAGGGCAGCTACCGAAGCTATTGACAAGTCAGTATGATGGCGGCGCGTCATGGTGCAGACCGATGCTGGAAGCTATGGGGTTGAAAAGACTAGGTAGACAAATGACTTACTATCGCGCAACAAGCGTTGCGATGTTGGAAGCAGGTGCCATATTATTGAGATATCGACAAAATCGATGATTTGATGGATTGGAATGGAAGATGTGAACAAAAGTGTTCGATAGGTAAAGCCAAAAGGCGTCCTCTCCGGCTTTGTATGCGGGGAGGTCGTAAGGTTTGTCTGGTGACAAGCGTTGGGTAGCTCGGAAGTGGTTTCAGGTTAGCCCGGGCAGCGGTGACGTCGTCGAGGCGACCCTTGAAATGCGCCGGGTGGGTGGAGGTGGCTTAAAAAAAACGGTAGGAGTTGAAATCGCACAATCAAACGCGCCCGACCACTGGGATTGCAGGACGGACAGAAAGAATGCGGAAGAAATGCGCCTGAATCGACGAGGAGGGACAACGCCTTATTAATAAATGGAAAGAAAAGAACCTTCTGCGCGGTGGGGGATGGACCTGTCTTCCAGCAGGATATCATCAGTGGAAATGCAAATCAAAGAAGAGAGCCAAGCCGGACTAGGCGTGTCCTGGTAACCGGTGGCTGAGTCTTGGTTGGCCATATCCGCTCTAGTTGGCAACGCTACTGGGGCATTGCCTGCCTTGGCGCCAGCGCCCTCTGGCAGCTTAATTGCGGAAAGGGTGCCGTTTTGCCTCGCTTGGTCCGTGTCAACGTGTCGAGGTCCCTCACCTCATTCATAAGGTAGATCACGAGAGTCAGGGAACACTCTAGAGTCTACTGAAGTGACACCTTCGATGCCGATACATTTTGATTCGCATGCCACTTCTTTCTGGCCTCCGAGTTGCTAACCCAGCTCGCGGATCCCATCCTTGCCGTAGGCCTTTTGTAGGAACCTGACTGCCCTAGGATCGTGGTTCAGCCTTCAAGCTAAGCCCTATAGAGCGGGCTGTTCCATCCTTATGGGCAGCATTTTCAGTGGCTTTGTAGCTGGGACAGCGGTGTTGGCTGCCTCCGAGGGGTTTCCAATTGTTCCAAGGTTCTCCAAGTCCGAGCCCGGGCGCTTGCGCGTTCCTATCAGGCGGTCAGCATTCAATTAAACCCAAAGCATCCCACACATAGGCAGTCCTGCAAGACGCAGACTACTATTAGCACTCGAATGAGCACAACCCCGCTCAAGGACCCTGAGCCTGGGAGCTTCGAATCCTCATCAAACCTGGGGCACAAGCTGAATCCTCCCCCCACTGTGGACTTAAACCAGTGCACTTCTTGCTCCGCCTTCAACAAGACTTTACTTACTCTGGCAATTACAAGTCTTCGGCGCCACCGTTTGCTTACCTGATTATCCATGGGGTTCCTAGTATCTTACCTCACCCATGGGCAATACGCAATTGTGCGTTTACCCAGAATCGTATAATAGCGCGTCTACTAGCGAAAGGCTGAGTTACGACTCGGCAGTTCCATGTTCGAATCGAAGTTGTAGGCCGATCTACCTTTGATCACTTGATGTCGTCTTTCGATTTGCCGAATCAACAGCGCGTTTTCTTTTTTTGAGACTGGCGAGGGCAGTGTAACTACCTAGGCAGTTGACTGAGGCTTACGAAACCAACGCAGTGGTATGCTGTAGCTTTACAATTCCATAAGTGGACTCGGTTTTCCATCTCGAGGGTTCAGAGCAACTCCGAACAACCATAGTTGCAAATTCCACTGCAACCCCCAATAGTGCATGACATTCTCAGATATGATTCCGTCGCCCTTCTCGTGGCGCATCTTCCAACACTGGTTGACCAAGACCTGTCCGTCCCCCCTTCCTGCTCTCGCGGCCGATATTACCCTTCTACATGTACGGACACGTCAATAAGAGACATGCCTGCATACATGGGCGTCACAACGGCGGGCCGTCTTGCACCACCCAATGGGTTTGCCCCCCCTTCCCCCGTCCCTCCCGTTGAGTAAAACAAAAGCCAAAAAGCTCCTTTGCTATTGCCCTGTACTCGCTTGCTTGCTTGTTTACTTTGAGGTAGGTACTTTTTCCTTTTCAGGGTTTGAGATTCTCTGACAACACACACACACCCCTTCACAAAGGGATACAGAACCGGCAAGCCGGCTCTCTGGGCCAATCAAGCCCACCGTGGCATATGCAAGATTCGCGCTGTCTTTGCTGGCCTGCAGCGTGCATCTTTCGATGAGCTTTTTTGCCAACGCATCAAAGTGGTCCGTGTGCAGCTGTCCCGGACACACCTTTATGTACTGATACCGATCCTGCACTCTTTTTCCTAGCGACTCTTCTTTCCAGTTTCTACTTTGTCTAGACTCTGGTCTTTTTTTTCTTCAACAATATGCCTGCTCAAGAGCAAAGCCGTCTGCCGATTCAAAGAGACCCTTTTTTGACACGTACCAGTCTGGATTTGCGCCAGAGAATCCTCACAAACACGGGGCCATCTCACTCCAGGCGCCATGCGGATGGCGGGGCGGTCAGCTTCCCAGGTCGGGAGCAATGCGCTTGAGCCGTCGTATTCACAGCTGGAGCAGTCGCATACATGCAGTGGATAGGGACTTGCTCTCTGAACAACTCACGGTCTGGCCTATTCTTTTGTGATTCACGCTCTGGTCATATATTGCAACACAGGAGGTATCCAATGAATCACTGCAGTTGAATAGCGGTCAAAGCTCAAAACGTGTGAGCACCTGGCCCGAAAGGCTCGTGAGAGAACTTATTTATCATACAGGTCGTCGCCGGCCGGTTCCTTGAAATCTCGTCTTTTCCCTCGGGCAGAAAGATACCACCAACATCACCACCAACCCCCGGGCTACTTGTCGATAAATCTTGTGTGTGGTCGTCATTGCTGTTATCGTCATCGTCGTTGTCGTCGTTATAGCAGGATGTTCTCCGTCATATGCGTGTGAATGCGCTAAAACAAATAAAGGACCCATCGCTCGGGCCTTGTGTGGGTGGCACCAAGATTGACACGGGATCGCACGCAGATCACTCTCCCTCAGAACCCGGAAGATCACGCTCATTTGTTATGCGCCCACTTCATGAGCCATTGGATCACGGCTTCGAGATTCGTCTCCTCTTTGGCGCTGATGCCATAGCAGCACACCTCGCGATGCCCGATATTCTTGAGATCCATTGCATCGATGAGCTCGTCCATCGTGACCTTGTTGGGCAGGTCCGACTTGTTGCCCAGCACGAGCAGAGGTATGCCTTCGAGGGACTGTCGCTCCATCAGCGAGTGCAGCTCGTCCCGCGCCGTCGCCAGCAGGTCGATGTCGGCGATGTCAACAACGAAGACAATGGCGTCCACGCCGCGAGCATATCTCTCCCACATCGGCCGGAATCGAGGCTGGCCGCCCAGGTCCCAGCACTTGAGGGTGACGTGCCCTCGCTGGACTCGTTTCATGTTGAATCCGACGGTCGGAATCGTGCTAAATGAGACCCGCATTAGCTTTCCAGTCTTTCCCACTTGTTTTAGAGTTGCGCTCAACAGATGACAGCCTCAGCCCCGGCGTTGCCAGGAAGTGTTTGATCGACGTCGAGGGGGTTGGAAGCGGTGATCTTGACTTACTCGACCGTGAATTCGCCGCCCTGCACAAGAGAATCTTGCCATCAGCCAAACAAGGACGTGGAGAAAAGGAGAGGAGGACGATCGCAGACTTACAGACAGCACTCTGAGTAGCGACGTCTTGCCGGCGTTCTGCAGTCCAAGCATCGTGACATCGAGCTCGGTTGCCCTACCCGTTTGTGTTAGTCGGAGAATCGCACACAGTCGTATGGCAGACTGCCTTCGCCAGGCGCTCGAGCGAGGGGCACTCATGCAACCCTGGCGAATGCGCGCGCCCGTCCCGAGATCTACCTACCAGAACGTCCTGAGCAACCAGTCGTATACCTTTCGAAATATCCCGGCCATGGCGGTGGGATATGTTTGCGGATTGAATGCAGTGCTCAAAGACGAGACTCCAAAGAGTCCCTCCCGCAGGGTAGGTCGAGCGTAGCACGCGAAGTAAACCGCGCTCCTTTCGCAAAGGGGAACGAGAAGACGGTGAAGGATAAAAGGTGTGGGGTATCAACCGGGCTTAAGTGTTGGCGCTCAGACACCGTCGCGTGAAGGCGACCAAAGGCTGGGAGATCACGGCTGCGAGGTATTGTCTTTGACAAGAAACACGAGCTTGCGCTGGAGATGATGACTATTGCCCGAGCTCTGCGCGCGATCACTGAGCGTAGCGCCGATGGTCGACGACTCAAGCCTAGGCGCAGAAGGTAGGTAGGTGACGACGGAGGGACAAGGTCGAGCCCCACCTCCGAATAGTTTGAAGTACAGGTGACTCGGCGCTCTCTGCTCGGCAAAGGCGTCCCCAGAAGTTCCTTTCTTCCCTGGGACAGAAGAGAGCAGCGGCTAGAAACAGACCTTTTCTTCGGTTGCACCAATCCCGTGGAGCTGAGAGTACCGTGGGCAGCTAGGAAGAAGAAAATCTAAAATGATCATCGACAAAAGAGGCGTCTGATAGCGGCGACAGGGGGGGGGTCCGGAACGTGACGGTCGTAACGTCAGTGCTCAAGATTGGGGGAGCGGCTGACCTGCCAGCGCGAGAGCGGGCAGGCAGACAGTGTTGTACTTTATGCGCAGAGGCACCGAGCAGCCAGGGGTCCAATCTTCCCTGACGCGATGCGACGAGGTGGGAAAGGTAAGAAGAGGGAGAGTCTGGCGAGTGTTGGCGCTATGGATGCTGGGATGCTGCAGGATGGATCCGGAAGACGCCTTTTAGTTATGCCTGGAACTGAGCACCTGCTTGTTATGCCGGCAATGCTGCAGATAGACGCTGCAGTTCACGCGGGTGTTGGTTGCCTCCAGTAAAACACACAAAAAGTGAACCAAAGCTCTGCGCCTTGCGCTGTCGCATCCAGATAGGATACGGAGCAAGCTCCAAGAGAGCCTTCTTTAAATACTTTTGAAGTAACGAAGCAGCAGCCCGTTCCTTTCTTGTTTACCGGTAGGGATTATTGATGCGGAAGTGTGGACGGTGAGGGAGTGGTCTTTTCTGGCCTTGGCCGCAAACAAGACGGCCACCAACAGCGGGGTCAACGGGTTCCAGGGACTGACAGGGTGATCAGCGCGAGATGGGTTCGAGCACCCCGGCACGGGTTGACCTCATCACCCGGCGATAGCTGTGTGGGAATGGGGGGGTGGGGGATGCAAACAATATCAGTGAGCTTAAAGCAAGGTATACAAGCGCCCGGGAGAAGCGGCGGGCAAATAGACAAGATGTTTCGGCAAGACTGAGGGAGCCGGCCCAAGAAGAGAGCAAGATTCAAGAAAGGAAAGAGGATGATGGGATGGTGGATAGCGCGAGAGAGAGAGAGAGAAGATTGAGCGAGTCCACAAGGGTGCAAGTGTCGTTTATGGGGGCCGCCGGCCGAGAGGGTCGCGCGAGTGAGCAGATGTTGTTGCGTGGGATGGCGGAGAGACGGGTCAGACGGCTGCGGTCAGGTATGCTCGTGTTAGAGAGGTAGCCCGAACCTGTGTCCCCGTATCGTCTGTCTGTCCTACGTGCTCTGGATGTCAAAGATGGAGAGAGGGAAGCAGTTCAGAACAGTCCAAGGTCGGCAGGGCAAGCTAGCAGCATGTTGTTGCACCCTAGGTACCTTAGCTACCTAGGTACCTTATATTCGAGAATGTAGAACCAGACGGGCTTAGATTGGGCTCCAAGTGCTGCAACCGCCTCCGTCTGGCCCGTAACAGTACCCGACTTGACTTGACGACAGGACGGTTGGCCCGAAAGACAGCCTTCTAGCCTTCTAGGGCAAGTTGTTAAGGCCGGAGTTGGGGCCTGAGGTCTGGCTTTTCGTCACATTTCAGGAATTACTGGGCAGCAGACCCTGTCTGCTTGAATCGAAAAGAAGACATCACACAGACATGACTGGCATCAAGCTTGGGCTGAGCTCGGTTTGTCATGCTACGGCCCGCGGCCATCCGGCTCTCTCTTGGAGAGACCTCCAACTATAACTACCTTACCTATCTACATCGATAACAGCTCCCGTGGAGTGCTCAGGTACCTCCCACCATGATAGTAGAGGTTGGAGTGGCCCAATGGCCCCAATGGCTGGCGGTCTTTCTGGGCTCCCGCTTGCAAAGCTCGGTGAGATTTTGGCCCTTGACGAGGCCCGCGATCCGAAGCTCCTCCAAACATCTTGTGCCCTCAGATGGGCTATGGCGCCAACCAATGTTGATGGGCAAGTTCCTAGCCCGAATTTGGTTTCTTTCCCTACCCTGACCACCCGCCGCCGTTGGATGCACGACAGAACTCTCTTGACCGAGCTGCCTCCCACACACCTCGTTTCAAGTAACCCGCGACCACTTAGCGCCTGTTTCCTTACAGGGCGGGAGTGCAAGCTTGAAACGGGCCTCTTAGAGGCCAGGTATCACGGCCAGCCTGCAGCTCCCTGCGTGAACCGTTGTGACCCACGGAGGAGGCCAAGAGCAAGAGAGAGAGAGAGTTTGAGAGGACTTACATGGCCCCAGCTCTCATCACGGCGCAAGCACACCCCACCTCATTGGCTTCTCGGAGCGATGCGGCGGGAAGCCCCACCTGCCCCCGGTATCAGTGACTATCAATCTCATGTGACCCTTATCGCCCAGCAGCGATTGGCTTTTGCCCCCAGATCCATCGCCCGCGCATAATTTTTTTTCTGTGATAAAGAATTGGCTGCGATAGCCTCATACACTCTCAAAGTGCTGGCCCTCAAGACCCTCTCGGCCACAAAGACAAAATTTCCCCCGTACTGTCTCTGGCCAAACCCTACCTCGCCCCCCTTCTCAATTCAACTCCTGGGAGCACATGGTATTTCGGCTACTGTGAGCGATGTGAGCGCCCTACGATACTACCCAGTGCGCCTCAATTGCCATCTAGCTAACATGGTTCCTCTAGCACCTTAAACGCTCACCATGGCTCCCTCCAAAGAGCCCACGAGCACGAAATGGGACCATGAGTACCACACGCTCCGAAGGGAGAAGCTGTTTCAGAACCCTCCCACAGATCGCACGGCCTATCCTCTCCTTCAACTTGCTGTGAACCCCCACATCGAATCTTTCAACGCCCTCTTCCGACCAGACCGCCGGTCAGGCCCCAATGCCAAATCTCTCCTCGCCCACGCCCTCGCCGATATCGGCACCAAAACCTATTTTGACACCGAGGCAAACAAGTTGACGATCCGATACAAGGATGTATCGTTGCAGAGGTCAACCGTGCCCCCGACAAACAAGTTCGCACGTACCCGAGAAATCTTTCCCGCCGAGTGCAGAGAACGACATGTCACGTATCGCGGCAAGCTTTCTGCGACTTTCGAGTATCAGATTAACGATGGCGAACCTCAAGAGTTTACGCGCGACCTCGGACAGGTCCCTATCATGATCAAGGTAAGCGACCGACCGGATGGACGTGCCGTGCCATATGGACTTCTACTAACGTTCCCAGTCCAACAAATGCCATCTGGAGGGTAACTCGCCAGCACTACTTGTGGAGAGAAAGGAAGAGTCAGAAGAGCTTGGTGGCTACTTCATCGTCAATGGTATCGAGAAGATCATTCGACTGCTACTTATGAACCGACGAAACTTCCCGCTCGCTATCAACCGGCCGAGTTTCCAAAACCGCGGAGCTTCCTACACTCCCTACGGTATCATCATGCGATCAGTCAGGCCCGATGAGACGTCTCAAACCAATGTCTTGCATTACTTGAAGGACGGCAACATCACCTTCCGCTTCTCCTGGAGAAAGAACGAGTATCTCATCCCTGTGGTGATGATCTTGAAGGCCCTCATCGAGACAAACGACCGAGAAATTTTCGAGGGACTGGTTGGTCCACCTGGATCCAAGGGTATCGAGAATACCTTCTTGACAGATCGGGTCGAAATGTTGTTGCGCACATACCACAACTACAGCCTGTTCAGCAAGTCGCAGACTCGTGCCTATCTTGGCGAGAAGTTCCGAGTTGTGATGGGAGTACCGGAAACCATGTCGCATTATGACGTGGGCACTGAGTTCCTCCGAAGAATCGTTCTGGTGCATCTAGGAAACGTTGATGTCACTGAGGAGCAGGATGCGGACAAGTTCAATATGCTCCTGTTCATGATCCGGAAGCTGTACGCCCTTGTCGCTGGTGACTGCACCGTCGATAACCCCGATGCTGTGCAGAACCAGGAAATTCTTCTTGGCGGTTTCCTCTACGGCCAGATTCTCAAGGAAAAGCTTGATGAATTCCTCTCAACCAGTGTGCGGCTCACATTGCGAGATTATTTCAGGAGAAACTCAGCCAACATCTTCACCTCCGAGCCGTTCCAGAAAGACTTTCCCGTCGCGATCTTCAGGAGGGCGAACGAAAATGTCGGAAACGCACTGGAGTATTTCCTCTCAACGGGTAATCTACAAAGTCCGTCTGGGCTAGACCTACAACAGACCTCGGGTTTCACGGTCGTGGCAGAAAAGCTCAACTTCTTGCGCTTCATCAGCCATTTCCGCATGGTACATCGTGGTAGTTTCTTCGCCCAATTGAAGACCACGACCGTCCGAAAGCTTCTTCCCGAGTCCTGGGGCTTCCTGTGCCCCGTTCACACGCCTGACGGTGCTCCCTGCGGTCTGCTGAACCACCTTGCGCACAAGTGCAAGATTCTTACCGAAGCCTCTGACGCTTCCGCGGTGCCCCAGCTTGCTGCAGAGCTTGGCATCGTTCAAAGCTCATCTGCTGCTACGGACGAGAGCGTTGTGGTCATGCTCGATGGCAAGATCATCGGCTGGTCCACACCTACCGAATCCAAGCGCATCGCAGACACCTTGCGCCACTGGAAAGTTGACGGCTCGCACCCAGTGCCCCTCAATCTTGAGATTGGATATGTGCCTCCTTCCAACGGCGGTTCTTACCCTGGTATCTACATGTCCTCTGCCCCCGCAAGGATGGTCAGGCCGGTGAAGTATCTGCCTTTGGAGAAGGAAGACTTCGTCGGCCCCTACGAGCAGCCGTACATGTCTATCGCCTGCACGGAGCCAGAAATTGTGTCTGGCCTGTCCAGCCACGTCGAGTTCGACCCCACCAACATTCTTTCTATCCTGGCCAACATGACTCCCTTCTCAGACTTCAACCAGTCCCCTCGAAACATGTATCAGTGTCAAATGGGTAAACAAACCATGGGTACTCCTGGAACCGCTATCCGTTACCGGACAGACAACAAGATGTATCGTCTTCAGACTGGTCAAACTCCAATTGTCCGTGCTCCGTTGCACAACGACTACGGTTTCGACAATTTCCCCAACGGAACAAACTGCGTCGTTGCAGTCATCTCGTACACTGGTTATGACATGGACGACGCTATGATCATCAACAAATCCGCTCACGAACGAGGCTTCGGTCACGGTACGATTTACAAGACGAAGAAGATTAGTCTGAAGGATGACTCGAGAACACGCTCATCTAAGAGTGCGAGCAAGCTCTTTGGTTTTGCACCCACTGGCGCGATCAAGGCACAGCATCGGGAGGTTCTGGACGAGGACGGTCTTCCCTATGTCGGACGCATGGTAGAACCTGGCGATATCATCTGTGCTTGGCATACAGTGTCGGCCGATTATAATGGTTCGCTGATTAACCGTGACGGTATTACCCATTTTGAAAAGTACAAGGATGAAGAGACTGCCTTTATCGAGGAAGTCAGGGTCATTGGCAGTGAGACTGGCAGCGAACCGGCGCAGACGATCTCCATCAAGTTCCGCATTCCGCGTGCGCCTGTCATCGGCGACAAGTTCTCGTCTCGGCACGGTCAAAAGGGTGTATGCTCGCAAAAATGGCCTGCCACCGACATGCCTTTCTCAGAGTCCGGTATACAGCCCGATGTTATCATCAACCCCCACGCTTTCCCGTCTCGAATGACCATCGGTATGTTTGTCGAGTCGCTGGCTGGAAAGGCGGGCGCTCTTCACGGCCTGGCCCAGGACTCTACTCCCTTCAAGTTCGACGAGCACAACACGGCGGCCGATTACTTTGGCCACCAGCTCATGAAGGCTGGTTACAACTACCACGGTAATGAGCCAATGTACTCGGGTATCACAGGCGAGGAACTTGCAGCGGATATCTACGTCGGTGTGGTTTACTATCAGCGTCTCAGACACATGGTGAACGACAAGTACCAAGTACGAACGACTGGCCCGATCGTGCCGACCACGGGTCAGCCAATCAAGGGAAGGAAACGTGGTGGCGGTATCCGTGTCGGTGAGATGGAGCGCGATGCCTTGCTTGCTCACGGCACAGCATTCCTCCTCCAAGACCGTCTGCTCAACTGCTCGGACTATTCTCGCAGCTGGATCTGTCGGACATGCGGGTCTTTCCTGTCTGTCCAGCCGACCGTCTCGCCCTTTGTCGGCAAGAGGAAAGCCATCAACACCGTGCGGTGCAGGAACTGCGCGAAGCGGTTGGATCAGATCGAGGATCTGGACGTGTCGCGATTGGACGGCGAGATCTGGGAGGATGGGCAGGGCGTACAGTGGATCGGTGGCACAAACACCACCATTGTCGTGGTGCCGGGAGCTCTCAAGTTCTTGGACGTGGAGCTCGCAGCTATGGGTGTGAAGCTCAAGTACAGGGTCGATCCCAAGGATGCCCCGCGGAAAGGGCCGCTCAAGCAGGCCGCGTTCGACGGCGTCAATGTGGAGAAGGTCAAGAGGATAGAGCCTCCGGCGCAAAACGGTTCGGTTTAATGTTATGCATATATCATGGAGTCTCAGTACGTTAGGTAAATTAGGTCGAAACCATGCTGGCTTTTTAGCATCTAGGCGAGGGTACTCATTGACTATTGACTGATGCATGGGCTGTGACACGATAATTTTAGCCCTCTGGATCCCTTATCCTCGGAAAACATGTCGGATTCTGCATCTACGGGTGAATCATGGTCGCACGGGGCGATGAGAGTCCGGGATTTTCGTTGGCTGGCGCACCACTGGGGAAACACGAACAAGTCGGGCTGGTTGCTCATGATCCAGGGGTAAGTGTGAAGTGCGAAGAATACATGCAGCCTGCCGCCGGCGGGGCCGTGAAGGAGGATGTTCATCTTCTTCCTGGTGCACCTAGAAGATGCGCACTTACGTACTCTCGTCGTTTGTGGCGTCCGTCTTGCAGCACGGGACGGTCTGGGATGCGCAGTCTACATCGGCGAGCTCCCTCGTATACGGAGTAGAGAGAGGCTCGGGGTGCGGTGTATGCAAGGAGAGGGTGCCGATGGGCCGGGCGGGAAGGTTGCAGGAGTTGAGATTTCTTTTTATGCCCTGCAACCTCAGCTGGGGGAGGCGGCAATCGCGATCCGTGTGGCTTCCGTGCTGCACGAGTACGAGGGCATGTTTTCTTTTTGTCCTGCAGAAACTGATTCCTGTCCGTGGGGACAATGGCAATTGCACCCAACCACGCCTTTTGTACGTGCTGGCCGCCTCTTTTGGTATATGGCTTCTGTGGCTCTTGTGTCATGGGAAGATCACCAGATTTCCACCTGCGATCCAGCCACTTTGTTGTCCCGGAGAGGCGCTTTCTGCCATGATGTTGCCAGTCATGGTCTTTTCTTTCCAGCATATATATGTTCTTCTTATAGCAGATCCCTGTCCCACATTCTAAATGAGTCCTCTACACCTACTCTTTGCGACCATCTGTGACCCTATTGTGTGGTTTCCAGACGCTCGTTATTTCCGCCGATTCCACCCCGATATCTCTAAACCTCGAGAAATTGCTTGTTACATGAGGTAGCACCTCTTTCCGGACTGTCGTTCTTAGTTTGTGACGATCTTCGGGACCATCCTGTCGCGCTCTTTCCTTCTCCTTGTACTCTTTCAACCCACGACAAGTCAAGTCAGTCTACCAGGAGGAGGTGGGCTCATCCCAAACCTGTCACTCTACTGTCAAATATCCCTCTCGGATTCCAGAGCACCGCCATAGGCATCCCGTTGCCTGAGACGCCATGTTACTATCCAATCTTGGGCGCGTTCTCATCCCGGCGCTGTTGTTCCTCGTGCACCACGCCGCGAGCCAGGCTTACGACTATGGCTTTGATCTCAGCAAGCTGGCCAGTCGACAGGCCACGTCCTCCCCTTTCGTCGTCAAGGGTCTGCCTCCGGTCAAGGGCAACATCCCCGTCCGTCAAGAGATCAGACAACTGCAGAAGAGCCCTGAAAAGTGGACCTTGTACATCCTCGGCCTCAGCATGATGCAGTATATGGACCAGTCAGATCAGCTATCGTGGTACCAGATTGCAGGTCCGTGGTTCCTTGATGCCCTGCTATGGTCCATAGTTGAATTGCAGGTCAATATGGAGGAACTTGAGCCTGACTGCAAGTCTATCTAGGTATCCACGGTGTCCCTTTCCAGGACTGGGATGGAGTCAATCCGACTCCTGGCAATGAGATGAGCGGCTATTGCACACATATCTCTGTCCTTTTCCCTACCTGGCATCGGCCTTACCTTGCCCTCTATGAGGTATGCTTGACTACTCACTGAGCGTTGTATGTGCAGTCATCTTGACAACTGACCTTTTATCGCAGCAAGTACTGTACAGCTTAATCCAGCAGATTGCCTCCTACTACGAAGGAGACGAGCTCACTCTCTACCAGAATGCGGCAGCCAACTTCAGGATACCTTACTTCGACTGGGCGACTCTTCCACCTGCCGGAGAGAGCTTGCTACCCTTTAGTGTCGGTGGCAGCGCAACAGTCAACGCGTCCGGCCCCAACGGAGTCCAGACGATAGCCAACCCTCTCTACACATATCAGTTCAAGCCTCTCAACTCGACGGCCTTCATCCAAGCACCGGTAGGCCCGCTTCTATCTTGTGGAAATCCACACACTGACTTGGGCATAATACAGTATAATCAATGGCTTACGACGGTACGAGCACCGACCAGTGACAATGGGACAGCCAAGTCGAACGACACAAAGATTGCCCTTGCTCTCGATCGAAACTTCCCCTCTTTTCAGCAACGCTTGTATAACCTTTTCTCAAACTACGGCAACTATTCAACCTTTAGCAACGAAGGCTGGATCCCAGAGGGGCAGGAGAACCATTATGATTCGATCGAGTCGCTTCACGACACTATCCACACGCTCACAGGCCTGGGAGGACACATGGCATGGATCCCATTCTCGTCTTTTGATCCGATCTTCTTCCTACACCACACGATGGTGGATAGGGTGTTTGCCATGTGGCAGGTTCTATATCCGACTTCTTGGATTACCCCGACGCCGGCTGCAACAAACTCGTACACTACCAGTGAGGGCCAGATACAAGATGCGCAGACACCGCTTACACCCTTCTACGCCAATACTGATGGGACGTTTTGGACATCGGATGCTGTCAGAGACACCCATGTGTTTGGATACAGCTACCCAGAAATCGCCGGGTTGAACCACGCGCTTCAGAGGCCGAATGCCAGGGCCCAAGCTAGGGTTAGAGCAGCTATCAACCGACTATACGGTGGTTCGAGTCCCGCGAGCCTGGCCATTGGCAGTGCGCGCAAACGAGACACCAACGGCCGAGTACTCCCTGCCGATCCTAGGAGTGCTCGAAAGTACCCAGTATACCAGCCTTCGAAACTCGAAGGGCGGTCATGGATGGGATCGCCGTCTTCACCGCGACTCCCCCCAGCGGGCAAGATCATAACAGACAACAAGTATCGCGAGTGGACAGCAAACATACGTGTAATCAAGCAGGCGCTCGAGGGCCCATTCTTCATTCACCTCTTCTTTGGTGACCCCGTCTCACCCAACCCCCAGGCTTGGGCCTTTGGGCCAAACCTTGCCGGGACTCTGAGTGTGTTTGCCTCTCCGCCCATGCCGGGTATGCAGATGGGCGGCAAAGTTACCTCGGGAACAGTGCCCCTGACGTCGGAGCTGATGAAGAAAGTGACCGAAGGAGAGATTGATTCGCTGCATCCCGAGGTAATAGAACCTTACTTGAAGGCCAATCTCAAGCTTCGGGTTGTCAAAACGGATGGGGCGGTTGTCGATCCGGCCACCGTCCAAGGGCTGAAGATTGGCATTGTGAGCTCCGAAGTCAAGGCCCCGGCGAGTGACGAGGAGCTCCCGAGTTGGGAGGGGCAGACGGTGCACTTTGATCTCATATGAGAAGATGTGTAAAGGCGGGTGACATATGGCTGGGGGGACTAATGACTTATTCTTCTTTCAGACTCTTTTGTGTTGCTTAAAAGGTGGTGGGCGGCTGTTCTGGTAATCTTTTTTGTTGATGATGCTGTTCGAGGTTAGAGGTAGATTATGGACTCAATGATAATGTACGCACCGGAAGCTGTTATGCCCTCGTGATTGTGATTGAAAAACCAGAGCTAGGTACCCTGAAAGTGAGCAGGACTCTGATTTCCCTACCTCCCGAGTGCAGTGAGAATAAACCCTGCAGTGCAACGAGGATCTTCCAGTCAATTTGACTTGACTACCAGTGGCTGATCGGTGATGGCCTTCTTGTGAGAGGCAGTGTCTTTGGCAATATTTCTCCACCAAGAAGGTTGGACTTGCGGATCAATATGGGTTTCATAGAGACTCTAATGGTTTGAGAATCATCCTTTGGTTTGCCTTTCACTATGAATAGTAAACCGAAGTGTTAGACCGAGACCAGTCTCGCCTGACTTGCAGAGCTGACAGGCAGTTACGACCCTATGTTTCGCCTTTGATCTGTGATTGGGCTGGCTGACAGATTGCCCCCAAAATGTCACGGCGAGTACGGCCGAAGAGTTACATGCACCACCATCTCCCCTCAGCCTGATGGGTGACAATGGGAAGTCTGCCTTGCGCCACGAGGTTGCAATGCTTGGGGGGTTGCAGCCTTGTCGTGTGTGCATGCCCCTTTCCAGGCCCCTTTTTTTTGTTACTTTTCTCCCTTGTTTTTTTCCTTTGCTTTTCTTCTCTCTTTTTCTCTATCTTTTTTCTTTCTTTTTCTTTTCTTTTTTGCGCCATGTATTTCATACCCTACGTAGAACCGCAGGGTCTGGGAACCCTTTCACAGTCTGCCAATGGATCCCCTTTCGGCATTTGGAGCAGCGGCAACGAGTATCCAGCTCTTCATTGGGGCGGGCAAGGGCGTCCTGTCGCTTGCAGCGCTCGTGAGGAAGATAGAGGGCCTGCCAGAGAGCCTGCATAGCCGGCTCAGGCACGTCGAGCGCGAGTTGGCGTCTCTCAACGACTTGCTGGGTGCGGACGGGCCGAACCACATTCACTTTTCGGCTCAGCACTATGCGCGCATTTCCGTGCCTGCTACCGAGTCGCGAAAGGCAGTGGAAGAGCTCGTGGGCCTCCTCCAGCCACTCACGCGAGGTGTGGAACGGGCCGAGGGGAAGAGAAAAGCGGTTGTCCGAATCTGGAGGTCTCTCTTGACGGTACAGAAGGAGGCCGAGTTGACCTCAAAACTGCAATTAGTTGAGAGACTCAACGGCAGTCTACTGAGGGAACTTCAGCTGTGCGCGCTGGACTTGCAAGCGTCATCTCGGTGGGTGTTTGGTTATACGGAACCGGTCTTAGTCACTCCCCAAGATACCATTCGCTAACTAAGCCAGGGATCGAATTCTTTCTGCGATACAAAGTTGCGTGGAAGAGATACGTGATAGTCGAGAGTCTATCGATGAGCTGAAACAACGAGCAGACCTAACTCAGCACGAGATCTTGACTCTAATGGACAATCGTACATTGGTCATCAATCAAATTCTGCAGGTGATCGGGAGCAACTTCCATGACGCCCATGTACCCCCGAATGGGTTTTCACAATCAACAAAAGCTCGCGTTAACAATGTCGTTCTCGAACTTCAAGAAAGTCGGGTGGAGGCAAGCAATCAAGCCGCCGAGATAGTAGCAAGCGTCCAAACAGGACAACACCAGGAATCCAAACAGTGCAATGAGATCAAGGGCATATCTCAGAGCAAAGATGTCCTTGAGGCCATCGGGGTCTTGCTCAACTCTAAGATGGCGTTGAAGTACCAGCATTCAGCACAGCCTGCCCAGGTGCGGCAGCCTCAAGAAACAATGCTCAGCATTGATACTCAGTCTGCCACTGCAACACTTACACAGCTCAGTTTTAGTCACGCCGCCGGAGGACGAGTTGGTGCCCAAGGCCAGCCTCCTATCAGGTGCCTTTGTGGAACGAGAAAGGACCGCGCCCGTTGGTTCTTTGGGCGATTTCGCCTGCGTGTCCAGGCAAGCGCATCACGGATCTGTCCTCTCCATGGCCAGGCCAGCCTATGTTCGATCGAGGTAAAGCTCTCTCCCCTCCTCAACGGAGTTTTGCAAGTCACATGTGGCATTTTGAGCGGCAAGACCGGCTGGGAGGTGGCGCCTCCTCTCCATTTCCGTGCCTATGTCGATCGACTTGGAAATCCCTTGTTCAGGGCGTTTGATAAGTTCGCGACGATAGGCATGGGCGGTCACTATTGGATATGGAATGATCACTATCAGGACATGGTTTTCAGGTGTTTCCATAACGACAGCCCCGAAGGAATGGCGGCCGTGAAAATCGGACTGGCAAAGCTTATCGAGAGTCTTCAAGACGCGGCCACCACTGGCCAAATCTGTGGCCGCGAGATCAGCTCAGATGGATCAACGCTCCTGATGGTAAGTTGACCCCTGAACATTTCCTGCTCTCGGGCCACTCGGGACTGACTGGTGCCTTCAGGAGATCATGCACCTGGTAACGGATCTTGGCCCCGTGATGACAAGCGCTTGCATAGAAGAGATACTGCATCTTTTGGATTTTGCCTCCTTTCTGGGTGCTAACGCTGACACGGAGGTTGCACGGCCGGATTCTGCTGTGCAGAGTCACAAATTTGTTTCCACGGCGTTGTCGCCAACTCAGTACCTTTTTTGTTCGAAACTTGACGCTACAGTTTGTAGAGATAGTCCACAGGACTGCATGTCATTCAGGCAGATTATATCGCGCCTCAGTACCGGCCTCGAGCCTCTTCAAGATGTTCCACTTTTCAACTTTTGCGATCTGACGATACGGTCTGATGGTGATGCGTATTGGCAGCGACTAACACAGCTCACCAAAGGCTGTCCGGTGATAGCTGATGGCTCGTTGCTGCTCTTTGCCCCTATATTGAAGATTTGGGGAGCTCTGACTTGTTATCCGCTAGCCCTGGATTGCTCTGATTTGTGCAGAGCTGGCTTGAAGCGCTCCTTGCAAGGCCTCGCAAAGTTTTACCATCAAGTCCACGATGCTGGGTCTATTGGAGAAGCCGGGATCCTTCCGATCCACTGTGCTCTTGGTTGGAAGGAAGGACTGCAGTTCTACATAGAGCGAGGATGCGATGTCACCGACACCTTGTCACTTGCCTGCCGTGTCGGCGATGAAGCGTCTGTTTCAGTCTTGCTCTCTGCCAACAATATCTTCGATGGGCATTACTACAACTTCTTTCAGGCATCTTTGAAACGCCGAGACATCTTCGCTATGCTTGCCAAGGAGCTTTGGCGACGCTTCGAGCTTCGCAGACAAGACACGTCGGGTGACTGCCGGCTGAGGTCCGAGCCTCCGTGGCCTCACTGCCCCATAGGTCTCTATGGCCGAGCGGGACTGACACCACGCCTCGACCTGGGCGGTCAAAAGCTACGGCCCCATGAGTGTCATCGGATCCTGATCGAGGCTGGGTTCAACGATGTCGAGCGTCGTTGCGTCCATCGAAGAACCCCTCTAGCGGAGTTCTGTGACCTGACTGTCACTCCCCTCGATAGAACTGGGCGGTGCCTGGACGACGAACCGGCTGAGTGGTATTCTACAATGGAGCTGTTTCTCAAGCATGGCGGCAACGCCTGGTTCCGAGGTCCGGCGCCGCCACAATCATCAACCCACTGGCCGCATCTGAGTTTCTACGTGGCTATCATTGCCGAGAGGTGCGGGATGCAAGACGTCCCAAAGCTTGTCATCGACGCCTGTGCACATGACGGGCTCCCCACCGATACTTGCGACTGCTTCTGCTCGGAAGGGGGCTGCATACCGCCGCATCTAATCTGGCACAACATGCTGACGCGGATAGGTCAGGAGAAGACCCAGGGGCCGTCCCGCAAGTACACAGCTCATTCGCAACGCTCCCTGAAATGCCTGAGGGACTGGGTTAAAAGGTGCGTGCGGTCGAGGCGGATGAAGGACCGGTGCTACAGAGCGGTGTGTCAGCTCGAGTTGTTCAACCGTCTCGGCATGCGGCACACCTGCTGTCTCCGCCGCCTACAAGCCACCGCTTTCTGTTTTGAGGAGCACACACAGGCTGGCGAACTCAAAGAGCTACAGTCCGAGGACAGGCCTGCTCGGGGCCAGCTGAAACGGCTCCTGCGGTTCTACGACCTGGCAAGGAAACAGCTCTTCGATTGGCCGGCGGAATGCTTCTGGTCAGCCTGGTTCGCCGTGGTGGACAAGATACTTCCTCCTCTGACCACCACAGAAACTGCAGCGGCAGCTTTGTATCGTCTCGAAGACGAAGATGGAGAAGTTGTGGGCGTTCGACACCATCAACGGAAGCACATGCTCGAAAAGATGGGCTGCACTGCTTCAGAGGCCCTGGCTTCGCGGCAGGACCGATGGAAGCATATCCTCAAGACGATGGGCTACGCCAACGAAGACTTCAAAGACATCATAACGGCCCACTTTGGCGAAATCCTGATGAGAGCGAGGGCCTCCAGTCGTCAGAGGGCTAGATGGAGACGCTTCAGGCTGATGGCCAGCCCGAAATACCTGCATAGAGGAAGTCGGCGGAATCTAACAGAGATAGTGTTCTGAGGGGAACCAGGGTAATAGCTCATAGGGGAGGAGGCAAAGGCCCCTGAAGACATGGGCTTGAGTTTAACACAGAGCTATATCAATTCTTCGGCGAAGATTGCAGTCTATTTCTTGTCGAAGCCCCCCTTGTAGTGTCAATCAGCTCTATGACGACAGATTCGACCTGGTTTGAGTTGAGAAGCCGTTGTTCATTCATCGGGTAGACTCAAACAACCTCCTAACATGCTCTCAACTCCCAATATCAATCAACGAATGATTACAAATTTCCAGGCTATGTGCTCCTTTCTCCGGTTCTTGCAAGCAACCCGAAAAACGATTGGTATATAGGATAATGCAAAGAACGAAACAACACAGAGCTAGATAGAGCGAGATCATGCTATCAACAGTCTCTCCCCTGGGGAAAAAAATCAACAGCCCCTTTTTTTTTCGTTGCGCTCCATGATGATGATCGTGAGAACAGAAAAAGAAAAACAAAAGACAACGCTCTCTATGCAGATCAGTCTATACGCCAATAGTGCTCGATCTTCTTGCGTACCCTCATGCCCACTCTCCTTTCTGTCTCTACCGGCTCCTTCAAAGACATTCCGGCTCCCACACACACGCATACAGCCACACGGACAGACGTCCGGGGCGGCAGTTCCGACTCCCAACCTCACGACACCTCCATCAGGCCCCCCCTAGAACCCAAAGATCCCCTTCTTCTTCTTCTCCTTGCCCCCGTCCATCCCCTGCAAGATATCATCAAAAGTGCTACCCCCGCCGCCGCCCGTCTCCCCGCCGACGCCAGCGCCCACCGTCGCCGACGGCGCGAGCCTACTACTACCGCCGCCCAGCGGGCCCGCAACCGAGTCGCCCCGCGGGTGCGAAGAAGCCGACCCGGCCGCCACGTACTGCAGGTTGCCCGTCGACGAAGGGCGCGGCAGGCCGCCGCCGCCGCCGGGCGCCACGGGCGCGCTGAAGACGCGCGAGGACCGGTCCAGCGGCTGCTGCGGCGGGAAGTCGACGGGCTCGAGGCCGATGGCGATGCTCGACGGGCGGTACGCCGAGGTGCGGGCCGGCGAGCGGCCCCGGAGGGCCATCTGCGGCTGCAGGCCGGGCGGCGGGGAGGGCCCCGCGACGGGCGGCGTCGGCGGCGGGCCCGACATGGACGACGACGACGACATCGACGCCGGGTCCATGTCCTGGAAGGTGGCGTGCGGGGGCTCGAGCGGCGAGAGCTCCGGCGGCGGCAGGCCGGGGGGCGCACCCGGCAGCGGGCCGCCCGAGGGGCTCGTCCGCTGCTGCTGCTGCTGCTGCTGGTCCGCGGCGTACTCCTCCCAGCTCTTGGCGGCCAGCCAGCAGTGGGAGCGGTGGTACGTCGCCTCGACCGAGAACATGACGACGTCGGCCGACAGCTCGACGATGCTGGCCCCGCCGGCGACCTCGTACCACATCTTGCGCACCTCGCCCGCGTCCTCGAGCCAGGGCAGGTTGCCCTGCGGCGGCTCGCAGAGGAAGTACTCCACCCCTTCCGTGTACTGCAGCCCCGGCGCGTCGACGACGAGCATGGGCAGGGACTGCAGGACGACGTAGAGGAAGAGCCAGTAGCCGATGCGCTGCTCCGACAGCTCCTGCTCCGAGGAGCCCCGGGCGGCCTTCTGCTCAAACTCCTTGAAGCTGTCGAGGAAGGGCGTCTTGACGGCGTCGGCGTCGAGGTTGTACGACTTGATGAGGATGAGCTGCAGCTCGTGCGGCTGGATGCTGCGGTCGAAGCGCTGCTGCTCCTTGGGCGGCATGTCCGGGTACGTCTCGCGGATGGTGGTCATGGTGGGGATCTTGGGCGTGTCGAAGGGGATGGGCGGCAGGACGGGCGGGGACGAGTGGTCGAACTCGCCGAGGATCTTGCGCAGGGCCAGGATGGTCGTGTCGGTCGTGTCCTGCAGGTCCTCGGGCTCCTGGTCGATGACGCGGGGCGTCAGGGACTCGCGGTCGACGAGCAGGTCGTACAGCGAGCAGAGGTCCGAGTACAGCGCCTTGAGGACCTGCCTGTTGAGCCCGCTCTCCGAGAACGGGTTCTTCTTGCTGCTGGCCTTGGGCGGCCAGTTGCCGAACGAGGTCTTGTAGTACTTTAGGATGAAGCTGCGCATGTCGCCGAAGGCGGTCCTCCACTTGTTGAAGCGGATGTTCCTGTACTCGGCCGTGGAGGTCGAGCTGGCGGTGCCGGCGAAGATGCCGGGGAAGTCAAACGACTCCAGCCGGATGTTGACATTGTGCTGGCGGTTGAGCAGGTCGATATGCGCCCGCTCGAGGCGTTGCCTCGTGTTGAGAGATACCCGGTGGAAGAGTGGTGACTTGATGTCTAGAATGGCAGTGTACTTGCCGACCGCGTGCGCGAAGGCTTCGTTGTAGAGCGTCCATGACTTCATCTGCTCGCCGAGCACCAGAGCCTCTATCGTCTTCTCGCGGCTATGTCTGACGTCAGCGAGGCCGAGCTGGTCAACATAAAAGCCGAAGCTCAGATCAACCGCCTCTCCAAACGACGACCCATCAGCACTGCTGAAGTCGAACTCTCGCAGTAGCGAAGCGATCTGGAAAAACGCAGAGAATTTGTTGCCGTGCATAGTAGTGCCGACCAGGGGCTGGCCGGTGAGGAAGGCGAAGAGGTTGCGGATGGCGACCACCCGCTCGAGGTCCTGCATCGGAGGCTGGTTCGATGCCGCCAACTGCCCGTTGCTGGCTGACATGTTCGGGATGAACAGACGCGTTTCGCCCTCGCCGGGGACCGGTGGTGAGGCAACCCGTGTTGCGTCGGCCACCGACAGGCTGTCCCGGCCGCCGAAACTCCTGGCCCTGCTTCTAGCACTGACAGGAGACGACATCTCTGCCTGGATCAGCTCGTTGAAGACTCGAGAGTGGCCGACAATCCAAGAAGGGACCTTGAACGATGCGCCGCGGCCGCTCTCTTTCGGGTAGAGGTAGACATATACAGTGCCGGACTCGTTCCACAGCTCCGGGACCTGCACAAGACTGTTAGCACAAGGGGAAGATTTAGTGCCGGGCAGAGACAACACTCACCTTTTCACCGTTGGTGAGGAGATTGAGGTTGTACTCGGCGTTGCTTTCGGGAGACATGACCCAGGCAGCAGCAGTGCCGTTGGCGGACTGCCCAAAGTCGTGCGAGTTTGACCTCGACCTTGAGCCGGGGAGGAAGGACCTGCGAATCTTGCCCCGATCAGGCGCCGGGCTGTGCCCGCCGTCGCTCGAGTTCTTGGAGGCTTCTCGCGGTTCCGGGGCGTGGCCGACCCCTAGAAGGCTGTTCCGGTTGCTGGCAGGCCGGGCTGAACTGCTCCTCCCACGTGGTTCGGGCGAGTTCGAGGTCCTCCGGCGCGGTTGCAGGCGCGCGTGGTGATCCGACTCTTTCCGCTTGTGGTCACCGTGAAAGGTGCCACTCTGTGCCCTCTGCCTCGTCTTGTGCAGTACGGAAGGGGATTCTTGCGTCTGCTGTGGAACGGAGTTCCCAGACGGTGTAGCATCGTGTTTGGCCGGGACAGGAGGGGGCCCGTATGGGGGTGGTAGTACGGGAACGTCGTGCGTTCCGGCGGTAGCACGGAGCATGTTGTCTGGCTCGGCCACGGCGGAAGAGGTGTCTAGAGTTAGGCCTGGTTGGAAATTCTGCTTCGCGGGAGGGGCCTGGGAGTTTACAGGCCGCGGGGGAGGAGGGGGAGGGAGGTCGGGGGCAGCGAGGCCCAATCCGATCGGCGCCTGGTCGATGTTGGGCAGGAGGGAGGCGTTATGAGAGAAGGAGGCGGGGTGGGCGTGGTCGCTGGGCGATGCATTGGCGGACGAACCGACGGGCTTCCTGCTGATCGATCGCGAGGCGGCGAGTGGCACGGGTGGAGGTATATCTGCTCGTTCAGAGGTGTTGAGCATGGGTATAAGAGAGGCGAGAACCTGCAGGGTGGATTTCCGCCTCTTCCTGGCAGCCCCGGGCACTGGCTCCGGGGCAGCGGTGTCTTTTGAGAGGACCGTCGTCGACGAACTGATCGACCCGGTCTCGCCTGCGGCGTCATCTGGCGCGGCATTGGCGACTATGGAAGGGATGGAGCCATGGTGGTGCGCTGCCTCTGCCTTTGCCTCGTGGGCGGGCATTGTCGAGTCTTGGCCGCGCGAGGAGCTCATGGTGGTGGTTGCATCGGCGCTGACATGCGTCATGGTGTCCTCCAACTAGAGGAGGAGGCAGTATGGAGGGATAGGATAGGGAGAGGGTCTGAATATTGGGCTTGGGACTGGGTAGGGTAGGCCGGGGTATGAGGAGGGAGTGAGGCTCGTTCACTGCGTCCACTTACTGGAAGCCATTCTGTTCCCCGAGGAGCTGGAGCTGGTCAGAGGCATGTACAATATGTACAACAGTGTGCACTACTGTATGTGCTAGCGTTGCCTCTCTCGTCTCCCGCAGGTCTCCAGTCCTGTCCTCCACTGTCTTGTTCTCGCTCGCGGTCCCCGTAGTGCTCCGCTGGTCTGCGTGCGTAGGTGCGCGCGAGCCGGGATTCAGGGGTCTCGTAGACGGGCTGTGGAGCTTCCTTTTTTTGTGCAACGTGCTCTGCGGGAGTAACTAGTGCTGTGGACAGTGGGCGGTCGATTCGTCTCAGGCGTCGTGGACCCAGAAGGCTAGAACGGAGCGGAGGAGGAGCTGGCAAAAGGAGGCTGCGCCAGGATGGCTGTGTTTCTGAATAGCTCGGTCTTGGGCCGTTGGACTGGATTCCAAGCTGGAGCCAAGTGGACCCTGTGCGGCGTTTGGTGAGTGTGTGTGAGATGACGTTTTGTGGAGTATAACTACAAGTACCTAGGTAGGTAATTGGGTTGACTGGAATAGGTAAACAGGGTTGCCTGGGTAAACGAGGAGACGAATGGCAGATCTCCCAATAGGCATCGGCATGCAACCCGAGCCCGAGATGCAGGGTGTGCGGCCGCCAACAAAACGATTGTTCGAAAGAAGAGGAATGCTCGTCAGCTGGCATAGCACACACAGACTGCAACAAACAACGGAAATCACGCAACCGTTTCCAGAGGACGAAACGCGAGAGCTGAACTGCCGAGGGCCTGTTGGGAAACCAAGATTTGTTGGTGGGTTTGCGGGTGTGGCTTGCTTGGCAGATCGACAGCCATTCACTCATTCATTCATTCATTGCAAAAAGAATGTGCAGCTTGCCTTCGGAAGCCTTGAATCCTGCCCAGGCTGCACAATGAATGAATGAAATTCAAGTCACGGTATTCAGGACACATGCAGGTTGGGGTTACATAACGTACTTACGTAGAACCTAGGAAGGGCTTGTCCATGTCCCTCAGCTACATACCTAACCACTGCTAACTCACTGACTACCTAACTACTACTGCCTGTCACTTGTCGATGTCACTTGTCACTTGTCGCTGTCATTGACATTGCCATTGTCACACGTACTTATGCGTTGGTTTCCTTCCAAAATCTACTGCAAACTAGCCTGTTCGTGTCGGCAGCTCGGGACCCTCGGATCGGCCAAGTCGAACCCGGTTTACAAACGCAGCATAGCGGCAGAATAAAGGGGTTTTGTGTGTTTCTCGCCGCCGGGCTCGCCTCTGCCACTCCGTCAGTGTGTCTCACTCGCTCGAGAAACGGGCGCCACTGGTGCTAACTAAGGTAGGTAGCTATTTTTACCACTTTTGGCCACCCGACAGAACGGAACCCCGGTCTTACGCGGCAACGGCCTTTACCCGGCCCTCCATGCTGAGAGGCTCTAGTGTGCCAGACCTGAGACACGGACGCACAGCTAATCTGCACACGTTTTACAGCTACCTACGTTTTACAGAGCTAGGTAACTTTCCTAGCCTTGCTCACCGTCCGTTTCTCGGTGAGTTGAGGTGACGTGGTGCACCGACTTACACTAGCAACCTGCGCGCTGGCTTTCCGAGCCGAGCAAAGCCACGTCTCGGCCGGAATTGCTTCTTCGGAGCCTCACTGCAACAACATAAAAGCGTTTCTTGAAGGATTTTTGTCTTCGCAAACCGTTGGTGGATCCTGCGATCGTGTCCTGCCGCATCATCCTCTGGTGCGCAACATCGCCGATACATGAGATAGATGTATTACACGCATGGCAGAGGGAATGGGCGCGGACGTTCAAACGTGGACCACTCAGATGCTGGCCAGGTCTCTGCACCGCAATCGAAGCGCCATTGGGGGGGGGGGGAAACGCCCCGAAGGATGCAGCTCCTGCAAGAGTCCAAGACGTCATGCAGTCGTGCGGCCAACAAAAAAAGAGGGCAAAAAGTCAGAAGGCAAAATCCTAAAATAAACTCAAGCCCTATGATAATCTCCAGGGCTGTTGCTAAGCACAGGGGTGCACTGCAACATCTGTTCTGGGCAGGTCCATCCATCTCCTTGGATCTGTCTGGAGAGGTCTTATTACTCTTACTCTTACCACTGTAGCCGATGAGCCGCAATTCGGTTTCGAAACAATCGCTCTGCGGCTCTAGCAATGAAACGAAACAAACTCACCCCGCCCACCCATCCAGCCTCCAGCCTCCAGCCTCCAGCCTCCGTCTACCAAACTCGAATTCCATGCACAATCGCCTCCCAGTTGAATTCTGCAAGGCCGTAGCACCTTCTCCCAACCAGCGGACACCGACATATGTGATATGCCTGCGCCCTTCCCGGCCGAGCAGGCGTCAGAATAAATAACAGAAGTTCATCAGGAGCTACTTCAATGTTAACAATCATTATCCTTGTCATATCCTTACCCTGGCACTCGGAAGGGCTATCCCAGTATCTAAACCCGATGAGCTTGATGGATAAAGTAGGGAGTCAAGCACTTCTGTTAGTAGTCCGTCAACTAGTCTGACCATCACTTGCCGGGCCTTGAGTACTCAGGTCGCCACCCAGGCGCACAACATGACTAACTACCTCTTCGAGCCACACGACGGAGCAGACGCAGTGGCGGTCAGTCATTATGCCTTTTTCATTCTCCTCGACGTTCCTGTTTCTGGTACAGCCAGATTTCCAGGCTATATCATCAGTCATTCCAGCAGACTCATCGATACTTGCTGTTGTACGTAGTTGCGTGTGAGCCGATCAGCCGCATGACATCCAAGTTGTGATGAGAACCCCAACCTCAACAACAAAAGCATTGCCACCATGGGCATAGATGCGAGCGACGCACAGTCCAACGTGAGCAACTGTCTCGTCCAGGCGGTAGGTCAAAAGTCCAATTCTACCAAGTTCTATCAGCTACCCAGCCTCGCCTGAATGCCAGGCCAGTATAAGTTTTACTAACAGCCCTGAACACGAGACACTTGGTCTCTTCTCACGGAAGTGCCATGCCAGCCTCCTTCTAAATTTCATCGAGGCGACCTGCGGACGGCATAAGACTGTCTCAGTACGCCACAGAGTATAAGACTCCTGATGGAAGGTGCCTTTGAGAAGTACCATCATGACCAGAGCCACACTCCGTGCCGACACACTCAGGTACCTCAAGCCATGGCTCTCAACCCAGTCGTGGAATAACCAAGTTTCCCTTCCAAACCCACCCCCTCGACGCCAGCTCCTGCCGGTAAACAAGCCCCAACCCATAGTCATGAGCTCGTCCCCCCTCCTACACATTCTTATATGTCTATCCTCAACTCGGGAACCTCCTGAACCTGCACAGTCACACTCCACGTCCTACCACCGGCACCTTCGCCGTCCTTCTTCCTCTTCTTGCTCTTCTGCCTCAAGCCACTAAAGCAGTCCTGCACATCATCCAGGCTCAGACCCCGGAGAGCCGCCGACGACACCGACACAGACAGCACAAAGTTGTCCCGCTGCCCGTGGGCCACGTCCGTCGCCACCCGGAACCGGATCGCCTGCCGAAGATCCTCCGCCCACCGCGGCCGCGCGGGGACCACGAGCGCGATGGCCGCGGACACGGCGCCGATGTACTCCGCCCAGAAGACCTGCTCCGAGCCCGGCGCGCCGGCGACCCGCTGCAGGCCCTCGTAGAGCTGCCTGTCCGACGGCGAGAGGCTGCCGCCCCACCTGGCGCACAGGGTCAGGCCGAGCAGGGCGCGGGCCACGTGGTTCAGGCCAGGCATGCCAAGGTAGCCGTGGGCGGCCTCGTTCAGCGCCAGAGCGGCGTTGGCACTGGCGTCCTCGCCTCGGCCCTCCCAGAGCTTGCGCGTGAGCACCGGCGCGAGGTAGAGCAGCTTGATCTTGTCCGCCGCCACGCTGCGCGGGATCGCCGTGTCGATTAGGTGAGCCACGGTCCGGACGACCCTGGGATCTTCCTCCCTGGCCGGTGCCGCGGGTATGCCTAGTAGGTCGAGCGGGTTGGCGTCGCGGACCTCAGGCGGCAGCTTCATCATGAGGGCGCCCTCGCGGTTGCCGCCCGCGCAAAAGGTCACGCTTTTGATGCGCGGGACCGCTTTGACGAGGCCTTCGATCACCGTCGCGATAGCGGAGAACTGCTCGCGGCGGCGCTTGGACATGCCAAAGATCTTGCCCTCGTGCTCCTCGTTGACCTTGCGCATCCGCTCCACCTGCGAAAAGTACCCCCCGGGGACCGTGTAGCCCCCGACCAGCGGTATGGGGTACGGCTGCACGGGATCGTTGTGCATGAGCATGCTGCCGTAGCCTCTGAACCCGCCGCCGCAAAGGTAGACGTCCACGCCGTCGCCGCCGTCCTCCCCCCTCGCGAGCCTGTCCAGCTCCGGAAACCTGGCGCACATCTTGGCAAAGGCACCCAGCATGCCGCCCTGCACCTTCTCCACGGTGACGTGAGCCGTGCTCTCGCCATCCCGCACGTTCCTCGTCAGGCGCGCCGCGCCAAACGGCATGCTCTCGCCGGCCGTGGGGACGCGCACTTCGTCGCTCTCTGCTGCTGCGGTGGTGTCCATGTACGTCATCTGCACGCTGCCGCCGCCGAGGTCGAGGAACAGGCCCTTGACCTCGACGAAGCCGGACCGGGCACCCATAGCGCCGAGCAGGGCCTCGACTTCCGGCGACAGCACGCGCAGGGAGAGGTCCGGCGCCGCGGCGGCGATGGCGTCGAGCATGTCGCCCGCATTGAGCGCGCTCCTCATGGCCTCCGTGGCGAAGACGGTGATCTGGGACGGCGGGACGCCGTGGGCGGCGGCGATGGAGCGGAAGCGCGCGAGCGTGGCGGCGACGCGCTGCATGGTGGCCGGCTGGAAGGAGAGCTGGCCGGGCTCCTGGCCGGACTCAGCACGCAGGGCGTCAAAGAGCGAGATGGCGGCGCGCTCGCGGTAGATGCACTTTAGGAGGCGCGTGTGCGGCGGGGAGAGGTCCGATATGGAGAAACGGATGCCGTTACTTGTGAGCCGTGGGTGTTAGTTTGTGCACATCATGCAGGTGAGACCAAGTGAGACGAACCTGCCCATGTCTACCAGTGCGTGAAGATGGTTATCGTTGTCGGGATGCCATCGGCCCATCTTCTCCTCCAGGTTTCCAAGGGTGACAATATCTATTGATCTCGCCATCTTTTGATGTATAAGAAGGGCAAGTTTGGTCTAGGGTTAAGAATGAGCCGTATCTAGTAGCAATTCGGGTATTAAAGCATGAGCTCAAATGACTGGGAGCCAATGATGGCTGGACATCAAGTCGATTAACGCGATGGCAATTACTATGATGGGGAAAAAAGGATGGCAACGCGTGTAAATTAAGGTGTTGAAGAAAATTGATCCTGGTTGAGGCTGATGTCATGGCTTGGAATCTACGATCTTCACAAGGTTTTTTTTTTTACTGGCATGTGCCTCCGGCGGCCTGGACCGAATCCGGGCAACCACGGAAGGCACGTGGGCCGGTCCTGCTCCGTACTCCGCCAAAAACGTCACAGTAGGAAAGAGCCGTTCTACGATTTGAGAAGTGTGAATGACTTGAATTACACTCACTCAATCAAGTATCTTAAGGTACGAGGTATGAAATCCTTTCAATAGTCACCGTGTTATCATCTACTGTATCATGTCGAAGCAATGACACAGGTGCATGAAACGGGACAGGATCGAAAAAAAGAACGCCTTTGCCATTATTCGTAACTCCGTGACTGTATCTAACCCAGATAATACAATTTCACACGGCTGTGATTTCCCCAAGAAAACAAAACGCCAGTCCTCAGCGGCTTCCTAGAAAAAAAAAACACACAAGAAAGGCCCCCTCCGTCTTCAAGGCCAAATGCTCATCTGGATGTTGGCCGCCACGCCCGCCGCCCCAAAGATGACGGAGTACTCGTCCTTGAACCGCACGGCCTTGCTGTCGGTCCCGTTGATCGGCCCGCCCGACGAGCCGAACGAGTTCTTGCGCCGCAGCGCCAGGTTCCACGCGAAGCTCGACATGCTCGTGCCCGTGACCAGGCCCGCGCGCAGCATGATCTCGTAGTCGACGAGCGCGCGCTGGTCCCAGGTGAGCTGGTCGAGGCGCGCCCGGTCCGCGCCCTCGAGGATGTCCGTCTTGAGCACGACCGTCGCCTTGAAGTCCTCGCACCGCTCCTTGAAGTGCGTGACGTTGTCCTTGGTCGCGCCCGTCGCCAGGTAGACCACCGGCACCCTGTTCTCCACGATGACGTCCAAGTAGTCGCCCGCCTGGTCCTCGTACGGCGGGAACTTGCCCTGCACGTCGCGCTCCGTGCGCAGGTGCACGCCGACGAAGCTGTCGCGCTTGAGCCCCCCGCGCGGGTCCAGGTTGAGGCTGAACATCTTCTGCATGTTGAAGAGGCCCGCGGCCGCCAGGCGCCGCACGTCCTCGCGCAGGCGCAGGATGCGGCCAAAGTTGTTGGTGAAGTCCGGGCTGTCGTAGGCCGTCGGCCAGAAGAAGGTCGGCGTCATGAGGTGGACCATGAAGGGGTACTTGCGGTCGCGCGGGGGCGACTTGTTGTCCATGAACTCCTTGATCTTGTTGGCCAGCTCCTCGGGCTTCTTGGCCACGCTGCCGGCCACGAAATCCTGCGTCAGGTCGCCAATGCTCATCTTGGGTGGGTGCAGGAGGCTCGGTTGCTGGTATAGCTCGCCCATGGACTTGTAGACCTTCATCTGCGGGCAGTGTGTCGCCAGCGAGTTCACGAGGTGGGGTATGTCAAAGAAGTAGTCCATCGGGATACCTCGGTGCGGGCCGCGGTCATTGGGAATTAGTTCCTCGAGCTTCATCTCTGATCGGCGGATGATGTCGGGAAGGACCAGCTCAGCTGCGCCGGGGTTAGTATTCTCGTGTCGTACACACGAATTACACAGGCGAGAAGTAGATAGACTAACCGCCCATCTCGATGGCTATGCGGATGCAGGTCAGATGGCCATTCTTCACCTCCCCGACACCGCCTGGCACAGGGTCGCAGGAGAGGATCAGGCCAGGCGTCCAGGTCCTCGAAGCACAGAGTCTCTCGATGCCAACCCCGTCGAAGGGATCGCCGACTTCATGTTTTAAGAAGTCGTTTACGTACAAGGTCCGCTCGTTCTTGAACTGGCGAAGGAAGCTTGTATAGGCGGAGGTATACGTAGCCGGTGACGCCAGGTAGGTGACAATCCATATCAGCAACAGCAGAGGGACACCCAGCTTGATGGCTGGATGCCGCAGAGAAATGAACATGTTGAAGCCAGCCGAAACGAACAACGAGGAATCAAGGCAAAAGAAGCAGACCTTGCCTACAAAGAGCGTATACGAATTGAAAAGAGGTTACTGCTGGAGCACAGCAAAGAGCGACTGAGGGACGATTCGAGGAAAGAACGAGAGACGAAAGGGATGAGGAAAAAAACAAGCTCAAGACTTCTCAGGCCCAAACCGCCATGAGTGAAACCTTGTTCCAGTCGGCTTGAAAATGGCGTTCTTAGATCGCATGTCATTTCAATAGTCTGCCCCGATAAGGGAAAAAAAAGGGGAACCAGCTGCGATTCGACCCCTGTGGACCTGCTGCTAGATACCCAAATACCGTACTTATTTTTGGAATCGCAGTGCACCATGGCATTTCACATCTACGTTGTCAAGTGTGCTCCTTCAAGAAGATTTTCTATCGCCCAGCAGCAACTTTGCTCACCCAAGGTTTGTGGTGTTTTGGCAACAGAAAGACCGGCGCGAGAGAGATTGAGCAAGTACGTAGGCGGTGGGTGGTGGTGGCATGGTTTGGAGTGAGACACCGAAAGGAACCAGAGGACACGCACGCTTCAATCGCAACTGAGCTTCTCCGCATCCCACGCATTGAGGGGTTTCCGGGAGAGAGATGAGGTGTGCTCAATCAGAGGCCGCGATGGACTTGATGTGGTATATCACCTGTTGTGACTCTGCAGGCTTGGGTATCACTCGGCTCTTCCTGCCGTGGGATGTTTGCAGATATCATTGCTTGAGACGTCCGTGACCGCTGAAGTGCTCCGTGGGTTGAGGATCGGCGGCGTGGAGTAGTCGAGCTACGGTAGTTGGGCTCCTCTGCTTTTGTACAGGTCGATCGCTTCCTACGGTATCCTACCTCACAAGCTGGCAGAGGGGCGTCCCGAGCCAAAAAGGCGCGCTAGTCTGGTCCGCCACCCACGGCAAGGGAGGAGAAGAGCTGACTGGCTCGGCCACTCGACGATGATCGCGGGTGGACGTGTCTTTGAACGGACTTCTGGGTCCCATCGGATGCTGCCATGGGTTCAAGTCGGTTGGTAGGAGGAGACGTAAGCAGTAGAACCCGATGTGGATTCCGGACCAGACTTTCTTTATATGTACGGAGTATGCATCCTGCAACAGCTGGCAATCCCCCACCCTTCTCCCTCTGCTTTGCCTTGCCCCGTGGTCTGGTATCGGGATGTATGTACGTGTATACACCCCGTGACGCCGTATCATCCTGCCAAAAGGATTCAATGGCGACGCCGCTCCTGCACGGATGAGGAGCATCCCCATCCAGCACCGGATCAATGAGCTAGATGCTCTTCCGAGCCTGCAAGCGTGATAGGAGGGGCCATGGAGACTGCAGAAGGGGGGAACCACAGCCAACCTGGAGTGCAGCGCGCAGTGCAGGGACAAGATCACAGCTGGGTGGGAAAGAAAGAATGGAATATGTAAGCTCGGCGGTGCCTGGTGGGCGCGCGGGTGGATTGGTGGATGGATCAGTGTGCTTGCTGGCCGAGCTGGGGCTGGCTGCTCGCTAGAGTTCGTCTGCAGGCACTTTAGCTTAAGCGCGTCTCTTTTTGGCGCGAGGCCGACGCGAAAAAACGCGCGTTTAGGTGGGCGCTGATCACGACTTTGGCTGGACATCAGGAGCGACCGGGCACGACTGGCAAGCCTGTTGGGCCACCCACGCACACTCTCGCAAGTGTGTAAAAATGGTAAAACAACGGCCTGGATACTACTATCGTGCCATGCACCAATAATCAAGCACACTACTCTGGCTGTGATGCAATCGACCTGAGTTCTCATCGTGATCGCGGTGTAAGCGCGGGGTCTTAGTTGAATAGACTTATACTTGGACCGAGCGACAGATAGAGAACAAAAGAGCCTGGTTTCCCAGCTGTCTGTCCGCAGCAAAAAACACAGCTGGCTATTTTCATTCATCTTTCTCTTCGTCTCCTTCTCTTGACTTTTGGTTGCTTATTCTCAACTGCCAGTCAGTTAGTCGTTGGCACCCATCCCTGCATGGTCCGTCGTCTCGTCTCCAGAGAACCACATTCCAGCCTCTCGATTTTCCCGCCGACTGGAAATCCGAGGCGAGCAAGGTAGCGAGGCACTGCAGCAGCACCAGACGCACGGCCGGTGGGAAGCGATTCGACAGCACTCGTCTTCCTGTGCAACTCTTTTTTTCTGGTGTGCCACCCTCAAAGTCTCTTGCTCTGCACCAGGTACCTCGTGGGACTTGGACTTGGACTTGGACTTGGGATACGATATCAGCACACAAACTACACCCGTATGGGATCATCCCTCGCACCAGTCTGAGACCTGCCACTCTGCACATCCACGATCCTACCTGACGGCTCCATCTGGCGCCCGTCAGTCTGCATTCTGGACCGCACTAGAGGGCGTTCTCGTTGGCAAGACTGTTGCATCCATTGGTGACAGAGAGGTACACGATCATCGGTGGAGACATAACGGTTCTTGTTGCCCTCGCGTGCCTCATCCCGGAAGCTCAACGTCCTTCCCCAAGGTTCCGAACCAGGGCCCGTCAAGCTTGGGTGGCTGTCGCATTGCCTTTCGCCTCGCCGTCCCCGTTACCGCCGCCGCTCTTTCGTCGTGCATTTACCCATTTGAAGATCGCTGCATATGCACCCCTATTAGTGCTGCTACTTGGCTAGACCCTTCATTCTCACGAGGGTCACTCTTGGTCCTGGGGCGTGCAGCTTCTTGCCCCTGCTAGTACTCCCAAACGGGAGAGAGAGGTCCACGACAAGTCAAGTCCCGGCCCACGGGTTGGTCCCGGACGAGCACACAGACAGGACACGAGGACGAGACAGGTCAAGATCAGAGCCAGACAGGTCCCCCAAAACTTCAACACGACCCAAAACCCTCAGGGGAGCCCTGGTCGAGGGATCCACCCTGCACCTGCACTCGCTCTGCATCTTTGCCCATTTGATCATAAATTCAATTTCTTCAGTGGGGTTCCTTGGGCCTGGGTGGACAATCAGGTGCTGCAGCCACTGCTGGGGTACTGATTGCTGGGTGCTTGTGGGTGCTGCTTTAGTGCTCCCGCTGTTCGCGCTGGCGCCCCCAATCGCCCATCACCCACCTGTTCACTGATCTGGTCTTTCTTCCCTCCCCCCCCAAAAGTTCACTTCACCACCCGCTTTGCTCGCTCCCATCCACTTCGCGATTCTTCCTCCTCTCTTTTTCTCATCCCAAGCACAGCGACACCACGATATTCGAAGACCGCGTTCTTCTTCGTTCCCCCCGACACACATCGCCCTCCCCTGCCCTTTTTTTCAGTACAGTCATTCTTTTATCCATACCAATTTCTACGAAAATAGCGGTCCACTACACCTTTCCCGGCATTTACTCGCTCGTCGCATAACTTCCACACACCCGATTTCTTTTGACTACCTTACTCGCATCGCCAACAACAAAAACTTACCACGACATCTTACTCTCGACGCGACCCGACAGCCCAGCTGGATATTCGCTTGCTACGATTGCGTGCGCTACCAGCGAGTATCTCGGACCTCTTGCGACCAGTAGCGACCCGTCAACTCTTCGAGGTCCTCGTTTGTCGTCTGGTGGAACAGATGCGCATGGTCGGAAAGTGCTACGTCCAATTTAGCCGCGACACAGAGAGACCACTACATCCATGATAGTGTAGTTTGCGACATAGCTGAACACGAGCGCTGGGCCGTTACACCCAGTCGGCTCGAGAGAGACTCGGGCACAAACACAACCAGTTCGCGGAACTCTGGGAGGAAGAGGAGTTGCGACTACAAGGGCAGCCAGCGCCTTTTATTTGCAACAAGCGATCAACCACAGCGGCATCTGGCGGCAGCATCTTTCGCGCTGCTCCCTACCAAGTGCGTGGAGTCTACATTCCACAAGTCGCGCAACATCCCGCCAAAATGGCCTCACCACATTCCAGCTCGCCTACCCTCCCAAGGCTCGTCTTCAGCCAGCCTGCGAGACGCGATGGCCCAAAAACACCTGAGCCTTTCGCGAGCGCGCCAGACGCTAGCCTCTCATCTCCCCCTCGGCCGCGCTTCAAATTGAAGAGGCGCAACGTTCCTCATCTCTCTGCACCCACCCAGCATTTCCTGGCCTCCGTCGCAGCCGCCGACGTCCCCATACCAAGTATCGAGGAACCCGAAATTGCATCCCTCGACTCTGATATGATTGATACCTATCCTGGCATGAGCAATTTCCCGGATGATGAAGACATGGCGCTACTCGCAATCCGAGGACGCACCTTCTCACCTCCAAAGACTCCAGCACCGGGCATTGTCCCATCTCTTTCGCCGTCAAGATATCCGAACTGGACTATCGACTCGTCCTTTACGAGTTCTGCCGAGTCCAGCCCGGAGCCCAGCCGGCCGTCGACATCGCGGTCAACCCAGACCAGTGCCTCGCTCTTCAGCGGTCTGTCTCAATTCTCTGATGATAGCCACTGTGTGAGTCCAGAGACGGACAACTCGGACAAGTTTGTCTGTGTGTCTTCTGACGATGGCTTCGACGCGCTGCCCGGCCCGTCGAAGCGGTCCTCGAGAAAGGCGCCGTGGACCAAGGCTATGAGCGCGCACTTGTGGTCCACCTACATCCTCTACCTCCAGGACCCCAAGGTCACTCCTTTCAGGATTGGCAAGAGTTGTGTGCCTCCTCATGGCGTCTGCCTTCGCGTGGCTCGCGAGGCCAGGCGAAGTTGGAAAGGCGCAAGGGCATTCGGCAACGTTGCTGCTCCGGTAGCACCAGGCACCAAGAGTGGCAGCAGTACCCCAACAGCAGAGAGCTCAGGGACGTACATGGAATGGCCGCATACCTGCGCCGCTACCCGTGCTCACTTGCGAGACCTGTGCAAATTGAAGGCGTCCACGCCTGGCGTCCGGAGCTTCCACCATATGTCCCGAAGCCCTACTCCATTCACCCAGGCCGCCACCAGGCACTGGAACCGGCGCACGACGCCAGCCGGCCTCGCCTCGGCGTTCGGGACGCAGGACATGGCGCTCTCGCTGACGGCGAGCACCTCCGAGGCAATGCAGCCGCAGGGCCCGCTGGCTCAGCTTACCGGTTCCGGCCCGCAGTTCCCTCCAAGCTCGCCTCCACCTATGGTGTTCACCTTCCCTGGCCCTGGCCATGAGAGCGAGGCGTCGGCTGCCGAGCGCCGGCGCCTCGGTTCGCCCTTCACAGCAAGAAGCTATGGACCTAGCTCATCTGCGCCCCTCGCTGCTGTGCTGGGCTTGACTACCAACACTCGTCAGCCCCACACCGTCGGCCCTCGGCGCACTCTCCAGTCGCCTGTCCGTCTCAGCAGATCTGGCACGCAAAAGAGGCGATCGAAGCAAGGGCACGAGGCTCGCAAGCGTCCCAGCTTGGCTTCGGATATCTTTGTTGATCCCTCGATTGCTATAACGACTGCACCTACGGAAGCTAGCCTCGGTCCTGCTTTCAGTTCTACGAGCACGGCTCGCAATGACGAGCTCTTCATCCCCAGGAGCCCGATGGGATCCCTCACGACTTCCTCGACAGCCCCGCAGCTTTCGACAAAGTCTCTGGCGCCCCCCGAGGTTCCTCCACCTCGGCTTGGTTCGCCCTTCCGCGGCCACGGACACAGTTCCAGCTTTAGCTTCCCGAACCGCTTCTCGCAGCCCATCACGCTCGACATCGAGGCGCTGGGTCGGCCCTTCTCTACTGTGCGCCAGCCTGTCGCTGCGGCCGAGACGTCCTCGCCGCCCCCGCGAACTGATCTCGCTTCTCGTCTGGCCTACATTGACCAGCGACTTAAGGAGTTTAGGAGCCGAGACATCACTCGCCGGCGCTCAGAGTCGCCTCTGTGAGCGCCCGTGCTCATACTACATTCCTTGGCATCGCATTTTGCTCCATTTCCTTTTTCTCTCAATTTTCTTGTACAAATTTTCGACCTCTCCACCCCATGTCTTGATGATTCCTACGACTTTGATGCGGTTTCTATTTCGTTTGCTTCTTTAAAGACGGCAGCATGGAGGTTGTAAACCGGTCTGATGAGGCAGGGACAATACCCTCCTCGGAGACGGCATAGCAGAGGTTCAACCGCTGTCCGTGGCATCGTTCTCGCGGCCGCCCCATAGTTTGGCATTTTCCATTTTTTTTTTCCCATTCCCGTTTTCCGGGGTGCGCCGCATTTTGCCTACACCTCTGCATCATCTTCATCTTTTCTCAATCCTTCGAGGGGTTGAACATCGGGTTTGGAGACCAATATTCCATATCACCTTTTAACTGAAAAGGGCTTTGGCCACCAGTCGCCGCGCCGCCTGCTTCTTCTTCACACAGGACGGGCGGGCGGGAACTGGGCTGGCAAAGTCTGTTTTCTTGCAACGAAAATAAGGCATATCACGACACGACATGAAACGACAACAGACATGATGAAATACGTCTAGGGACATAGGGTTTTTGATTTTTTTTTTTCTCCCTTTCATCATCCTTGAGTGGAATAGGGGACGTGGCGAGGAGAGTGGTACAGGACTTTGAAGGGTGACGACTGTCAGTTGCCAACTGGTGTCTCCCTTCATGAAGGCATTATTCCAAAACAGAACAATTTGTTGCTTCCCATCAAGGGAGCTTTCATTCATCTATAGATCTGGAGTTAGGGGGGGGCAGGATATGGCACAGGGTCCAGGGCACCTTTTTAGACGTACAAAAAGTCTGATGAGATATGAAGATACATTATCAATGAACGGTACATACTATTTCTACTGAGCAACCAGCAAGCACCGAGGGTTCTTTTAAGGGATGTGTCTTGTATGTAAATGTGTCAGTGACCAGGCGATTGAAAGGAAGGATGAGATGAGTCTGAAGAGAACGAATTTAATGAGGCTCGCGGGAGTACGTACTTGTAATTACGGGCGCTACGGGAGCTTGTTTTCGGACCAGTTCCGCTAGACCACCCGTCGTCAGCCGCCCCCAGACCTCGAAGCTTACTTGATCCACCTAGTTATCTGTGTGCAGGGGGGGAGACCCGAAATTTGGGGCAAATGAATATCAATAAGAAGACAGCTTTGACGAGAGTCTCAAGGTGAAGAGAAAGTTTGAACACCAAGAAGGGAAAAAAGCAAAAAAAAGAAAGTTTGAAGCAAGCAGGGTTCGAACATCGCACTTGATCCTCAACATAATCGCCCAAAGGAACTCCTTTAGGGGTAAGCATTTAATGTCATTGTTCGTGTATCCCCCTGAACCAAATCCCCCTGAACCAAATAACCCGCTTGCTTCAATGTTGAGAGTGACCACCTCTAAACTTACTTATGAAGCTGTTGAACGAGTGCATCGTCGTTTCAAATCCTCCAGGGCTGGGAGATGACTCGGCCGGATCACTCTCTTGCTTGGTGCCGAACGTACATAAATTACGGCACCTGTGGGTGGGGAAGCTTGACGCGGGACCGTACTCCGAAGCAGCCGCGTTTCTAGTCGCGCCGACCCTTTATTTTTTCCCCCTTTGGATGCTTTTTTACGTATTCGATTCGCACCCTCGTCACCCCGTCCGACCTACCTACCCTCTCGAAACGGACGGCAGCTTACTAACTCGATCGCCCTTTCTCTCTTTCCTTTTAGCATCAGGATTGGTCAATGAGAGAAGGATGATAGGCTCATTCAGGGAAGGGAGGCCGCGGCGCTCGGGAGGGCTCCCCCTTCTGGCCGTGCTGCTGGCTGCCGTTGCGCTGTTCGCCGGCGCCGCGCAGGCCTCGGTAGGGGACAAGTCGCATGAGTTTAGAGAATGCGTCGAGGTACGGGCGCCCAAATCCAGGATACAACTGGGGCCAAGGGACGTGAAGCTGACCCATTGTGCAGGTCTGCAAGCAGGAGAACTGCGGCCCGGGACGAGAGGCCACTCCGATCCGTAAGAAACTCTCAACCCTCGCATACCGACGAAACCAATCGAGCCCTCCCTCACACCCCAGAACGAACGCCCAAAACTACACATATCTCCCTCCCCAAACGAAAGCAAAGACACAAGCTGACACACGCTTCCCCTCCTTGACAGCCCTCCACCGGCGCCTCCTGCTCTGGGACTGCCCCTCGGAATGCGACTACACGTGCCAGCACATCATCACGGCGCGGCGCGTCGCCCGCGGCGACCCCGTCGTCCAGTTCCACGGCAAGTGGCCCTTCTACCGCCTGCTGGGCCTGCAGGAGCCCCTCTCGGTGCTCTTCTCGGCCGGCAACCTCTGGGCGCACCTGTCCGGGTTCTCGGCGCTGCGCGCCCGCGTCCCCGCCGCCTACCCGCTCATGCCCTGGTACCGCGGCTTCGCCCTCGTCGGCTCCGCCTCGTGGGTCTTCAGCATGGTCTTCCACTCCCGCGACCTCTGGGCCACCGAGCAGCTCGACTACCTCGCCGCCGGCGCGTCCGTGCTGTACGCGCTCTACTTCGCCACCGTGCGCGTCTTCCGCCTCGACCGCGCCCGCGGCGCGACGCTGGGCGGCTCCCTCGACGTCAACACGGCCCGCCGGGCCTGGACCGCGGCCTGCGTCGCCCTCTACGTCGCGCACGTCTCGTACCTCGAGCTCTGGAGCTGGGACTACACGTACAACATGGCCGCCAACGTGGCCGTCGGCGGCGTGCAAAACGTCCTCTGGACCTGGTTCTCGTACCGCCGCTGGCGCGCCACGCGCCAGTTCTGGGCCGTCTGGCCCGGGGTCGCCGTCGCCTGGATCATGGCCGCCATGAGCCTCGAGCTCTTCGACTTCCCGCCGCTGTGGGGCTCGCTCGACGCCCACAGCCTGTGGCACCTGGGCACCGTGTTCCCGACGATGCTCTGGTACAAGTGAGTAGTCTCTTTCTCTCTCTCATCCTCTCATCTCTTGTCCCGTACCAAATCTGGGAGGCTGTTTGTGTGTCTATGTTATGTTGCCAGGTCAAGACCTGAGTGCTGACCCGTTTGTTTGATCACTTAGCTTCCTGATCAAGGATGCGCAGGACGATATTGCCAACTCGGAGAAGCTCAAGTTCAAGGCGTGAAAATGATATGTGTAAGAAGAGCAAGGTAATATGTCATGTAGTAACATGTAGCTCTGTCTGTAGGAGATATGACCTGGGGCGAGAGGCGTTTGACATTAAAGCCAAGATTTGTCCAGCAGAGAGGCGCATCTAGGTTTCAATTCCCCTAGGCGGCCCTCCTGGACGGATGCTACAGGTCACATAAGGATAGAACTTCACACAAAAAATGATAATGACATGGAAAGACATGAAGATGATTAGACTATCTACCGGGCCGTATGCTCGCTCATTCCTGACTGATATTCCGCTGTTGGATTCCCTTACAGACCAACGCCTAGTATCCTGCAGGAAGGGTGTCCAAGTCGATTTCTCATTTTCAGTCGCTTCTTCTCATCATACACAAGCAAACTACCCCCCCCCCCCCCTTTCTCTCTCAAAAAACCCCTCCCCCTTCGTTCACTCATCGTCCATAGTCCACACGTTGGGTCCAGCCTGCTGCAGCGCCGCCCGCAGCCGGTTCTTGACGCCGTCGCGCTTGGCAAACTTCTCCCGGATCGCGCGCTTCTCCTCCTCGTTGTACATGGTGACCTTCTTGCGCGAGGGCGTGCCCGCCCTGCCACCACCGCCGACAGAGCCGACCGACGACGTCAGCGCCGGCGAGAAGACCGACGCCCGCTTCTGCGGCGTGCTCAGCGGCGTGCCCTCGCGGCTGCCGCCGTGCAGGCCGAGCTTGCGCATCTGCGCCTCGAGCACGTCGATGTCGCCGCTGCGCTTCTCCACCATCGACGTCATCTTGGTGATGGTGCGCATGACGGCGTCGACCGTCGGCGCCGCGGCTCCCGTCTTGCCTCCGCCCGCCGCGACGATCTTGGTCTTGAGCATGGTGAGGGACTGCTCGGCCTCGGCGAGCAGCTTCGCGAAGGCGGTGAAGCCGCGCCGCAGGTCGTTCTGCTGCGCGGCCTGCTCGGCGCTGAGGGGCTGCGAGCGCGTCGCCGCGAGCAGTGAAGGGTCCGCCCGAGCTGTCACGACCTTCTTAACGTCGTTCTCTTTGACTCGCAGGCGCGCCAGCTCTTTGGCTAGCTCCTGGCACGAGTCGAGCATGTCGTCGACATCCTTGACGCGGGCGTCCTCGAGCTGCTTGGTGAGCTGTTTGTCGATGATATCCTGGCAGTCTGCAATGTCGCACAAGATCCAGCCCTCCTCGCTCTCAAGATCATTGACATCCTTGGGGCTCTTGTGGTCTTCAACTTGTCCATTGTGAGCAGCGATGAACTCTTTCAAGTGACGAGCGTTGACAGCCAGACACTGAATCATCCGGTTGACATCCCGGTACACGGCCTCGGCCTGATCGGCAATTGAAGGTCCGGACTGTGGCGTATCGCCCAGCTTATATACGAACTCGGCCAGCTGCAAGGTCGGCTCGATCGGCTGCGCAAGTTCATCTTCCAGAAGCTCGTAGTCGTCGTCGATAAGGTTCCGGGCCTCCTCAGTCTGCTTCTTCTGGATTCTTCGTTGCTCTTGCACGTTGACATCCTCTACAGGTGTTGCGCGGCCCAGCCTCGACACACTAGCTGATGGCGCTGGTCTGGCCCCCAAGATATTCGACGCCATGTGCGGTGCACTAACCGAGCGCGAGGCCTCTGGCAATCGAGCACTGAGCCTGCCTGCAAACTGTCCCGGAGCTCGCACGGGGCTAGGCGATCTAGGACTAGTCACCGGCGGCTGGAAGACAGGTGCGTTCTGCGAGACTTCGCCGAAGAGACGATTGCTTTGTGGCTTGTTTGCTTGAGAGGCATTCGAGAAAAGACTGCCGCTCACGCCGGCGAAAGAGCTCTGAGGTGTAAAGCCTGGGGTTGTACCGAAGTCGGTGGTTGTCGTAGGGCTTAGATCCTGAGCCACGTCCACTCCGCTGCCTTCTGTGCCGGCCTCCGACTCACCGCCCTCTTCTTCACCCTCTTCTTCGTCACCTTCTGAGACCTCTTCCTCCTCCTCCTCGTCAAAGCTTTGCTCTTCGTCATCCTCGTCCACCTCTCCCTCCTCGGAAAGCTCTTCCTCAGGACTACTGGGGATCTGCTCTGCGTCAGCATTGGCTGCGGCGAAAAAGGGGTTGATCGGCACGCTCTCGGGTCCAGTCTTGGCCAAGGGTTTTGATGTGAAATCGGGAGGGAATCTGGCAGGCTCGGGCTTGGACGTAGTCGCCTTGGGTGCTGAATCAGCTGGCAAGGGAACATCTTCGACGGACGGTAAGGGTTTGTTGGCAGGGACAGGAGCCTCAGGGGCCTTGCGCTGGACAGGGGTTGGGTCGGGGGGCAATGGTGGCTCGGCAACAGCCTTGACGGGTGTCTTGGCAAAAACGTTCGGGGAAATACCAGAAGCCGCGGACGATGAAGAAGACTCTCCAAGAGGATAAGTCGCCTTGCTGGTAGTGTCTGGCGGAAGCGGCTCTTGGCTGGATTCCTCCACTTTGATCTTCGGCGTCTCAGTAGCCGAGGACGATTGCTCGGACTCGGCCGGTTTGGGACTGCCGAAGATGCTGGCGGTGCTAGCGAAAGGATTCTGCTTGGGCTGACCAAAGATACTACCAGAAGCTGATGGCTTGGTTTGGGTGCCAAAGATGCTTCCGGATCCTTGTGGCTTCGACTGGTTGCCAAATATGCCGCCAGAGGAGGCCTGTGAGGTTGTAGTTGTCGCGCCGCCAAAGAATTTCGACGGTGCTGGAGTAGTTGTAGGGGTAGTAGACTCAAAGATGGATTTTGGCTTTGACGGCTCTGTGGCGACTGGGGTCGTGGCATCCATGTCTTCGTCCTTGGACTCGACAGCATCAGGAGTTTTGGCCGTCTCTCCCAGAGAAAGGAATCCGGAGCCGAACATGGATCCGCCGCTGGGCTTTTGCGGTTCGTTGTCTTCAGCAGACGCTTTGTCTGCCTTGAAGGTAGTGCCGAGGACAAACGGCGTTGAGCCGAAAGCAGGCTTCGCATCGGGCTTGGATGCGGGCGGTGGGAAGGATGTTTGAGCATCCATTGATGTGCTGGAGCCAAACGAGCCCGCAGGCTTACCGGGGCCAAATACACTACTTCCGGTAGTGGAAGATCCCAACGATCCGAAACCACCCTTGTTCGCAAAGCCAGCGAAACCGCCGCCGCCGCCCGAAGGAGAGGACGATGAAGCACTTGCAAAAGGGTTTGCGGGAGCGGCACCGCTACTGCCGAAGCTCGGCTGACCAAAAGCAGGCGTTGCTGTTGAAGGCGAGCCAGATCCCCATGGGGATGTCTTCTGACCACCCATACCCATGACAGATGACTGGCCGAAAGCTGGTGCTGCGGGCTTCGCGCCCATAGAAGGCGTACCAAAGGATGGCGCTCCAAAGGACGGAGCTCCGAATTTTGGTCCGCTGGCAGCTGGTGCACTACCCAAGGAGTTTGAGCCGAAGGCGGGGGCAGGGCTCGAGGTACCAGCACCTGTACCGAATGGGGCCGAGCCAAAGGGCGATGCTGCAGCTTTGGCTCCAAAAGCACCAGTCTGAGGAGATGCCGCCGAGCCGAATGCTGTGGGTGCCACCGGAGTAGAAGCAGACGTGGGTTGTGATGCTGCAGAGTCCTGCACTGCAGCAAGACCAGGATACGTCGTCCCTTCCCGGATAGACTCATTATAGACGATCCACCAAGAGGCTAGCACACCTTCGTTGTTCAATACCCACAGTCCGGGGAGAGGGCCCGGAGACTCGTCGATCTCGTCGGTAGGAATAGGCTTGTAGACCTTGTCTTTGGCAGATAGGTCCAGGGCAGCGCCAATGGGGAAGGTCTCACTGTAATCCTCAGCCATGGGAACCTGAGCTCGTTTGGAATCATCGGCAAGTTCAGTGGTAGTGAAGACGCCGGCGACCTTCTCCGCCGGCGCACTGCTAGTGAGAGGGGTCTTTGACTTGGTGATAAGACCGATGTTCTCAACGGCCGTCGATGAGACAATGAGCAGATCTTGTAGATTGGGCGGGAAATCGCGCAGCCTCAAGATCGAGTGGTGAGGGGTTTTGTCTCCATACGGGTCAACAGGATCCTGCAGGCTCTGGAAAACGAAGGACCCGTCTTGTTGCTTGGTGGCGATGTGATATGCAGACTTGCCCTCGCTGTTGGTAGGGTTATGGACAAGCAGCCAGACAGTGTTAGTCAGCCAAGTAATGGAAGCAACTATGTAGAGTTCATAATTAGCAAATCCGTTTCATCGATGTTTCTGGGACCCAGAGAGAGTTACCATGATAGTCGCCCAGTTGAGGAGGCTTTGGAATCTGCCCTTGCTCCTGGCCGTCCGGCTTCATTTGTACCACAGTGCCGTCTGCCATACCGGCCACGATTTGAGTACCCTTGTTGCTCCAAGTGACACAGCTGACTTGGCTCTTGAGCGCAGATTCTTTGCGCTCGCCAAGGTGAACCATCAACAGATTACCATTGTTCGTCACAATCGCGCACAGGTCGGAAGTCTTGGGCATTGGGTTCGGGGCGAGGGCTCGTAGCGTCTCGCCATTCGTAGAGAGCTCAAAGGCCGGTTGGGTCGAGCCACCAGATAGTGAATCGACATTGTAGACGGCCAGACCCCCACCGGTCTCGGCGGAGAGTATGAGATATTGTTCATCGGCCGAAAAGGCGACTTGCGACAGCCGCATGGGCAATGGGAGCTTGACTTGTGGCTGAAGCTGGCGAACCTCTGAGTCGCCTTCCTTCGGGCTCTCAAATGCCTTGCGCACAGACTCGGTCGTAGCAACGTGAACGGCATCTGGGCCGGCTGCGGCCACAAGGCCTTTCCGCGATGCAATGGAGATGAGGGATGCGGTTGGTGCAGGGAGGTCGGTCCATTTCGAAGTCAGCTGGACTTTTGCGTCTCCCGCGAGGGACAGAAAGCCGAGACCCTGGTCATCAATTAGCTCAAGGAACACGATGACATCGGCGAGAAATCGACCGAAGCCTACCTCTGTCTGAATGAGCTCGAGTGGCTCTCCTTCGACCAGTCCTCCTGCCCCGCCGGCGCTACCTGTCATGGCAGCGCCTGAGTTGCCAAAGCTGAAGGCCATGACTGTCGCAATGTAGCCGCCTTTGGAGAGAGGACCCGAGGTTCATAAACTCGACCTCCTTCTCATTGAGAGGCGACTCGGCAGGTGACAGGGGAACAGCTACTGCTTGAGAGTGTAGATGCAATGTTTTGTTCGAAGGATCGAAGGGCTGATGGTCGAGTAGGCGCCTGTGTGAAGGTCTTCCTGATCGCAAAAAGGGAGAATTATTGATGGAAAGTCAAGTAGCCTGTGACTCCAGACTCGTCAAGAAAGCGAGGTTAGTGTCACAAGCTCGCGAAGGCAAGGAAGGCAGCTCTGTTGGTTGAAATGGTAGTGGTTGACCTCGAAAGACGCGGTTCTGCCTTCTCTCACCTACCTGACCCACCAAAAAAGTGCAGCACCCCTGCCAACTCCAGCGAAGCTTGGGCTGCCTGCACCAGCCGAAGCTCGAGATCACGTGCAGCCTCCAGGCAGTTCCTTGGCTGGGAGTCCCTCGAGCTGGGGCGAGAGCAACACAAAGCTTTGGCCAATCACGTCTCAAGGCGCCCGACCGCGTCCTGAAGGAGCTTCCAATCGGTGCCTTGCAGTAGCTGCGACGCCTGAAGGCAGCTTTTAGCCTCGTCATCAGCGCCCGTACCTAACCTCAACCTCGACTACCATCATACGCCTTCAAACGAATCCGATCAGGATCACTATCCTCCGCCATCCACCAACATCACCCGCAGTCTCTCCGTTTACTTCAAGTGACCCCTGAGACGAATATTTGAATATTTGACGCGGAGGACCACGAATCGACCCTTTTTTCCCCTTCTCGCCAGGACCGCCGCAGCGCCTCCCCTGGCTCTCTCTCGTAATCCGACCACACGACCACCACCCATCCATCATCTCTCACAATGCCGGGCTTCGACTTCTCAAACTACAACCGCAATGCGGCCCTGCACTCCCGCGGCGTGCCGCTGCCCAAGGCGACGAGCACAGGTACCACCATCGTAGGATGCATATATGACGGCGGTGTCGTGGTACGTACCTGGTTCACCCATAAATCAGCTTCCTAGTATGATCGGAGAAACTTCGCAGCTAGAGATGCGCATTCTGCCCTCTGTCGAACCCCTTCCAACTAACCACCACCCTCTGCCCTCCAGATCGCCGCCGACACCCGCGCGACGTCGGGCCCCATCGTCGCCGACAAGAACTGCGAGAAGCTGCACTACATCGCCCCGCAGATCTGGTGCGCGGGCGCGGGCACCGCCGCCGACACCGAGTTCACGACGGCCCTCATCTCGTCGCAGCTCGAGCTGCACTCGCTGTCGACGGGCCGCAAGCCCCGCGTCGTGACCTGCATGACGCTGCTCAAGCAGCACCTCTTCCGCTACCAGGGCTACATCGGCGCCTACCTCGTCGTCGCGGGCGTCGACCCCACCGGCACGCACCTCTTCACCGTCCACGCCCACGGCAGCACCGACAAGCTGCCCTACGTGACCATGGGCTCCGGCTCGCTGGCCGCCATGTCCGTCTTCGAGACGCGGTGGAAGGCCTCGCTGACGCAGGACGAGGCCGTCGCCCTGTGCGCCGAGGCCATCGAGGCCGGCATCTTCAACGACCTCGGCTCCGGCTCCAACGTCGACGTCGCCATCATCACCAAGGACAAGACCACCCTCAAGCGCAACTACATCAAGCCCAACGAGCGCAGCCAGAAGCTCAAGAGCTACGCCTTCAAGAAGGGCACCACCGCCGTGCTCAACGAGAAGATCATCCGCAAGGAGGAGATTGGCAACTTTCTGAGCATCCACGAGATCCCCGTCGGCCAGGACACGGAGAAGATGGATGTCGACTCATGAGGGGCCTGACGTGAAACGGTTGGAAGGTGATGAATGGAGGAAGATTGTGTTCTACGCTGTATTCATGTACCATAAACTCACGGACACAATGGCATTGCAAATTGATTGACTTGCTTGGAACCCGAAGGCATCTTGGCTGTGACACTATTTATGTTCACAAACGCGAGACCCTCGCCCAATGTGGCATTCTTTCAGCCTCAGTCTTGGCTTGGTAGGCCCCCTCTAGTAGGTTGCATGAGAGGGCTTTTGAATGGATTATATGGTCATCTAGAAGAAAGAAAGAGGAGAGAGGAGGATTGAAAGAGAAAAGGACAGAAGGATAGGAGAATAGAAGCCGGATGGCCTGATTTCCCTTCGTCGTCAGTTCATATGAGCCAACGCTCGGCTTGGCAAGTCAGCAAGGGGTCAGCATTATGAGTGATCCCATTGTTGCACTGTCAGCATACCTAGCATTCCATGATGTCTTGAATTGCACACAGTGAAGGTATCTCACACACTTCAACACATCACGGTAGTAGTCACAGAGACAATGAACAGTGCGAATGCTGAAAACCGGCTGTGACATTCTCAATTCTCTCCTCCTACTACCTCAGATCCTTCTTCCCAATGTCTCAACGCAAAAATGGCTTCGTGATTCTTGAAACTCCCCTACGCAGGCCCATATATCTCTTTCATCAAAGATGATATGAGAAAAAGAAAGCAGGGCTCCTGCCGATGCAAAAGAATATTTGAACAAAGTATCAAGGCTATCATCCCCTGGGTCCGAAAAAAGGGATCTATCTAAAAAAGAAACTCCTGGTACATAGCTGGCTGGAGGGTATGGGCGGCGCTAGTAATGCTGGCTTTGTTTTGTTGTTTTTGGTGGTCATCATCGTCATGTCTTTCTCTCGTCCGGGGGGGCATACAAGCTGGGCGGCCGGTTGCTGTCCTTGTTCATCAACTCGACTTCTTGCCGAAGATGCCTCGTGACCGCGACTTGGAGCGGTTCTTCTTCTTGCCGTCCTTTCCTTCATCGTTGTACTTTGACTTGTGAATCCTGTTCCCGACTGTAAGTTTCCGCACTAAATAGTCTTGCTTCTGTCCAGGAGAAGAAATGCTTACCAGCTGTTGCCCACCATACTCATGCCTTTGGCCTCGGCCTGTCGGTAGAACTTGGCGCTCTTTTTGAGGTTCTTCTTGCAGCCGACCCCCTGGGCATAGCAGAAGCCAGCCTCTGCCAGCGCATCGACATCGCCCCATGCTGTTCATGTGATTAGTCCAGTCCTCCAGCCCAAGTTGAAAAGGGGGTAGAACTCACATCCGGCAATCTCAAAACACCTCAAAGCCAGTGCCTTGTCTTGCTCAATGCCCCAGCCATTCATATGGCTCACGCCGAGCTCGTAGATGCTCAGCGCAAACTGCGCCTTGTGCGTTTTGTTCTCTAGGAAATCAACGCGCCTGCCCTCCTTCATCTGGTCCTCGTCGTCTGCAATCTCGAGACCGGCGCACTCGGCCGCCTTTCGCAGCCACTGCACACCTTCCCGCTGATTTGGCCGCATCCCCCACCCATGCCTGCAAGCCAGGGCATACAGGAGCATGCCAGTAGGATGTCCTTGTCGGGCGGCGTGACGCAGGTGGTAGGTTGACTCGTTGAGTGATCCATTCTCATGGAGTTGGATTGCCTTCTCGACATGCTCCTCAGCCGGAATGTCCGCCGCTGAAGCCAAAGTGTGCTGAGATTTGGGTTTGATAGTACTTGCGGTATCACTAGTTCCCACAGTTTCATTATCTGCCCTGGTAACCTCATGAAGGGGTGACTTGAGCGCGCGGCCGCGGGGTGCATCCTCTGATTCACGGCCCAGGTCGTTAGATGGTCGACCCGAGAGCGAGGGTGTCGGGCCTGAAGAGCTAAGGATCTCTGTACTGAGCTTGCTCCTCTCCAGTGAAGGTCTTGGGATAGGTCCGGCCGAACTCGACGGCCTCGTAGGCGGTGAGGGAGGTGCTTGGCCGCCCTGAGGGAGCGTCTGCCCTGTGTTTTGGTCCCAAGGAGAAGCTCCAGGCACCTGACTGTCAGAGAATTCTCCAGATCGCTGAAGGGCTTTCCCTCGCGGCAAAGTGAACTTGGAGTAGATGTAGGATGGTGCACCCCCGCGGCCGTCATCGGTCGAGTTGTCAGGGAATCCTTCGCTATGCATACTGATCGGCGTGGTGGCAGACTCATCCGCCAACACAAATGAAGCCTGGCTGTCCGACGAAGCTTGACGGGCGGGCATATCAAAGCTGGGGGTCCCAGCTCTACTAAGCGGCCGTGAGAAGTTGAAAGAGGGTCTAGGCAGAGGTGCGGACATATCAGAGCACATGGAAGGTGATCGTTGAAAGGATGGGTGCGCCGGAGAGGCCAAGCTGCTGCTCGCTGAGAGTTTTCGCGGGCCCTGGGAGTAGAAAGAGTTCGTCATGGAAGACGCGTTATCCTCGTCGGTACCTTCAATGGGAGAGGACATGATGCTTGACGAGCGCTTGGGGAACAGGGACCGCGGTGGCACTAGCCCCATGTTGGTGTCGAAAGGGTTCTTCTTGAGCTTCTCGGGAGACGGCGCGGTGTTGCTTCGTAGGGGTGACCTGTTCCTCAGAGGCGACCTCTGTGGGATCGGTTCAGCAGGTTGAGCTGAGGGAGACGGTTCTCGGTGAGAGGAGTAGCTGCCCATCGGAGAGGGCGACCGGTCCTGCCTGGCTCCAAAGTAGCTTCCTTCTTCATCATGCTTGTCCAGTTGCCGGCCCCGTATGTCGTCCAGGGCAGCGTGGTTGAAGGAAGGCATGGGCTCATCTGGAGTCGGCGGTACACGGCTCATTCGCGGATGCATCGATTGCGGTCGGTTGGGATTCTCTTCGACCTCGGTCCTCAGACCCAGACCAGGGGGAGGTTGTAGTGGCGGCAGCTCTCCTTCATTGTCAGGGTCGGAATCCTGTGACATGGAACGGAAGTAATCTGAACGGCCCTGGACCACCAGAGGGCTCTCTGTTGTCAAGGGGGGCAACCGACTGAGCCTCTTGTCGCTGTTGGCACTTTCCTGCAACTGCCTCGCCAGCAGTCGGCTCTGCAGTGCAAACGCATCGAGGGGCGAGAGCTCGGGCGGTACTTCTCCAGCGACATGGAGGCGCGGCGACTTGAGGGGTCGTGATACAGACATTTGCGATTGCGACCGCAGGTCGATGAAATTGGGACGGCCGTTCGACATGGTGTAAGAAAAGAACGTTTTAGTCGACTCCTAGACGTCTAAATACCCATCGATAATTTCCCGAGTTCGACTGGAATTCCGCCTAGCACGGCCCAGGTGTTGGAGAGGCGAGGCCTGGGGCTGGAATGATGCGTGGGCCCTCACTCTTGTTGCTTAGCCGTCTCGACTGAGCTACTCGTGGTCGTCTTGTATTTGTTTCGACGTAGCTCGTCTTGGCAATGGACGCAGCGATTTGTGTTATCAGGCCACAAGAGATGAGTCGAGTTGAAGACGAGAAACGAGCTGGTTTGCCGCAGCGTGGGCAGAGTGTCGCATGAATCTTCGAGCAAACCCAAACCGTGAAGGAGCGGCAAGAACCGCGGGAGAATGCGTCGAACAATGCAGGGGTCGCAACAAGGACGATGGAGAGTGGGCGATTTGGCCAACGGGCTGATCGCTGAAGGCGGGAATCGACGGTCTTGATTTTCGAAGCAGAGCAGATCAAGAGTGCGCCCGTGGCTCTCTGCAACACAGAGGAGAGAGTGTGTCGGGTGCCCAAGCCGAAGTTGATGGCCAGGATAACAGGTTTCTGCGACACAATGCTCAAATCAGGAGTGGTGATTTTCGCAAAGGCCCAGCAGGATTAGGGGCGCAGGGGGTGTGGCCCGTGGGATGGGCGGGCGGTGCGTGCCAGTGGTGGGGTGTGTTTGGTGTTAGTGAGCGACAGCAGCAGTGTCTTGGGGTCTTGGGGGGGTGCACAGCGTCCTGCTCGCTCCGTAAATCTGCAGGATCAAGAAGCCGTTGACGATGCTGCAAGGGGAGCCACATGCAGATTGACAACGAGGGAGGAGAGACACAAGAGACGTGCGGGAAGGGAAAGGGTCCTCTCGACGATGGGTGGAAAGGGGTGAAATTATTTCACAAGCTGTCAAAAAGGCAGAACATGCAGGTGGCTCGACGAGAGGGAGGGAGGCACAACAGAAGGTGGGAATGACGAGACCCAGTAGAGACCCAGTTGGGAGGACAGGAGCAGCATCCATGATCCACACCCACACCCTGCGTGGAGACTCCAGCAGTGTACGGATTGCCTGTTCCAGTGGGTGGCCCAGTGCGGACCCCCCCAGAAGAGGTCCAGGTACAGCCGTGGCACCCACCCGCGGACCGCGCTAGTGGGCAGGCCAGGCCCCTCGTAATTGGAGCTTGGCGGGCTGGCGGGTACTGCCTGGGCTGCCCAAGTGCCCAAGGGCCGCTATCGAAGCAGAAGAAGCCCTCCCTAACGGGGCCCTGAGGGGAAAGGCTCGAGGGCGTCCAGTCCGCAAAGGGAAAAGCACCAGGCACCTCGAGCACATAATTGGAACAGGTCACCAGGTCTTCGACCACTTACAGCAGCCACCTTGAAATGAGAAGTACGGGGTACATTTGGTAGTGCTTTTTTGGTCTCCTGCTCGTGTCTCTGGCCGTCAAATCACCACCCCCTTTTTTCCCAGGGCCAAACCGACGAGCCATCCATCTTCATCCTTTGGATCTCTCTGCCCGCCGATCACTGCCCACACCTCCAACACCTCGCTCCGTTTCAGAGTCGCCGTCTCAAAACCAGCAGAGCACTTGCAATACTTGTTTTACCAATCAAGACTGGCGTTGCACATCTCAACATGCCCGGCATACCTATCATGTCGTGTGTCTGATCTTCACGTTTCCCCGCTCTCGAATTCTTGATTTTCTTTCAGCCACAACCACACTGACCATTTCGCCTCCCATTACGTTTCCACCCTTACGACAGCACGCCTCTTTTTTTCGTATATTGGTGGCAATGAGCCCGGTACCTCGTCTTAATTTACGATTGCCAGGGTCGGTGTCTATTCCCGTCCATAACACACGGGATAACCCTCTGGCGCAGTCCATGAGCAAATGCTAGGGTAATACGGTGCTACCCCAGAAACAGGGTCCAGCCGGGGTGCGGCGCGTTGAGATTCGATTCGACAAGATGGCTCGTGAGCAGGCTCGGCAGGTTCAACTCTACATCCGTTGCTCGGTGGTAGTCGTGCCTCGACTCCCGAATCGGTTCCGACAAGGACGGCTGGGACATTCACTTCCACCAGATCCTAGGTACATACAAAAGTTCTCGCAAGAGGGAGCATTCTGGGGCAGAAGCCCGGAGCTCCGCATCTTCAGTGAATCCGACTTTGGAAGACCCAGGCCGAGGATCCAGGTCGCAGCGCTTACCACCTAGCCCAACTTAAGACCAAGCACAACAGTCCACCCATGGATCCGCACCGGCCTAGATCGAGACGAATCGTCCTCTAGCAAGGCGCCGCCTTTGGAGCCGTCATGTCATGATTCCGCATTACGGTTAGACAGCTGCAGCATGCATTAAGCTTGTTTCTCAATCCATCTCTGAGCTGCAGGCCGGCTCGTATTGACTGGCATGCACACAAGGGATCCGGCTAGAAAGCCCAACATTTTCCGGCAATAGGAGCCGGGCCCAGGTCCTCTATCAAGCTGCCTGCGAAGTACCTGTCATGACGGGTTGTGTCAGGGCGAAAACCTGGAAGAGTTTGAGTTCTCAATCCCCCATGCCATTGAGACGTGTTGACGTGCTCACGAGGATAATACCTAATGGTGTCCCGGAATCGAGCAACCATGCTATTCAGTGTTTAAGTGGGTCCCCCGGGCAAAACCAATATAAAGCCAAAGAAATCGTCATTTCGTCAACAAGTCGCTTAGATAGTATAGTGGCTAGTATATTTCGTTGTGGCTCAGCGACAATACCGAAACGACCCTGGTTCGATTCCAGGTCTAAGCAATCACTTTTTTTGGTCATTCTCCCTTTTTTGTTCTCAAAAGAATGGTCAACATCTCGCCTTTTTTCATACTTAACCTTGAAACCCCAGGCCAACCAGCAAAAAAGACAGCATGCTTAGACCTGGAATCGAACCAGGGTCGTTTCGGTATTGTCGCTGAGCCACAACGAAATATACTAGCCACTATACTATCTAAGCGATGTGGTATGAGGCGGGAGCTTGGGACTGAGACGAAGCTATCTTCAATCCTCGCCTGCAAGCTCCTTTTTCGCCGGTGTTGTGACGGGCACAAGACTCTCGGCCGATTATTAGCCACCGGAAGGTCTAACTTACCTACTAGTTAGTGCTTGTGTTTGTACGAAGTGCAGAGGAGGCTCGGTAGCGGTCCAGACGCACTACCTACCTATTCACAGCGGTCCACTACTCCTTATTGGGCACCTTTCCCTACAGCCAGCCGCGTGCTTTAAGATTGTTATGACTGTCTACATGCCTTCGAGTCAGCCTCCATCGTCATCCACCCCGGGCCGGACTCACACATACCGGGCGGCAGTCGTTCAGACGTTATGCGCCAAAGAGAATCAAACAGTCTCTGCTGGTTGTGTGAACACACAAGTTCTGCTTCCTTCGCCTCTCTCTCTCTCTCTCTCTCTCTACCTGATTGTTCCATCTGGCCGGACTACCTCTGCCATACCTACTTGTAGATCCACGTCTGTTGGTCTTGTGTCGATAAAATCTGCAAAAGAGACATGAACAAGGAATCCAGGGTCCGTGGAGAACCCCTGCAGCTACCCACGCTGCGGGACGAGCTGTGTGGGAAACGAGATTAAAGAAGCATTGCGGGCTAGAAGTCCGGCCCCATGTTCCTAAACGGGCGAACAGTTCTCCAGCCCCCGAGCCCTTTCTGAGCGCCGGATCGGGCAAAATTCTGGAAATGACAGCGTCGCATCGCTCCAGCTGGCAAGTAATAATGAATACTACCTTTTTAGCTACGAAGTGTACAAGCACACTCGTGCAAGTCTTTGCTTTCACCGGCCCGTGTGTGTACAAGTATTGTACGGAGCTATCGAGGTATGTACTTACTTATCGACCAAGCTCGAGCCATACAGATCTCAAGATCAGATACCTGAACAAAGCACAGCTTACTCACAGGTCCAGCTTTGGTATGGATAAACAGTCTTGGCATCTATCCAACAGGTGAGATGGTCATGGTGAGAGCCGTACCTACATTGACTCGGAGAGCATTCCTCTGTCCTGGCAGGTTGGAATGGACCATCTCTCCTCATGCGATTGGCCATTCACCCACACACAGTTACTTACATAAAACAAAAACGCTGATCATTTTCCGTATCTTTCTACAAACTGTTCTACTGCTTTACTCGGCAAGATGGAGGAGGCAAGTGTCCGACAAAGCATGCATCATCTGTAAACCAAACACCATCTACATCCCCGTCCAATGGCAGCACACACGAGAGATAGGAACAACCCATTTTTCCAAAGGCAAAACTCCATAACCCATGCATTAGTAAAGAAAACATCAACAGAGCGCAGGGCTTCACCGTATACGCCTCTACTTCCCGCGCAATTCTACTGGTCTTTGGACCTGAGCTTCTTGAGCCTCGTCGCACCCTCAAAGAGACCGCGGTCGACAGCGGCAGCAACGGTCAAGGTGCCGCCGAGGACGGCGCAAAGGCCCGTGAGGAAGCCAGCAAAGGTCTTGGCCCGCTCTTCCCTGTTGATGACCTTCATCGGCGAGATATCATACGAGAAGAAGACGCCCGGGATGCCGCCGGGGGAGTGGTGGCGCTCCTGGTGACCCTCGGCGGCATCGTCACCGCCGCGGAGGCTGCGCTTGTGGCTGGTCACAGAGTACTGATGCGTCTCCATGCTTCCGTCGCTGTTCTGGCCGTAGGACCCCAGGTCGGTGTTGGCGTCCGGGGCCCTGTACTTCTTCTCCCAGCCGAGGGGCAGGTACGAAGTCGGCACGATCTTGACAAAGTACATGAAGTTGTAGTTGGGGTCGTCCGTCTCCTGGCGGGTACCATCGAGGGGGTTGATGTGGTGGTTGGTCCAGCCCAGGGCAGCCTTGTTGCCCAGCTTCTTGTGGATCTCGTCGGGCAGCTGGGGCCCGAAGCGCAGGTGGTGGATGATGTGCGTGAACGAGTGCGTGTTGGGTGTGGGCGCCTCCCAGTAGTTCTTGAGATCGTGGACGTGCATGTTGCCGTTGCTGAAGGAGCGGCCGGGAGCCAGGTGGAAGTTCCCAACCACCTTGTTGACGCGGAGGCCGCCCTCGATGCGGCAACCCTCGAGGCGCTGCTCGTCTAGGCGCTCGGCGTAGTGCTCGCGCAGGCATTGCTCTACACCCTCGCCCTTGCCGAAGGCCCAGGATGCCTGCGCGTATGCCTCCCGAACCTCTGCGCAGGTGTTGCAGCAGCCAGGCTTCTGCGCATTGGGCGGGGAGGGTGCGCCGTAGCAAGGACCGCAGTAGTTGGGGTCCAGGTGGGCGGCCTTCTCGTCGTCGGCGTGCAGGGAGAGCTCCCGGGAGTCGATCTCGGCGCCGCCTTCCGACTGGGGCCGGAGTCTGACCTTACGGACACCGTGCTGCACGCCGTGTTGTTGCTCGCCTGAGACGTCCATCACATCGAGGGTGAGCAGTTCGCACGGTATCTTGGGGAAGGTGATGTTGAGGTGGATTTCCATGCGTTCGCCTGTGCACTGCGTTAGATACCTTGCCGTGAGGACAATGGCCTAGAAGTGAGCATACCTCGCCCCTTGTCCACAATCAGCTCCGGGTGTATCTCTATCCTCCTGTAGTCGCGCCACTCTCCCAGAGCCAGGTAGAGCACGACGATCAGCGAGACAATCGTAACGATACCGCCAGAAGTTGTCCTGATGCGCGCATCCTCCACCGTCTTCGTAAAGGCGTCAAGCCTTGTGAACCTCGACTTGGGAGGCATCGTGCTTAGCCACAGCCTCGAATCTCCTCGCTTCAATTCGGCGACACTACGTGATTAGCAGCCGAGAACAATGAAGGCGAGGGCCTCTAGACGAGCACAAGTCAGGTCAGTTCGGTGGCAGGGCCGTTGGACCGTCAATGGGATCGTGTGGTCGGAAATGAATGCGTGGCCAAGTCGCTCAGAATTCCTGTAAGCTTCGCACGATGGACCCTGGCACTATCTTTAGACGAGCGACGAGCGCGCCTGGAGCTCCTGGAGCTGAGTTAAGGCCACATTCACCTTTTCCCCACGTGCTGGCTACGGAACTTCGGTGCCCTTTGTTCCGCTGATTAGGCGTCGCGGTCCCCTGCACTACCCGATTTAGGCGGGAGTGCAAGAAACATTCCCCACTGTAGCAACGACGAGTTAGGTATCAAGCACGCCGAATAACTAATAAGGTTGCTGTCTCTGAATGCAGCAGCAACACCATGAAGAAAAGACATCAGCAACAGTCGAAAAAAGCTGAGAACTCGGATTCTGGTGGTATTGACGCCATATTCTCATCCATGGGTACCTACATCTATTGTTCTTTCTGCTGAGCTCTCCTAAGCGAAAGATTGACCCTACTGTTCCACTTCACCTGATGAGTCCTTCATGCGAGAGAAACCATATTGCCAGTATTCCATATCTTGGGATCATCGGCAGACCGAGGAGACGATGGAGGGATTTGAGAGGCGTATCGTTGTCTCCTCTGTTTGATGGCAATTGACTCGCTGCTTTCTGTTGCGGACATTACCTATCTCAAGGCATGGCCGTTTCGTTTTGTCTGTTGAGTCACACGAGTGTATGTACAGCTCAAACCTAGTACAATGTCCCGACAGTCCACTACGGGACATCTCTTCATGCACCGCCTGGGCATAGAAATATCCCTGTAAGACGGAGCAATGTCTGTATTGTCCTTAAGTGAAGTATTAAACTGGATGAGGTGGGTCGACTGCTCAACCGCTTCAGGAAGGTCGTCGGACTCTGCGTGTTGTATGTCGCATGGGAATACGGACTCGCCATTCGAAAGACCTGTGAGTCACTCCAACACTCGGATCCGTATCTCAGGAGTCTTTGTGCGACCACCCGGAATCATCATCTTTCCAGCTATAAAGATACCCTTCTCAAACAACCCTCCTCCTCTCTCCCTCTCTCTCCAACTTTTCCAATTGAGACATCATCAACTCCCTCACAAACCCCCCTCCCACCCACCCACCACACAATGGACGCCGAGACCACCGCCCCAACCAACCCGGCCATCGCGGAGCCCACCCCGCCCTCCGGCCCCGCCCCCGCCGACCCCTCCGCCGGCGTGCCCTTCCCCCCGCCCCCGATCCTGGAGCTAGACCGCCTCGCCCTGCGCCCGCTGCACGCGCGCGACGCGCCCGTCCTCGCCCGGCGGGCCAACGACCCGGGCGTCGCGGGCAACATGTCGAACCGGTTCCCGTACCCGTACACCGAGGCCGCGGCCGCCGCCTGGCTAGCCGGCGTCGTCGCCCGGTCGGACCACGACTACGCCATCTGCACCCGCGAGAACCACGCGGAGCTGCTCGGCGTGATCGGCATCCGCCCCCACGGCGACGTCGAGTGGCGCACGCGCGAGCTGGGCTACTGGATCGCGCGCGAGTGCTGGGGCAAGGGGTACATGTCCGAGGCGGCGCGGGGGTTCTGCCGCTGGGCGTTCGACGCGATCCCGCAGATGCGGCGCATCGACGCCGGGTGCTTCGGGTTCAACGCCGGCAGCGCGCGGGTGCTGGCCAAGGCCGGGTTCGCGCTCGAGGGGACGCGGCGGCTGTGCGTCGAGAAGAACGGCGTCATGACGGACGCGAAGCTGTTTGGCCTGCTGAGGGAGGAGTGTCCCGGGGTCCGGTCGGCGACGGTGACGGGGACGCTGGAGGAGGAGTTGGCGAAGAAGGAAGAGGAGGAGGGGAAGAAAGTAAAGTAGAGGGCGGTTGGACGAGTTGTGATCTCCTCTTCTCGTATATCTTGAAAGATGCCCATTCTTGTTCACACCAGTCACAAAGACACAGAGAAGAGAGAAGAGCCACAAGAAAGTGACGACGACATGTTTCTTACTAGCCATTACTGTTACGGATTACTTTAAGAGAAGAAAGTATAATGCCTAAGAGAGAGAGAGAGAGAGAGAGAGAGCAGGCCAGTGTCATCCATCAAGAAAAAGAGGAAGACAAGGGGTATCGTCCAAAAGAACCACGATCGATACCCAAACAACAATGAACCAGAAACCCTATTTCCAAGAGAAAAAAAAACAAAACAAAGCAACAGCAAACCAAAAACCCTACTCTTGTCAAACGCAAAATGACTGACAACCTCATCTCTCCCGCCCCCGGCCAAACTTCTTCACCCACGCCGCGTCAAAGTGGTCCAGCTCGACCGCCCTCCGCGCCTTCTTGGTCCCGGGCGTCACCTTGGCGGCCGTGATGTTGCCGCAGTCGGGCCGCCTCAGCCGGCTGCCAAACGTGTCGGCCGCCCAGATGAGCACGCCGTTGGTCCAGCCGAACCCCTCGACGACGGCGTACTCGCCGCCCCCCCCGGCCACGTTGGTCGCGTTGTCGCCGTACTTCTCAAACATGGTGCCCTTGTCCCGCGCCGTCAAGCCCTGGAGCTGCGGGGTCTCGGACGTCGACCCGCCCGTCGCGTACCACGTGCAGAACGTCGAGTCGACGTAGCGCTGGCCCAGCCGCAGCGCCAGGGCCTGCGTGTCCCGCCAGGCCGGGTCGTCCTCGCCGAACGTCGCGGGCGTGCTGAGCAGGCCGTCCATGAGGGTGTGCATGAGCGGCGGCCACACGTTGGGCTGGTCCCACTGCTGGCCCGAGTTGAAGTTGGAGGCCGGCACGCCGCCGGCGCGCTCGTCGAGGTAGCGCGCGACGCGGGCGTAGGCCGTCTTGACGGCGAGCGGGTTGTCCTTGAGGCTGGCGGGCGCGGCGCCCGTCCAGAAGGGGTACAGCTGGCCCACGAAGAAGAGCACCTGCTGGCCCTCGGGCGCCGTGGCCCTGTCCTGGGCGTCGGCGTCGGCGTCGGCGGGGATGTAGATGTTCTGCGCGCCCGAGGTCATGTTGTAGTCGAAGTAGCTGAAGAGCGTCTCGTTCCACATGACGTTGTACATGGCCTCGCTGCGGTTCCTGGCCATGTCGGCCCACCGGGACGCCTCGGTCGCGTTGCCCGTCAGGTTGAGGTAGCGGCCGATCTGGACCTCGTTCCAGTAGAGGATCGAGTTGAGGTCGACGGCGACCATGCCGCTGACGTTGAGGGAGCGCAGCGGGAAGTAGACGTCCTTGGCCGCGTCGTTGGGGCGGGCGATGAAGCGCGTGCCGTAGTCGAGGCCCGACTCGGCGCCGCTGGCCAGCTCGCGGTACAGCAGGGCCTTTTGCGAGTCGTTCAGGGCGACGGTCTCGGGGTAGATTATACCCGACTCGGCGTAGTATGACTTGTTACTGGCCGTGACGTAGTCCTCGCGGTACGATTCGGGCCTGGGCTGGGTGTTTTGCACCCCGTACCTCTGGAGCTTGTACGTCTTGCCGTTGGCCGCCGTGACCTCGACCGAGCGGTTGTTGATGAAGAAGTTGTGCTCCTTGATCAGCAGCGGGATCGCGCGGTCGAGGATGCTCGTGTCGTTGGTGTGCTTGATGTAGATGCGGACCATCTGCGACAGCAGGGGCGGCTGGGATCGGTTGAGGTAGTAGATGCGGGCGCCGTTGGGCACGAAGCCGATCTTGTCGACAAAGTCGAGGAAGTTCTCGATGGTGTTCTTGGCGATGCCGGTGAAGGCGCCGCCGGTGCGCAGCAGGCCCTCGAGGATCCAGTACGAGTCCCAGTAGTAGGGCTCGCGGAAGCGGCCGCCGGCGACGACAAAGGTGCGGTTGACGGGGATGAAGCTGTCCTCGCACTCGGTGCAGTTGGTGGCGGACCCGCGGTAGCGGCGCGTCAGGTCGGGCCAGATGTCGACGACCTTTTGCACAAACTCCTTGATGACGGTGTCGTTGAGCTTGTTGAGGAACTGCGGGTCGGTGTTGAGCTCGCTGTCGGGCACCTCCTCGAGCTCGCCGCCGGCGGGCGCAAAGTACTCCTTGAGGAAGTTGTTGAGCTCGGTGTTGTTGCTGAGCGGCCTGGTCAGGTTGTTGAACGCCGCGATGACCTGGTCCCGGGGCTTGAGCGTCGGCCTGGTGGGCGTTGAGAACAAGACGAGTCAGTACGGGTGCGACACAATGCCACGTTTTCTGTGCTCGAGACTGTGTCGCGACGGAGATGTCTTGTTGCTGCGCAGGCTGGGCTGGGAGTTGTCGCGTGGGTGTGCGGGGCGAGGGGGGCATCACTTACATGTCGACGAAGGTCTTGGAGTCGACAAAGGGCTTGGCCAGCTCGACGCCGGAGAGGACATCTCCATGGCAGTAAATGGGCGAATCGCACGGAGCAACGACAGAGCCATTGATGTACAGCGCATTGGCGACAGAGGCCAAAGCGGCAGCCACCGCCGCGATCCGCGAGAAGCTGGGCGTCATGGCCACAGAGAGCGCCAAGAAAGCGAGCTGCCTCTAAGAGATGTTGTACGCACGCGCGCCGTGGACAGACTTACAAGGCTCTTGACGAGCTTCCAACCTACTTACACAGTAGATGCGACACAGAGCAGAGGAAAGAGAGCACACGAGTCTACGACGTCGGGGCAGGTGGGGAGCATCGTTCTTTTAAACATTTGGCCGAGCTCGGTTCATGGCGGAGCTTGAGCCACGAGAAACCTTGGATCTGCAAGTCAGGGCCGAGATGCGCATGTACTGCACGCGCAGAAGGGGGAGCTAACTAGGTAGGTAGGTAGCTCGTTTGCTCACGTACCTTGACCAGAGCCCTGGACAAGCCATGACTCTGGCAGTCTGGGAGCTGTACGTGCAAGGTGGTGGCAGTGAGAGAACAATCGTGTGGAGACCAGATGCCGATCGCTTGGGGAATTGACTCCCGCCCTGCCAGTGCAGGTGTGAGTGGGTTTCTGCCAGAGCAGGCAGCTCGCCAGCACTTTTCGACATCGTCCCAGGTTGACTCTGACCGCTCTCCTGTCAGCCATGATGCAGGCACTCTCAAGGCGGAGCGGTTCGAGGCCTTTTCCAGCAGCCGTGCTTACGATTTCATCTGGCCGACTTCCTGCACGACGGGGTTGCACAGGTCCCAAGGGCGAGGCTGTTCTCAGTCTGAAGAAGGAATAATAGAACACACTTTCAATAGTCCACAGTCGTCGAGGCAGCACAGCCCTCTGCGACACGGCCAACAGACCCATGGATGACGGAGCACTAAAACACGCATCCAAGCCTTTTCTGCTGGCATGGAAGCTTCGGTAGAAACGAAGAAAGAAAGAAAGAAAGAAAAAAGAAAACCGACGAGGTCACAGTGGGTCCTCTCCCCCTCTGGCAAAGCTCCAAGTCGAGTTGGGCGCCCAAATCCCCCGCATTTTAGCGTGCCGGAATAGTACCGTGACTACCGTGGCCTGTAACAAGTAACTAAGTCGCCAGGCCCACCGTCAACGCCTAGCTTCGGCGTGACGTCAGTTCACTTGGTGCTAAAAAGCTTCCAAGCTTCCCTCCCCCCGTGTGATGTCGGAGTTGGAGAAACGGGAAAAAGAAAAGAAAGTTTGTACCTAGAGTAGGTACTCGGAGGAGAAATGCGGGCGATGTGGCAGCAGGCTGGTCGTTAGACCAGGGCACCCGGTGGCACATCTCACACCTCACAGAGACACCATCTCGTCTCTCGCTTAAACAATGGAGCAGGATCATCATGGTTCGTCCGCTTTGTCTCCATCGGGTACCCGAATCGTGATGATGGCATGGTCCCGAGGTAGCATCCATGGATGATGCCCGTCTACGGCCCTGCATCTGCCATGGTATGGCTGTTGGCGACATTGGCACTATGTCAGTGGCTGGCTGTTTTGCTTCTGCAGCGACGACACTTTCAAGCACTCTTTTCACTCGACCCCGCATATATGCAATTGGAATTCATCTGCACAACCAAGAACACCATCGGGGTCTCCGAAGAGCTCTCCCGTTCCTCCTTGGCGTTGGTCAGAGCTTCGCCTGCATACGAGAGTCGCGACCTGCCTCATCGGGCGATAGCTGGGCAGACGAGCTGAATGAAGCCCGCCGAAGGCCCCAGAAACGTAGGGTCGGTCTACTCTGTACGTAGGTATTGTATCGGACCGTAGGATTTTTGGCGGTTGCATAATGCGACTGTCGGCCAAGAGCAAGCAAGCTCCTCCCCAGGGCGCGCCTTTGGGACACCGAGGATGGGGTTGACTCGAACGAGCTTACGCATCGAAGGCCCGACGCATGAGTGGTAGAGTGCTGACCGACTCTTCTCTACCCCGCACAATGCTGTCAGCTACAAGCAAACTGCAGGCATCGAGACCTCCAGCCTTCTTGCATAATCGGTCCGTTAGCCACTAGAGCCTCATCAACTCCGCCCTGATCCGTGACACCGCTCGGGTCTAATGTCCTCACAACATCCCGCCTCCAGGCGAGGCTTCGAGGCGTAGTATTGTTCTCTGTATAGCTCTTCAAGATATCTCGGGATCTGAGGTATAGTTTCTATAGCAACATCCAAAAAAGAAGAAAAAAAAGAAGAAGACATCTCCCATTAGGCCGTCGTCTTCCTCTCCTTCATGGCCTGCCTCATCACCCTCTCCAGCTTGGGGATCGTCTCCTCCCGCCGCTGGTAGATCTGGTAGTGTATCACCAGCCTGCCCCCGCCCAGCTTGAGCCCTTCCTCCTTCCCCAGCTGCACGAACCTCTCCTCGTCCACGCCCGACCCCTTGAGGTCCAGCCAGCACATGTTGGTCTGCACGGGGTACGCCACCCTGCCGCCCAGCTCCCCGACCCACAGCCTCTCGATCTCCCTCGCCAGCTCGTGCGCGCGCCGCAGCAGCCCGCCCTCCCCGCCGGGGCCCTTCCCAAACGTCTCGTCGACGGCGACCCTCGCCGCCGCCGTCAGCGGGCCCGGCTGCCGCAGCCCGCCGCCGATGCTCTTGCGCACCCACCGCGCGTGCCTGACCACGTCCCGCGGCCCGACGACGACGCTGCCCGCCGGCGCGCCGAGCCCCTTGCTGAAGCACAGCGACAGCGTGTCGAAGCACGCCCCGAACTCGGCCAGGCTGCCGGCGCCCGCGGCCACGGCCTCCCAGAGGCGCGCGCCGTCGCAGTGCGTGCGCACGCCGTGCGCGCGCGCCCAGGCCGAGATGCGGCGCGCCTCGGCGAGGGGCATGACCGTCCCCGCGAGCGTGTTCTCGAGGCTGACCACGCGCGTCGGGCACGTGTGCACGTTGTCGTCGAGGTGCGCCGCCGCCTGCACGTCCTCGAGCGTGAGGTAGACGCCGTTGGACGGGACGACGGTCGTGAGCATGGCGCCGCAGAGGGAGGCGACGCTGTTGGGGACCGTTTGGTCAGCGGCTCAAGAGATGCAAAAAGGAGGTAAGGAGAGAGAGAGAGAGAGAGAGAGTGTGTGTGTGTGTGTGTGCTGTGCATGATTATCCAACATTGTAGGAGTTTGGGCCAGATGCGGTAGGATGTGAGGATAGAGACAGGGAGAGGTAGAGTGTGTGTGTGTGTGTACATGTAAAACAGACTCACCCGCCGGCCTCGTGCTGCACAATGTGCGACCGCTGATCGCAGAGCACGGCGTAGGGCGGCTGCGTCAGGAGCGCCCGCAGCGCGACCTGGTTGCCCATGGTGCCCGACAGGACAAACAGTCCCGCCTCCTTGCCCGTGAGGGCCGCGCAGTGCTCCTCCAGCGCGATCGTGTTGCCGTCCTCCTCAAAGACGTCGTCGAGCAGCGTGCACGACTGGATGGCGGCCAGCATGGACGGCGTCGGCGTCGTCATGGTGTCGCCTGCGCGTGCGTCGTTAGTAAAGGTGCAGATAGGTCTTGATTCCTAGAGGAGAATGCATGTGTATTCGTTCGTAGCATAATGCGATTGGAAATGAATGGACATACTTCTCAGATCAGTGCCCGCAGCGCCAGCCGCGCCGACCCAGGCATTGTGAGCAGCAGCTCCGTTCGTCGTGGTCTGCGCCATGTTTGCCGATGAGTGCTGTATCGCGCGGCGTGGAGATGTGCAGAATGTCCTTCTCCTCTCACTCGAGAACGGTCTAGGTGTATTCAACAGCGCGGGAGCTGTCCGCGGGGTAAAAGCACCGGTGCCGGACCGGATGTGGATGGGCCGAGCCGATCTTGCAGACAGATTGCACCAGGAGGGCTTTGATCTGAGCACCCTGAGCGGCGATATGCCTTGGCAGCTCGACTTCATGATTGCGACTTCGAGGCCGAGTGCGGGCTTTATCTAGTCAACGCGGCTGTTGCGATGGTCGGGCTCAGGGATTGTGAGCTCCGTGATTCTGCACATGAGAACGCACGCACGCCCGGCCGAAGCCGGGAATGTCTCGATGCGGACCCGCTTGCGTAGGTGCGTGCTCGGATTCTGCCGAGGCCTGCCTAATTCACACTCCTCGTCTAACCCTAACCCCCTTTCCAGAACAGGTAATTCCGTGTAAGAAGACGTCAAACGACACGCAATCCCTGGACTGAAGAGGCACGCCCTGCGCTCGACATGGCTGTTTTAAGAATGTTATATTATCTACTTCTAAGAAGTGTCTCAAGCAATCTCGCCATCCCTGCCTGTGTCCCCCTCCGAATCGGGTCAGATTAGCTCGTGTCCTGCCTGCTTTTATTCCAAAGAGACTCCCGTTGTGCATTAAAAAAAACAAGGACCGAAAAGGCAGCACGAGGCTGCTGCAAGAGTTCCCCCAAGTAAATGCAGAGAAATGTAATAACCAAAAAGGAAAAAAAAAAACGGCACGACCATCATTCCCCCCTCCCCCTATGTCCTCACACAACTCCCATCTGTCTAGCAGTTGGTAGTGAGGTAGAAGCCCGCGAGCGGCGAGTTTTGCTGCGCGAACTGGACGCCGGCAAATCTCCCGCCGGTCCAGGGCGACACCTCGAGCAGGAAGGCCAGGTTGCTCGCGCAGGCCTCCGAGTTGATGACGGCCGACGTGCCCGGGGCGACGCTGACGGTGCCGAAGGTGCCCGTCCCGCCAAAGCCCAGGGTCGCGGCGGCGTTGTTCCACGTCCAGCTGTTGGGGTACGCGATGGCCGACGGGTTGTCCTTGAGCACCGTCGTCACGTTGAGCTGCACGCTCGGGCTCGTGTTGAGCTCAAAGACGACGGGGTAGCCCTGCGGGATCGAGAGGGCGAGCTGGCAGCCGTACGAGCCCTGCGGGATGTTCTGGAACGCGACGATCTGGTAGGTGCGGAGGTAAGGGTTGCCTATATGGCGTGTGTGTTAGTCAATCTGCGGTCAAAGAGGTGGAAGGGATGATGTCTAGTAGTATGTTTAGAAGGGACGACTTACCATCGCCACTAATGCTTTGCTGCACCTTGATCTCGCCGCCGGCACCGACAGTGTTCTTCTGGACGGTGTTGGGCTGGTTCTCGGAGAGCTGCTGGAGGATAGTCGGGTAGTAGGTTGTGCCGCAGCGGGGAGCAACCTCGACCGGAGTGGGAGAGGCGAGGCTCAGGCCCACGAGGGCCGTGAGGCCGACAAGAACGGACTTGTACATGGTGATTGGGTGATTAGTGGAAGAGATAAGAAAGCGAAGCTCTTGGTCTGAGAGGCTGTGTCACTGGACTCGATGTGAAAGATGAATGTTGATGCTGATGGTGTTTCGGAAAATCATGACACCTCTCGAGGACAAGACTGACACTTTATATCCATGAGCACTTGCCCCATGGATCACCAGAACGGCTGGGCTCCCTCCTCTCGACGCACGAATCTCGTTACATGCATGCCGGCCATCATACCACGCTTGTGCATGCCCGGCTGCAGCGGTCTGCTCACCAGTCCCAAGGAAGGGCCACCTCGAGGCGGCCGCTACGAGAAGGAGCTGCCTCCTCTCGAAAGTATGATGGCGCTCAAACCATCAGCCGCATGGGCAGTGTAGAGCCTGCCGTGGTGCACAGCCCGAAGAGGAGAGCTAGCAGGATCGTTCTCGAGATACCTGCTGAAGAAGGAACAGACAAACAGTCGGGCGCACCTACATGTACCGATGCCGAAGGGCCTGGTGTGTGCTCACGGCTCAAAGATTTACGCCGAATAACCCGTTCCAGCTGGCTCTGAGCGCACTACACATGCGGGCCATCCTCGTTGCTGATGGTTGTCGGCCATCCTGCGGCTGACGTTAAGGTTCCGGAGCTCTTCCAGATTCGTCAGGTTTCAATACAGGCCGGCGGCTGTGCCCTCCCACCATCGAGGCCGAGGCCGGTAACCTCCGCATGGAGTTCGCACATGGCCTGTCAAATACGATGTCATCGAATCTCAACGGTACCACATGGCAGAGATTGTGTCGCAAAGTTCTATCGACCGCTTGTAGGGTTAAGCTTAAACGCTATGAGAAGGATTGCGCAGATACGCTTGATGTCAACAGTAAGCGACAGCCATTTAACCAGAAAGAGAATCGAGCGGCCGGAAGCTTGTCGGTCATCCCTAGACGGCTGGGATACAGGAAGCTAGCCTGAATTTGCGCCCGACAGGTTGAGGTGGCCAGCGGCTCACCTCATTGCCGTTTATTCGTTGCCGCACAAAGACATGATGTGATGGTGGGCTTCCCCGCCAAGTCGCATCCGCCGCTTGCATCGTCATGTTATAAGGCTGAAGCAAACACGGCACTTGAATCCCGTGGCCTTTAGTCTCGAGACTTTGCTATTTTTATTCCTTTGTTCTTCGTCCAGTAAGATGACTGCGAGGAGGCCTGCACCTGACTACAATACGAAGCCATCGAGCCTCCCTCCAACGGGGAGGGCAGATTTCCTCTTGGCGATGTGCACGGTCTCGTGCTGGTGGGCAGACTCCTCGGAGTCGTGATTAGCCTGCTCAGGAGTAAGCTTGACGCGTAGGCTAATAGCACATGCCCGAAGCTGACTTCCCACAATCATGGTACTCAGACGTCAGCTCAAGCCGACTACTGCTCATCTTAGTCGGGATATATGTCTCGGGAAATATGATGTCCATTGGGATCATGACGATCCACGGGGGGGTATAACAGCTCCTTCGAAAGTCCGGTCCTCGGTCCTCTGTCCTATGACCATTTCTTTTACCCTAACCGAACGCCATGTGATGCTGTGCGTAGAAGTGAGCGAAATAAGCAGGAGATTGCACCATCCCTTCTCTCAAAGATGCATGCCTCCATCGTCTTCATCCTCGTCAACCCTCATTCGCTCCTCCAGAGCCCGCCGCAGCTGCTCGTCTGACAGGCTGCCGCCACCGCCTGGCCGCGGCCCATCCATGTGGACCTCGCCGTTGCGAATCATGCCAGTCTGAAAAGTGCCGTCCCTCCACGCCTCGTGCGCGTCGCCAGATGCAACCGGCCGCTCACCACTGGTCGCCGCCGGTGCAGCAGCAGCAGCGCCTCCGCTGTGTCCATTTATAGCAGCGCCGCCGTCGCCATTCTCCAGGCTGTCTGCACCACCACCACTGCCAGCGGCGCTGCGCTCCGCCTCCGCCTCCTCCTTGCTCTGGAACTCGGTCCAGCTGAAGCCGCGCCCTTCGACCTCCTCGCGGACCATGCGGATGCGGTCCTGCATGCGCGAGATGACGGCCTCGTTCTCCCTGATGGCGTCGACGCAGTCCTGGTCCGGCTGGGCCGCGGGCGCGCCGAGGACGGGCTCGGCGCCCGTGGCGAAGGGGCGCAGCTTCTCGTTGGAGTAGTCGAGGTGGGCGATCGAGTTGCGGATCTCGAGCACCTTGAGGTGCAGGCTGCTCAGGGAGAGGTCCTTGAGCGCCTCGGCGAAGCGCGCGGGGCTGATCGGCAGGGCTTCGGAGGACATTTTGGATGGGGGATGTATCTGGAGGTCGAGTAGAGATCTGATGAATCTGGGTAGACGCTTGTGTTGTGCAGTAGAAACAGATATGACCTGTTTGGCCGACTGGCTTTTGGTAAAGTGAAGGAAGTCGGTCGCCTTGCCCTGTCGTAATCTGGAAGCTGCCTGGCCAGCAGGCATAGATCGCGATAGAAGCTTGAGAGAAAGAAGCACTGACCTCCATCCACTAGCCCCGCCATCGCTAATCCCACTATCAACCCTCCCTGTGCACCGCCCAATCAGCTGCTGTAATCACCCACTGAAATTCCGAACCCCCGGACCCTGCAATTCGGTACAGGGACGGACGAATTTAGGTTTTGGCGTGGAATAATTTTCGACAAAAAGTCGTCCGATTTCCGACCAGACGACGACGACGACGACCCATTGCCACATCACAGCACTGCGCACGCGGCAGGATATTCCATGAGCGACAACGCCGAGTAGTGGGCGCCACCACCCACCGCCGCGCGCGCAGTCGATACCGGAATTCAAGATGAGCAGCTTCCTCGGGCTGGGTCCAGCCCGGTCCAGCCTGCGGACCGCCCTCGGGGCCGCCACGCGACGTGCGCCGACGCTCCTCGAGACCCGATGCGTCCGATGCTTCGCGACGGCGCGGCAGGGGAGCAGCAGCAGCAGCAGCAGCAGCAGCCGACAATTGCGCTCCCCGCTCCGGCCTAGATTGCTCCATGGGCCGGCAGCGGCACAGCTCACCACCCTCCACCAGTGCATCCAGACGAGGGGCATATTCTCGTCGGGGGTCATCAAGGACTACGTCGACCTGCCGCCGGACTACGAGGACGCGCACGGGCTGGACTTTGCGAAGAAGCCCCTCGACGACCACGAGGTGCTCATGATATTCGGCCACGGGATGGACACCATCTCGGCGAACCGCCTCCTGCAGATCCTGCACGGGCGGCGGGTCGCGGGCACGCTCGACGACCCCGCGCTGCAGCGCCACACGATTCTATACTCCAAACAGCAGCAGGACGCTGCCCTGGCCTACCTGAGAAAGACGGTCCCCGTCAACGAGCTTGTCAACGCGGGACTGAGGGCGGAGGACGAGCTCGCCGAGCTGGAGGCTGCTGCGGTTGGAGAGGAGCTGCCCAAGGAGAAGCAGCAGCTGTCTGCCAAGGAGCTGGCAGCAGAGGCGAACTGGAGGAGGCGCCTTTACAAGGAGAGGCCGAAACAGGACGAGCTGGAGGCTGCTGCGGCTGGAGAGGAGCTGCCCAAGGAGAAGCAGCAGCTGTCTGCCAAGGAGCTGGCAGCAGAGGCGAACTGGAGGAGGCGCCTTTACAAGGAGAGGCCGAAACAGGACGAGCTGTACGGAAGGGGTTCGTTCGACAAGATCAGAGCACGCAACGAACTCAAGTACGAGGAGGAGCTCAGGCGGCAGGAGGAAGAGAAGAGGAAGAGGGAGGAAGAGGAGGCGAGGCAGAACCCGGGCAAGCTCCAAAAGATCGACGAGACTGCGCCGCGAGAGCTGAGCCCCCGGATGAAGGAGTGGCACGTGGCGGCGACGTCGACCCTCAAGGAACCCCCCAAGATGTCAAAGTGGCAGAGGCTGTGGCCCTCGTACGCCGTCATCCTGTCGCTCATCGGCGCCGGCGCGGTACTCAGCATGTACTACACGCCGCCCAAGCGGTCGCAGCGGCTGTTCCCGGACGTCCCGCCCGCGGCGGCGACGGTGCTGACCCTGATGGCGGCCAACGTGGCGGTGTGGGCGCTGTGGAAGGTGCCGCCGGCGTGGCGGGTCATGAACCGCTACTTCCTGCTCGTGGCGGCCACGCCGCAGCCCCTGAGCATCGTGGGCACGATGCTGTCGCACCAGAAGATCGGGCACCTGGCGGTCAACATGCTCTTCCTCTGGTTCTTCGGCACGCGGCTGCACGACGAGGTCGGGCGCGCCAACTTCCTCGAGGTCTACTTCGCGTCGGGCACGCTCGGCTTCCTGGCCAGCCTGACGGGCATGGTGCTGCGGGGCAACCTGCACCTGACGACGCTGGGGGCGTCGGGCGCCATCTACGGGGTCGCGACGGCGTACTTTATGCTGCACCGGTACGAAGGGTTCAAGGTGTTCGGCCTGCCGCCCGACCCCTACGGCGGGATCCAGGGCCTCGGCTTCATCGGGCTCATGCTCGGCATCAACATCATGTCGCTCATGTCCAAGAAGCAGGTGCTGGACGTGGCGTCGCACGTGGCGGGCATGGCGGCCGGCGCGGCGTACAGCGAGTACGTGCGCCGGAAGATGGGGGACAGGAAGGGCGGCGACAAGAAGGCCAGGCCCGAGACGACGACGACGACGACGACGCTGGGCGGCGGTGATAGAGAGCCGCCTGGCGCGCTGGAGAGGGTCGTCGCGGAGAAGTGAGATCGTGTGTTGTTGGGAGGCCTACGCGGTGTGTTTTGTTGTTGTACTACTACCACTTACTAGAAAACTTGTATCTCTAAGAGCATCTAACTCACTAGACAGCGCATAGACATTGGAATAAGGCACAATCTCGAAGACGCAAGTCGAAGCGGCGAGCCGCGCAGCACGGGAGTACGGGAGTACGTGTGGTGTTGGGCGGAGTGCATGCATGCGTGGTCCATACGAATGGGCCACTCACAGCAGGCTACCCGACCCCGATATGCTGTGTTTGATGGCAATCTCCCGCAGTGAGCAGGCTACGTCACTCCCCCGACGGGCTCGGCGATCAATTGCTATTAGCCGGCAGGGTTTCCCTGTAAGAAAGACGACCTGGAGGGGAATAACCAGACATTTTCAAGGTTTGCATTGAAAAGATGACAGGTGCTGGTCACAGTGCTCCTTGAAAAGTAGGTAACTGAGGGATCTGTCTATCAATTGTTTCATTTATCAGGTGTTAAATGGCATTGTCTCACTCCAATCTGCGCCGACTCTCTGCTGGCAAGAAAGCTTCACAAGCGGGCTCGGCTGGATGGCGGGAGCCATGTGGGGGAAAAGTCACACAGCTAACCGCTAACCCTGCTCTGACGCAAACGTGCAGTGTGACTGTTGGTCTTGGGGCCCTCCCTAGGCGAGTTTCAGTCTGCTGCTTTAGCGGGAGCTGTTTATCTTTGATGATGCTTATTGTTCTTTTGGCAAATTGTCGAGGTTGAAGCTTCTGAGTGTTTGCCAGATAAGGTAGACCGAATTGATGTTAACTGCATGTTGCTTCTTCTGCATTGATTAAAACAAGTTATCAGATGGTGCGTGATCTTTTCCTTCCAAGCCCGCAGACACGTCAGTGTGCTCCCCCGAATCCTGCGGGAGATGCCAGGACAAGACGCGAGATGATGACGGCTGAAGAGCAAAAGATGCCGTTGCAGCCGGCCTGCTGCTGCGATACCACCCTCAAATCGAGCCACCACCATGTGGCTGCCTACAGCCCCGGGCGAGTCAGTGCTCCCAGCGGCATTTCACAGCATCGGGTGCGCCCACTCCTGGCGCTGTTCGGGGGGTCTTGGCAACGTCGATACAGCTGAAGGAGCTGCATCATTAGTGGGCTAGCTCGCTAGCCCGCCTGTGCTTCTGTGCGTCCCCCCCCACTGTGGCCACTGTGGGTGACGATTTAGTGAGGCCTCATCCGCATCCTTTGCAAATCCCTGGCTCGCGACAGGCCCAAAATCTTGGCCCGTCCAATCCTTGGCGATCGCCCTCTGATGATAATTTGTTTTGACGCCCTGCTTTCCCTTTTCTTCCCCCCCGGTCTGCCCCATTCTCCATAATCTGGTCGGTTTCGACTCTCGAGGGCATCTCGAGTCTTTTCTTGTTTGAATTCGAACCTTTACAAACAGGCCATCTTCACAGTTTGCGCCGCTTGTTGTGAGCTACGCGTCGTGTTCCCGAGACAACGTAGGTAGTTAGCTCGTGGAACTGTGTACCAAACAACGGGCTCAACGAGCTCAAACCCCAGGCCTTCATCCTCCCCTCTCTTGACCTTGCGTCTTCCACAGCCCCAGGAACGAAGCACGGCCACTTCAGTCCTCGATCCTTATCCTCGAAACCCAACTTAGACCGCGCACGAGCTCGCAATGGCTCACAACGGCGACATCCCCGACGAGGAGCTGCAGGCGCGCAACCCTCACGCCTCGGCCACCCGGTGGCGCCACCAAGAGTCCTCCGCCTTTGCGCGCCACGCCGTCCAGCAGCAGCAAGCCGGGCACCACCAGAAGCCCCGCGAGCCCGAGAACCGCGGCAACACCTCCGACCTCGCCAACTTTCTCAACTCGTCGCGCGTCTCCCCCGAGGAGACGGTGGCCGCGGCGGCCGGGTCCGGGTCCGGGTCCCGCTCCGGCACCGCCGACGGCGGCGGCAAGCGCTTCACGCCCATCGTGGTCGGCGCCGCCGAGGCGCGCGAGGCGACGGCCGCCGGCGAGCCCGGCCCCGAGGACGCCGAGATCGCGCCCGACGCGCGCCCCGACGGCAAGGAGATCGTGTGCGGCCCGCTCATCAACTACCGCCGCCAGGAGGGCACCACCTGGGTCGGCAGCGTGCTCGTCGTCACCAAGGGCGGCGGCAAGACGCAGGAGTCTGCGCCGACGCTGCTGCTGCGGTACGCGGGCGAGCGCCAGGCCGGCGGTGCTGCTGCTGCTGCCGCTGCCGTCGAGGGCGCCGGCGCAGCGAACGGGGGCGCGTCGGCATCGGGCGGCGCGCAGAAGGAGGAGGCCGAGTTCAAGGGCGTGTGCCTGTACTCGGACCCGCGCAACACCTTCTGGCGCTTCAGCATCAGCTGCGAGATCCTGCCCACCGAGGGCCGCTGGGAGTACACCCTGCCCGGCCTGCGCTTCCACAGCAGGACCAAGCCCCAGACCAACGCCTTCTACGTGCCCGCCGCCGCCGAGTCGATGCGCATCATGTTCCACTCGTGCAACGGCTTCAGCGTCGGCACCGACGAGGACGCCTACAGCGGCGCCTGCCTGTGGAACGACGTCAACCGGCGCCACGCCGAGGCGCCCTTCCACGTCATGATCGGCGGGGGCGACCAGATCTACAACGACGGCATCCGCGTCAACGGCCCGCTGCGGCAGTGGACCGACATCGGCAACCCCAAGAAGAGGAAGGACTACCCCTTCCCCGAGAGCCTGCGCCAGGAGTGTGACGACTATTATTTGAAGAATTACATTCGCTGGTAGGTTCGGCCTGGCTGTGCGTGCCTATGTGCTCGAGGAAAGAGACACTGACAGTCGCGTTCGCTAGGTATTCCACCGAGCCCTTTGCCACGGCCAACGGCCAGATCCCGCAATTGAACATCTGGGACGACCATGATGTGAGCACTCGCGCTGTCTACCCATCATGGAGCACTCCTGCTTACCTGTTTAGATCATCGATGGGTTTGGCTCATATGTCAACGACTTCATGAAGTGTGATGTGAGTCGAGATTCTGTAGCAACTGGCCCCTGGAAGTTCTCGTATTGACATGTACCAGGTATTCCGTGGCATTGGGGGAACGGCGCACAAATACTACATGCTTTTCCAGCATCACTTGCCGCCTCCACCATCCACATACACTACCGGTACGTTCGAACGCTCGGCCTGTAGCTTTACAAGCACTGACGCTGAGACACCAGATGCCCCTCAGACAACGGGCGCTTCCGTGGGCAACCACGACCCCAACCAGCTAATGGATGTCTACGTGGCCGAGGAGATGACCGAGCCCAACTACATCGTGGGAAACAAGCCTGGTGTAAGTCGAGCCGATCAGCCTAGATGCAGATGCGCGACCTGACAACCTATTTCACAGCCGTATGTTGCCGAGAAGTCTCACAACATGTTCGCCAGTCTAGGCGCCAGAATCGCGTTCTTGGGCATTGATGCAAGAACTGAGGTAAGCCCATCTGGAACTGTCATCTCAAAGCCTCTTCTGACCTCGAACAGCGCACGCGCCACCAAATCAACTACCCCGAGACCTATGATCTCATCTTCAACCGCCTGGACCGGGAGCTCACCGCAGCGCGCGAGAGAGGCCAGCCTTTCAAGCACCTGATCCTGCTCCTGGGCATCCCCATCGCCTACCCCCGCCTCACGTGGCTGGAGAACGTCTTCTCGAGCCCCGTCATCGGGCCCATCAAGTTCCTCAACCGGCGCTTCGGCCTCGGCGGCGGCGTCTTCAACCACTTTGACGGCAGCGTCGACCTGCTCGACGACCTCGACGACCACTACACGGCGCGCACGCACAAGAAGGAGCGCAACCACCTGGTCGAGCGCCTGCAGTCGGTCTGCGCGCAGCACTCGGTCCGCACGACCATCCTGGGCGGCGACGTGCACCTCGCGGCCCTGGGCCGCTTCTACTCGAACCCCAAGCTGCGCGTGCCCACCGAGAAGGACCACCGGTACATGGTCAACGTCGTCTCGTCGGCCATCGTCAACAAGCCGCCGCCGCCGGCCATCGCCAACCTGCTCGCGCGCCGCAACAAGATCCACCACCTCAACCACGACACCGACGAGACCCTGCTGCGCCTCTTCAACAAGGACCCCGGCGACTCGGACAAGACGGCGGGCCACAACCAGGTCACCATGCCGTCGCGCAACTTCGCCGTCATCACCGAGAACTCGCCCAACAACGCGCCCTCGCCCGACATACGCGGCCAGGACCCCATCGTCAACGACTTTGCCCCGCCGTTCGCGCCGGCCCTGCAGCAGCAGAATGGAGGCGGCAGCTCCGGGCCGAGCAGCCTCGCGCCCCCGTCCTCGCGCGGCGGCGCCGACAGCACGCGCTCGGGCCTGTCCTCGCACAGCAATAATCCTGCCGCCGACGGCGGGGACAGCGACAACAAGAAGAAGAAGAACCCGCCCGCCAGGCAGCCCTCGTCCACCAAGGTCGACGGGCACTACCCCATCGGCGCGGGCGAGCAAGGGGCCGGCACGCACCACAAGGCCGCCTCCCCCGCCGCGCACGGCCGCGGCCACGACGGCTCGCTCGACGTGTGCATCCGCGTCGAGATCGACCAGCACGACCGCGAGGGCCGCACCGAGGCCTACGGCCTCAGCATCCCCGCGCTCGAGTACGAGGGCCCCCACGTGCCCAGCCCGGGCACCTTCCGGCCGTCCACGCGGGGGTCCTCGGCGGCGGGGTCCGCGGCCGCGCCGGCCACTGGGGTCGAAGGGGCCGCCGGCGGCGGCAGCAGCAGCAGGCCCGCCACGAGGTCCTAGGGGGCCGCCGGTGGTCTGGGTGGCGGTGGCAGTAGTAGGACCTGCGGGGCTAGTAGCTGCGGGGCCGCCGCGGGCGTGATCGTGCTGACGCCGTTTACGGCGCTGCAGCGGCGGCAGAGGCGCAGGGCGGAGGAGAGGCGGGACGCGAAGAGGAGGAAGGAGAGCGGCGGGGTGAGCAGCGACGGCAGCCTGGACGGGACTGACGAGGACGAAGACGAGGACGAGGAGAGGGAGAGCGTCGTGCTGCACCGGCGGTTCTCTCCGACGAGGGAAGGGCGGAGTGAGGTTGTGTATCTGCAGGCTGGGGCGCTGAACTGAAGTCATGTATCCATCCGCCTCGCGTTGGCGGGGCGGTAGTGGGCGATGATGAGGGACGGAGGGACTTTTGTGAGGTTTTGGTTTTTGTTGTTGTTTCATGTGAGCTTTCTGCTTCTTACAATGCGTACGGTAAGGGCAGGGGCAGGGGCAGGGGCAGGGAAGCCAGGAATAATGAGATGAAGACAGGCTGCTGAGGGAGGAGGGCGCAGTTGTGTAGAACTAGTTAGAAAGACAATACCCATGTTTTCCTTTTTGTTGCTGAAAATGCATCCATTTCTATCACACGTGAAGGCCCCTTATTCGATAGCTCGTGTGTCTAGGTAGCCCAGCGGGCCCATCTGGCATATCTTTCGCTTTTATCTGCTGAAGAAGTTCTCCTTCTACCGAGAAGACGATCGATATCATATCACCTCGTCTGAACACGATATGATGACATCTGTACATCATCACCCATCCGCACCAAACCCTCAAACCAAACCGCATCCAATCCGCCTTAAACAACAAGCTCCATCTTGACCCCCCTCTTGCCCGTAGCCTCGTCCTTTTCGTCCGAGATCTTAACCCGCACCTTCTGGAACAGCTCCACCGTAACCTCCTTCTTGCTACCACCACCACCACCCAGGGCGGAGATCCGGAGCGTGTACGCCTCGGCGTCGAAGCTGGCCGCCGGCTCGGGCTCGCCGGCGCCCGCCATGTCGCGCAGCCGGATGACGCCCTCGATGCCGAAGCGCGGCACCAGCACGACGAACCCGTTGCCAAAGATCTTCATGACGAACGCCTCCTCCTCGGCGACCTTGCCGCGCAGCGCCTGCCCGACGTAGTACGCGATGCTCGCCCGGCCGGCCAGCTGCGCGTTGCGGTGGCGCACGTTGATGTTGCGGCAGACGGCCTCGAGCTTGCCGCGCGAGCGCACCGAGGGGTGCATGGCCTCGTAGCCGATGGCGGCCGCGAGCTGGCGGTGGGCGACGAGGTCGGCGTAGCGCCGGATGGGCGAGGTGAAGTGCGTGTAGATCTCCGAGGCGAGGCCGTAGTGGCGGAACTCCGGGTAGGCCTGCGTGCCGGCCGAGAAGTACTCGGCCGACATCATGCAGCGCGTCGCCATGATGCGCACGAGCGTGTTGAAGAAGGGCTCCGCCGGGTCGACGCACGTGTCGAGGCTGTCGGCCAGCGCGCGCGACGAGTCGACGCGCAGCTCCATGCCCTTCTTGACCTTGAGCTGGTTCGCCAGCTCGTCAAAGTTGGTCTTGGGCGGCGCGCCGTGGCGCCGCAGGATCGCCGTCTGCGGGAAGGCCGAGTAGATCTTGCCAGCCACCGAGATGTTGGCGAGCAGCATGAACTCCTCGACGAGCGACATAGTGTCCAGGTGGACCTTGGTCTTGATGTCGATCGGGTCCGAGGTCTCAGACTCCATCTGCACCTTGACCTCGGGGGAGGACAGGCTCAGAGCACCAGCGTCCATACGCTTTTGCTTGAGCACCTTGGACAGCATCATCAGCGTCCGAATGCCCTTGGTGAGATCATCCTGCTGCGATACGTCGTCGACACGCAGCTGCGCTTGTTCGTAGCTGAATGCCTCTCTTGACTTGATGACCGACTTTGTGAAGCGCACATCGACAATGTCCGCCGCAGGTGTCATCTCCCAGATCACTGAGAATGCGTACCGCTCGACATAGGGTTTCAGTGAGCAGAGGTCGGTACCCAGCAACATCGGAAGCATGTCGATACGCTTGTCGACGAGGTACACACTCGTACCGCGGACGCTAGCTTCCGTGTCCATGGCATTGTTCGGCTTGACAAAGTGCGAGACATCCGCAATGTGGACACCGACTTCAAAGTTGCCGTTGGGTAGGGAGCGAGCATGGAGCGCATCGTCGATATCCTGGCAACCGATAGGGTCGATACTGCAGATGAGAAGATCTCGAAGATCTTGGCGGTCCCGCCAGCCCGGATCGTCGGTGCTGGCAGGTACCCTCCAGTCGTGTCCCTCCTTAGGGAGACAGTCCAGGACGGTCTTGGGGAACGGTCGATACTGCACGTCATACTCGAGAAGGAGAGCCTCGGTCTCAGCAGCCTTGCTCTCCATCTCACCCAGGGAGCGGACAAAGTGCCCCACCGGATGCCTCGAATCCCGATCCCACGCATCCATCGTGACAAGAATGCGCTTGCCAAGGAGTTCTCCTATCTGCCTCGTGCGAAGTCGTATCTTGGGGATCTTCTTGTCCATCGGTATCAAGAAGACAGTCTCTTGTTTTCGTCCCTGGTTGGCGGATTTGCTGACGGAGGATTGGTCAATGTGGCCAACATATTGCCGCCAATTCCTCTTAATGATGCCCACAACCTTTGCTGTCGGTTGCGCATGACCCTCGGTGCTCTTGGAGTGGGTGCGCTTGACCTCCTCCTGCAGGGCCTTGCGCTCCTTCTCTGAAATGATGTCTTCCGCCTCATCGCCATCAGCGTCAGCGTTCTCGTTCTTCGTAATAGTCTCCTCTTCAATGATCTGGGTGGAAGGCTCCTTCCACTGGTCCTTGGGTAGGACTTCCACTACCACCACATCGCCATCCACTGCACGGTTGATGTTCTCCCGTCCCAGAATCAGGAGAGCCTTGGGGAAGGCAGGGACTCTGATGGAGCCTTCCAAGTAGTTGTATGGAGAGACATTGAAAATGCCTTGGTGCAGCAAGCCGCTCTTCACACCCGTCATCATCTTGGACATGGTGAGATACTCAGCATATAGGTGATCGCCAGGCTTCCTCTCCCGTGTGATCTCGCGGTCCTGTGCTTCGGGAATCATATCCACGAGGCTCTCGCCGTCTGGAAGACTCTCAACATACTCCCTCAGAGAGCAAGCCGCAAGACCGTCGGCCCGTGCCTTCTTGAGGTTGTCTCTGTCATTGCTGAGCATCACCACCGCTGGACACTTCTTTCCCTTGACGGCGGAGGTCAGGTGCTCGCCATACCACTTGACGGCTTGCCGTACGGAGCGGTCATTCCGATCGTTCACTGACTCCTGGGGTTCTCGCGTGACGTAGGTCTCGAGACGGAAGTCGTTGAAGAAGACGTAGAACCGCTTGTCGTCACTCTTGACGAGCCCGACGAGACGGTTGTACAAAGGCAGAGACCGGTTGCGGACCTCCTCCAGAACGACCTGCAGCACGATCACATCGTAGAAAGCAGACGCGTGCTCAAACAAGTCCATGGCGCTCAGGAAAGCGTTGGTGTCCGGGACCAGGTAGTGCCCCTGTGGGAACTGCTTGGTTGCCGCAGGCTTTTCTGACAAGACAAACGGGGCCACTTGAGCAAGTGACTTGGTTAGTTCGCGCTGCCTTGGCGACATTTCCTTTTTTTGAGACAGATGCAACTCACGATTTCCTGCCGCATCTCTGGGGGCATTGTTCAGGCATGTGCTGCATAGCCTTGAGGAGCAAGGGATGTCCTGCCGTAGGTAGACCTCGCGCACAATCTTCTGCACCTTGCCGCTTCTAGTGGACCGGACATAGACCTTGCTTGAGATGTTGGACTGGAGCGGGTCGGACCCCAGCGCATGCTTGAGGCTCGCCATGATGGACGAGCAGAAACCCCGGCTTGCCGCGCGCTCTTTTCTCTTTGCGGACTTCCTCTCTTGCGGCGCCTCACGTAGGTGACAGACGATGAGCCAGGTGTGTAATGGCGCAGAGTAAATAATTTGACGATGTGGTTTGCTGTGCTTGAGCTGTTGATGAGCTCTTGCTCTGGTTTGACAGAGGCGGATTATGATATCAAAAAGTTGAAAAATGCGCTTGGCAGGCGAATCAAAACCAGGCCAGCGCTTGCTTATCCTTATCGGCAGGTGCGCTGCACGCAACCGCAAGTCAAAGTGGTGTGGGGCGGAGAACGTTTACACACCAACACCACGACTTTTCATGGAGGGGGGAACGAGATCCCGTCAACCTTGCTTTACCTCATGCTGGCACGCACCGGCGCGGGTTGATAAAGTGAACACACGTCAAACAGCCAAAATAGAATCGTTGGGGGTGGAGATGCGCTTGGTAAGTCCCGACCACCAGGTGAGAGGCGTGAACGGGTTCAGGCATTATCCAGGGCCAAGAGGGCCCCCCCTATGACTGACTGACGGCCATAAGGGTGTGGATAGCGCACCCCTTCGCATTCAGGCAGAATTTGGCCGGTGATGGCGAAGGCGGTGTTGATGATACAGACATACATGCATGCATACACAAGCAATCAATTAAACAATCAAACAATCAAACACGTGGGAGTCGAGCATCACGTGTGTGCTTGATGCATTCCCTTGTCTTTCTCACGACGACAGCTCGAGACACACGGTCCTCTGTTTCTCTCGCCAGGTTGGCAACCAGGCGCTGGACAGTAATTATTCCGTGAAAGAGGGGATCATACATACCCTTCCGCAGCCACGCCCATGACGATACACAAGAGGGGGAAAAAGAGCCGAGAGTCCCTGTTGGGAGTACTTCCCGAGACGCAGGAAGTGCTACCACAGCAGAGCATGGCTGGGTCCCTTTTCCCCCTTCTCTTTGGCTGGCTCCGACAGCTGCAACTGCTCCCGGGTCGCCGATCTGACTCGGTTTAGCCCCGAAACACAGACGGTGACACCGGAACAGCTAGTTGAGCCCTTTGTGATACATCAGATCCTGCGGGACGGACTTCTCGTTTCTTCTTTGAGCCTTACAACAATGGCCGTCCCCTCCCAAAAAGCAAAAGACGAGGGTTCTTTCCAATGGGCCCCTCTGGGCGCAAGGCATGTTGTTTGCCGTTCGGCGGCTACGGCTACTCTAGAACAATACTCCGTTAGTCTATCAGGTTGAGAGGCGGCCGCGGCGGCGACGGCGCCGTCCTCCTATCGCAAACAGACACTACATAGTTTAATAGTTCGCCGAGACCCCTGTACGCCTAGACCCCTTGGGAAAGCTCACACTTCTCCAGCGAAAAGGGCCAGCCGTGTCAAGAAAGAGCTGCGCTCGCCCCGACTCTGTCTCTGATGAGCGCGCCCTACCTATCTCTATTGTCTACCTAGGTAAGGCATCTCCATTGCGCAACCCCCACCGAATGTCCGCGAACGCCATAAGCGAGGTCGCCGCGAACAATGACAACAGGCGGGCCTCTGCCTGATACGATAGAGTAGAAACTAAGTTTTGATTTACTGTGCATTTTAATGCTGGCGTCCCGTCATATGATCTACTGCGCTATTCATCCGGGCCATTTTGCCAGATTGTGTACACGTCCCCGCTGCTGTGCCCGCGGGCACTACAACACAGCAGCAGGAGGATGCCGCTGGGGACACCCCAGGGCCAGAGCTCCTCTCCTCTGGCCCTTTCTGAACAGCCACTTGCAACACCACCTTCTGGTCAGACAACCCCTTCAAGGTGCCTTGCCTGGCCGCATACAGCGCCAAAAATAGCCTCCAGGGCTGGGGGTCTGCCAGGCTGTTTGATAAGATAAGCTGCCGAAGGGTGGACAGACCTGCAGTCTGGGGAAGACAGCATCCTTTCCGAAAGCTCGCCCTGCTAAAAGGGAGCCCCCGTGATGGTGTAGTTAGTTAGATGGTGTAGTTAGTTAGATGGTGTAGTTAGTTAGATGGTGTATGTGCATATCTCACAGAGGCCACAGGCTTCGATGATCCGTGTTCCCTAGTCCTTTGGACCTGGACCACCGCGGTCCGAGAGTGGCAGGGACCATCGCAGACAAGAGAATGAGGCGTTCTCAACTGTACAACCTCGCGTTTCATGACGAATTCACGGATCATCCATCTGCGTCCTGGCCCAGAATTTATCCTGGCCAAGGAGCCATTCCTACTGGGTTAGTCACCTGGCCTTCGAACCCCGACGGCGGCGCGATTCCAGCCTGCTCCAGTCTGCGTAAGCATGGACAAACGCCGATCAGATGCGTCATTCTTGCGGGCTTGCAGCTCGATGGGGTTTCCGTCCGAGCAGCAAGGGTTCAGATTACGAATCTCCAAGTGCCAAAAAGATATCGCTAGCTGCGATGCTAGTACCGTTTCCCTCAGAGGGTTGCTGCCGTCATGGAAGGAATCACATGTACACAACCAAGTCGAGTTCAGTCGAGGTGAGGTGAGCGGGCTAGGCCCGCACGGAGAATAATGTCGAGGGGGGGAGGGTGGCAGTCGAGCGATGCCCTCCTCCAGGAATGCGCCCAGGGTCATGCAAGTTCATGATGGATGCTTCCGAGGCCGTATGGTGTGTAGCAACCACTCTCGGCTGGCGAAACTGCCGACGAGCATCAGTCATCGACCTTTGCAGCCTAGCATGCTGTTCCAAGGTGCGCATACGCCTGTATCACAGAAAACAGGAAACTGAGCAAGACAATAGACCCGTGAACGGTTAGCGCGGCAGGGCCCGGGTTCCTTTTGCCTGGCTGGGTCCAGCGTTTCCATGAGATCCAGACCAAGGCAGTGCAATGGCCCTCTGTCGACTAAGCAGCCACACTTTTCCAGGATAGCATTCCTTGCGGGGGCTCCCTCTCGACGGCGGCGGCGGCGGCGGCGGCGGAGGCTGACGAGAAAGAGCAGTTCTGACATCGGGACGATCGCAACGGCCGATGGATGACTTACATGCTGGGAACCGGCCGATTTCTTGGATGGTCTAGACAAAGTGGGCAGAAGCGAGAGGAAGGGACTGACTGGCTGGTACGTGCTTTGACAGGATGACTGCGACGATGCAGAACGGGTAGCAAGGGGGTCTCCCGCCCCCCTCGCTGCAGCCATCCTGGGCGGGAGCGCATATCATCAGCAGGCATCTTAGAGTAGAACCACAGTCCACGGGAAGGCACTTGCGAAAGAACCCGCCAATTCTGGTACCCAGATCGTGGAGAAAAGGCGCACCACTTTGGTGGGAGGCAGCGGTAGTGGCCGTCGATGCAGACCAGGAAAAGATGGGGTGGGTCCTGCCCATCGAGAAGGAAGGCCATGCCATCTCGAACAGGACCCGTGAAGCAGCTAAGTGTGTACATACATGCATCTGTACAAGCACGCATACAGATACAGATACAGGCTCTCTGCTAAGGGTTCGGGGTGCTGGACTAATGGGAGGGAGGGTGGCCGATGGTGGATGGGTGGGCTGGGCAGCGGGCCATGGCTCACATGGTGAGCTTCCACCCCTCCCTTCTCCGGGAATGCCAGGGAGGAGGAGCAGGCAAGGCAGGCAAGCAGACAAGCAGGCCGTGAGCACACCCTCCTCCACCTGCACACGGCTGCCCTAAGATCAAAGTCGTTAATCATGGATTGGGCCCGGGACTGGGTCTTGGGGACGGAACTGGGGTCTTGCAAGATCTCCGGGTCCGTGCCGTTGAGATAGATATGTCAGTCAGCTCCACGTACTTGGACATATCCTGACTACACGGGATGGCGCTTCCAAGCCAGGACGGGGAGCTTGATCTTGTCAGTCTCCCTCCCTGCATGCAGATGGGCTCCAGAAATGTCGGGTGTGGTGAGGGTGAGTGTTTGATAGATTGGAATGTCAGGCTCAGCGGCGTGACCTCATATCTTCGGCACAGCTACCAGGCAGGTAGGTACCTAGGCCGCCTTCGTCCAGTCTGCGCTTCTCACAGGCCGCGAGTCCCAAGCACTGATGAGAAAAAGAGAAAAAGCACCTGCGCTGAATGTAGAACTTCGACTCGGCCAGGTACTGAGTTATTGGATATGGCACAGGCAGATGCGAGCATTGGACTGGCAAAAGGTCTTGTTCATTCAGACCCATGATTTGCAGGGAAAGAGTGGCCCGTGTGTCAGCTGGGGGCGGCAAGGGCTGGCCAAAGCGAATCAGGGCCTGCCGTTTCTAGCGCCAAGTCCACTCGCTTGCGCCCTTGCTACACCTATGGCTGGGACCCCTGTCCCTGCTGGTTACGGGGTTTAGTCTGCCCCTGCTAGACGCACCCCTGCCATGAGACCTCGCAGAGGGACCCCCCTCCCCCCGGCGCATTCAAGCTCATGCTTCACACCATCTTCTCCTGGCCCGTCACTGTGTGTGCTCCCATCCCCAGACTTCTGGGCCAGTGCGACGCCTGAAGTGGTGTATTGCTCTGCACTCTAAGCCGGGGCCTTTTTTTTAAGAAGTGATATACTTATGTATAAAAGAATTCAAGGCCTCACACGGGACGCGGCGCGCGCAACACCAGCTATTCATACATACATACATACATACATACATACATACATACGAGGATGAAGCAGCTGCAATTGTCGACGGCGGTGCGACTTGACAGTTGACTCATCATCATTCTTTTCGAAAAGGGTCGGTAGGAGATTGAGGAACAAAAGAGGGGTAGTGTCGGAAATAAGACGTGGATGGTCCTTGGGGTTGGTCACCGAAGGCAGTGAACCAACCATCCACGGATGGGCATTGTGCGAGGATTTTAGCACCGCCGGGTGCAATGATGGGCGAGGCATCTTGCGATGAGACACTTTGTCATGGACCACGTTTGCCCTTGCTTGGCGACAGACGTCTGCGGCCCTTTCACCCGTGCTTCGCGCGCAAGAGGCTTCTGTCGCTGATGGATGCAGGAAAATATTGATGATACAAGGACAAAGGA